AAGTGTTCACATATAATGGGTGATAATTACCGGCGCTTAGTATTTAACGATATATCGTTGTAGGACTCATTTTTTCTTGCCATTCTCGGAATAGCAATTCTGCCTATTTCGTGAATTCATTTTAAACGAATAAATCGTCTATTTTGAAATCGCCGAAATTACTTTGAACACGTCATTAATTTCCGTCGAGGAATATGCACAAGAAATTTCATAACGGAAGACTTCTTTTGTAGCCGTGGATTCGCCGTTCGCTATCGATATATATAGCTGATTCACGGCTGGCTTGAGCCATCGAAAAACGAGTCCTGACACGATAATACACGAGATAGCGCCTGGCTCGTGGAGAGCGAAGACAAGACACGCCCCTTAGCGTCTCAAGCTAGCCGTGAATCAGCTATAGCAAACGGCGAATCTGATATATCAGTTTTCAAAAACCTTTTTTCTTTTCAAAAAGTTTGGAAACAGTTTTTTCACTACTTGGCAACTTTGCGAAAGTTTCTATCGTTTTCTTAAATTTTTCTGTTTTTCCTAGCTGTGCATATCATTGAAGTTGAAAATTTTATTATTAAAAAGAAAGATCTCTCATCATTTGAACGATGTTGATGAATTACAGGTGGTCACAGAACTGGCGCGTTTTTGCCTACGTCAATGCTCTGGTTTGTCTTCCAGGGTTCCTGTTCTTCCAGTAAGTGAACTTCATATTTATGAAACTACAATTAGTCATGATAATTGAGGGAGTGTAATCATGAACAATTATCCTTTCTTTCAGATTCTTCATTCACGAATCTCCGCGATGGCTTATCACTATGGGAAAGTTTGAAGAAACCAAAGAAGTTTCAAAGTTTCAAGATTTTTTTCACATTTTTATTGTTCAGGTGTTGCGAAGACAGTTCACGACCTCAAAGCAACTCTATCTGATGAGTGACGAGTTCCATGATGTTTTGCAGACAGAACACGCGGTTTCTAGACACTTTTTGATGTTAATTTAAAATTTTTTTCAGATTTCGAAGCAGCAAAACAGCAAGCGCGGTCAATACTCCTATTACCACCTCTTCTGCACTTGGCGTTTGATGCTTACTACTGTCGTTCTGGCGTTTAGCTAGTTAGTTTATTATCCCCTTCATTTTCCTTTGGACAAAAGGAACAACTTCTCATAAGGGAGGGATCAAAAACCAAATATTCAGTTGTGCTACCTCGATAGTTAACTACGGAATTATGTTTAACATGGAAAAACTGAGCGGTTCGATATATTGGAACTCTGTCTGGACAGGTCTCATGAGGTTTGCTTTCTTCTATTTGAGCATAAAAAGACAAGTTCAGATACGCTTGTAATCTAGGGTTTGGGTACGCGGATCTCAAGTTCACGCGCATCGGCCGCAAGTTTATTCACACGTCAGGGCTTTTAGTCATCCTCGCCTCACTCGCCTTTGTCATAATTTCATACATTTTCCGTTAGTTGAAAAAATGATTATCCAAAATGATAGATTCGCAGATATCAACCATGAATTGAAAGAGGAGATTCGAATAGCCATTCTGCTGGCCAGTTCCATGACATCTCAGGTTCGTCGCTTGGCAATTTTGAAATCGACGGGACTCATTCAGGTGTACATAGCAGATGGAATCGTGGGCAATGAGCTTTTCCCGACGCCAGTCCGTAACCTCGGATACTCCTTCCTCCAGCTGTGGAATCGCGTCGGCGTCGTTCTTTCTCCTTTTGTATTTTACCTCGTACGTCGGTTTGGAAAACTTTTTATTGTATTTTTTTTTACTTAGAAAAATGTTATGTTCATATTCTGAAGCCCTAAAGTTTTTTTTTGTCAACTAGAAGCTGATGAATGGTAAGTTTCTTCCTAATTATAGTCTGTTCAGATTTTTAATGTCAACCAGCTAACTCCGCCCCCGCTGAGAAGGTACCTTTTCGCGTCGATGTTTTATCGCGCGGGACTAATTTTGATCTTTTTTGATCTAAAAGATAGAAAAAGAAGTCAAAAATGCAGCCTTATTAAAGGGACATCGTCATCTGTAGATAAAAAATTGACGCGAAAGATATTGTAGCCTTGGGGGCGGAGTTAGCTGCTTGACATTAAAAATCTGAACAGACTATAACTTAGTTTTTAAGGGTATTTTTCCAACCGAAAATTTTACAAAAATTGTTCTTTTCGATTTTTGAGCCCTAACATTTTTCAGCTTCTTAGTTTGCATACAATTAGTTATACAAAGTTTTACTACATCTAATTTTAAAAAAAGCAGGGCGCTATCTTGCGGCTATTAAACTACAATCAAACAATGTCTGAAATCAGATAATTTTAAGGAATACTGTATTTCTGACATCTAGCATAACTATAATAAAGTTACTATATGTAGGGGGCGCAAAGCCCCGCCCCTTCACGCCACCAAAATGACGATTTTTTTGTTGCAAAAACGGTTTTGAGGCGTTTATACTAGCTAAAGTCCCTCTTTAAAAATGAACTGTTTCTGTTAACTTATGTAATCGACAACGCTCTACAAGACTCAATATTTTTTTAAAACTATGTATTTTTTTCAAAAATTAAGCGAAAAAAAGTAAGATTTAACACGAAAAAAACTGACAAGTTTCACAAAAATCGTCGCGTTTCAGAAAAACCAAGTGAGGAACGCTTCTGAATTTTGAGTATGTTATACATTAACACTTTCTTTATTTTTTTTGAGTGAAAATGAAAAAAATCTACCGACGCGAAAAAAATATTAAAAGCTTGTAAAGTGACAGCAAACTTTGAAGCTGAAATGCGAAAAAAATTTTTCAGCGACATGGTATACTTTTTATTTGATTTAAAAAAACTAACAAAGTGTCCAAAAAAATAAAAAAATTCAAAATGAAAAATAATTATTGGGACAGCGAATCAAATTATATTTGAGTTTTTTTCCAAAAACCTCCTTTTTTTCGTCTGCCTCGTTGACGCATGAGAGAATAGGATCGCGTCTATATTTTTTTGATTATGTTATTAAGCGTTCAAAACTCTATCAATGAAAAAATTATGAAAAAAATCGATCGACGCGAAAAAAATAACGGCTTTGAAAACCTCGAAAAAATGGCAATTTTTTTTGAAATTTCGGAAGATTTCGTGCAAGTGTCCGTAGCAGTGTTTGCGTCAAACACACCGATGCGCCATTTTAAATGTCGCAGGAGCCGTTTTTTTCGGAGTCAAATTGCACTTTTTTTCCTGTTTTATTTCGATATAACGTTATTTTTTTTATTTTTTTCTTATTTCCAAATCGAATGATAATAATTTTTTTCTGAGTAGAAAAAAAGAAAAAAATAAGCTGAAAAAAATCCCTTTGACCTTTTTTTCTAGGTAGTTTTTTTGATATTGTATTAAAAAAATTCTTATGAGGATTGTACAAAAGATTCATACCAAAACATGAGGCTCCGTTCGGACAACCTCTCAGAACAGAAAACCGATTTAAAAACGGTCCAGAAACGCGCAAAAACATTTAAAAAGAAAGCGTGCGGCAGCGGGTAAACCGTGAGATTTCGCCTCCACGCCGAGCGCGCTCGTTTTTTGGCCATAACTTTTTTCTTAATGGAGCTTTTTTCAAAAACTAAACGGATTATGAAAATGGACAGTCTCCTCTATCGAACAATGTGAAAAACATATTTTTTGAATCGTTCTGAAGAAACGGCTTGCGGTCCCTAACTATATGTATGTTTATTTAGATTGAAAATTCTCTTGAATATAAAATTTAAAGAATTAAGAAAGTTATTTTCAAGTCAAAGAGTATCTGCCGGAAAGTTCTACACACAACATGATTCAAACTAAATGACTCCAAAACTGCCTGAATTTTGTATGAAAGCGAATGAAAAGAAAGAAAAAGACTTTTGATATAAGTTCATTGCAAAACTCGAAGAGATTTGAAGGCTGATTTCTGGCTGGCCCTGCCATTCTGCGTGATGCTGTTCCTGTCGTCCATCGACATGTTTTCGTTCGAAGTTCTGTTGCCGGAGACGAAAGGCAAGCCGTTAGTCGAGCACATGCCGCCTCGTTCAGATTGGATCATCAAAGGCAAGTTTTGGCCGAACTTCTCTTTCAGTTCGTTTTTTTCAGGTAAAATCGAGTCTCCTCAAGCCGCCGAGCCTCTCGTCTGACTTCCCTTTGTAAAAAAAAGTAAACGGTCATGAGACGGTTTTTAACACTCAACTGCGGGAAATCCTCTATAATAAGTGCATAAATATTTGAATAGAGCTCTGTTATATATATAATCCAACTTTGAGCGGTTCTCCGGCAAATTGGAGTTCTCGGACAAACAATCGTGGAAGTTTTTGAGGTAGAGAGTGAGTCAACTTGCCAGAAAACTGAGTATTTGCCCCTCAACTTGTTGTCTTTCTTCACCCAAACAAACTTTATCTTGCGGCAGTTATTTGCCCGATAGAAAATTGCGCAATGACACAGCAAATATATACTAAAAATCGTTTATTTTTTTGGCATTTTCAATTATTTTTTTCGATCCGTCTGAGATAGCCACCAGAACTAGAGTTCCAGAGAAGTAAGCGAATGCACCAGGTTTTCTGGGTATAGAGGGCTTTGAATCGTACCAGTTAGCTCTTCAGAGATAAAGGTAGGTGAGAAATATGCTAAAGTTGAACTTTCCAGCTGGTACGACCATCAGCAAGAGCAAGAGCAAAATACAGTACCCATGAAGTCATATTGAGAGAAAAAAAAAATGTCTTAGAAAGCGGCGAGAGCGGCGCCGACAACAGCAAGCAGAGCGGAAGCCTTGGAGACGGAGTTGAAGAACTGCTGGTCAAACTGCCGCGAGCTGGTCGTCGAGTATCCGCCGTACTGCGAGTTGTAGTTGGGCGTCGTCGTGCCGTACTGCTGGCCGTACTGCTGGTTGGGGTTGTTGTTGCTGTTGTAGGGATACTGCTGGTTGGTGTTGTAGCCTCGGGTCGTCTGGTAGCCAGCACTGAAAAATACCAAACGATTAGTCTTATCCTACGGCTTCTGGTCGGATTACTTGTAGTTTGGCTGTTGCTGCTGAAAATAAGAGAATGAGATAGAGAAGAACTCTGAATTGGCTTACGTATTGGGCGAAAGCAACGGTGGCGCAGAGGACGACGAGGACCAGGACGAAAACGTTCTGCATCTTGCTTCTGCAATCGCTAGGTTTGAAACTATTCGAAAACAGTTTTTCGGTAATCAGAATTGAAAAAAGTAACGCTAGTGGATAAATGAGCTCGATTCATACCTCAACAGAATGAAAGCTTTGTGTGTATGTCCAAACAGTATCTCAAGTCGCGGCTTTTTTTGTCACGACTTCAAAAATTTTGAGTTTTCCGGCCTCTTCTCCATCACCGAAGCGGAAAAAAGAGTGCGGACAGGCCTAATTCGAGTTTTGGAAAATTGAGTTTGAAAAAGGTTTAAATATGTACATGTTGGTTCTCAAGTAAAAAACTGAGCAATTTCAAGATCAGGTTTTCCAAAGGTGTTTGCTCGAAAGGCCCCTATGAAAATTCTTATCGGTTCGATTTTCACGAAATATGGTATCAAGTAAATGTTGAAGAATAAAAACTGCATAGACTAAAAAAAGAGAAAGAAATGAGCTGTTGGAACGGAGAGAGCCTCGAGTTAAATAGCAGCGACAGACGGACCCGCCCTCTGCGGTTCTTACCGTCTCTTCGGCGGAGCAAACTTCGTTTTGGCAACTTCGCCCCTCCTAATCTCTTCAAACAGCGAATTCTGCGCTGAAAATCTTCAAGTTATAGCACTTGTACCGTTCAACCTTCAACCTTTCGACGTGGCTCCTCTCTACGGCCTTCGGTTTTCTTTTAAAATGGACAAACTTCGCTGCTTTTCACAAAAAGTTGCTTCTGCACCTGAAAATACCTCAGCATAGACTTGTGAAGAGAATAAACACAGTCATTTCGACGTAAGTTAGGGAAATACTGAAATTCTTAATACAGGCCAAAATTCATACTATTCTTTGAAAAGTTCGATATCGACTCAGGAGTTCAAATGTCAGAAATATTTATTCTTGAATTTCTTCCTTCGTGTGAAACTCGAATCGGAGTGAGACCCCGCGTCATAATTTCTAGCTTTTCATCTTTTCCCGTCTATTTTTAGTCTCTCTCTCTCTCTACATAAAAAAAATATTCGGTAAGTTGTTCGAAAAAAAATCCCAAACAATGAAACGAAGAAAATATATAAGAAAATGTGTGTACCTGGCGTTGTTATTTCACCGAATAAAAACAAACAAAAACATGTGAAACTTGGTGAGGAAGACTGCTCGTCAGTTATTTGCTCCCGCTGCTCGGAAGCAAATATTTTTGATGTAGTTTTATGAACTTAAAGAGAAAGAAAGAAATCGAGGCTTCTGATCGAAATTTCTGAATCTATGGGCTGCAATTTTCTACCATCAGGGTTTCTGTAGTTCCATTTTAGAGTTTCCAAGAAAAAAAAAATTCAAAGTTTTACCAGTTTCAGAAATACAGTGTAAATGTCCTTTCGGGAGAGGAGCAAAACATACTGAGTCCATTGAAAAGTTAAAGGAATTCATTTGCAGGAATTAAAACGTCTTGACTTATTTCATTATGTGTCCGTTCAAAAAAAAACCCCCCTTAATAAAGTATTTATATGCACGAGATACGTGACGAAGAAGTCGACCTGAATCTCACTAATTTCTAAAAAATTCATGTCGCAATCAGAGTAATTATTGCAAAACGCAAAATTGTCTCTGACTTTACAAAAATAAGTTATCCTTACTTTTTCTGACGGCTATGTTGAGTTTCGCGGAGTCGCTTCGAACATACTTTTTACTCAATTTCTAAAATATCGATTTAATAATTTTTTGGTTTTATCACAACTTTCGTGAACGCCTTTTTGAAAGAAAAAACCATGAAAACTCATATTTTTACAAATTTCCAAATTCTTTGCATTTGACCTCGCGGACTCCGGTCCAGACTCGGTTCATTATCTGAGAAGCCGAAACGTTGAGTATGCCAGCCTTTCTGCCAGTTGCTCGTCGCAAAACAATTCCAGTTGGTGCAAATCTGATTTCATTTCATTCTTAATACAACAAGGCGTATTTGCCGTGTCAACTTGGTCGGATTTCGAGTGTCGGCATCATGTCAACAAGAAAAAATGCTTGCACAGCAGTGATAGTGGCATTTCGATTGATGAGACGCGAGCTGTTGGTTTCCGCGTGAGCTGAAACAAGAGAAATGCGCGGCCGTCGGGTCGAACAATAGGGAAGACATGCAAACAGCGGCCCTGTTTGTTTCTTCTGCACGTCTTCGACTCTGAATCAATTCGGGGGCGGCAAACAGCCATCGTCACGAGTCGGCTGAAGAAAATGATGATAGGTATTGCGATCCGGTCGCAGCCGTACAAAAGATGCACGACGTTTTCGAGTCCACGACGTCTCCAACTTCTCCAACAACATGTACGTCTTCGTTTTCTCCGGCGTCGTTCTACCGCTTCTTGCCTTCGCTCGTCAACAACGTTCGTTCTTATTATCCTTTCTAGTCTAGACTAGGACTTCCCTTTGAATTCTCGAACACACGAAAATTTTAAAACCTCCAAACAACTATTTTTGAATTTTTTTATCCAGGAAGGGATGAACTTCAAAAATTTAACATTATTACAGCTCAAAATGTCTGAATTTGATTGAAAAAATCTCAGCGCTCCTCTCGCATTTTTCGGAAACAGTCTTTTCAGAGTTCTACCACCCGGACATACAGCCATCCTACAGTAGACAAACTCCTTACCGCGAAGCGTCCCTGATTCCCGAGCCTACCTTCGGCATCGGTCACGGACGACCTTTCGCCAAAGAAGACGATGGCTATCGACGGCAATGGCCGAGTTCTTTTCCGGACGGTTTCTTCAGCGGAGATGGACCAAGGCATCGTGGACGCGAAAAGGCTCGACCAGGCTCTGGGGAGAGTGGAGGCGACGAAGATCGGCGACCAGAATTTCTGAAGAATTCGGACCAGAAACACTCAAGAGGACGAGAACCTCTCCGCTCGACGTCAGAAGAAAGCAGAGCTTCAAATGAGGAGAACAGAAGCCCAAGAGTAGTTTCGCATCCTTTTTTGCACGAAAGAAAAGGCTTACAGTTTAGTAGTGAAGAAAATATTCCCCGGTCTGAACACAGTTCGAACTCTCCAGCCTCAGAGGCAGAGGAAAAGGCGTACGAAAAGAAAAGACGGATTCCATTTCCTGAAGAAAAAAAGGAAGATTTAAAGCTGACACCTGCAAGATTTTCGTCAAACTCGAAAGAAAATGAAAACCAGATCGTCGAGTCAGATAAGAGCAGAACTGGCACCAAATTAGTCGGAGTAAACATGCAGATGGTAGCTGGCTTTTACCCTCGGAAAAGCGTCCAGGATGACCGACGTGAACTACCTGGACGGTTCACGCCAACATCTGAAGCTGAAAAGACGAAGGCCCAGAAAGAAGATGCCAAACTTTCAGGAGTTCTGATGTCGCTGAAAAAAGGAAATCCAAATATTCCATCTGACTCTATGGAAGAAACGCAAAATACAAAGGTAGCTGAACGCAGAGAAAGCAGGTCCGAGAAGAACGCTGAGCTAGAGAAAGGTCATGGAAGAGAGCGTCCGTTTCCAGCCTCGCAATTCCCAGGTGAAAGCGCGTTTGAAAAAGTAAGAAAAAAGTTTTATTTACAGATTTTAATGGGTTTCGACCGTTCCAATCAGTATTCCCATCCGGAGGATTCGGTGGTTTTGGCAGTGCTGAGGGTAGTCCTTGGAACAGGCCTCGAAGTCCTGCCAATAGACCGCCTTGGGACGTCGATGGCTCGAATGAAGACCGACGTGCTCCGAACCGACGAGATCCTCACGAGCGTAATGAAAAACAAAAAAACAAACCACTTTCTGAGAGCTTCCCCGAAGAAGTAACGCCTTCGGGTGAAGATGAACGCAAATCTCTAGAAGCAGCAGAAAAGCCAGCGGAGATAAAATCCAAACAATCGTTTGTGTTGGAACAAAAACCAGGACCTGATAAAGCAGATTATAGGTTTCCGATGCCAGAGTCCTTGCAAGATCGGCAAAAGAAGGACAACGACAGAATTAAAACCTCCTACTCGAAAAGTCAAGTGTCTTCGAACCCTCTGACGTCGGCGACTGCAACAAACGCTGAAGCGTCAAATTCTACCTCTCCAACTAAGGGACCATCCGAAGAAAACATCATCTTGCCTACGGAGCCGCTGAAATCTTCTCCCCTGATTTAACTTAATAACCAAAAAAACTTGCGTTATCGTAATAATAAAGTATTCGAGTTGTATAGTTAGAACAAGATTGGATCCACAACAAGAGAAAATGTACACCGGGCGTTTTTTGGCCGCCGAACGACGTCCAGTCGACGAGGCACATACTTAAGCGCCAAAGGGGCTACTACTTTGATCGCCTTCATACATGATCTTCTCTTTGCTCGTGTTCCTTCTCCTCCAAGTTGTCGGTAATCTTCTTTATTTGATACCTTCGTTTAATCGATTGATTCAGAACCCAAGGCTTATGGTCAACGCGTAGAGTACCGCTACGAGTACGACCCTAAGAAGAGTGCAAAGCCTATCGTGGAAATCACTTATGGTCTGTTAAGGAAACTTATAACGAAGATATCTTCTGTAGACGATGTTACCGATGAAATGGAACTTGCAAAGATTTTTAATCAGCGACGCAATGCCGATGTTCGGAAGGCGCCGTCAAAACTTAGAGTGAGCAAAACTTGAGAAAACATTAAAACTCGGACGCAGTACCTTGAAGGACCGCGAGAGAGAATGAACTTGAGACTACCGTCACATCGCTTCGTGAATTTTAACCAAGGCTGGATGAACGACAACCGCAATGTGGAGAAAACCTGGCAGAGTGAACTTGGAGAGTTTCCCTTCGTTAACTTAAACGGCGACACTAAGGTAACTCGATCAAGCACAAAACCTTTGATGAGAACAGAAAGGTTTCAGGCGATGGCGGATGAGATGGAATCTTTTCTACGACGACAGTCCGAATCGATTCTGGCTCATCACTTTTCTCCTATGCATAAGCATTTCAGACCCTACGAAAATCCATTTTTCCACAGATTCTCTCTTTTCAAAGTGAAATAGCCAATGAATCTTATAATTTATAAACCTGAAATAAAACTCAAACAATCACAGAATGGCACACGAGTCTGCATAAGAAAAAGGTTTTGGAGGCGTAAAATAAAGTTTTCTGGCAATCACTTGCCCGTGAAGTAGTTGGTCTTGACAAAAGGCATCTTGGTGACAGTCACCTTGGTCTGTTTACTTCCGAAGTCGACGAGAAACTTGGTTCCCTCCTTTGAGTGAGATCTGTCGACGTAGGCTATCGCAATGTTCTTTTCTGAACTCGCTTGGTAGGAGGCCTCCTAGAGTTACAAAAGTACCTAGATTAGGAGAAGGACATCCGGAAGTGACGAAGCCGATGGCGGCTTTGTCCAGTGGGTCTACAAGTGGCAAGTGCCCTGAAATCCTCCTATACTTGAAGTTTTAAAGAAGTGAAACCTCGAGGAGATCGCCCTGGCTCGGCAATGAGTCCGACGCGGCGCTTGGGCCAATTCTTCTCCTTCAACTGCCCAACGATTTTCTCTGCGCCAGGGAAGTCGAGAGTTTCACGTCGTCTCTTGGCTTGAAGTCGAAGAAGTCAATCAGCGCTACCACGCTACCAACCTACGACGAAAGCGAGTCCAGCCTCGATGGGCGTCGTGTTCTCGTCAATGTCGCTGCCGTAGAGACAGAGACCTGCCTCCAGTCGTAGAACATCTCTTGCTCCCAGGCCCGCCAACTTCACGTCGCCTTTCTGATAAGTTTTTGAGTTTTTTGAGCCATACCTGATGACTCACAAAAATAATGTAGAAAATTTCATAATGAATGAATTTTATAAAAAAGATGCAAATGCAATGAAATATTTCATTTTCACTTATTTTTGCCGCGTTGATGAAAATTTCAAATCGATATCGATTTATTCATGTAACTAAAATCTATTTCGATGAAACTCTTTTTGAAGAAAATAATAGTTGTGCGAAATTTTTCTAGAATGTTTCATATTCATCATTATCAATAGAAGTAAGCAGCATAGGTAAAACTGGAAAGTTCCTTTGAGGATCCTTAAAGAATCCTGAGAGGGAGATAAAAAGCTTCCTCTAAAAGCTCCTAAAATGATGTAAAAAAGCTTTTGAGCACCTTTTTCATAGCCTCAGAGGATCCTTTTTAAATCCGCTCGAATCTTTTTAGTTGCTTTCCAGCATCCTTTTTGTCAGAGGATATGAAAAAAATGCAAAAAAGAATTGAAATGATGTAAAAAAGATCTGCTGGGGACCCTTTCAAGGTCTTTTTTTGAGAAAAGCTTTTGGGGAGCTTTTCAGTTTTGCCCGAGCACGAGCTCAGCTTCTGCGGATTCTGTAAATCAATCTAAAGCTGAACTAAAATTTCTTCTAAACTCTAAAGAATGCCCGGATCATCTTATACTTACGTTTGATGCGAGCAATCTTTCGACAAGTTTCGCCGCTTCTTTTGGGTCAACAGAAACCTGCGAAAAATGAGAATAACTAGCAAATTGAGACTTTCAGCTAACTTCAACGCCGTCTTCCCCGGTATATCCGCAGCGAGTCACTCTGCAGTTCTCGATTCCGCAAACCTGAAATAATTTTCGCACAATGAAAGATAGCCAGGTACCTTTCCAACAGCGGTCGTCATGAAAGTCAATTTTGAAAGATCTATATCGGTCTCGTTTTGAAGGACTTTGCTCATGGCGGGTCCTCAAAGAGCTAGGCGATAAACAGACTCGAAATATAAACATTCAAGATCTCTCTACGAAACTCTCAAAACAATTCATCAAAATACCTTGCACTGCCACCAATCCACGTCCATCCAAAGTTTTGATTTCCACATCTTTTCCGTCTGATCGCCATTTGGCAGCATTTTCCTGAAGACTCCAGAATTATAAGTACTGGTGTCTTGAAAATACCTGAAGGTAAGGCAGATCCTTGTCGATGCATCCAGCGTTAGTAACCATGTAAATAAAGTCCTGATCAGTTTTTGTCACGATCAAGTCGTCCTTGATGCCGCCTTTCTCGTTTGTGAATACTGAACAAAACGTTTTTCTCTTCAGAACCAAAAATTCAAACCTGAAAGAGTTCCACTGTTCGGCTTGAGACCCTGAACGTCCGCCGTTGTCAAGCTTTCGATGAAAGCCACCCTGAAGAGTTTCCTGTATTACTAGGAAGGTTCTTCTACGAGCCTGTCTTTGCCGACGATGTGAGTCTGAAGCATGTGCGAAACATCGAACAAGCTCACATGCTTCCGCGTGTGAAGGGAAGAGTCCTAAAAATGTGCATATTAGAAACTGATTTCAAGTCCTCCTAGGCACCTTGATGGACAAATCTGAGTATTGAACTGGCATATCATAACCAGCAAACTCAACCATTTTCCCTCCATTTTTTTTGTGTAGATCGTGGAGACATGTCCGTTTACTGAAAATATTTTTTTAGCTCGACGTACGCGAAAGGCAAAAGCAGGAAAGCTTTTAATTCTTGGTTATAACATAAATATTGAGATTTACGCACGAGTTTGCAACTGCTGCGCTGATGCTGAAGTGGCGAGAGGCCAGAACAAATGGAGAAGGCAGCAACTTGTTCATATTGGCCCTGAAATGAGAGGGTCTATAAAATCGATTCTACTGATAACGCAGAAGACTCTCGGAACCCATAAACATCGCGAAAAAGTCTACGGGTTTATAATACTTTCCTACTCGTGGAAAGACCATAGATGATGTTCAATACTAAATTTGGAAGCCATTGAACGTAAAACTGTGACCAGTTCAAATAACTAAAGTGAACTTACAATGCGTCGAAATAAATTATTCAAAAGAAGGGTACAACAGACAATCAAAGATCGCAAGCAGCTATAATATTCTCATTCTCAACAAAGTTATTTAAAACTTGGTAACCAAAGAGATTTTCATCAGAAAAAAAACGAGCTGTCGTCTCTTGCAATAAAAGTCTTTCCAACAGAAGCTATATATTAACTTCAATGATTTAAAAACGCTGTCTGAACTTCCTAGCTTTCTTATGATTTTTTGCGTAACATCAAAAACTCCATCCAAATAAGGTCACGGCATAATTTGGCTCCTCCCGCTTCCTCAGACATTGGTGGTACTTGCGCGGAACTTCAAGCGGGGACGCGGCGGGTGTCTCTTCTCCTTTTTTGATCATATAAAATAATAAATGTCTCTTTTTCCTCTTTCATGCTTTGGTTTGAAAAAAATTTTCCGCATAAAACTCAACCGTACCCATTTTTCATTTAAAAATCTTTTACGCAGAAGGTGTCTCTTCAGGAACTCGCACATAAGTGCTTGAAACAGGTTTTAAAGGTGAGCAAGGATACTAATAAGTTTTATGAAAATGAAAAAAACGCATTCGAAAGAGATTTTTACAATCAATAGGCAAAAATAAGAGCCAGAATCCCTGCGCGTCCCCCGCTAGAGCCTGAGTCAGTCGCGAGTTACCGCGGCATTTGCGCATTTTCTGTCATGTAATTTCAAGCTGACGTGCACACACCATTCGCACACAATATCACGATAGTACTTTTTTTGCTTTATTTTGGTTTGCTTTTTTATTTAAATTTAAAGGTTTGTTAGCGATTTTCATACTTATTTTCTTTCTATGGCAATTATTTGTATACAGCAAATTGAATATCGAAAATTGGCAAGTAGAAAGGTCTTAAAGTAAAAAAAACTTTCAGTGTTTTCTACATTTAAATGAAATACTTCTCAATTTTTTTTTCGAAGAGTCCTGTTTCAAAAAATCAAAAGACAATAAACCTTCTTTATTTCCTTGAAATTATGTACATACGTGATTATTTAATTGTGCGGGTTTATATCATTACTTCCTTCATTTTTCAGTCGGCAATGGTTGTATTGCACGATACAGAACCAAAATCAACCACTGTGGAGAAAGTTGTTGAACCAATAATAGATGTTGGAAATCTACTAATCGTCGATCGAGATTCTATCGAAGGGGATGTAACGTAAATATCATGTTTTAGATACGTGCCTAACTTTTTATATAATTTTTAGAGAAAATTTGCTTTCTCGTGCTAGAAATAACACACAGCTGTTGTTTAATTCTATTTGGCAACTCGAACAAAAAAGGGTAGAAGATGCCATTTTGGTCGACCTTCCTGCTCCCACATATCGTCTTCCGAGAGAGAAAAAGGTTTTTTTTAGTACTTGATTGATCTTTACGACGGAAAGTCATGCAACTATCTTTTGATGATTTCAAGATACCGGAGAAAAAGGAGCCAACCAAGTGGGAAAAATATGCAGCTGAGAAGGGAATCAAGAAAAGGACTAAGGCGAAGAAGGTTTTTGCTGGTAGTTAAAGTTAGCTCTTCTTTTTTTTTGAAGGTGTTCGATGAGCAATCAAAAGAGTGGAAACCAACATATGGCTACAGACGCGGAAATGACGATACAAAGGATTGGGTCATCGAAATTCCTGACAACGCAGGTAATTTTTGAGTTAATGGTTAACATTTTGGCATTCTTCAGATCCAAACAAAGATTACTTCGAGGAGCGTGTCGAAAAAAAGAAAGAACGGGTAGCTAAAAACGAAACGGCACGGCTTAAAAATCTTGCACGGCAACTCAAAACCACGATCAAAAAAGGCCCTTCCACGGATGCCTCCATTGGAGTCGGAGTCAATCCTCGTGAGAAAACCAAGCAACAGGTTCTATGAATCAGAATTTATGCATGTGATTCAGAAATGTTATTTTTCGTTGAATTTGTATCTATGAACGCAAATTTTTCGGTTTTTTTTTTTCAAAATGTATATTCAGGTCCGCTTTGCCGTCGACCGTGCGAAAGTATCGACGGCATCTGTAGGAAAGTTCCAAGAAGGTCTCAAAGGAGAGAAAGTGAACGTCAAGTCTGGGAAAAAGAGAAAGGTCTTCCTCTTGCAATGTTATCTGAGAGGATTTATTAATTTTCAGTTCGAATCGAATGAAGGCCCCGCATCAAACGAAAAGCAGAGAAGTTTGGAAGTTTTGCAAAAACTGAAGAACAAAAAGGTTCTTTCTTTGTTGTATAAAAATCTAACTGGGCCTTTTTCAGGCCAAGATTGTCGAAGAGAAAGCCTCGATAGCAGCTGGTGGAGATGATGGGTATCTTCTGTCTTTTTTCTTGGTTTTGTATGAGACTTTCAGTGAGAAACGCGAGAAGAAGAAGAGCGGAAAGCCGGCGCGACAAAAAAGCGAAGTACATCGTCAGAAATGGTTCAAGAACAAAGTGGCCGACAAGAAAAAGAGAAACCACGGAACCGTCAAAAAAGGCGGAAAGGCCAAACGATAATCTTCAGTTTTACTCGGTCTCAATTTTTTTTATTTTGTTTTTTTCGACTCCATTTCCCTGTCCTCCTCAATTTGTTATTGTTGTTGTTGTTATTGCTCTATACGAAATAAAGTTTCATCAATTTTATCTTTTCGAAACATTGAAATGTAAAAAAAAAGCTGTCAATGTATTTTTTTCGGATGAAGTTCACGTTCGTCTTCGACAAGAGCTTATCGTTATTTATGACTGAAAAAAAAACAAGTGATTTTTTAAGTCTCAGTTATCTCAAACAACACTAGGTTAGCTTCAAATCTCAATCTTTGTGATGTGGGAAGATTTGCAAGCCCTCTTAAGATTATGAACCTTTCTGAATTTAAAAATTCTGGTATCGCAACCTTTAAAACCCTTCTATAGCTTCCAAAAGTTCCTCGAAAACTCGGACCTTGGTAACACGAATCGGACGTGTCTGGGCATTTCTAGTGACCACTTTAGTAGCCTCAGCACTCTAAGTGATCCCTAGATTCGCCCAGAAACATCCGGAGTACGTCCGTTTCGCGTTACCACTGTCCGAGAACGCATTGGGGCCCTCAAAACCAATTTTGACAGCTGTGATGAAAGTTCGCTCCATTGCATCTTTTTTTGTCATCTTTTTAAAAAAATGAAAAAATTTTTTAAAAATCTTTTTTTTTCATCTTTTTAACCTTTTTTTATTTTATTTTTTTGAAAAAAAGAAAGTTTTTCAGAGCGATGACAATCAATTTCGTTTCTATAGATAGCGACTTCTGCGGCCTGTGTGGGACGATTCTCGCTCTCCCACCAAATGCCCCGGCTGATGTCTCATGTAAAGTTTGTAATACTAGGTGGCACGTGAAGGGTCAGTTTTCAAAACTGTTGACCAAATATAAACGAAAATAAAATTTTTGAGAGAAGAAAGACCATCTAGTTTGTCGAGTAGAAAAAATTTACGAGAGAACAGTGGCAGACACTGACGGAATTGAACAAGAAGAAAGCGTCGATTCAGTAGTTGAACACGTCTGTACAAAGTGAGTTCATTAATTATCATCATAGAATTTTCTGATTCAGGATTATATGTGTTAACAACTCAGTAAAAAAATTGCTCAACTTAAATTTCCCGCTTTTTAGTTTTTTTTTCTTATTGAAAAGGTTTTCGGTCAGTTAAATGGCTTCTAGAAATTTGAAAGTTTTTTTGTACAATATTCAAAAATTAAATTAAGATGTGGACACAACAAAGCAACCTACTCCACAATGCAGACAAGGTCCGCAGACGAAGGTCAAACCGTTTTTTACACATGCTTGAAGTGTAAAAGAAAAGATATTGAATATTCCTGATTCCCTCATATTCTCGTTGTTGTTATTTCTGCTGTTGTTATGTATAAAATTTTTGATCGTTACTTTGTTTTTTTTTATCACTGTACTGTATTGACGGTGCTTTTTATTTCACTTCCAAACGTTTTCTGATCAATAAGTTTATTTGTTTTAAAAACGCTCTTGATAATTAAGATGTCTCGTGGAAGTAGCGCTGGTTTCGACAGACACATTACGATCTTCTCTCCTGAAGGTCGCGTTTACCAGGTTCATTTTCAAATGTTTTCCCTCAAGTTCATGTTTACTGCAGGTCGAGTACGCATTCAAGGCGATCAATTCTACTAATCTCACCGCAGTCGCTGTCAAGGTTAATCGATTTTCCAAAAAATAATCAAAAGTGGTAGATCAGGAAAAATTTCAATTGGACCCTGAAAGTCAAATGCAAAAGAGTGGTGAAAGAGTCTTACAAATTTACCTTGAAATGATAAATGGCTCAAATATGCTTTTTAGAAGTAAAAGTTAGTTTTAGCTCATACAGAAACTTATATTATAATCTCACACATAGGGTTATGAAAGTTTTCCAGATTAGTTTCAGATATATACAATTTATTGGAGAACCGCTCACCACTTTACTGCGTACTGTCTCTTTGCGCTCTAATGTCAGCTGTAGTATTTCCAATATTGGCGAATGTCATATCATCTACCGTGTTTGATCTTGAACAGTTCTATTGCGCGAAAAGAGGCGTGCTTTCGCTACGCTTCAAATTAAAAATTCTCCATTGAGTCTCTGCGAAACATTTTCAACGCAAAAGTACAGATAATACCGTAGTCTACAATGTTTTTCCGGGCGTTTAGGGAAAGGACACCTCCGTGATTGCTGTGCAGAAACGCGTTCCTGACGGTCTGATAGTCGCCGACACGGTCACTTCTGTCTATCAACTGACCCCGACCATCGGCTGCGTCGCCATCGGACTCATTCCTGACGCAAAGTTCCAGGTTATCTTTTTTTTTTTGAGTTTTCAGATTTTCTCAATAATTACTTCTTATTTTGTGAATTTGATAATCTTCGAAATAACGTTTTTAATGTTTTTAATTTGCGATGAATTTACTCAATCTGCGAACTATTGAAAAAGGTGCCCCGTCCCGTCTGCGTACCTTTTTTCTAGTTGGTATATAGAAATAAGAAAAACGTTTACATGGAACAAGCTTAGTGTGCAGAAAAATCAGACAGTTCCAAATAAGATCAAGAAGAAAAAACTTGTTAGGTTTTCCTGAGCTTACTTTTTTGAAGTGTGTTTATATTTTTGAATTTTAAGTTCATTTAGGTTTTCTTGTTTTCATTAAAAGTTACCTTTGGTTTTTTTTTTTTTGAAAATCAAAACTTTTCCATTCTCACTCGTAAGAACTGTATGGAACTGAATATAACTGAATAATTTTAACATGTACATTATTATACAGGTCCGCCGAGCTCAGTCAGAAGCGGCCAGTTGGAAGTACAAGAACGGCTATGACATGCCTTGCGAACTTTTGGCCAAGAAGATGGCAGATCTCAACCAATACTACACGCAAAACGCCGAAATGCGCAGTCTCGGATGCGGTTTTTCTTCTGAATCTTGATTAAACCCTTCAAAAATTCATTTCAGCCCTTATCATGATCGCGTACGACGATGAGGACGGTCCAGTCGTTTTCCGGGTCGATCCAGCTGGTTATTACCGCGGCATGAAGGGTGTTTCTGTCGGCGTTAAGCAGGTCAGTACAAACATTTTCGCGATCTTAAATTTTCAAATGTTTTCCGCTAAAAGCTGACAAGGCTAAATGTGCTAACTTTCCATGGAAATTAATTCTCACGCTGAGCTGCTTATTCCATGTTCCGCAATAATGAGCTCTTCTGTAGACATATTTTACCGTTTCACCATTTCTCAAAAATATGCTCTGCAAGTTTTTTTTTCAATCTGCTTTCTTCAGGTGGCTGCGACATCATTTCTTGAGAAAAAAATCAAGAAGAAGGCAGATTTATCAGGCGCAGAAGCCATCGAATTGGCGCTTGAGGCCCTTCAGACAAGCTTGGGAATTGACGTCCGTGCCAAGGACCTTGAAGTCGCTGTCATCACAAAGGAAAACAAAAAGTTCTCGTAAGTTGCCTGTTTAAATATAAAATGAAATTTTGCTATTTTACATTCTAGAAGAATTGTCGATAGTTTTCAAGTTTCAACGGTCAATAATTTTTTCAGGAAGTTGACAGGCGAACAAGTCGAGCACCATCTTAATCAAATCGCCAACCGGGATTAATTTAATACATTTTAATGTTTATTATGCGTGTTTTAAGTCCTCGAGTGATATTTCACCTGTTTTAATTCTTTAATTTATAAATGGTTCCGTCATTTCTGAGTGCCTTTTTCATATGATGAGTTTTGTCGTTGTACAATAAGAAATACTTGTTTCAATAAGACATATGTTGAAATCAGAAAAAACCTGAAAAGCGTTTTAGAAGCCATAACTTTTTTAACCTGTACCGCAGAGATATACAGTTCATGAAAAGTTCCGAATTCAGTTTCATCTCGTAAAGACTTTTTTCTCTATTTTGTTGGGAAATATTTGAGGCGACAGTGTAAACCTCAAAGTTTTGTTGCAGCGATAAGATTATAGCGTGGACTTTGTTTTTCGTTCTGTTTTCTCATTTCAGCGCGATAGCTGAACTTTCAAGCGGCACTTGCAGAGTGTAATGAGACGTCTCTCAGTCTTTCTTTTATTTTTCGAGTTGTGAATATGAAAATTAGTTTGGCTCCGAATATTTTTTTAAACTAAGAGCTTCTAATCGATGCCTGAAACTCGAAAACCCTCATGCGGCTGCAAAAATAAAATAAAACTTTATTAGTTATCTCACTACTAAGAAGATTTTTTTTAGATGGATGTTGATCTTTCAACCGGAAGTGCTTCTGGATCATTTCTTAACTGTGTTTTTTGGTCCGCAGCTATTTTTGGACTCCTCTACTTTGTCAGGTTATTGAGACACGCGAAGACTTATGCTAACCTAGAGGATTTTAAGGCGTTTCATCAAGGGAGCCCAGTTCTCGGAGAGAATTTCGGCGGAGGTTTTATGAGTGAGATTTTCTGATTCCCAACATCTTGGGTTCAGGGAAAAGTTGCCGTTGTGACTGGCGGCAACTCAGGAATAGGCTTCGAGACTGTTCGCGAACTGAACATCCGCAAGGCGAAGGTTTTTTCGGAAGAAAGTTGGATTCAAGTTCATTTTTGCAATTACAGGTCTACATGTTGTGCCGGAGCGAAGAGCGGGCCGATGAAGCCAAGAGGAATCTCGTTCGGGTGGATAACTTTCACTTCCTGTTATTACTCATTTTTTCCTATGACCCTAGTTTCATTCGGTCCATTTGAGATTTAATAGAACAGCCATTCATCCTTTTAAAATTCTCAAAAAAGTACAACAAGCCTAGAAAAAAACAAAAAAAAATTGTTTCCAGCTCGGGTGCAATCCAACGCGGCTGATTTTCATTCAATGCGATTTGGCCAACTTTTCCAGTGTTCGAAGCGCCGCCGAGAAGCTTTTGAAATGTTGAAGATAGCCTATTTTCGTGTGTTATGCCAGTGTGTTTTCAGCGGAACCTAAGATCGACATATTAATCAACAACGCTGGTATTATGTTCCAGAGCAAATACGAGAAAACGGTTGACGGACACGAAATGACGTGGCAAAGCAATCACTTAGGTTCGCATTGTTATCAGTTTTGCGAACGCGATTATTCATTCTATGAGAAGAGGATGAAGGAAATCGAGGATACTGTAACTGAATTTGAGGCATTGATAAGTGAAATTCGGAGTTATTTTGCTGATGTTTGCAAATAATAACGTCCTTGAGTTTATTCTCCTAAGAATATAAACGTCTTATTTTTCATATTCTTATTCTTTTCTTGCAAAAGGGAGGAAAAATAATCACCAAACTGAATCTTCTGTGAGAAATTTCTTCAAGGAATCAAACTTGCTTGTTGGTTTTTTTTTGTTTTCCTTTTGATAAGTTCTATAACAATAGAAATGAAATTCAGGACTAAGCTGCTTTTGTTTTTTTCCAATGCAGGTGTTTTTGCAGGACCTTTTCTTCTGACGAATCTTCTGCTTCCGGCGCTGAAAAACGCAGATCGCGCAAGAATTGTCAATGTTTCTTCTATGCTGCACAAGAACTCGAAACGCCTTGACTTTGCTACGATCGATGACAAAAAGTCTTACGGCCTGTTTGGCCCCTACAATCGCAGCAAGCTCGCAAACGTTGGTTTTGAAACATTTTCTGCAAAGGAAAAGTCGACTTTGATAAAGATCAATTACATCATTTCCATTTTCTCGCCTAACTTTTTTTTTATTCAATAGGTCATACCTTACTACTTGGCTCAAAAAAGTTTTTTTATTCGTAAAGATATGACCGCAAATAAATAAATTCAATGAGTTTGAATTTTTTTTATATGTGAGCAAATAGTTTACCAGATCTCTAAAATCTGCATGCTTACATGCGTAAATCAATTTCAAAATCCATCAACATCTCCTCTTGAGTTTTCTTAAATGTCAGAACTGCCTTGTGAGGTTTGAACTTTATTTTATTTCTTTTTTTTACTCTCCTTCTGGTGCATACATAAGTAGACCATTCTCAAAGACCACCTTCACTTCCAAGAATTCTTGAATCAAAGTCATCACTACCTCCCTGACGAGGGAATTGTGTGAGGTAAACATCGTAGATATATTTCAAACTTCTGTGGTAGATAGTACAAGTTATGAAGAGTATTCAAAAACCAAAAGAATGATCTGCTAAGCGTCATAGGGTGCTGAGAAATAGCCTGTCAAAAAAGTACAGGAAAAACTCAAAAACTCTACGGGTTTTTTTTGTGAAAAAGTTTCTTTTTCGTAGTGAATACCAGTAGACGTTTTGAAAATCGAAAAACCGAAGAAAATCAGTCTTTGAGCATTCATCCGTACATTTTCGACACCCTATTTCTCATAACCCTATGGCGCTTAGTAGATGTTTCTTTGTATTCTCGAGTGTTCATACCTAGGACTACTTACCACAGACGTTTGGACCAGATCTGCGGTGTTCATCTCACACGTTTTCCTTGTGAGGCCAACGCTCATTTTAATTTTTCGGAAGAATACCTTCTTGGATATGAAAATAATTTAACTCGCTATTGTGGTAGATTTACGTAAATCGACTCCTCTTCATGGACTAATTGAGTTCGGTACTTGCCCAAGTATGCCCTGGTATTCAAAAGTTTATATACCTTATTTTCGAAGATTTTTGTAAGTCAATCACTTCCTCATGATTTTTTGAGTTCTTTACTTGCCTATTTATGCTTCAGGTACTTGATTTGAAATCACATAATGATCTCAATTTCATTCAAAAACCTTCGTTGGATTTTCTGCTACGGTATCACGCTTATTTTTATTCTTAATAAGTGTGGGTAGAATATTTCATAAGAGAGATAGGAACAGTCGGTGCGCAAAAACCACTACTTGCAGTATATAACTGTGAAATTGTTTTTAAACTGGACTGTTTGAAGGTGATGCACGCGAGAGCTCTGACGAACGTGCTGCGGAAGGAGGGAACTCACAACGTTTCGGCCAATTCTGTGCATCCAGGAGTCGTCGACACGGGCCTTGCTCGGAAGACTTGGCTCCTGGCGACGCCCCTCCGCGAGATCTTCTGGCCTTTCAGGTGCCTTTTCCGGAATCTTTTGATTACAATGTTTGAAATCGTTGCGAAAAGTCCAAAAATGTGTCGCGACCTTCAGTAGTAATTCTCTTCACAGCTCTTAATGTTTCTCGACCGTTACTGAAAGCAGATGCTTCCGAAGGAAATTGTTGAAATAGAAACCTGCGCAACATTTTAACTTTCGAGAAAGTTCTTTCTGGTATTATAAAATATCCGCAATATACATTCAATCATGATGATTTTCTTTTACTTTAAGCGTCGGTTCGTCGAAAAGTACAACGTTTTGAAGTTCAAAAATTCTGCGATTCCTATCTAAAAGTGGCTGTGTCAACATTAAAATAGTTCCAAAAAGTGATACGAGCTTTTTAATAAAAAAATTTTTTTAAGAAATCAAAAAGAGCAAGAAGCGGAAACGTTTTTCCTAAACAACCAAAAAAAGAAAAATTAAATTTTTTTAAAAGTTTCTTTTTTTCCCTTTATGTGTACTATGTATATCAGGGTTGCACGGAAATCCGTTATCCGTCTTCCGCATAAATTTCTCTTCCTTAACCCGTGTTCCGTCTTCCTTGAATCATAGTTTTGTTCCGTAACCCGTGTTCCGTCTTCCTTGAAAAATTTTTGTTTTTTTAGCTCCTAATTTTTAAATTTAAAAACAATTTTTTATACAAAAATGCACGTTTTCGGTTTTGTGAGGGACATGGTAATGAAGATAATTTCGTCAAAATATCAACTGTAGAAGGGCCAACTATTCTCTCAACTCCACTATCAAAGTATCTCTGCTTCAATCGAAATTCAACAAGTTAGAGAGACTCTTCTCTGTCTCAGGGCTGATAGCCTAGCCCTTGCGAAAGAGGCTTGAAGCTCCTCGATACTTTGAATTACACCAAAGTTAAGTCAAAGCTTACGAAAGTTCATTGTGATTTCAATTGGCTACGAAATTCAAATTTCACTGGTTGTTTTTTGTTTGAAAATTTTCCCGTTACTCTTTAAAAAACTTTCTTTAGTGAGTTGGTTTGGATAGTTTTGGTTTAATTCTCCAGGTTATTTCGCTTATTCATACATTTAAAAAAAAATCTTTCGTGCAAATCTCTTTCCTTTTCTCTAAAATTCTTCTGTTCCGTAACCCGTGTTCCGTCTTCCTTAAAAAAATTTTATTCCTTAACCCGTCTTCCTTCTTCCTTTTTCAAAATTTTCACTTCCGCGCAACCCTGATGTATATACTATGGTCATGAAAGGACTGATAAGATTGCTTTTTCAGATTCTGTTAGTTTACGGTTCTCTTAGTTAGTCTCACAAGTTATTTTACGGTTCTCTTGCTTGGAATATTTCGTTCAACTTATAGAAAAAGGTTTCATCTCTTCTATCAAGAATTTTTTTCAAATTTTCAAACCACATTTTTTTAGCGACAGCTTGAAAGCACTAAAAATGAAAATAACTATGCATAATTTCTCAGAAATTATAATGAATGAAATTTATTTCTTCAGATGGTTCTTCTTGAAAACGAACAAGGACGGCGCTCAGACGTCTCTTTACGTCGCCCTGAGCAAGAAGTTGGAAGGTGTCAGCGGCAAATATTTCTCGTTCGTTTTCTGAATCTCAAAAAAAAAACCTCTCGTTCTTAAAAAAAGTAAAAAACAAATTTGAGAGAAAAATTTCTGCAATTAATTTTTTTCCCAATTTTTTTAATTTTTTTCAAATCCACATTCAAAAAAATTTATTTATTGCAGAAATTTTTTTTCTCCCAAATTTTTTTCCTTTTTTTGCTCGGTTTTGGATCTTTGTTCAGTGAGCCACTGGAAGATTGAAAATAAGAAAAGTTAGCATAGAAAAATCGCAGTATAGCCAACTCTCGGCTGGCTTGAGCCATCGGAAAAATGTTCCTGATACGGTAAAAGAAAAAAAAAATGGTCTGGTTAGAGGAGAGTGCAGACAGCGCCCCTCCTAGCTTCTAGCCGGGAATTGGCTATAGATATAATCTATTTTGCCGCTGATGGAGAGCTGGTTTGCAGCGACTGCCAACTGAGAGAAGAAAGCGAATTGGCGCGCGACGACCAGGCTTGTGAAGACCTCTACAACTACAGTCTCGAACAAACTCGTTGAAAAACTAAATAAAACCTGTCCACAAATTCTTTATTTACTTGCCTTCTCTTGCTTCCCAACGCTTAAATCTTGCTTAACCATAGATCACGTTGTCATTTCTTGTAGAACTTTCTGTCGAAGATTGAATCTGACCCAATTTAACTTGTGAAGAGTACTTGTAAGTTACGCGATGTTGCATCGTGTTCAATAATATTCAGAGCTATTTCGAAATCGTTCTCTATTCTCTATCCACTGGAAAAATTTCTGCACCTGCTAGGTAACACTGCTCCAACGCCAATGCTGTGGAAAAAACGCACCCCGGCTTTCGAAAAAACATGTGACCATGCGTGTGCAATCGAAGTTCTTAGCTCTCATTTTGTTCTTCATAGTTCTAAAACAGAATAAAGATTTTTCGGCATTTTTTTAAACTTACTTCTCCAATGTTTTTAGTGTCCTTACGCACTGCAATATATTTAATATTTCTCTTTCCGGTTTTTTTTTGCTCAGTTCACTTGCTTCAATATTTTCAACACGGGACTAAAGGCCTGATTTTAGTTCTTGGTATTAAAAAATTTGAATATTTACAGAAATTCTCTTTTTGCTGTCAAGCTAAAAATAAATCTGAGAAACAAGATCAAGAAGGTTTTTATTTATTTCTTTATTCTTCATTTTTTTCGTTGTGCTCCTTCCGCCTTTTTACGTTCAAAGATCTTAATTCAGATCGGTCTTAAAATTTTTTCTTTTGGAGATGTACAGCCGTGGCAACTTTAACGCTCCGAGGCGGGGAGTCAAACAACTCGCGAAAGACAAATCGAAGACCTACACGCGGATCGATTCAGACATTGCCAGCAACTATTACAACGAGGACGACGAAGAGCCCACAGGTACCAATTTCATTATTTTTTCCGAATATCAGCACATTTTCTACTTATTTCCACAAAAAAAGGGAAAATTACGAAGATAGTTGCACTACCAGATTTCAAATGCGTATCGGGCAAAAAATCGGTTTTTTTTTGTTTTGAAACCGACCCTAAATTGTCAGATTCCCGGGTGTTATGACAAACTTACACAATTTGAGAAAAGATATGGTCGTAGATAGCTGTTTTTACGAAGAGTGTGTAGAGACATTGAAATATAAGAATCAAATTAGTTTATTTCAGAGAGGAATTTATTTTGAAAAAAAAATTATTGAGAGATCTTACCGGCTGTCTGAGGTTGAAGGGGTTTTTCTATAAAAGAGGTAGGGTAGAATACTTGTTTGAAAAATTCTTTTATAGTGAATTGATTAAGTGGGTCAGATTAAGAAGATAATCGGACGTTGCTATAAATAAAAACTTTCTTAGTAAAAAGGAGCGTAAGGGACTCTCCGTTATTTTATGGAAACATGCAAACGATCTGATTCCAAAATCCTACGAGAGAAACATTTCGGAGACCAAAGGGCGATACGGAATTTTCTTTGTTATTTCGTTTGATATTCACCTCCTTAGGAATGAAACAAGTACGCTCTTTCTAGAGGAAGGAGATTCTTTATTTTCCTTGGGTTTACTCAAAATTTTCTCACCTCTCCTTCAATCTCGCTTGAATCAGCCATACATTTAGAAAGGCATGTTGCAGGACGAGTCTTGCCGCAGCAAAACCGCTACTTGAGCACCCAGCGACGCAATTTCAATGCTCCGGCCAACCGATCGCCGCCCGCTTTCGTCGACAAAAAAGCGGAAATGGTGTTTAAAATCAAGGTGACTTTTTTTCTTATTTTTCATACTTTTATCTGGGTTTTTTTTTTCAGGTCCCCTTTGGCGACATCAAGTACACTACCAAGTGGATCATCAAGCAGTTGAACCAAAAAATCGACAACATCAAGATTTATCTCCCCACAGTTACTCCTCGCGGAGATCTTGAGTTTATTGTCAGGGTGGGTCTTATTTAAAAAAGTTATCGCAAAACTCTTTAGGAAATCTCTTTAGGAACAAAACAATTAATGAAGTTACAGAAGGCAGGAAAAAAGGGGAGGGAAGCATTATAACTCTTGACTGCCATTAAATGAATTTCCTTCAAAACGGCCACAGGAGAGTTCAGTTATGAAGTAATTTCAGGACGAAGACACTGCGGAGGCGATCAAAGCGGTGTCGCGTCGCATAATTCATCGCGAGACGGGAGATCGCATCGACTTCTTTCCTAGAAAAGTTCCGGCTCCTTGGCTTCGACTCAAGCCCGAAGAGCTCAAGACCATTCATGTTGGTTTTCTTTTATTCAACTGAACCACATTTTGAATGGCTGCAGGAGGTTATTGACAGTCGCTTCTCTGCTTCCAACCGCACGCTCAATCTGGAAAACTTCGGCGCCGATTCAGGTTATTTCTATTTTTTGCCAACTCACAAAAATATGTCTAGAATCTTCTAAAAGTTTGAAAAAGCTAGAAATATTTTTCATTCCACGAAAAAACGATTTTTTATTTTCTGAGATGATTTTTTTGTTTGCAGCATTCAAAGCCAAAGACATGGACATGGTTCTGACAAAAAACAACGTTATTCTGGCCGTCGTCGACAGAATCGACGAGAAATACGGCAACCTGGAAGTTCTCATTCTGAGCGTAAGATTTTATTATCCATCAGTTTTTCCAACCTTTCTTTTTACAGAAAAATCGCATCAGATATTTCGATTACCTCCAATCTTTGCCGTCAGTCGCCAAGTTCCTCAAATGCCTCGATTTGAGTCACAACATGGTGCGTGCTTTAGCTCAAATTTTTTTCTTCAACATTTTGATTTCAAATATGCTCTACTAAAGCATCCAGGGATATGGGGAATGTTGATTTAGTCATTAGATTCATGTTCAAAACGAGGAAGAATTTTTGGCTTTTGTCTCAACAGATATTTTCAGCTTTGACTTTCTTATCTCTTCCTCGGTCAAAAATAAACTTTTTGCAGATAACAGATTTTTCGGAGCTGGAGAAGCTTTCTGGACTGCCGCTCAACGCCCTGAATCTCGAAGGAAACCCGGGCTGTGAACTAATCTCCTCGCAGTCCTCCTACATCAGGTTCCCCACCAGCAGAGACGCCTTTTTCCCATACTTTTCTCTTCTTTTCTCTCACTTTTTCTCGGATTTAATTTTGGTTGGAGCGGTCGTCACGTGGAGATTCGCGACGGTCCTTTCCTCCACACGAACCGCTCATTTCTCACTTTAATTATTCAGCACTGTCCAAAAGAGCTTCCCGCGAGTTTCGTTTCTGGTTAGTTTTTTTTTCTATTTCTTTTGACTTCTGAGCACAGAAAATTTCTCTGAAAAGATGATAAATAGAACGAGAATCACATCATTATCACCTCTTGGAAGCGGTTGATAGGAACTTTTTCATTGCATTCCGAATTTTGTCTGTGTCAGCAAAAAAGCGATATACACAAAAAAATGTTTTGGATTTGATTTTTGCCCGGAAGCCTAAATCATTTTAATCATGTTCAAGAGGAAAATAATTGAAATTTGAGGATGGAGCTGAAATCCAGCCATTGGTTTCGGGCTTGGAAGAAGAACCAACCTTGAAAATGCCTTTCCGAGTAATTTCATCATTTTGTTTGAAACGGCTTGTTTGATCTGTTTAGGCTGGATTCTACGTGGACGACAACTTGCGAAGTCTTATTGAACTGTTCGTCATCAATTATTTCAATTTTTACGATGGCGAAAACGGCGCCGTCACGAGAAAGAATTTGGTGAACGCCTACGACGCAGACAACGTTCGTTCCATTATTCTCTCTCCGCAATTACCTTATTTTTATTTCTTAAGTTTTTTCTGTTCTTTCGATATAACACTTTATCACTTCTAATTCATGAGTTTCTTGTGACGAAATTCTTTTTGTCAGTGTGAGTTTGAGCATAGCTCAACTTCTGTTCCTTCAGAAATGTAATTTGAAAGAAAATTGAAAGAAAAATTTTCCTGTTGAAAAACTTTTTGCAGTCCACGTTCACTTTGTCGATTGCCAACCTGCGCGACATCGTCGGCGTCCGCTACCACGACGAGTAAAATTTCCCGCTTTTCACTCTTTCAACTGTTTTTTTTAGCGAGTGCTACTCTTCCTACCTCAGACTTTCGCACAATATTTTGCGGGAAGATAAATTTGCACGAAATCGGAGTCAACGCGTCATCAAAGGTAAATTGATTAAAATTTAGTTGCTGAGAAACTACTTTTTCAGTTTTGAAACTTGTTTTGATGTAGGTAGTGCTTCAAAGTCCTACTTTTCAAATATTTTTTTTTGCCCAAAGTTCACAAAAGGTGTATGGTTTTCGCGTACTGGTAATCTGTCAGTCGAATATTCAAAATTGTCTTCTGTTGTTTCTTTTTCTTAGCTTCTCTGGTCTTTTTTTTTGCGCATTGTCTTTCATTTTTTCAAATTTTTTTAGGATTCAGAATTATTAATTAGAGTGAGAATTTTCATCAAAATTAAAATCACTGGAAAATTTGAGGTGCCATGGAAATCGCGGTGGCTCTGTCAAAGTTGCCGATAACCAACCACTACAAGGAATCTTTTATTGTCGACTGCTTCCTTGTTACAGTGAGTTTCAACTTTTCGTAAATAATTTATTTTTTTAAACTCATAAACTGGAAATATATTTTCTCGCCAATGAAAAACTATGTTTTCAGAAGGATCTTCTGGGATTCACGGTTCATGGCCTTTTTGAAGACGGCACAAAAACTTCTACTGTGCCAAAGCTTCAAATGTTCACTAGAACTTTCATCGTCGCAGCTAGAGGACCGAAGTACGTGGGGAAAACGCACCTATTGGTGCCGCGACGCGCTGAGAGAAGGCGATAGGCGTGTGGCGCAGTGACAGAGTGCCAGAGTAACGCTGGCGAGGTGGGGGTTCGAGTCCGCGCCTACTCACGAAAACTTTGCAAATTGTCCACTTGATGTCAACCAATGTGCGTGAGCAGGCCGCTTTGATCGCCGAATGTCATAGTTACACTGATGGGTTAAATTTGCAATTTTGCCGTAATTTGTTATTTAGCAAAAACTCAATTTCTGTCCCTATTGCGAAATATGGTATATAAAAACGCTAACACACGTTTTTTTTGATAAACATTAATATTTTATGCCTGATTTTATTTTTTCGTTTTCAGTTCGGTTGCGGCTATTTCCGACAGTTTGTTCATCAGTGCAGCACTTCCTGAACGTATTGCACGATACAAAGCTCTTCTTGACAAGGTAAAAAAGCTAATTTTTCAAATTTATCTTTTTTCTCAGGGTACTTCCTCCGGTAGCGCCACAATGGCTGATAGTTTCAACAATCCTGCTGCGTTGTCCACAACGGATGTAAGTTTTATCTCACCTACCAAAAGTACTAGCCGTTGAAAAACTATTAGAGTTTTTGTTTTGAGGCTATCGACGGTCTGGTCCTGAACGAAGATCAACAGAAGAAAGAACAAATGATAGCAGCGCTATGTCAGTTCAGCGGGATGGTGGTCGCCTGGAGTTCCAAGTGCCTGGAGGACTCTAACTGGGACTTTGAGGCCGCACGCAAGATCTTTATAGAATACAAAGACCGCATCCCACGAGAAGCCTTCGTTGTAACTTAATATCCAATCTACTTTTCAACTCAATTTGTTATTATTATTCATGTTGTTAAAATATTTCTGTTTGATTTTACGGTTTCTTTTTTCTCTCTCTCTCTCTCTCTCTCTCTCTCTACCCTCTTTTCGACTACACACCTTGGCTATTTTTTCGATGTTCTTATTTCCATTTTTTGTTGTTTTTTTTGCCTTTTTTTTTACTTAATATGAATTTTTTTTTGTCAAACTCAACTTCCAGGGTTGTGTAATCTAGTTTAGGGTAATTAGAGGTTGGAAATGACGTGTGTTAACTTTTTCCCCATTTTCTCGCTCAAAACAATTCAAAAGGCACTCCCACACAAGGCGTTTTGCTTCCAAGCCTTATGAGAAAAGGACAAGTGGTCGGTCTGTCATTTTGTGTTTCAGCCTTGCGGTCGGCAGCCGCCGCCCTTGATCCGACTTCTCCTTTTTTGGAAGGCTTTTTGTTTTGTCAAAACTCTCCATAAGCTCAAAGATAACACAAGTCCTCTCCTTCCTGTTCACGTTCGAATCTGCTTCTAGAATACTCTGGAACGAGGGGTCCTCTCACACTCTCATCGACTTGCTTCCGAGTCTTTAATTTTTTCGACTTAGTTCATTTTTTCTTGACTTTTTAACATTCTTTTGATCGATATGTGTACATGTTGCCAGCAATTTATGTCCATTTATTCATCTCGTTTCGCGGCCCTTTCCAATATTCCAACGAATATATATTTACATAAAAATTCATGACGTTTTTTTCTGCAGTCATGTGACGCTATCAAGATCATCTTTGCAACATCCGACAAAGCTTTTTTGGCCGTGCGGCGGTCGGGAGCTGATGGCACGAGAAGAAGAACGAGACCGCCTGACAGCTGAATTAGACGCTACATAGTTGGCCTGAATGGACGCACCGGCCGTATATGAACGGATTTATGACGCTGTTTAACACTACCAACGACGTGAAAATATAGTTGGCGTCAAGGTTGGCCTTGTACGATTCGAAGTTGAGCACCATCCACCTGCAGAGATAGGATTAGAAAAAAACTTAGAACTATAATGTAAGATTATAATTCTTCATCCTGATTCAGAAGGCTTGAAAAGAACTACAGTTAAAATTATGAAGAATTATTGGAAAGATTGTTGAAGGCTCTCGCTGAGGAAGAGCGCCTTTTCACAAAGAGGCGAGTATTCAATAAAGATTTTTAAAAAGATCAGGGACCGTTTATTGTTTTTTTTTTTCTAGAAAATGGTAAAAAAACTTAATATTGCACAATTTCTTGAAAAATTTCTATGGCTTTGTATGAAAAGTGTTATAAAGGTTATCCACAGGTGAAATCTATTTTGATTTTTGAAGAGCTATTTCTAGCCTTCTCTGGTGAAGCACAGTGAACAAATCTTCCGTTTCGTGCATACGGCTTCTAACTTAACCCGTCTTTTTGCGGTAAAAGTTGGCTTTCACTATTCAACTTTTAAATGGAGACAAGTGGAACAGACCATGCGAGAAGATTGTAGGGGAGCCAGGTGACGACGTAGGTGAGAATAAGCATGAGAGTGATCCTGAGGCTGCGGACCTTGGCCCTGCGAAACTTGTCCTGACCTCGTATAGTCCGCGTCGTCAGTGTCACTGAAGCCAGAACTCGGAGGAGCAAAGAAACGATACGAACCGCAGCTTTCGAGCTCCTTCTTCGTCGATTTCCCGGCCTTGCCTCCAGAAGACTGCTTGCTCACTTCGGAGAGGTACATGGCCGAAGACGTGTCCGTGTCGGTGTTCAGCGTCTTGTAGATGTCCTGCAACTTTTTTTTTACAATTTTTTGTCAGCATTTTTCTATTTATTTTCAATTCTTGTATGTTTATGTTTATTATACCCCTGAAGTACTGTATTTCAAAATTTACCATCTTGTTCCGATCGAATTCATTAGGGCGAAACTTGCTGGTAACACAAAAAATTCTTTTTTCTGCAAGCTTTTTTATAAGCGACTTGAGAAGTCTTATTTCCTACTGTTGTTCTCCTGTTCGAGTCCTTATCAGCTTGAAAATCAATAGTTTCTCATGGAAAATTTATTCAACCTCTGAACGAATTCCTACCCTCCAAAGCATACACTTTGCTATCCTTCAACTTATGGACTTTAGAATTGTTTGCAGTACTTCAAACTAAAGTAGGCCTCCATGCGGCGTTAATCATGCATATGCCTTATGAGCCTGGCTCTTTCAGTGAAAGATCCCTCAATTTGCGGCAGATCTTCTCGGAACGTTTCCATTCCTTTTCTCGGAGAGAAGAGAGCGCATTCATCATCGGAATATTTAAGAGAAAATTGAGCCAACGGAAAAACTGCTAGTCTAGTGAGCTGAAGAGCGTAAAATTGAAAAAGACATAAATATGGAGATCAGAACTGTAATCGTTTTGGACACTCGCTAACTTCGAAACGATTCGACTATATTTTAAAAAATAAGGCCTCATTAAAGTCCAAACATGAAGTTAAGAATTATCTAGGCAATTTTTCTCGACTTCGAAGACGATATAGGCGAATTGGGAAAGAAGAAGTGTTGCGTGTGCGACACGGCTTCTTGGCGGGCAACTCTAGAAAAACGTGACTTTGCTCCTTAATTTTTTTTTTCGTTTTGATAGCTTTTTTTGATGAATTTTTTTCAGAGTTTTTGTGGTTTTGAAGTTTTAGTTGAATAAAAAAATAGTATAAAAAAATTGTTTTTTTCCTGACCAGTTAACTTTTTAAACCTTTTTTTAAAGATATAAAAAAATAGCATAGATATGGAAGAACCTTTTTTTTCGATTACTAATTCCGAGAGCCATCCGAAAAATCTCAGTTCCCCGCTGTTTTTTTTTTTTTTTGGATATTATCTGGCGACGTAGAAAAACCTATCTTGTATAACTCATTTGGGACGATTAGAAACACTGACTTGCGCTTTTCTCTCAACGTCGCAAAAAAAGCGTAAATATTATAACATTTTCAAGAATGGACAGATAAGGCATGATATTTAGTTATATGTTCCAGTTTTTCAAAGCAGAAAAAGTTTGTTTTATACATTTTATGAAATTGCAGCATTACCTTGAGAATGAGTACGTAGCAGACGACGAGAACAGAAAGCGGCACGTAGAAAAGAATGACGGTGTTCTCAATCGAGTAGAAGTTCATCCATAGCTTCTCAGACTCGCTGAGCTGCCCAGTCGTCCACAGCTTCTCCGTCCACAGTGTCACGCACTGCGTCACCTTCTGTGGCTCGGAAAACTCGACCTTCAACTTGCAATAGTTCGATCAGTTGTGCGATATTTTGCGGCACTTCTCTCCAGACGTAGAGCTGCGAAACGACGGAAAGCCCTGCGACGAGCCAGGCGACGAGAAGCATCCGCGGGACACGCGAATGTCCGACCGCCGCTACCCAAAGAGGGTACCGTAAGGCGTAGAGACGATAAAGAGCTATGCACACCATTATGTTCGAGCTGCAAGATTTCGACGTTTGTTTCGCAATATTTTTTGAACAAAGATGAAATGAAAACTACGCTTAAACGTCTAGATGATCAAAAAATTCATTCCCGTGTAAGTTTTCTTTAAATCGGTTATCATCTTAACAGAATAGAATCCGAACTGCCATTGAAAATAAATGAAATATCTAATTCCTAGGCTGATACCGATTCTTAAATTAAGAACTACTCCTGGAGTTAGGGGAAAAAAGTGGGGATCGTTCAGAAAAACGTAGTTTAGGTTTCTGGAAAAAGTTGACGGTTCAGTGAACAAATGGGAAAGATCTATGTATCTGTGATGCAAAAACATGCCTAGTCGATAAGATGAAGCTGTCTAAACTTCTAAAACAATAACTTTTTCAATAAACCTTGGCGAAAATTCAAAATCAATCAGAAGTTCAACTTTGAGCGTGCGGAGTTCAGAATGTGCCTTGTTTATCATCGACGCGAAATAATACTTAGAAAAGAGCTTCTGTCTCTCAGCGTCACATAGGACTCACAAACTTTATCAAAGAAATAAGTTATTCGGAAGGCGACAATATTGTTATTATTCCGTCTGAGTTTGCCCTCAGGGACTGGTAATGATCGACCTCCATCCCTTCTGTTTTGCATCGAAATTAAAGAAAAATGCAAAAAAAGATCTTTCGAAAGATTTAGCAAAAGTCAGACGTCATTTGGCTTCTTCCAGGCTACGTTTTTGAAACTATACTTTTAATATAATCCTGCATGAAAAACAAATGAGATAGGTATTTGAAAGCGACCAACCTTATGGCAAAGACAAAGCCATCGAGTAACCGCATGACTTTGCAGAAAATGGGACCGGCCTCCCACTGTAAAGTAACCAGCCAGCCAATCAACCCTGGGACATGAACTCCGAGCACCTAAGACTCATACGTTCATGAAGCTTTCAAAACAGACTCACCAAGATGTCAGAGATATTTAGATTGATGTGGAGGAGCAAAAGGAAGGACTTTGCATGTCTGTAACGACGGACCATGTAGACAAAGGTGGAGACGTTGACAGGAAGGCCGACTAAAACACAGAGCGAGTAGAGGACGATCTGGATGAAGTCGGAAGTCTCGTGCCGCAGCTGACCCCCGTCCACTGTCTCGCTTCCGTTCATTCTGCACTTTTGAAGTTTTTTTTTCAAGAAATTGCAAGTTGCGATGAAATGACGTCTCACATAAGTTATTTCAAAAAGGCCCAGGTTCGCATCACCTGCAGAGGTCAAATGACCGATCATTTGAAACAAAGATTCAGAGATAAGATACTTGTTAACAAATAAATAGAATCAACGAGCACGGGTAGATTTACAAAGCATCGTAAGTGAAAAACTCAAAAAAATAAATCTAAAAAAAGTTTTTTTAGCTCGGGATGATCGATTTATTTTATAAGTTTTTTTGAAAAACTCAAAAAAACCGGCACGAAAAAAAGCGATAATTTATGAAAAAAAGATTAGGAGGTAATAAAAGATGCATCTTTATTGTTACAGGTATTGTTTGACTGAAACTTGAAGAAAAAAATAAATCTCAAAAAAATAAAGGACACGAACAAAAGGTGGTACGGAAAAAAACCAGCGAAATTTTGAAAAACGACTTTTCCGATTTTTTTCGTATCGCTAGAAAAACTTTCCAACGGCCACCTTTCCAACGAATTTTTTTCCGACTTTTTTTCCTTGATGTTTTTCGGTTTATAAAACATATATTAACATTTTTTTTTCCTAATTCTTTGTTTTTTAATCATGAATAACTTGCCTAATTTATATAGAAAGATCTAAAACGAATAGTTCATCGAGAAAAAAGTCGGAAAAAATTCGTCGGAAAGGTGGCCGTCGGAAAGTTCTCTAGCGATATGAAAAAATCGGAAAAGTCGCCGTTTGAATTTTCGCTGGTCTTTTTTTCATACCACAGAACAAAAGTGTAACTTTGTACAATTTAAAAACCTTAAGAAATGTTGGCAATGAAAAAAAAAGTAATCAAAAATGACAGAGTTATACCAACTAAACAAATAATAAATTTTCCATAAGATGGACAAAAGAAATATGAATCTCGGAGCAGGGTTCCCTCGAGAAAATTTTGTAAATTAAAAGAAGCATTTGGAAGAGGCGAAATCAAATTGCTCTCAGAGGGGCGGAGCTTCGGAGAAGGCGTTCCCAAAAAACCTTTCGACTTTTCTTTTAATGAAGCTTGGAATCCAGACAAATTGCGAATAACCACCTTCGTAGAAAAAATCACATGTGAAGCTCATTATAAAAGAAAAGGAGTGACAAGTAAACTTGAGAAGTTGTTTTTTTCTTATTTTTAGATATTTCTTGAAAAGAACCATCATGTCACCGTGAAACTGGCTAGCAAAAACAAGTTCACGAAAACACGAAAAGAAGCATTAAAAACGGAGTATTATCTTAACATCAGCCCAACACTAAAAGAAGAAGTGAGAAAAGCGGAGAGTTATTCAAAATTTTTATGAACGACCAAAGCAAACTCTGAGAAAACGTCAAGAGCTGAACTTAGCGATGAAAGAGCCACAGGAAAAGCCAAAAAAAAGTTGGGGAACAAAGTTTCAAGAGCTTTCAGAAGAACTGCGCATCTCAAAAAGAGAGAAAAGCCTTTTCAGTTTTCAACTTCCGAAAGTAACTCTTCTATCGAATGAACAGCTTCTGATAAAAACCAGAAAAAGATATTACATTCGGTCTGAACTGAAAGTTTGAACCTACTTCCAGAAAAAAGACAATTTGGTTGCTTGTTTTCGCTCGTCGGGGAAATTTAAAAGAATTCAAGAAGAACGGAGATCTGTGTTGAACTCATCAAAAAGGGAATCCTCGACGCAAAAAATCTCTAGCTTTCTATTCAGGGTGCATTAAAAACACTGCAAGGGATTAGCATTATCAAATACTATCTCTCTTGTTTTCTGAACATTTAATTGACTAAGAAAGTCGAGACGACGCTTTCTTCAAAAAAGAGTTATGAAATACTTCGAACCAGTTGAAACCAACTTTCAGAAGCTTCAAAACTTTTTCGTGTTAGTGTTTGCGAGTTGGTGCCTTAAAAATAAGGAGCATTCTTAATGTGAGTCTGAAGGTTTTCTCGTTAACTCCTTTTTGACCGACCTCGCGCCACTGAATAATGCGAGAGAAAAGCAGAAAAAGAGAAAAAAAAAGAAAGAGATCAAAAAGTAGACCATCAGTCTGAAGGATTAAGAGCTCTAAATTGAATTTCGCAGAGTCCGAACACCGAAAATTCCGATTTGAATCGCTCTCCGATATTGCAGATGTTCTTATTTCAAATTTTGCAATTTTCATTACATCAAAAGCCAGAAAACAAAAGAAGATAGTGACGTTGATATGTGACAAGTTCTAGTCTGTTTGAAAAATCTCTCTGCAAGAGTTAAAAACGATCACCCTTGCATAACCTTTATTAACATTGAAAAGGGTCTTCGACTTTCAGAGAAGGATCTGAAATGGGAAATTCACGAGATCCATAAAACTCTGGTGCAAGACAATAATTAGAAAGCTCTTCATAGTGACCTACGATTTTCGTGTAAAGAAGTTGACGGGAAACGCGAAACTTCCCTCAGAGATTCTCTCAGGCTAGACGCAATTAAGGCCAAATACTTTATAAATAATAGTCGTGGTCGAAGTTGTTTTATGAGAAAAAGTCGAGGGATTTTTTTTTCAAAAGATTAGAATGCATTAGAGGAACTTTTTCAAAGTTTTTTTTGATAAAAAAAATGAATAAAAACTTCATTCCACCTCATTTTCTCCATATTACTAATGAGAAGTGAGCGTAGGTTTTTGTAAATAGAACGTAAAATTTTTTCCGTTCATCGAGCTCTTCATAAAACATTTTTAGCTTTCTTTGAGGTTCCACTCTTTCGCTGAGGTTATTTATGAGAACTAATTTCAATCAAATATACCGAAAAGATTTTCATTATTTTTTCCTCCATTTGTGAAAAAAAAAAGTACGGGGAAAATTAACACTTAATGACCATTATTTAGTACGGCTGTAAATCAAAAAAAAACTATATGACCGCAAGATGTACTTGAATGAGGAAGCTGAATTACAGAAAGAAGGATAGAATTAAAGAAAATATTTTAGTTTTTTGAATAAAAGTTGAAATCGATTCAGAAGAATCTAGAAAAATTGATTACCCGATTCGAAAAGAAAATGGATTGAAAAGGCAAAGTTGTTGAAATTTCCAAATAATATGTCTTATCAACGAAATGAAGGATAATGATATCGAAAATATTGGCACGTTTCAAAAGTATCTGAATGACTGAAAAAAATGACTTTCGAAGTTTACGGTAGGTAGCCATGAGATGTTAATGCGGCCGTTCTTCACAAATGTAAACTTTATGCGCATTTGTTGAAGATGAATGAGGAGTCGTCACGGCAGGCGCCGCCCTCGGCCTTCTGATGGATGGGTCAGAGAAGCCGGAGGAGCTTATTCCTTCATAACCCGCCATATCATTATTTTTTTTCATTTTGACAAGATTTTTCTACATATTCTATCTCTACTTCAACCTGCTCAAGGATCCTCGATTGGCCGCAGAAAATGCGAAAAAAAGAAACGTTTACCTACATACGTATTATATATAATGTTTCGAATGAATGAACCTTATTTATGAGACGTGGTTTTATAGTGCAAACGTTAAGTACATCGCAAATGATGAATACTAGACACTCTACATATTTATGTCCGGGTAAGAAGAGGAAGTCGGAAGAGTTTCTCGACCACTCATCTTCTTTATTGAACTTTTTGAGATGCATATGAGAAACGAGCATCTCGCGTGTTCTTATTTAGATGAAAAAAGCCTCGCGGGATGCACAGGAGTTTTTCAAAACAGAGGAACGTTTCAAGAAAAAACATTGGAGAGAGAGAGAGAGAATAACTACGTGAAAAAGGAGTAAAGAAAGAAGTTTCCGTCGGGATAGGGCATAGTTATTCCTACAATCAATTCGTAATAAGAGTGATTCTAAGAAGATTTTGAAAACGAAACAGTAGAAACTTGGAGCTGTGAAGTTCGACCATTTGTGAGCGAAATTTCAAAAAAGTATTAGGAATATTGGAAGTTTGGAGTTTGCCTAGAACATTCGAAAAACGAAAAATAGACTTCTTCTCTTAATCATGTAATAATTCATCGAACTCAAAAATATTGTTTCCGCGCTTTGAAAGAAGTTTAGATATGCGAAAAACAATTTAAAAGTTATTGACCAACCTGTCGAAACTTCTTCGTATCAAATGAACACCTCCAAGACTTCCTTGTCTTTTTCTTCCTCATCCTTCCCATGTTCTTCTATAAATTTAATAACTTAAATATATTTATGCATATAGTTCTTTAAAAAGAATTCATAACCTTTCCGTTTGAATAAAACTCCCAAATCTTCAACTCTGGAACAATAGCGCCGAGTCGCGAAATGTTTCAACAGGCACAGATTTCATTCAGTGGGACGTTTGGTGAGTTTGACCTTAAATTGAGAATATACGCAGATCTGTCTACATAAAAAAAAATAACGCGCCGACTTCAAGTTGAAATTCTCATGTCGTGTTCAACTTAATTTCCGCGAAATTATCTCTGGCTCTCCAAAGTTTAGTTACCTTTTTTTTTCTCTAACGGCTATTTTGCATTTCGCGGAATCACTTCGAAAACGGCATAACATACGCGGAAACTTTTCTGGTTTCAATGAATGTATTGGAGTAAATTTTTTTTTGATGATTAATAATAAAATTGAAAAAAGTATCCCAAGAGAAATCAAAAATGAAAACGACATAGTTCTCAATAGCTATTGTTCAGCAAAAATTCAATAAGAAAGATCTGAAATGGAGAATAAGTTGTGATCCTTGACTCTATTCATAAATTTTTTTACGTTTTGTGCTTTGAGGACGTTGCGTTCTATAGACATTTTTAGTGATAGATAAGCATAGATAAATTCTACGGCTTGATAGCAGTTCCAAAAGGACTTTTCTCTTATTAACTTTCACAACTTTCACGTCTTCTTTCTAGCCTCATTGATTCATGAAACTATTTCCGACAAATCCCAGAAAGAACTTAATATTTAATTTTTTTCGTATAATTATTTCGTGTTCGATTGGTAAAAAAATAAAAACTCTCGGAGAGAAATAATAATTTTTTTGTAAAAAAATTTTTGATATCTCTTCGGAACTTATAGTCGTTGCTTAAGAACTCCAATACTATTTATTCAGCTTATCCTCCGAGTTTTTGACAGAAGAAAGATGATAACAAACAGAGAATTGTATCAGCTAGACCAAGCAAACTGAAACGGCCCGAAAGAACACACGTTTGCCTAGGAGACGAGGCAGAGTTCTTCTTGATTTTTTTTTTCCGCGCCTCACCGGAGAAATTACACTTTCGATGTTAATGCGCATATAATTTTTTTCATGAAAGCTGATTTCATAAAAGTGAGATTCGAAATCCAGGCCGAATATAAAATCTCGCGTGCAGATGCTCAAAAATTTTTGAAACTTTGAAAAGGAAATGATCCACCACAGAAGCTTCTGCATTTGGAGATTTGAGTAAATTTTAAAAAAAGCCCCTGTCGGCCACTTTTTCTTTTTTTCAGTGATTTTTATGTCATCTCTTCGAAATACAGTAAAATACTAATAATATTTAGGCAAAAAAATATTGAAAAAAAGAATTATTCTGAAAAAAATGAAGCGTAGGCCACGTTTGAGGGCAATATCTAAAAATTCCTTTTTTTCGAAAGAAACTTTTCTGCGTGGCAACAGCGTTGTTTCACTCTTTTCCCATTTCTATCCCTGTAGGTTTTTTTGAAAAAAATATCTATATGAATTTTATTTTTTTGGAGTAAATGCAGATAAGCTAAATCTGGTAAATTGATTTGCACAACTCCAATAAGATCTATTTTTTTCTAAAAATAATAAATAAATCTCAAATATAATTAAATATATGAAATAATACAAATACAATGTTCCGTTTCTCCGATGAACATGCCATAAAAGAAAACTTTGTGTGGTCTTTTCAGTTTATTTTCTCGTATGATCTAATGTTTTTTTGGTTCAGATCCGGTGCTACACAGTATGCACTGTGAGCTACGCTAGATTGCATGTACCGTGTTCTACAGGCTATAGTTTACCTCTGTAGGGTTTTTTTCTCTATAGAAACCACTACAGCTTTTCCGCTGGTATAAAAAAAAGCCAGCGAATTTTCGAACGGCGACTCTTCCGATTTTTTCATATCCCTAGGAAACTTTCCGACGAAGAGATTTCCGACTAATCCTTTTCCGACTTTTTGCGTTAATAATTTTTTATAATTTTTCATTTATCAAATATTTGTTATCAAATCGTAAATCTTTTCGCGAAACTTTTCTGTATAATTTTGGATATTTTTTTTTCTCAATTTTCTTTTTTTATATGTTCGACATTTCAGATGTGAATATGTTCAAAGCACCAAAAAAGCTGATAAATAGAAAGTACGTTTTTCGGTTGGTATCGTTCGCGCTCCTAGTCTACGTCTTAATTGTTATAATTCCCTTTTCCGACGACTCGGTGCTTAAAGATCGTTTGTCGAAACTGCAGGTTCATTCGAAGTTTATATGTTATAATTCAACCTTTTTGCGACTTCGAAATAGAGAGTAATCTTGGGGATTTCAGAAACGTTTATCGTCTTCTAGCAATTGTCGTGTTCCGAAGTTAGATCCATGGGACGACTCTATTCGTGCTTACTTTTCCAAACCAGAGCCTTTGTTTTGCGATTCCGTGCAGGAGAAAATATTAGTTTTCGAAGCTGGAACTCTGAAAGTTTCTCATTTTCAATGTTTTATTTCTATTTCATTTATTTTCAGTTCATTAAATCTAAAGTAGAGGGATTGGAATGTGAGATAACGCCTTTTTTTCATGACGAGGGGAGTTCTGACGATGCGCCAAAATTCGGTGTTTCTCGAGAGCTGGATCTCACTTCTGAATCTCTCGAATTTCCTGTGACTGAAGAGTTTTTTGAAGTTTCATGCGAGTCAAATGGCTTGATGAAGCAATCAGTTTTTAAATATAGTTACGCTCAAATTGTCACCCAAAACGAGACGACTGATGGTTTCAAGTAATTGAATTCGAAATGAAGAAAAAACCCTTGAAAAGTCGCTTCAAGGTGGAAGAATCTACAGAGGACCAGCCTTCTGTTGTAGTCATTGGTTTCGACTCCATGTCCCGAGGAAATTTCGTCAGACAGGTACCTCTTCTCTGTAGAAAAACTTGCCTCTAAGTTTAGCTCCCCAAAACTCACAAAACTATGAGGAAGATGGGTTTCGTAGACATGTTGGGTCATGTCAAGGTTGGCGACAACACCTACGCCAATTTGGGCGCCGTCCTTTTTGGAAAGCGAACAACTTCTACGAGGGTAAGATTCTACGAACTATTTATTTTTTTTTAAGGCAATGGTAAGTTGAAGGCGGAATTTTTCGAAAACCCCGAAAAAATGCAGATTTTTTAAAATGTTGATTCTTTTTGTTTTGTTACAGGAGTTTCCGGCTGAAATAGACGAGAGTTGGGGCATCTCCTTCGACAAATACGACACCATTTGGAAAAATTTCAGTCGCAACGGTTTATAAAAGACTTTTCACACTGAAATGCGTTTATTTTCAGATTTTATTTCGTATCATTAGCATTTAAATTATGAAAAATTTGAGGATATGCTACATTTTTCGCCGAAGACAGGCCGGATATTGGAACATTCAACTATTTCGGCTACCTCAAAGGCTTTTTAAAGAAACCTGTTAATCATTATTTCCGGTAAGCCTGTTCGAAATCAACTGAAAGATCTTCTGCAGCCCTTTTTGGACTGCGACTTTTTGGTCGGTCGTATCTCGTCGATCCTCGGCCTACTGCTATGACTCAATTCCAAAACACGTTATTCAACTCGAATATCTCGAGCAGTTGGTCATTTTAATCATTTGGACCTTTTTGATTAGAGTGCGGGCTCTTTTTCCAAATTCTCTTAAAATTCTATCGACTCTCTATTTTCATAATATTTTCGATTCGTTCGGAAGTACGAAAGAAAGCGGCATTTCGCCTTCTGGTGGACGCAAGATATGAGTCACGACTATCTCAACGTCATAGGCAGGAATTTCCACCATTATCCGATAAATAGAATAATCACAGGAAAAACAGACAACGATATTGAGGGATTTCTGAGACGGAACTTTGATTTTCTGAAAAACTCGATAATAATTGTGATGAGTGACCACGGCCATCGTTATGACCGAATCCGCGAAACGGTGTGTTTCCATTAAATATATGTATGTGAGAGGGTCTCTTATCCCGACTAAGTTCCAGACAATCGGTCGATTAGAAGCCAGGCTTCCCTATCTTTCTATTCGCATTCCTGACGACGTAAAGAGAAAATATCCGAAAGTTTTTATTTTTCAAGACCTTTAGACAATTATTTTCCAGTTGTACAAGTCAGTTTTGGAGAATTCGGAGCGAATGACGACTCAATTCGACGTCAACGAAAGCCTGAACGACATCGCCTGGGGCAGACTGGCTGAGCCCCAAGAAGAGCCGCAGAAACAACGGGCTCGCTCGTTTTTCCATCCAATAAGCCCTAATCGGACCTGCTTCGAAGCTGAGGTGAGTCCTTCTTCTCGTCATTATCATGAAGACTTCCCTTCAGATTCCCTTCGGCTATTGTCCTTGTTATTCGGAAGTTGAAGCCCCAAGAAAAGACAGTAGGGAAGCGGCTGAAGTAAGTGTCTCCTGCTCAAAAAAAAGATGGATATTTCACTGATGGAACGTTTCAAGGTGCTCCTGAAAGAACTAAATACTTTGCTCCGGAGAGGAAAAATAGAGAAGGAGGTTGGTTTTTTTTTTAAAAAAAGGTAGAGATAATTGATTTAGAACTACAAATGCGCACCGCTCTCCTTGTCCGAGGTGATTTCGGCGACGGTGCAATTGCCGCCGGCGACGGTCGTCGATGACCCTCAAACGGGCAAAAACCTGCCCCTCACTCAGCTCCAGCTCTTGTTCGTTCTTTCCACACCTTTTCTATCTGTCATCGATTCAAATTTGACTTTAGAATTAATTTTTTTGGAAAAATTAAGAAATTTCAAAAAGAATTTCAAATGAGTATCTGATATATACCTTTTTTTCGTAAAGGCGAAGCTTTAAAAAAATTTTTAAAAAATTTTTAGCTTGTTTTTGACGTTTTTTTCTTTCATTCCATTGTCAAAATGTTTCGCAAATGATAAATTCTGAACTTTATTAAAAATTGAATAGAACGAAATGACCGTTTTTTTCAAATGATAAAAATAAATTCTTGACAGAAAGTTTTTTTCGAAAGATTCTTCTGATTTCTATCTAAAGGTTGTGTTTTGAAAAAAATTTCCATTATCAATATTTTAAAAAAACTTTCGGTATGAATCTTTTTTTCAAATCTCGAAAAGAACTGAAATTCACATCGAAGTGGATTCCACCCAAGTTGTGGATACATCGGAACTCTTAGTGACTAAGAATTAGTTAGTACGGACTTCTATCTGTTCTTCTATCATTCAAACTTCTTGAATGGATTACCCGTTTCAGATACCGCGTAGTCCTCAAGACGACGTCGCCAAGCAACGCCGTGCTCGAAGGCGTCGTGATTCACGATGTGAAACAAGACGTCTGGACTTTTTCCGGCGAGGTCGAACGCAACAACAGGTCGCTCCTCTTCTGACTCGTCTTGTTACTCTCTTTCTATAGGTACGGAAACTCTTCTCACTGCGTCGCCGATCGAGTGCTCAAGAAGATCTGCCATTGCATAATCACGTAACCGTTTCTTTCTGAATTATTGCACAACTAATTGATATTTCGAAGTAGAAGAATGAACATACGAGAAATGAATGTCTTGAGAATTCAAAGAAGCGAAACAAGAATTTGAACAGTGATCAAAGAAATAGTTTTATTATAATATTTATTCGAAGGTATCCCGATGAAAAAAATGATATAAATTTTACAGTGGTAAGTTTATTTGCCAAGAATCGCGCCGATTAATCCTCCGCCGTTTCCGGGTGGATAGCCTAAAAAAACACAACAAGAACCTTGACAAAGAAATTTTTAGTAAGAAAAAATTTTGAGGAAATTAAAAAAATTCATCATGTAAGATCACAGCAGCCAAAAGCTCTTCGGATAAAATTTTAAATTTCGAGATAAAAATGATCTTATCTTGAATCCAAAATATCATTATAAATTGCAATAAGAATGGTTTTCTGGCCACAAGAATCCCTTTGGCGACCATTTTGATATATAGTTCTTGACAAATCACAGTCTGACGAAGACAAAATCATCACAAGTTCCGAAATCGTATTTTTCTATAGTTTCCAAAAATTATTTCTTTCAATTTAGTACTTGTGTGTGAGAAATAAAAAATTGTGATTGATCATATTGAAATGAAAGAACTGTCATTCAGAAATTTGCTTTTTGTTCATACCAAATTTGAATAGCAAAGACTCACTTGGTCCATAGCCATAGCCGCCGTAGCCGTAGGGGTTTCCGCCGTAAGGATTGTAGCCGCCATAAGGAGAATAAGGCGAACCGTAAGGCGAGGCCCACTGAGCAGAAGCGCCAAGACAGAGAATGACGACCAGAAAAATCAGCACCGGTTGCATTGTTCGTGTTGGCCTCGGGCGTCTTCCACTCTTTTATATCACCAACACCCATACAGTTCTCTTCTTAGTTTTTGACTTATTGCTCTTTTTCCCATCTTCAGTCTTTCGTTTCCGAGAATTTTAAAGTAATCAATTATCAAACTAACGACCTCCCAGCCGCTGTCATGTGATTCTACCAACTGACGATCCGAAAAAAAAGTATGACACTAAACATTTTTCAAAACTGTTTGGTATCCTTTGCTGCTGTACATATAGTTTTTTTGAGTTCCAATTATTTGAATTTTTTGTGGAAGTCCTGGTCTGTCTTTTTCATGATTCTTAAAATTTATTGCCTCTTTCCATTGAGAATCGAGTTTCAAACGTGAGATGTGGTTCGTTTTAACGGCCGAGGATGGTTGAAATGAGTCCGCCCCCTGAATTTTATTGTTAAACGACAAAAGTATTGAACAGAGCTCACCCGATGCACGGTAAGGTGTGTAGGGATTAGGCGCATACGGACTTCCATAAGGATTTTGAGCGTAGGGACTTCCATAAGGACTTCCATAGGGACTTCCATACGGACTTCCGTAGGGACTTCCATACGGACTGCCATAAGTACTGCCATAAGGACTGCCATAAGGACTGCCACCGTAAGCCCACTGGGCAACAGCAAGACTGAAAAGACAGAAGAAGAGGCAAACAGCGAGGGACTTCATTTCGAACTCGGCTGAGAAGGTACTGACCATCCTTCTTTTCTGCCTTATATAATTACGGAGATCGTTCAAATTTATTGGGACCTGACTTCTGCGAGTCAATAGTAATAAAGGTTATGACCTCCCGGTTTTCTATTTGCAAAATTTCTACCTTTTCAATTTTATGACTTCAAAAAAAGTAGAAGTTTTGTCACGTGAACAAAACCTTCCGAGTTTCATCTTTGACAATTACTTTCAAGGTTGAACCTCATGACAAGAAACAAAAATCCTTATTTTTTTCGGTTTTTTTATTTATTAAATTTGAGAAAAATTTTTAAAAAGATTCTTCACTCGAAAACGAAATATTGAGTGAAAAAAGTTCACATTTTTTGGGGAATTAAAAAAAAAAAATTTTAAGGATAAGCTGGCTTTTATAAATGTTTGAACTTGTGTTTCTTTCTTTCAGTTTTTTATTTTCTTTTTCACATTTCAGGAGACAAGTTTCTGGGCGCTTGAGCAGAACTTGATGCACGACTGAAAGTTGGGGAAATTGTTATAATTGCCATTGGCGCCGTAGTAACTGTAGCGGACGCAGCTCTTGACGTCGTGGTTCCATGCGAATCTGGATTCTGAAGGTTTGCAGCTGGAAAAGGGGAATCTCACCGTGGCCGGTCTTCTATTCCGTCTTCGAAGGTGCCGTTGTCGTCGCGCAGAGAACAAACGTAGTCTGAAGGTTCTGATCTTTTGCGGCTAAATTCGAAAGTGGTGAAGTTCAAAAGATTCATTTCAAATACCTTTTCTCAATCAATCTTGTGGATTTTTTTTATCTTGGTGATGTTCATACACTTCCTCGTGAAAAAATTCCGTTTTTCATGAGTTTTGTTGAGAAAATCGAAAATAAACCACCCGTAGACCAAGACCAACCAAAAATTCTGTTTCCTTATTTCAAAAGCTTATCTTAGCTCAAAATTCCTCAGAAAATTTGCAATTTACTTTGTCTAGTGACGTGCTCAGCCCAAAAACAAACCCAAAGAAACGCCTCTCCCTTTCCAGTTAGTGTTCTTTTTCTCTTCTTTTCGGTTGCGAGTGGGCGTTTTTTCACTTGAAAAAGAATGAACCTTTGGTCGGACAACAGACGTCGCTCACGCAGTTATGGTTCTTCGGGCAACCGTCCGAGCAAAGGATGTACTTTCCATTGGGAACCAAGTAGTTCCCACCACACAAGTCCGCTGCAAATCTGTCTTCCAGAGGAGGGTTCTAACGACGGAGCACCTTTGCGCCATTGGTCGTGGCTTTTCCCGACCGGAACGAACGCAGGAACATTGGCATTGGCAGAAATGGCCGATGACGTCACTGTTTTGGCCCGATTGACGCATGCTGCGCGGCATTCTTGCGCCGTCGAGAATCGGTTGGCGTTTCCTCCGCAGCCGCGGTAGGCGAAAGGTTGGCAAACTTCTATTAACAGATATTGTTTTAACAACTTAATTTTTCAACTGGGAAACACTGGAACGAAACTACTCAAGTTCAACTTTTATTGGAATTTTTACCAAGAAATAAAGCAGTGATCGTCGGGACGCTAAAACTCGACTACTATTACTAAAAAGGGCAAGATGAGCTCTCTTGATCAACGACAATTTCGCTAACTCTCAAACAGTATCTCAATTAATTCATGATTCAGCAGAGAATCCTCTGATAATTGTGTTAATGTGACCATGAAGGTAAACCAACTCGTTCTGGCGTCGAAATAAAAGCTAGTCGACGCATGTGTGTCGCAAGAGTCGCCTAGATCTCTGGGTGCAGAACAATCCGGAATGTTGACGGCTTCGGCCAGGACGAACAGAGTCGCCATCAGCGCCACAGCTCCGCGAGGTTCCCGGCAGCTCATTTGAGAGAGATTGTTTGCTCGGTCGTTCACTGATCGCAGACGGTGGCAGGAGGCGATCGAAGTGAAACCATCGAAGAAATCGATGAGGTCGCAACGTGCCTTCTCAACTGCCTCGCCCTGTTGTTCGTTTCGCTTCAGACTGCTTTTTGTCCATCCATCCGTCATTTATATAAATAGTCGAGAGAAGACTAGAACGAAGTAAATGTTTGCCGGGAGGTTGTCAGGGGTCACGGAGCCGGAACCGGATTCCTCAGCCTTGGAAAGCTAAATTGAAAAGTTAATGTTTGTTGTAAGCAGTTTCGTGTTTACTCCCAACCAATATTTAAGCCAACAGGACTGTTTCATTTCACACAACATCATGGCATTCTTCAAGTTCATCTCCTTTTTGGTCAGTTTGGACGCCAGCTAGAGAATTAGTTATTTTCCGTTATTTGAAGGCGTTGCTAAGTGGATCAGTTGCTTTGGACTGCCTTTCAGCGAGAGATTCCGGCGACTTCTGTAACGCGGGGCCTCAGCGGCAGATGTATTATTTCGTACCGGCGCAAGGTTCAGTCTCCGCGAAAAGCTCAGAGAATAACTCTAAGAAATATCCAGGGATCTGCCAGCCGTTCATGTACAACGGTTGCGGAGGGAACGAGAACAGATTCAACAGTTCGGCGGAATGCCGCGAAGCCTGTGCCAACGCTTCAACGCAAGTCTCCGCCGATGGCCAAACAAGTGGCCGCAGCGAACAAATGAAACGTAAGTTTTTCTCTGAAGCTCTTCAATATTTCTTTCTCCATATACGACAGTTCGGAGCTAATTATTATTTTTTGTTTGTCAAGTCAGCAGGGAATTGTTCTCATTCTTCCTCATTCTACCTCATTCTTGCTCATGTTGTGGCTGTCGGAATGAAAACTGGAAAATTCTTCAATTGAATTTAAAAAGACCATTTATTATTCAGAGAGGCCATTTTTGGGTGAAGTTCGGAATTTTCCACGATTTTATCTAAAGACTCTTCGGAGATGAAGATAATAATTTCTCTAAATCGTTCTTCCCCAGTTTTCTAGTTCTGAAGAAATGAATTCCGAAAGTACTCAGCTAGCATGGCAACGAGTCTTGCAACCTTTGAAGGGCAAATTTGAAAAATGATCCGGAATGAAAGTTTGCACGGAAAGTGACTGAGAGAAGGGTTTATCTCGACGGTTTTGATTAAATTCACATGGGAAAATTGCTAAACTAAAACTAAACTAAATTTACAATTTCTGTTAGTTTCATGGAGAAATTATAGCCAGCTACATATATTGATAACTGAAAAGCGTCGTCAAACGTTTGAATGAAAAAGGAAATGGTTCAGAAGCGTGCCAGGCAACCTACGACACGGAACATCTGAACGCGACGCTCTGTTCTCGACACATGGAATGTCCTGCCGGCCATGACTGCCACAGGGGATTCTGCTGTCCGACCCCAGGTAAAGACCTTCGAAAATCTCACTTCCTCCACCTGAGAACGAGGCTCATTCTTTTGGATTCAGACTACGCTTGCAATCTTCGTTACGATTCGGGTAAGTTTGCTGTTGGCGGAGAGAAAAGCGACAAGTATTTCTACACGCCTCAATACCAGACCTGCATGAGGTATTTTATTAATCTTTGCCCATTTTCATATTACTTCTCTTCTAATTCCAATGTCATTATTCGAGTTCAGGTTCTCGTTTTACGGCACTCTGGGAAACGCCAACAACTTTCCAAACTACAACGCCTGTATGAAAATGTGTTCTTCTCAAATCAAAAATCCTCGCATCTGAAATGTTCGAAAAGTCATCTTTTTGTACTTAGTGTCTTTTTCTTTCGATCTCGGCCGTCTTGGCGTTTCTCCAAACTTTCTTCTGATTATTTGATATATAAAAATGGGAAAATACGAATAAAATCGTTACATTGGAATAAATCTCTTGTTTAAGGACTCTTAGAGCCGATAAACAATAGAAAGAAATATATATGTATATGTTAAGACAAAGTTAGGCGTGGGAAGCTAAGAAGAACCTGCCGAAGTCGTTGGAAAAACAAGACTTTGTCAATAAGAAGGCCGGTTCATCTGAGACGCTTATTTCGTTGTTTTTCACTTTCAGATTTAATTTTCTTCAACTTCATTTTGATCGAGAAGTGTAGGCTAGAGGAATAGACAAACAATCTTGAACTCCACTGATAGAGCGATAAATGCCGGAGAATTGTTATCAGTTGTAGCTGGTGAGCAACATTACTGCCAACATTCATATGTTCCAAGACCCTTTTTCGAGTTTCTCGCTTTAGACGCTTTTTTCTTGTTTCAAAAGAGAAAGAAATCCCAAAAAGTTAAGTTTCGGAGGGCTTCACTTTTGGGGGAATGGTGTGCCTGACCTGCGCCGTCGTCTGTTTTTTCGCTGCGACTATAATATTCATAGTTATTAGGTTTGATTTTTTGAAAAGAATCCATCTAAAGTCTTCTTCGCAGATTTTTGATAGAGCTTCTCCCAGCACCAGGAAGCAATAAGGACCGCGCGGTTTTCATAACAGGCTGTGACACTGGATTCGGCCGCGAGCTGGCCAAGAAGTGCGCCAAGAACGGCTTTACAGTGTTTGCCGGATGCTTGACAGAACAAGTAGTTACACGAAACAAAAGAAGCTGATTTCGACTGGTTCAGGGAGGAAAGTCGTTGAAAAGCGAAGCACCGAGCATCCACGACGTGCGTCTTGATGTGGCCAGCGACGACAGCGTTGCCAAGGCTTTGGACTACGTCAAGAAAAACTTGGGCAGACTGAGTAGGAGCTCTTTCCTCGGAAAAGAACAAGCTAGAGACAGAACTGTGGGGCGTCGTGAACAACGCTGGAATCTTCTCTTGCTACGGTCCCGACGACTGGGTCCACATCGACGACTACAAACGTGCCTTCGACGTAAATACTCTCGGTGTGATCAGAGTCACGCACGTCAGTCGAGTTGGATGGATTATCGAATATCATGTCCGATTCAGGCTTTCAAGAAACTGGTCAAAGAGGCCAAAGGTAGGATTGTTACCGTGACCTCAGTCAACGGTCGACTCGTTTCTCCAGCCAGCGGGCCTTACGTCGTCTCCAAGTTCGGAGCCGAAGCCTACATGGACACTTTGAGGTGATCATTTATAGAAGCTTGGTTGATTTTTTTTAGACAAGAACTGTACCACTTTGATGTGAAAGTTTCGATCCTGGAGCCAGGAATCTTCCGCACTCCTTTGCTTGATGAAAAGGCAATGATAGATCGGGTCGAAGGGGTATCTTTCAAAAGTTTCATAATTCTTCAAACATTTCAAAAATCAGGTTTGGTCTCGATTAGGCGCGGAAACTAAGAAAGAGTACGGGGAGAATTTCAAAAACTATTGTGAGATTTTCCTGGAGTTTTCTTTTTCTATTCAAAGTTCTCTCAGTTGCTACCACCTGGAACAAGACATACGTCTCTATGAGCACGGACAAAATCCACTACGTCGTCGACAACTATTATCACGCTCTAACAGCTCGTTTTCCTCGTCACAGGTATGTTAGCACTTTTCTCATCTTTTTTGAAGATTAATAATGACCTATACGGGCTGCTGATCAATTTTTACAGGTACTATTGTGGCTGGGACGCGATCCTGACATTCATTCCTATTTCGCTTCTGCCGACGTGGCTCTCAGATTTTGTCTTCCGCTGCCTCGCCAAGCAGGAAGTCGTGCCAGCCTCTCTCCAACAGAAACTCAAGAAGAATCTTTGATTTTTAGACAGACTCAGTTGTTAACAGATACTGTATTACCAGAAAAAGGAAGGTTTTAAAACCTTGTTAAAAAGAAATTATTATTATTTACTGTTCAAAAAAAAAGTTTTCACTGGTCGGTTTTAATTTTCTCAGAGATGGTTGGGACACAGAGTCCTGCAGGAAGGGTTGTCATCTGAGGAGCTGGCTGAGCCCTCGACTTTCTGAACATTTTCAGGTTTTTAAATTTTGTTTGAATGAACTACGAAATCATGCACGAAGCCTTGCGGAAAGTGTAGATCAAGGCGGCAACGATTCCGATCAACAGCACTGCTTCAGTAAGGTCCACGTTCAGATACACAGTCTTTGTGCCTGATAATGTACATTTTGGGAGCTCTTCTACTTTGCCAACTGTTGATTGTGTCTAGCGGAATGGAAGACGGTGCCGATAATCCATTGTCGACTATTTCCTGAATTTTCTTAAATTATAAAAGGAAGAAGAGGAAGATCAGTTACTTGATGAAGAGACATTGGGTGCGGCAAGACTTTGATGGCGTTGATCTGAAAAGATTTCAGTGAATAATCAAAGAAGCTGAACCTCGATGTGCTTAACGTTGTTTTCAACATGGAAGCTGTTTTCAACGTTGATTTTGCTCTTGATGTCTTGCTCTTTCTCGTAACTGTCTTCTTCTTCGGCTGCAGCTTTACTCCAAATCTTATAATAGCTAATAATTTACTTATTTGGTTCGCCAAATCTTGGAGATAGACCCGACCAAGCCAAAGGAGCAGCTCTTTTTCCTCCTCTTCGTTCGACTCGACGCTCTAGGAAAAATGAATCTGCTCAAAACAAGATTTTCAAACGCTGTTAGTAGTTTTTGTTTGAATCGGTATTATGCAATAGGTTTTATTTTTCAATTTTTTTAATTTTTTTGGAATTGACTTTGTTTTCAGCTCATTTTTTTCGAAGTGAAAGAGAAAAAAACTCCAAAACATATTGACAGAAACTCTATCTGTCAATTCGATTCGGGGCGATACTAATAGAAGATTATCTTGTTTTTTGGCGTTCGAAGTAACCTTTTGATCCAGGTTGATGGAGCCGACTCGGCTGTTCTCCACCTCGCGAGAATAGGCGTTCATCTCGTCATCAGAAGGCCGTTCAGCAAAGAATTTGTCGACTTTTTCGTGAGAAATCGACTCGACAGGAACTTGGGGCTTCGGCGGCTGCACTCGCAGAAGTCTGTCCCGGCCATCCTCCGTCTTTTTTTCGTCTCCAATCCGGTAGGGACTTGCTGAAGAAAACAGCTTCTCAAAAACGGTCTGACTGGAACCGCAAACCGAATTTTTCAATTTGATGCTCATTTGAAAAAAATATTATTTGTTAAAGTTGATTCCAGAAACATTTCAAAGAGAAAAAGAAGGAAGAATTTATAAAAAGTTTTTTTACGTCTTTATAATTGCAAAAAAACTATTTTTTTATTTCGAAAAAAATATAATTTTATGGATCAAGGTTTGATTGAAATAATGTCTATCGTGAAAAAAAAAATGGAAATCCGCAAATTTACGCTAAGGCCTGAACAGATTAAAAATATTAAGCGCAGTTTTTCGTGATTGAGCTAAGAAATACCTTGTGTGTGACAGACGAGAAGAACTAAAAAAGAAAATTTCGTGTAACCCGACATCGGACTGAACACAGGTGACTGGAAAGATATGGCGCCGGGCTGAAATCCGACCATAATAGAGGCGGATTACCGCCCGCTCGCGTTGTTTTCAGTCGTTTTTGACAGTTATTTTCATGAAAAACTCTCTTTATGCAAAAACTAAAGTGCTAAAGTGCATACAGGAGAGAAGAAAAATGGCTCTCTTGTTCTCAATTTTTCAGAAAAAAGTCTCGAATGTGTGTATTGCGAAAAATTTTCTTTAAAAAATTATATCATTGTTTAGTTAGCATGAAGAAAAACCTGAAAGCCAAATACACGGTTGAGTTGAATGATTTTCCTTTTCCTTAGATCTTTACTTCAGTGTTTGGTTAAACATCGCGATGTGAGAAAAAATAAATAAAACTTCACTGGGACCCTCAATAATCATTTCGAGCGACAGGTATCGCTAATTAATTATATACCTCAGAAAGTGGCTTTTCATTCTGTGCTCGAAAATGGTATATATGAAACGTATCTAGCGAGAGCGCAAAAAGCGGGCAAGGAATCGTCATCTGTGTTAGAGCGCCAAGGGAAATGCAGATTAAACGGCCAACTTGACGCACAAAGGGTTTAAATTGTTGAATCATTGCAAAGAAAGTTCAAATAACAAGCCGATGAAAGTTTTCACCGTTTGTTTGTTTATTTTTTTCATTTAAATTTTTTTTGTCTTTCTGGATTTTGATTAACTCAAAGGTCGTTAGCTTTTTATAAATCCACATAAAGAAGTCAATTAATTACTTTTAACAGTTTCAAGGTTCTCTCTGGTTTTTACGATTATGGATTCTCACGGAAGGAAGGTTATAGTCGTAGACAATGGATCAGGAGTATGATCTTCTTTTTCGTTGTACATATTTTATCTTTCGTTTAAGTTCGTCAAATGCGGCTACGCTGGAACCAATTTTCCTGCGCATATTTTTCCATCTATGGTCGGTCGCCCAATCGTTCGTTCAACTCAACGAGTAGGAAACATTGAAATAAAGGTTTCGCTTTCAACTGAAATCAGAAAAAATAGATGAACGAATTTCAAGGACTTGATGGTGGGAGAAGAATGTTCACAACTTCGCCAAATGCTGGACGTTAGCTATCCGATGGACAATGGAATCGTACGAAACTGGGACGACATGGCACATGTTTGGGATCACACTTTCGGCCCTGAAAAACTAGACATCGATCCAAAGGTTTTTATTTAAATTGATGAAGCTCACAATTTCAACATTACCATCGATAAAAGTTGATAAAAATATTTTGTTAACAGGACTGCAAATTGCTGTTAACTGAACCTCCACTCAATCCAAACAGCAATAGAGAACGCCTTTTCCAGGTTTTTCTAAAATTTAATTCATGCTGAATATAGAAAGAGTTTTTCAGGTGATGTTCGAACAGTACGGCTTCCATTCGATCTACGTAGCTGTGCAGGTTTATTTTCGTATAAAATTCGTGGATCCTGTATATTTTTTTTACTTATGTTTTTGTAACAGAGTGAAAAAATAACGCTTTTATAAAAAATGTCTGCAACAAGAAACAGATTGCACTGTGTCTGAAGAATTGTTCGGATTTCAGGCTGTTCTGACACTTTACGCTCAAGGTCTTCTGACAGGCGTCGTCGTCGATTCCGGAGACGGCGTCACTCACATTTGTCCCGTTTATGACGGCTTCGCTCTGTCTCACTTGACGCGGCGCCTCGACATTGCCGGAAGAGACATCACCAAGTATCTTATCAAGGTTCTGCACTTTTTGTTTTGAAGATTTCTGAGAAGAAAAAAAACGACGCAATGCTATCGAGAAAAGATTGAATATATGCGTCGACTAGAATAATGTTTACTGAGTCGTTTCCAAAACGGAAATTGTTCTTATAGGAACGTATTTCGTTCTAAAATTGATTTAGACCGGTTTGCTCTATTAGGAAAAAAGTTTCGTTTTAGGATGTTTTTTTTTTCACAGTAAGCCGGAAAGTCGGCGGAGCTTAGCAATACCTGTTTCTAAATATTCAAGAGGTTGTTCTCTATTTAGGAGAACTCTCAGGAACAAAGATGAAATTTTTGTGCTAAAGGTTCGTCGAAAATCTAGGAGAGCTTGTGTGTAACACTTCTAAAAAAAGTCAAAAAGTGAGAACATTTTTTTATCTAGCAAATTTCAGCTCTCATTCCTTTTTCTTTTAAAAATTTTTTCAGAAATTGACCAGAAACAAATTTTTCTCATTAGAAAGTTACCTGATTGAACTTGTGTAGTGAAAAAACTGAATCCGTAAAAAGACCCTTTTGGTAAAGAGAAATACAAAAATATTTGTAGCTTCTGCTCCTCCGAGGCTACAATTTCAACCACTCGGCAGACTTCGAGACAGTCCGGCAAATGAAGGAGAAGCTGTGTTACGTGGCCTACGACGTCGAGCAGGAACAGCGTCTCGCTCTCGAGACCACCGTTCTTTCGCAGCAATACACGGTAGGTACCTTTGATGAGGCATCAGGTTCCCGGCAAGTATTTGAAATTTGACCTTAATGACGTCATTTTATGTACATCAAAGCTGATGTGATGATTTTGATTATCCCTTTGAAATTTGTAACTTCGTTAAACGTAGAGAGAAGTTTGTGACTGAAAAGTCGCGTCGATTGCGAAGCTAACCATTATGTTTATCTCTCTACTCATCAAAAAGGCGAAAGTCTGCCCGAGAAAAGCTAAAGTTACACTGCTTAAATTAAGAACCCTATTTCGGCTGAGGAAAATTTCTCGATGAAAATCTCATTGAAGCTAAGTTTATCTTGTGCGAGAAGAGCTTCATATGAAATCTCTTTTTTTATTGAAATCAAGTTGAATTTTGACGGAACCATAATTTGAATCATCCTCTGCGAAGAAAAACTCCAAAACCGTTTTTGTTTTCATTTCATTGTACTTCAAAGATTCTTCTCTTTTCAGCTGCCCGATGGCCGTGTGATTCGGCTAGGTGGAGAGCGCTTCGAGGCACCCGAAATTCTTTTCCAGGTAATTTCAGCACCTTGAATCGAAAATCGTCATATTGACTTCAGCCTCATCTCATCAACGTAGAGAAGGCGGGACTGAGCGAGCTCCTCTTCGGCTGCATCCAGTCGAGCGATATCGGTACCTCGCAGCTGCTCCAGCTCCCTTATCGAGCCTTTCAGACACCCGTCTCGACTTCTACAAACACATCGTGCTGTCTGGCGGCACCACCATGTATCCGGGCCTGCCGAGCCGTCTCGAGAAAGAACTCAAGCAGCTCTACGTCGACAGGGTCCTGAAGGGAAATACCGAGCAGTTCCAGGCACGTCTCGAACCTTTTGCGCTGGTCTTGTCGTTGCGTCGTTCCATGTTGACGCTGGGTCTTAGACGCCTGGGTCAACTGCGCTTTTATGCCTCATTCTTTTGTTTGTATCGTATCTCTCCTTTAACAAACACGGAGCTGCCAAGTCTTCGAATATGTGTTTTTTTATTTTGTAATTGTTCTTCACGAAATTTGTGAGATTTGTATAGGTTTTTGGAATAATTTCACACTAAAAATAGGGATGATTTAGTGCGAAATCTTAGGGAAAACTAGTTATCCTCAAAAAAAAGCTTATAATCACCTTTTTAGAGATATCATATATTATATTTAACCATATAAAAGGCGTCGAACCAATCTACTTGTAAACAATATTTTTTAGCAAATTTAAAAGTTTTTTTTCACTTTCTTCATAAATTTTTAAAAATTAGACTCATCCATTTGGATAATTGTGAAAAAAATTGGAAACGTTCAGTGAAATTCGTTCAAATTTCGAAAGGATGCACGAGCGAGAGAACGTTTCAACTTGTTTTCCAATAGTTATGGAATCCGTTTCTCCAGGTTGACATGTCTGAACTCTAGGACCACAATTTGGATTTGAACCTTAAGAAAATATGAAACAAAATCTGAGCCACCGCTGTTTTTCTGACTCTTTGTGAATTTTGGAAAAATGAGGATGTATTGAACAGTTCTGTTGCTATTAAATGCTAGGTACATTTCTGAGAAGCTTTTCACCTCTAACTGCCACTTTCGCAGGTGCGCAGTTTCTGTCTGCTGGAGACATTTTCGCGGCCTCGCGATTTGCATTCGCAAATAATCCTGCGCTCAGTCGCCCATGAAGTGTGTGTTAACTTTTGACGCCGTGGGTGGTCTATAAAAGTAAACGTGCTTTGGCGTTAAGGAATTCGAACACATCTTTTTTTACTAAGTTTGGCCGAGTGACCTTGTGAAATTCGAAAGCAGACAAGAACATTGTTTTTCAGAAGTTCAAAATTCGAATCGAGTCTTCGCCCAGCCGCAAACACATGGTCTTCATTGGAGGAGCAGTCTTGGCTAATCTGATGAAGGACCGTGACCAAGTAAGATTCCAAAGAACTACTTGAGAACTTGCAGAACAATCATATTGGACTTCATTTGCATTTCTTTCAGGATTTCTGGGTCTCTAAAAAGGAATACGAAGAGGGCGGAATCTCTAGGTGTATGCAGAAGTTAGGCATTAAGTAAATATCTCTGGGCCTTACAATATGTGTCAGTATCATTCCAGTTTCGCACTATTGTTTTGACTCTTTTTCTTGTTGAATTTTAGAATTCTTTTTAAAAAATTTTCGGTGTTTCCTGATATAAACTTTAATTTATGCTTTAACATGTCTCTTGATTTTTTTTTTCAAATTGCTCATTATCTGCCTTTTCTTTGACTATTATTTACAGCCTACATGATTCGTATGCTAATTTGGTAGCTCTCCATCAAAAAGTTACTCAATTTCTTGAAGATCATAGACTGCAAATTATAGCTACATAGACTTTATTTTTCGTGACTTCTGTGCCTGAAATCAACAAAACATTGGAATCAAACATGATCGCAAAAAATAGAATGAACTTGTCTTGATTTCGGTTTTTTTTTCATTCTTTTTCACTTTTTTTGCTTCACGGTGAACGAAATGAGCCGAGAATAATGTTTATTCATCTGCTGCCAGAAAGGATTTACCAATTCAAATTCATGTCCATTTTTTCCATAAGTTTCCTTTCAATTGGCTCTTTTTTAATTACTGTTGTCCATACTTCACTTTGAAATCACACCGTGTACATGTCGCTTTTAATCATACTTTCTACTGTTAACTGCTTCTATTAAAACATTTATTCACTGAACGATATGACCTAATTTTAAAAATGTTCATAAATTTTCTCGATGTCTGAATGGAAAACCGAAATTTGAGCAAATGCAGTCGTAATAATGCTCGTAGAAAAACGAATCGTCTTTGACTAGAGGACACCCAAAACCTGGAATTTTTTTCAAAAGTGATAAGCGGATAAGTTTTTCCTTTGGCGAACTGGTTTTTCAAAAAATTTCATTTGAAAAGGATCTCTACACAAGGTTAATTCCTTTTATCAACATCATGGTTGTCGACCTGTTTTTCTTTTCTTTTTCTTCTCCAATTTGAAAAAAAAATTGTTGAAATGATAAGCTGTCTCGGAGCTTGAATTGGGTAGGGACTCTTTACAGAATTTTAACCTGTAAAACGAGAGCGAAAATGTGATTTTGCGACTTTACGAGCATTCGAGATGCTTTTCTCTGCTGGTTGATAGCGAGAAGAAAAAAAAGAAACAAGGGTTCGGCGGTCTTTCAGAACCTTAAAGGGTTTCCGTTCCTTGATGACCTCAATACCGACGGTTTTTGTCCGTTCTCTCATGCAAGTGCAAGCCGTTATATGCCATGGGAAATTTGGTCTTTTCTTAAACAGGTCTGCACGCTAGGGGCATCGATGTAAAGTTTAGATAAATTCCGGCGGTTAGGCGACGAGTTTTTGACGGCGCCCTCAGCGTGCTGAAATGATTGATCTTCCCGTACCTTTCACCGTGCGTCTTCTTGTTTTTCTCGAAGTATGTATTTTATCTCGCGTGAATTTAAAAAAAACTAACTCGTCGGTCATGAGAAAAGCTTCGAACATCCCATCTTTTTGAAACGGAACTATTTGCATAAAAATTTCTACGAAGTTTTCTGTAAGAAAACTTACTAACTTGAGAAGGCCTAACTCTTTGTTTTCCCATTGTTCGAGTGAAAGCTCCGTACCGCACGAACCTTTGTTGTAAAAATATTGAATTTTCAAATCATTACGAAATTTATTTACCCACTCAACTATGCACTCAGGTTTTAAAAGTTGATCTAGATTTTTAAGGAAAATGTTGAGTTTGTTTCTTGAATAAATTTTTTCGCTAAACATCGTTCTGTGTCATGGTGTCATGGTGTGTGCGTATCGAACATTTTACTTGACGCGAAGTTCAGTGCCCCCAAAACATGCTTTAATGTACATAGTGTGTCAGGATTTCCTTCGCTTGCAGTCAATCCTTGGAACGGATGTTCATCTCGAATAGCAGCAGGACTCTACCTTGACAGTAAATATAAATTTGCCAGGAGTTCTGTAATTTTTCTCCTCAAAAATTTCCGGCTCACTAGCTTATCGCTGCTGATTGAGATGGGACTTCTCCGAACGGAGGCTTGTTTTTTTTTCAAGAGTTCGAAAAAAAAATCCGTTCATTTTCAATTATCGCCCTCGTTGATAGTCTGTTTTTTTTTTCTATTGCTAGCCAAAGGCTCCTTATGCCATAATCACGGAGATTGTTTCCAAATTGGCGCCTCTGGTGTTCTGTTGACTGATTTACGAATTCGCCGCTATTGTGAACTTAGAACGGCGACGCCCTTCGTTTTAGTTTCTGATCTGCACATTCGGGACAAAATTATAGCCTATTCACTCTTCGTATTTGGTAAAAACCAGAAATTGGGCGCTTTTTTTTCGATGAGTTCTACAGAAATGCGTTATTTTTTTTTTTAGATTGTTTATATTTACCGTTTTTTCTAAACCAGTAAACAGCTTATTTGCATGAGCTCTTTATTTTTGAATCTAAATTCTTGTTTTCGTTTCTGTTTGGTTAGCTCGTTAAGTTTTTTTTTTGTCTCTAAGTATAGTTTTTCGTGTAAGTTTATTTACGTTTAGGTCAACTTTTTCGTTTTTTCTGTAATTTTTGTTTCACTCACGCATTTTTGCCTTCGAAAAGAGGGATTTCAAATATTGCGGCTGCTTCGATGTCGTGTGTCCATAATTGACAGTTGTTTTCATTTTACTTCGCTAGCGATAAGGAATTTTGCGATATCAGTGGAAAAGTCATAACCTGGAAAGTACGCTGTTTTTTGCCGTACCCACTGTCGTTTTCATTGTTCTTTTTTTTGTTATCAGTCGGCGTTCTTTTTTCTGTCGGCGAAGTTTCTGTTCAAGCTGCGCGTCCTTGTTTTTTTTATGGGTAATATAATTTAATCGGACCCGACCGGAGATTGTAGACTTTTTTATGGATATCACACTAGCTTGGGATTCTCCGCTTACTTTTCATAAAATTCCAATGAAAAAGGATATATCAGGTTTCTGACATTTTATATTCGATTTTCGAAGTTATTTTCTTTAAAACTAGCTGATCCTTCAAATTTTGGCTGAAGAGAAGTGCATCCAGCTTCGGTTTGAAGGAAGTAAATTTCTTCACAAAATGGTGTTAAAAGGCCCAAGTTTTCTTTTCGTAATCACAGTTTGTGTCAACAGTATCTTCTTTAAAAATCAAATAACAAAGGAATTTTTTTATAAAATACTGAAAACTCCATGATTTCCTCGCATACGGCCTCCTTTTTCAGTCGGTTACAAAAGCCATCTGAGCACTATAAGCTATCAGGTAGACTGCTTAATCTAGCGCGAACTTAGCCAAAAAGAAGAAGAGAGTTATGTTCAACCTAACCCATTTCTTTTTTTTTTTGGAGAGTTTCGGTCGAGTACAGTAATGAGCAGCCGTAATCAGACTATGTCTTGATTTCCAAATTTCCGGTTTCGTCGAATCCAAGGTTTTTTTTTCCGGCGCCGTTTTGTGTTTAACATGTCAAATATAAGCTAGTTGTTCCTCGCTACCTGTATTCTTTCTTCAGGGTACCCTACTCGACTTTGTACTCACAGTAGTGTTCCCTCAACATACCGTTTTCCTTTTTTTCGTTTCTCTCATCTCCTCTGTGTTTGTTTGTGTCAACACTTTGAAAAAGTTTGCGACTCGACGCGATCGAGTTGCGAGAGGCCGTCTCGAAAACCATCCACAAACTTCTCATCTGACCGCGGATCCGACTCACCGACGCCTCGGGGTGGTCTCTTCTCTTTCTACCTTCTCTTTGCAGTTTTCCCCCCGACCGAATTTTCACCAACCGGCAACAGGGCAAAACATAAAAAGCTTAGGTGCTCATGAGTGTTCCCAGACGATTTACTATCAGTTTTGGCCATCTTCAAAAGTTTTCGTTCTCAGACAACATTGGGAAAATTGGTGGGATTGCTTTCCGTATACGATGGAGCAAAACGATGGCTCTTTCCACTTTTCGACCGAGAAATCAGTTTTTTTTTTCGCAATCGCGCAAATCAATTGCAGAAAATTGTGAAATTGAGATGAAGCTAGTTTCTTTTTTTGCTTTATAGATTTTTTACACCCCTTTCTTAAGGAAAATGTGTTTTAAAAACTACGCGTGATTCTGTCAATGAAAATTATAATTTAATGACCGGCAAAACTAATATCTCAGTTACTCATATTTGTCACAAAAAGAATGGATCTGTGACATTTTTGTCCCAAAAAAAATTAAACGGTGATTAAAGGGATTCAGAAACCTTTATTTTTTTGTATAATTTTATCCTAAATTTCATAGTACCTATTATTGATGATTCGTTAAACGTTGCCTTGAGCCAATGGTAAATTATAGCCAAATTAGAAAAAAAAAAATTTTGCCACGAGTTTTTCATTTTCGCTTCGTTTTTTTTTGACTTATTTTGCTTCACTCACGTTTATTTCACAGGAGGCGGAGCTTGACGATACGCTCACTACGCACTCACGACGCAGCTCAGGCCAAGGAACGGGACAAATGCCCAACTGCTGATGAAGTGGCGCTTCTGGGTGTGGCTGGCGACAGCGGCGCTGCTTCTGAATTGCGCCGAGGGGACGTCGTCGCCGGAGACGTCGACGACCGCCGGCGAATGCCCCGAAAAGTGTGAGCCGTGCGCCAAGCTCAGCTGCAAGGACACCGTTCTTGACGCATGTGGTTGCTGTCCTGTTAGTTCTCATTCCTTTTTTCCATTTAAGATCTTTCCCGAGTTGATTGGATTTTGAGATTTGATCTGGAAAGTTCTACTTTTTATAAAAAAAAGATTGCTTAAACGATCATATAGCTCACATAGTCACAGTTTGTTTTATCGACGATTCGCTGCTTCTTCACTTTTGTGTTTGCATTCCTTTTTCCTGGCTCGTGTCTTTTATTCGCGCCGTACTTCTTGTGTTTGTGGCTATGCAATTACTGCTTCGCCTTCTTCACGTACAGCGCCCTCTTTCTAATTAAAGACCTTTTTCATGAATATTAAAACCGCAAGTTGACATGGAAAAGTCAAGACTCGAACGTCTGCAAACACAAAAGAAAAGAGAAGGTTGCGAGAAATACTTTTCTTAATCAATTTTTTTCCGATTGTTTCAAAGTTTATTTATTCTCATAAACATAAAAATTAGTGTTAAGATTGCCGTGCAGACGCTGATCGCATTTTGAAGGCCACAATTGGAAAATTTATGGTCGAATTGCAGACTTGTGTCCGTCAGGTGGGCGAAAGTTGCGGGACGGCGGCAGAAGTTTGCGCGAGTCATCTGACGTGCACTCGGAGCGTCTCCGAGCAGGAATCCAGTCGCTGTGTTGGTTCGTTTCTTTCCTCCTTCTCATTTCCTTCTTTTTTCCCTTTTAAATTTCAAATATACTTTTACCTCTTCCTCCAGAATTCATGAGTTATCATCGACGCGTATTTGGAGTGATGATGACACGAATTACTCAAATAACTGCACATTGGTTGTGAAATATTGTCAAATTCGAACTAAGGAAAATTTCGGTGAAGATTTTAGCAAAGAACAAAATCATATTTTAGTTTTTCCCTTTGTTTTTGTTGTTGTTCTTTTGAATATCAAATCTTAGTCATAACGCTGGTAAATGGCTTTCCAGTCTAAAAATAGACCGATTCTCTCGTCGCAAAATCTTTTAGATTCAGTCCGGCGTGATTTGTGACAAGAACTTTGTCTCGTGCATCACAAGGACATGTTTTCCTTTTTGCACTTTTTCAAATCTCGCGGTCATTTTTTTAGTTTGAGTTTTTTTCACTGAGCGGTTTCAGTTTGGGTTTTATTACTTCAATTTTTATTTAGGCTTTTTTACGCTTTTCTTTTTTTTCAAGTGTGTCAGGCTTTGACTGTTTCGAAATATAATCCACGTAAGTTTTTTTTGTTGCTTAAAACCGAAAACTTATGACTATCGAGAATTTAAGAGCCCTGTGTATGAATGTTTAAAACAGAAAAACTTTTTCGATCGATCAAAATCAAGAGTAAACGGCACACTATTTTTGGATCCAAAGCTCTAGACTCATTAGGAGCTTTTACCTACTTTCTTTCATTACGTACGTTGTGTGGTTTTGTTCAGTTGTAATGAAGTTACTTTCAACCCGTCCAAAAAACGGTTTGAAAAAGTTGAGGGAATTCATGCGTTTCGATAAATAAATTTTTCATAGTATTTAAAATTGAACAGTAAGGATATTTCGAAAAATCTCCTTTCTCGAATTTAGCCGCTTTTTTATTCATTATATTCACGGAACTTTTTTTTTGCTTGTGAACCACCTGAAAGAAAATACTGACTCCTCATTTTCTACCGAGAATTTTTTTCTTTTTTTTCAAAGAGCTGCTTAAAAATTGTTGTTTTACGTGTGTTAATACGATGGGTTGAAAACCTCGGGCCTGGTAGTAATTGCCTCTCAACGCGTTCTCAAATTTCATCGTTCCCTCTTTTTTATGGTGATTGAACACTGGGCCCTGTGGGCATTCGGAATGTGGCTTCATTTCTTCGGAGATGTCGTCTATCTGGGAACCGACTTGGAACGTGCAAATTCTTAAGGTCAAAGAATAGTTTTTGGAACACAGCTGGAAAAAAGTTACGACGCAAAAAAGACAACTGTCAAAACTTTGTGCCGACACATGAGAGTCTAGGTGTTAGGGTGCATTCCTGGGCAATAATCAGCGGCACACGGCTCGGGAACCGCCCATTTTTTCTACTTTTTACTCTGACCTCCCGCTAAAAGAAAATCATTCTCCAATTAGTTTCATTTTATTTAAAATTCACCTAGCCTAGTTCTTCATGATAAAAAATTTCGGTCTCTGAATTGAAAGATTATAAGTAGGAAAGTCCTTATTAATTCTTAATGGTAGCTACAAAAACGATGGCAAGCTGAGAAAAAGACGCTTCCTTATGTGATTCACGACGTTCCTCGTAGTTCTCATTCTCCAAGCCTCCAAGCATTTTTTCACTTTTTTTTTCTTTCCTGTTTTAAAGTTTGCTACTGACTTTTGCGTCATCGTCAGTTTTGAATTAATCCTTTTTGAATACTGAAAATTGCAAAACAAGTTAGTCAAAAAGTATTGTCTTTCGGCTTTATTGTTTTATTGATTGTTTAAAAAAATTCACAGTTCAAACTAAAATAAAAGAATCGAGCCCTTTGATATGAATTTATCAAGTGATCTTTGTTCAAAAAAAAAATCATTGCTTATTCATTATTCTCATATGAAGTCACGCTTGTGACTGGCTGATTTACATCATTTGTGTGTGATGTATTCTATTTACATTCTCTTCCAGTCATAGAAGATTTAGCTTTGAGCCGATTTTTCATTTCATTTTGTGATTGTTATCTCTGGACAGGCCTTTGAAATGTATCTTGTTTGACGGGCTTCTGGAGGCTTCTTGAAAAAAAGGTGCGGCAGGAACGGACCGATCGACGAACGGCGCCGCCGCGACGGAGCAAACTTTTGCTTTGCGAGAACAAATAGGAAGAATCTCAACCCGATTCTTCCCTCGCTTTTCTCTCTCTTCATTTTGATACTTTTGTTACTGTCCTCCATCACAGGCATACTTGCTCGAAAAATGCCGAGCTCGTAAATTGGGCAACAGAGGTCGAATCAAGCTCGTTTTGAACTTCTTCCCTTGTACAATTATTTTTTTTTCTGCTTTGAGAAACATTTTTTACTTTAAAACTGTAAAGCTGGTATGAACTTTGAGCTTGAGTTTCCGTTTTCAAAACAACCTTTCATGTAGTTTCCCTTATTAAGCTTTAGTACCGCCGCCTAGGCTTCTGAAATCGAGAGAAAAAAAAGAGCAACTGTTGTTTTCTGACTTGTATGTTTTCCAACCGCAACATCAATGCTATTTTTTTTTTGCAACAATTCAGCCAATCGCACGCCTATTAGTCATAATTGACGAGCGGATCCGAAAATAACGTGTTCCCAATGAGAACAGCTGTGAGGAGCATTTCCTCATTTACAAAAGCTGAGCCGGGCCCACGGTGTCCACATCTGCTCCGAAGAAGTCTTTTTCTTCATTCTTTACCAGGTCTCCATGAGACTTTCCGAAACGAAGCGCAACTCTGAAAGAAAGAAAGAATTCATTCTGAAATTCGATCCTGACCAGGTTCAAAGAACTACTAAACCGTGGTGAATAATATTTTTCCTTGGATTTTTTTTTTCCGTTTCTCATATTGCATTACATACTTTTTTCAAATGTGTAACAATTTTTCGGGACAAACGCTTCTTTTGACCTATCATTAATTTTGTTTCATAGATGCTTTTATGCTTTGAAAGCTTCTATTTTTGTCAACTTTTTTTCTTCAAGTCTCACCTGTTTTCAGGTTTTTAAAACAAGTTGTTATGATTGTTTTTTTATAGATCAAATTCTTCGTTTTATATATTAGAAGAAAACATTTATAATTTTGTAAATTCTAGTTGTTCCGTGAGGAACGTCTTTTTATGATGGATTCAAGTGCCTATTCCTACAGCGGCTGTTTCAGAAATGGTGTCAGAAGATTGCCTGAATGCTCCTTGTTCGGTAGTGTTCCATCCCAAGTGTCCAGACGACTCACGGCTCATAATTCTGGAGCCGCCACCTGGAGAATGCTGCGGGAGTCCTGGAAAGTGCCATTGTGATCAGCAGGTTCGCTCTTTTGTTCTCTTTTTGGGGAGACCGTTTCTGGACGTTCCCTCCGCTGTTTGAAAGCCAAGCAAAAGCCGAGGCAGGGTACACAGGAAAGAGAGCACTCCTTGCTGTGTTACTATTTACTCTCATCTTTTATTCTAGCTCGGAGTTTCTTTTTTGTCGGCTTCGCTCTGCGATCAGAGAGCAAAAAAAAGTCACGAGAGAAGCTCATTTCTTTTAGGACTTTTGACAGTCATTTCGAGTAACAAGTTTTCAAATACTACTCCAGGGAGCCTTTCAGCGTGCTGAGCAGTTCATAAAATACACTGAAAAAGAATTTGGTGTAATTCAGAAAATATATGCATACTAAAAGAAACTAATTTTTACACGAACTTTTTCTGGAATTACCCTGCTAAAATGATTTTTCGCCTTCATTATTTTTTTATTTCAAGTGAACTGTCTAAAAAAATTTGCTGTTACCTGTTATGGGCAGAAATGTTTTATGTGCTTAATAAAATATTTAAATATTAAGACTGGAATACTAGGATGATTCAATACAAAATTATGCACACCGCATGTTTTTCAGAAGTGTGACGCTCTTCTTTCGCCATGCGAGAAAGGGAAAGAACGCGTGCTTGTAGTAGAAGGGAAAGGCGTTCCGGGATCGTGTTGCGACAAGTACGAGTGTAGGAAACGCGGTTGGTGGAGCTGGAGAAGCCTCATTTGAGCTCCGAGTTCAGAACATGAGTGCGCTAGCGTGCATTGTCCGTCTCTGCCGTTCGACGAAGACGCCGGCGTCGAAGAATGTCCCGAAGACAGCCTACGACCGCCTGTCCACGTCCCCAAAGGCACTTGCTGCCCCGTCCGACCAAAGTTCGTTCTTGACTTCTCATCAAAACTTAGAGAAAACATTTTGAAGAAAGAGAAGGTTTCTAATGCAAAAGCTGGAGTAGGAAACTTTCTCCCATTTTCTGTAAATCTTTGAAGGAAACATCAGTCTTAAAAAAGGTTCTACTGGAAAAAAGACAAAGTTTGATCACAACAGAAACTGATTGCGAAGTCAAGCATCATTTCTAATTTTGCTATCAATCGTTCATTTTTTGTTTTATTCGTTCATAAAATAAGCTTTATTTTTACGATTAAGGTATTTTGTGAATTGAAACGTGAAAACGGGTATTAAGATTTTTATTTCATCATTGGAGTTGTTGGATTCCTGAATAAACCTTAAAGCTTTCCATCTTGATTAATTTTTATCTTGACAATCCGAAGGATTTAAAGTATCGAAAGTTTGGGTAAAAAAGTCAAGTGTGAGTGTCTTCACGAAAGGAAAGAGTTGTAAATGGAACATTTTTTAAGAGAAATTGTTCTAAATAACTGAAAAGTTGTCTACCTATAAAAAATTATCACTGTTGTTAAAGGTTTTCATCTAACTTGCACTACTCGCAGATATTCTATTGTGTTGTTAGATTTTTTGCTCTCGAAGGGACAAACATGAAAAAGTCGGAGATCGAGTCAGATATGTTCCAGATGTCGATGCCGAGGCTCGATATGCCGTCCGGCGACCTGCCCCGAGGGCCAATCCATCAAGATACTGAAGAAGGGAAACGGAAGTCCAGGCCGTTGCTGCGACGATTGGACCTGCCAGATCGACAACCAAGCCATGGTGGGAACACTGAAACAGACCGTCTCTTTGAAAGAGTCGGTGTCAAATCGAGTTATTTCAAAGGAAACGCTTTTGATACCGGACCAAAGTTTTTCGAGTAACTGATTGAAATAGATTTGAAAAAAACAAATGAGAAAACTGTGTTAATCAGGCTAAAGAATGCCTACGCGACGGAAAAGTGTACAAAGACGGCGAAGAGTGGCATTCTAACAACTGCGACTCTTGCAAGTGCAACCGGGGCGTCGCCATGTGCAACAAGATGGCCTGTCCGCAAGTGCCTCGTTGGTGGAAATCGGTCTCGACACGACCTGTTCCGAATGATTTTCAGCCCATTGCACTTGGATCGTGATTCCCGACGGCGAGTGTTGTCCCGTGTGCTTTGGCTGCCAAACTGACGCTCGCGAGAAGAAGAAAAAGCACGAAAAATGGCAAAAAGACGACTGTACCTCGTACGTGTCTTCATCTTTTGCATATTTCTGATGATCTTATGAAACAATTTTTTCGTGATAATATGTCAAAGAGAAGAAAATACTTGGAATATGTGAGGTTTTTTTCCAGTTCTGCGAGAGGCTATCTCTAACGTCAAGGGACTTTTTTTTTGATAATCACGTTGAAGATTATAGAGAAAGTTGAAAAACAGTATTTCCAAAGCGAAAGTTTTGCGCATTTATGAGGCGACTATGAAATATTTTGATTTAGAGGTTCAGTTTTCGATAAAATATGTAGAAAGTTCGAATCTAAACTAAACTAAAAGGTAGTTAAAAAATCCAAAAGTTTTTTTCTTATTTTGGATTCATTTAATTTTATGAAGTTTTAATAATCTTCCAAAGACAATAGCATATAATTAGATCTATCACAAAACTCGTTCTCGGCTCAAAGACAGTCCCGAATCAAGACTTTTGTAGATGCACGTGTTCGGAGGAAGGAGAGCACGTCTGTATGAAGCACATGTGCAAGACGGACTGTGAGAATCCGCAGAAGATCAGCGGCGAATGCTGTCCTGTTTGCGATGGTTTTTTGTATTCGTTACTTGATCTCAGTTCCGAGCTCTCTTTCAGAACCGACGGTAGTTCGACCTCCCGCCACCTGTCCTTCTCTTGAACACTGTCCGCTGAGGTGGGGGGAAATGACTTGCTCGTGAAGTAGTCGTGTTCTTGAGATGTGAGAATGGCCTGCGCCGAGACGACTGGGGCTGCTACGTCTGCGAATGTCTGCCTGTAGATCATCCCATAGGCGAGGAGTGCTCCGAACTCAACGAGAAGAACTGTGACAAGTTTGTCGAGAGCTCTAGACTGACCTGCGAAGAAACGTCTTCAGACAATGCGCCCACGGATACCTGAAGGACAACGGCGGCTGCGTCGTCTGCAAGTGCGCCAAGTGTCCGCCTCTGCACCAGTGCTTCAAACATTGTCTCTATGGCTTCGAAACGAACTCGGCTGGCTGTCCTGTCTGCAAATGTCGAGGTGAATTCCTCGATTCAGGCTTGCGATCCTCGTTTTAGAGTCTTCGGAGAACGCGAAAAACGCATCGACGCACCTCGAGCAGCTGCCTGGATCAGACAAGTGAGAGTTAGTGTGGGAGGTGGGAACATGGAAGTTGTGTAGATGCTACTCGGCGAGCAGCACTGGACGCATCATCGAACGCGACGGCGGCGAGTGGTGGAGCGACGGCTGTCGTCATTGTTTCTGCGAACAGAAAAAGGTGTGTTTCCATCAGAACTGCTCACTCGGGAAGTCTTCCGACTTTTCAGTCATTTCTTCATCATTTCTTTACTTTTAACATAAAAACAGTATATGGAATATGTTTCACTTTGAAATTCTGTAGTTTTAAGGAAGGAGTTTAAATTCAAAGCAGCTTGTTCAGTGAAAAAAGCTTGGACTCTTCTTTGATTCTCGTAGTTTTCCATTTACATCAAGTCTGATTCCAGGAGTTCTGCTCACTTATATCCTGTCCATCTCGACCTGCGGACTGTCCTGAGGAAAAGTGGATCCAGCACGAAGGTCAGTCTTTTCCCATTTTCGAACACCTCAAAAAGAGACAAAACAAAAAGTATTTCAAAGTATTTCAACAATTCCGCCGCAATGATTTAAGACAGTTTCGAGCAATTTTTTTGCCGGCCTCTTTTTCATAGACTTTTTCGTCATATTCTCATGTTTACAGACGAGTGTTGTCCTTTTTGCTCGGAGAAGAGCTCATCTCCGTCGACTTCGCTCAGTCAGAAAAAGCACGAGCACACGGTTTGTCAGTCCCCCGGTACCGGCCGTCTCTTCACTGGTTCGCATTCCTCAAATGGCAAAGTTTGATCGCCTTCTCCAGACGGAGAGACTTGGGATCTGACGTCGTGCGTCTCTTGTACTTGCCGCGTGGGACATGTCCTCTGCCGTACCGCCCAATGTCCTCCGATCCCCTGCGACAATCCAAAGTTCCTCAATGGCGACGACTGTTGTCCCAAGTAAGAATATATCTTTTATCAAAAACAGCTTTTTCGGATGTGTTTAGACGATTTTTCCAATCAGTGGGCTCACGATCATTCGGCGTTTTCTTTTTATCCTCATAGTTTTCTTTAAAATATGAAAATTTTTAGTTTCGTTTATCACAACTCGAGGAAAATTTAGAGGCAATCTGAGTAGTAAGACATTTAAAGTTTCTTAAATGATTTTGTTTTTTACGTTGATTCCAGTTTGGCTCCCACCACAATATCTTACATTCACGTCCTTGAAATTGAATTTTCTGAAATGCTGAAAAAACACATCGTCTAGATCCCACCCCAGCCTTTTGCGCGCGAAAAAAAAATTTGAAAATGTACTGAAGTAGGCCGGACTTTTCAGGGGGTAGGCAGCCCGAGGTGGGATCCAGCCGACGTATGAATGTTAAAGAGAAAATGCGTTTTTTAAATTATTTTCATGTTACTGAAGCATTTTCAAAACTGAATTTTCCAGGTGCCCCCTCATAAATGCTATACCGGTAAGCACGCAGGAACCAGTGATATGCGAAGATGAAAGCGGACACGCCCACAAATCTGGTTTGTTTTTTTTTTTAAATTTAAAAAAGTTCGAATGTAATGACACTAAAAATATCAGGATCTTCGTGGAGAACTGACGATTGCACGTCATGCACCTGCACCGCCGAGGGCAAGACGGAGTGTTTCCGCGAGGCCTGTGAAGATACTTCGTGCCGCGGAAGTCCGCTGGTCGTCAAGGGCCGCTGCTGTCCAGTGTGTTCAGGTGTCGTCGCCAGGGCTGTCGGGAAGCTCTTTCCTTTTTTGCAGACGTCTTCTCCTCGACGGCCGTCTGCTCCTACCAGTCGACGGTCTACGCAGTCGGAGAGCAGTGGCAGGACGGCCATTGCTCCAACTGTTCTTGTGTCGCCGGCGGACAGACTCACTGTCGTCAGATGGTGTGTCCGCACTGCGAGGACCCCGTTCCGATCGAAGGCCATTGCTGTCCTCTCTGTAAAGGTCCAAGAACTTCACACTTGCTTTTTTCAACAAAGAAATTTAAAATAGGTTCAGATCAAAAAGTTATGAAAACAAACGCTCTTACGTTCATCTGGAGCACTTTGATCAAGGTCAAAGAAAAAAGCTTTCTCGGCTTTTTTCTTCGATCCGAGTTACTATGTTTCAAAATTAGGCGGACTATAATACCACAGTGCGTGAAAAGGTGAAATTCATGTCAACAGTAGGAAATGACTCGTTTCAAAAGCAAACGTCGAGAACGCCTTGATTTGAGTTGTTGAGGGACACCTAAAAAGTTTTCCACAAATTTCTCATGCTAGATCTGTTTTCAAGTTATTTGTGAGATTTACATACTGAAAAGCTCCGTTTTCAAATTTTCAATTCTGCAGATTTCCACTGATAAACTAAAAATAAAAAACACCGCATTACTATTTTTTTTTTACTTATTTGCTACCAAAAAAATAAAAATTGTGAAAAAAGCTATTAAAGGAAGAAGCCCTGCTAGTCTATAGAAACTTAATTGAACAACTTTGATACTTTTACGTGCATCACTGCAGAATAGGATTGTGAATGATTCAGACGCGGGCTGGGCGCCGTACGGACTTGGCAACGGCTCAATGACTGCGGCTCTTCCGCCCCTCGAGAACACAGAGACGAAAGCGTTGCCTCTCCTCGGCTTCTCCTTCATGGGCCTTGCCATCTTCGGCCTTCTGTTCGTGCTGTTTCTTCTCTACAAGAGAAGCAAGCGTAGCAACAGAGTTGGTGATGATCAAGGACAGCTCGTGAAGAATGAATTTTGCAGCTGCACAAGTTCAGCGAAGTTGGCCACATGAGTTCTGGAGCCTCGTCGGTACGTCTTTCGGCGACAAAGGCGATTGGGTCGATGCCGCGGCTCGTCGACTGGCAGTCGGACGAGAACGGACGGCACAGCGTCATTGGCGGACTTTTGCTGCAGACTGCGCTCCGTCGAGAATCTCAGTCAGATGGCCAGAGCGACAGCCTCATCTCTACCATGTGAGAGCTTCAAATAAAAGTCCAACATGTTCAATTCTTCCCGAATTGAAAGGCGCGACAGGTATATCGGCAAGGGTGGAGCGTTGCGTACGCGACGCGGCTATCTGGCGCGAAACGTAAATTTAAACGCGAGTCGCGTTTTTTTTAATGTGTTTCTTTTTTTTTTGCAGTTTTTTTCAATATTTTTAAAATTTTGATAGTTTTTGAAAAAAAAAAACTTGACTGAACAATTAAAAGTATAAAATAATTAAAGACTCTTTTTTCCTACGATTTTTCCCTGACCTTGGGTTTCTGGCCAAAAGTCCCGTTCACCCTTGCCAAGCTGCTCAACTCGCCATGTCGGGAAAAATAGACTAGTGTGAATTTCGAAGTCTGATGAAATAATTAGAGAGAATTAAATAAGCTCATAAAGGTATTTGACTTATCTTTCGAGGTAAAGCTGTCAAACGTTCTACTTGCTCAGATCGGAGTCTTCCGCCACAGCCAGCACGGCGTCTTCAGGACGCGGTACAATCACCGACACGGAGCCGTTGACCGGCGGCTCTCGAGGCACCAAACGCTTTCCAGTGTAAATGTTTGTGAATCTTTTCATGTTGCTATCCGAATCCTCACTGTCGCTTAATAAATCTAGAAACTCCTCGTCCCGCTTTTGTGGATTCTCTCATTCGGGTAGTTTTCAAGTAGGGTCCTCTCATGGATTTGTGAAACTTATATTTCTGAGTTAACGTGCAAGTAATCCATCCTAACATTTGTATTCTCCTCGTTCTAAGTTCGGGTACTCCTGGCCGTGCTAGCGAATTCTTCAGAAACTAATTTGAGAAAATCGGGACTTCGAGATTTCCTTGTTTGCATTATTGTCAATTCTCCAAGATTCTCAAAAAATTTGAAACACAGCGTCTGAAATGACGTCCAGTTGACTTTATTTATTTTTTGCCTTCTTTGTTCTTTTGTCTTCCCTGTTCATTCAAAATTCCTATGTTCGCTGTACATACGCATGGTACATTCACGGACGCATATTTTTTCTTTGCATCTTATTTTTAGCAGGTTCTTTGTCAATTATCGTCATGCATTTCGTTTTTTATTATGATTAATAAATATGATCAAAATTTATGTTTTGTGAGTAGTTTCATATGCAAAGTTCTCAGTTTTTTGATGAATTTATTCTTTTAAGACTAGAATAATACTTAGTGAAAGCATGACCGGGCGAGATTTTTTGATTTTCATACCTAGCTTTACAATAAATCACAATGTCATCGGACATCTATACATCTTGGAAACTGATGAAACGTGGGACCTGAGAATTTCGTAATACATCTGCAGAAAGAGGGAACAAAATTTCACAGATAATGTTTTTTTGTTTTCAGTCTTCTTATTAAAAGTTCCCAATTTGATTCGCATGAATCAAAAACTTTTCAGAAAAACTTTTGGAAATAGAATATTTTTTTAGAAAAAAAGAATTATAAAGGACTTCATGCGTTTCAAAACGGGTCGAATATAAGGGAAAAAAACATGGTAAACAACTACTGAGGAAAAACTATATCCAATAACGAGTTGCAAGGCGACGTGAAAGGGATCGAGGAAAGTGGAGAACAGGGGAGCTAGAAGATAAACGGAATAAGTGCTTTCCTCTTTTCAGGATAATTGTCAAACGTTTTTTTATACCAACGATGAGTGATTTCGGCGGCGAAAAACTGGTTGACGATCACAAAAAATACAATGAACTGAAAAATTTTATAAATCACTGATTTTGGCGGTATGAATACCTTGAAAGCATAGCCGCTGCCGACTACCATCCACAGGGTCAGGTAGATGGCAATTTCAAACAGGAAATGCGGACAAGACACATAATTGAACCAGCCTCCGACGCAAATTCCATGTGCATAGCTGCGTACCAGACCTTGAAAATACCTTTTAGTATTCTAAAAAAATGAAAAAAATTCCAAGAAGGAAAACATTGGGGTGAGCTCTGTTGTTCACTTTTACAAGAGATATGAAAAGCCGATTGCATCGTCCGTTCACAAATGATGATCCGCAAAACGGAATGAAAAAGCCCCTTCAACTTTGTTGCGACCACTATTCATACTTTATTTCAATGACTATGTGGAGTAAAAGAAAAGAAAATTTTGTGAATGCTTCTATAAAGAATGAAATCCCATCGGAGAAGAATATTACTGTAGAAATCCAATCAGAATTAAAAAATTCCTCTGAAAGCTTCGAAAAACTCGACAAAGGATTCAGAAATAGAGACTGAACTCTAAAAAAAATCACCTCGAGGTCCTCGACGTGTGTCAGCGATTCGAGTGGCGAGCTTGTTTTGTTGCAAATTACACACGACGAAAAGCATGATTCCCAGCCACTGAGTCCTGCTCAGTTCGGAGATGTCGAAATGGAAGTCTGAAGACATCTTTTCACACGTTTAACTCACAGCCTTCAAATAAGAACGGCAATGACAGATTCAATTCAAAAAATATACATTTTCAAAACGAAGAGTTTGTCAGAACTAAAAGTTCTGTCCATCGAAACAAACCTCTTTAGAAGCTTTTAACAAACCTTTTAGAAGCTTTTAACACACCTTTCAGACGCTACGCCACCCCCTCGATCGTGTCGTCACGGAGCTTATAAAAGCTCACGGGACACACGATTCTGTCTCCGATACGATCAGCCAGACTGATCGTTTTCTCCTTTTACTTTTGTATTATTTTATCATGTTCCGTTTTATTGCTTATTTTTTTAATAAAGGTTTAATTACCCAAGTTTGAGGTACACCAAAACACCGCGTGGCTCTCCTTGGAAAAGGAGAAGGGCGAGCAACACACAAGGACCTCGCGCATTTAGAGTTATCCAAAAAAATGTCGGAAAAGGATTAGTCGGGAACTTCGCAGTCGGAAAGCTCCCTAGCGATATGAAAAAAATCGAAAAAATCGCCGTTCGAAATTCCGCTGGTTTTTATTTCATACCACCAAATAACGAATTTCCAAGCTATGAATTTACGCAAAATGAAAATGTCCAAATTTAAATCTAGTAAATCTGTAAGCCTTTAAACTAATGGTCTCCCTTGCTGAGTACATAATCAATAAATTTCATTTCATTTCGAAAAAAGGCTATGAGAAACTTGAAAATTAAATAGTAAAGAAGATATAATTTATTATTCGCTCAAAAAGATTCCAACCGGAAGGATTTCGGGTGACGACACCACGCATCTCGCAGACGATGGACAACGGCAGGATTATATAGTGGGCGAGGCCAAGAATGTAGTGGAAGACGTTCATCGTACTGTCCGAGTAGATGCACACGAACAACGTCTCGTAGCAACGCCGCAACACGTGCATCAGCACCAGCGTCAGTGCCACGCAGCCCGTCGTCCAGCTCACTGTGTGGAAACTTTTCTCTAACATCGAAAAAATGATGAGCAGGTCAATAGTTCAGAAATGACTTACAAAACGCTCACATAATCGATAGTTGTCGCAATTTTTTATTTAAAAATTCACCGAGCTTAATTAAGAAACTTAGAAAAATTGAAAAAAATCGAAAAAAACTACTTTGAAAAAAATATATTTTTAAAAAAACCGGTTGGAAATTTTTTTAAAAAAATGAAAGGAAAGTTTAAAAATTAGGACCTTAAAGAGGACTGAAAAATCGGCAGAAATATATATTTATGTGAGAGTAAAGCTCAAAACAATTTTCGATTTATTAATTTGACATTGGTTAAGAAAATAAACCAACATCAAAAAATTTCGTACTTTCTTTGAAAATAATTTTATAAGAGAATGACGCTCAGTTTATTTTTCAAAGTTTTCATATTCTAAAACTTTTCAAATTTGCATTCTGAGTGGAAAAAGTTCTCTCAAAACTTGAATTTATGAACGAAAATAAAACCTACAGTGCTTCGCAATGTGGAGGTTGGTCAACATTGACAAGTAATAAGTCAAAGTTGGCGAAGGGATAACCGTTTGTGTGTAAATTGCACATAGAAACTGCAACCACAGAACTGTCGTCACAACGCCGACAATGTAGAAATGAGTGAACCATCTGAATCCGTTCTTTATTAGAACACCTTCAGATTTTGAAGCGAACCTTTTGGGTACTGAAATAGCCCTAACTAAAGGCGGTTGTTCCTGGAGGTCTCCAGCGGCCTTTCCGTAGGTAGTGAGGGCGGGGATAAGGGAAAACCAGTCGGAAGGCGCCAAAAGAGTGAAAAGACAGGAGATGGCCAAGGCTGTCGTCACGCTTATCAGGTACCAAGGTATAATCGCGTAATCATACTCGTGTACTACCGGCGCCATAGCTGAAGTTTATCAAAAACTTTAAAAAATCCAAAGTAAAGAAAGTCTGGGCAAAAACTTGGTGGTATGAAAAAAATACCAGCGAAAATTCAAACGGCGACTTTTCCGATTTTTTTCATATCGCTAGGGAACTTTCCGACGGCCATCTTTCTGACGAATCTTTTTCCGACTTTTTTTCTCGATAAAATCTTCGTTTTAAATCTTCCTTTATAAAGTAGGTAGTTGGTTCATGATTAAAAACACAAAGAAATAGGAAAAAAATATTTATAGATGTTTTATAAACTGAAAAAAACTTAAGGGAAAAAAAGTCGGAAAGAGATCCGTCGGAAAGGTGGCCGTCGGAAAGTTCCCTAGCGATATGAAAAAAATCGGAAAAAGTCGTCGTTTGAATTTTCGCACGTATTTTTCATACCACCAAAAAAATTTCGAAAAATAAAGAAAAAAATTTGTTTTAGGTGAAACGAGGGTGATTGAAAGCTAGGAATTTTATGAAGGCGAGAAAAAAATTAACGGAAAAAAATATTAACGCTTTCGAAACTATTGTTGCAAATCGATCTCGTTATTATGTTGTTTGTAAGGTTTCACTATCAAAATAATCATAATTATTTGGATCCCTCTCGATACTTCTTTCAAAAAAAAAATTTCAAACTGCTTTAAAAAACGGTACGCATTTCACTAACATTGCCGACTTTTTATTAAAAAAAAGGTTAAGATTGACGAAATCCTCCGTAACTTGTTACCCTAAGGAAAAATAGGAAAACCAGGTTTCCTTGTGAAAGCTAACTAACTTTAAAATTTGGCAAGGATTTTTTCCTCCTTTTTCAGCTGTATGAGGTGACTCACTACGTTCGCAGAGAAGAACTCACTTTTTTTAAAAAAATAATTATGAAGGAACTTTATTATTAAAAAAAGAATGAACAATTTGAAGCGCACACCACAACTCAAAGATGTCCAAAAAAAACCAAAAAGTATAAAAAGTGCAAAATGCGCTTTTCGCTCAGAAAACGTCGAAGGAAGGCTAGAGTCGCGGAAAGACCCGCCTATTTTCCGTCGCAACAACAACAAAACAACATCAATATCGAAAGACCCGCACATGTTTCGAGGGTACGTGAAAAGAAGCAATAGCCAGGAACCAGTATAGAAGCGAAAATTGATTTTTCACGTAAAGACGCAACATCGATGAGAGCTAATTCAAATGTAAACATCGGAAAATTGCTTCGAGAAGAACGAGGCTCTGAAATACAATCCGCGCAAGTCGAAACAAAAAAGATGAATTCGTTTAGATAAAAACTTAAAATTTCATATAATCAAAAATATATAGAAGTGAAAAAAATACTCTACTTCAAAAATTTCATTATACACTCTGATTATTTTTTTATAATAAGATTTGAAAAAGTAGAGTCAATGGGGAGCATAGTTAAGGAGACTTGAGACTTGCCTGGAAGAAAGCTCAAACTCAGGTGAGAAAATAAACTGGAGAGTCCACGCTTGTTTGTCAACCTAGCGCGATGCTCCTACGAAAAATGTAAGTACAAACAGATGGAGAGTCGCCCAACGCACAAGTAGAAACGAATAAAAAAATTAGGAAAAGTAACATCGCAAAGTATAAAACCAAACAAATTATCAAACTTCGTTCAAAATAAAATTAAAACACAGAAAAAAAAAATGCTGATAGTCTCTGCTATTCAAAAAAGCCTATAATTTTAGAAACGGCTTGAGAAAGTACAACCTAATGACAAGGATGCATTCATTTCATTTATTTTCTAATTCCATGAAGCTGCAAAGCTATTTTAATATAAACAGTCTGTTTCAATAAAAAGTTAGTTCTATACTTATGACACCAATTTATGAGCGCAAGAAGAAATTTCAAGATTAAATTATAGTTATAATGAAAAATTCATTGACAAATCCGTGTGAGCCCTAACGAAGTTCGCTCAGTCCAAAAGAGACAAACATTTCTGATGATGTGTTAAAAGTAATTTCGAAAAACTCAAAAATAACCACCAGAGAGTTAAACAAAAGAACATAAACTTCGGGAAGTCAGAGATAAATTTTACTTTCGCATATAATAAAAACACAGAATAATAGAAAATTTGAAAAAACTCTCATGTGCCAACTTTTTTGAGGAACATTATACAAACTGTTCAAAAATTTATAATGAAAAAACTATCGTTGAAAAAACAATCAACTTCATTTCGTTCATTATCATTTCAATAGAATAACAAAAAAATTTCAAAAACTAAACCCGACTCACCCTAACTGAAAATTATATCTTATCAGTTGAATTATTTGAATAAGTTCAAATTTTTAACCTTTTTTGATAAATTTTCCCCCCTGAAGAGGCCACTAGAACTGCGCAAACATGGCACGGTTATATAGCAGTCGCCGCACAGTTTTTTGAAATTTATTGTTTTTATTGTTGCGTTTAAAGTTAGATAAATATAAGCCGTGTTTAAAGTAGTTTTGCGACACTCCAAGTGGTAATTGACTTTTCGAAATTTGCTCCATCTTTTTCTCTTCATAACGGCTTTTTCTATTTCGCCAAAATGTTTGAAAATGGCAGAAGCGTTCGAGCCATAATTTTCGGCATGATGTGATAATTTTTTTGTGATATATTTTTCCAAAGTACTTCAATAACTTTTTCAACTATTCAAAATTTTTTTAATGTTCTTCATTTAACATCAAAAAAACACATACACCTGAATGTTTATTATTTTAATATTTTGAATATTTTTAAATAAAAAGTTAGTTATTGAAGAATTAAGCTTTTGATTTTTCTTTTCTCACAGTTAGTCCATATTTTTACAAGTCTGTCACGTCGTTGTTATTGACTTTTATATGAAAGCAAACAATTGCAGCTAAATTTATGCATTTTTCTCCATATGTATTTTTCATGATTCGCACGAAGCATAATTTTTTTCCTTACTATCTTATTCGAATCCAGTTACAGAGTTTGGTCGACATGATATTTTCAACTTGAAAGTCTTCGCAACGAGATGGAAAGCCCATCTCCTCTTGGTCGTGCCTTCGACGTCCCGGTAAGCTGTTTGAATTGGAAAAATTTTTATCTCAACGCGCATCGTCCCGCGCCAAATCCCTTCATTTTTTTTTTCACCGGCTTTCGTTCTGATCTGTGGTTGCTTTTTCAGCCATTGAAAAATAAATTTTAAAAAAATTTATGCTGTTTTTTTGCATGAAAAAAATGCCTCTCAGTCTCATTTGAAATATTTCGACGTGTCTGTTGAATTTCTTTTTCAGACAGTAATTATTTTTATTGTTTCAGACTTTTTTTTAAAGTGATATTTCACATTTCGATGAAGGTTTCATTGATTTTTTTGTTTTTTTCATGGTATTCGCATGCCTACGGTAACCGTTATCAATTTAATTGTTTCCTCGTTTTGATTTTTGCTTTTTTTCTTGTTTTCGTTCTTCTTTCTCATTCTTCCTTGTTTGTTCTTTTTTCTAATATTACCTGAACATCTTATTTGTATGGTATTGGGTGGAACGTAAAAACAAGAAAAAAAAACCAGAAATCGAAAACATGGAAACAGTTTCATCGGTAACTTCGCCATCAGTTCGTTCCCAAACATGAAGAAAAATCATTGAATAGCTTTTGGAAACGACTTGTTTCTTCATTTTCCTTATTTATTATTCCACTTTCTTTTTCCTGTATCGACTAGCTCATGTATACAAAAGGCGTTACACATTCAATTGCACTTTTTTTTATTTTCTTTCATCTTGTCAAACGGCTGTGTCATGAATCAAACAAATTGTCGTTTTTTGCCTTCCAATCAAAATAAGTCCTTCAAATGTTTCTATACTATATCCCTCCAATTCGGATGATCAAATTTTTTACAAATTCGTCTAGAGGAAGAATAAGATAATAATCTCACGAGAATTTCCCCAACCTGGCCGTTCTTAGAAGGTCCTAACGTCTGTGTCTTCTTTTTTTTTCTCATCTTTCCCTCGTCTTTCTCAAACTTTCTAATATTTTTGTTTCCAGTCCGAATTACCCGTTTTGCATACTATTTATTAATTTTTTGGTGCATCTAAAGTTGACGAATCAGGAATGGACACTTCGGAAATTCAGCAATATGTTATCAGAGTAATGGAATATGTCAAAGAGGTGAGGTTTTCGCGAGTAAACTGCAAAACTCACATAAGTTAATGAGTCTTGCGCGTTTTGATTACAATCTGAAACAAGTTAGGAAATCTTGTTCAAATAGTCATCTCAGCTAGCAATGAATGTGTATTGTGTCCAAGCTGGCGACTTGAGGCACGGACGATGTCGCCGGACGAGATCGCGTGGCCTCTGCGACTGCTGCTCATTCTTCTCGGCTACGCGACTGTCGTCGTCCCAGCCGCCTTCGTAGTGGTTTATATCCGCCGTAATTCCGATTGTTTGTTTGTTCTGATCATCTCCCTTCAATCGTTCGTTTCAAGACTTTGAAAATCGGAGTAAAAGTCTATGGGCAAGATGGTTGCGTCTTTTTGCTGTCGGTAATCCAGGATACGAGTTGTTGGTGGAGGAAAACACGCAAAAGTTTGTTCTTTCTCAGCTCAAACCGACCCTTTTTTCTATTTCAGGAGGAAAGAAGACCGCCTTGAGAACAAATTTTGGCATGATCTATTCCTACTTCTGTTTTTCTTCAGTGGTATACAGGTATATACAGTCTTTTTGAGATTGTATCACAAAATTTCGTCGAAAAGAGCTTTTATTCATTTTCGCATCACTATCCAACTCATGTTGGAATTAGAAGAAACAAATTCTTGATATACGATTTTTGAGAAGCTGTCGCTGTTGGCTTTCAATGGAGTTTTCTTGTTTTGCAGAATAATGTTTTTTTTTCTCCAGACAACCCTCGTGATGATGGGATTTCTGCAGGAGCGCATAATCACTCTGGGATATCCCTTGCAAAGTGATCCTGACAAGGTTCTTTTCGATTTGTATACTTTTTCAGACAAATTTGAAGGTGGATAAATTCGGAGACGCACAGTTTCTGATTTTCTGCAATAGACTCGTAGCCTTGGTGTTCAGCGTTTTTGTTTTATCAATCAACTGGAAGAGGCAAGTTTTTTTAATCTTCACAAGTGTTTCAAATGCACTATCTGTATTGAGTTGAGAGAGCATGCTCAATGAACATTCAGTTTTTTACGTATTGGAAAACAAAAGAAATATTTCTATTTTCCAGACAACCGCCTCATGTTCCTCCATTGTATGTCCATTCCTATACTTCGTTTTCGAACACTTTGTCTTCTTGGTGTCAATATGAAGCTCTCAAATATGTCTCCTTCCCTACTCAGGTCAATTTTAAACACAATAACGGAAAGAAGGAACCGAATAGATTGTAAGTAGTAAAAAAAAACTTCTAGAGAAAGGACTTCGGGAATTTTTTTGCAGTTCAGAACTTTTACTCTCATTTAAAAAAGTTTGCTTCAGACCATTTGCAAAGCGTCGAAAGTAGTCGTGACAATGTTGATGGGACGGGTAGTGCGCGGTCAAAAGTGAGCGGAATCTCTGGAATTTGAAATAAAGAGTAATTGACAGATACTCTTGGTTTGAATACGGCTGCGGGACGATGATCGCCTGCGGAGCGAGTCTTTTTCTGCTCTCCTCCAGCAGCCATTCTTCCGCCATGATCAGCACCTCGGTGAGTCCGAACTGCTCGCCACTAGAGCAAAGGAACTACTTTTTAATTTTCTTTTTTCTTGCCGATTTGAAAAAAACACTGAAAATTCGTTTTTTGACAACTTGGACTATCTTTTTTTGTGAAAATGCGCTTCTGGTATAGAAAAAGTTTTAACATATTTTGTAGTCTCTATATATTTTATTCTATCAAAATTCTTGAATTTTGACTCTTTTTTAAGAAAGTGGGAATCGTATGGGCCGTCCGAGTTCCATGTCTTTATTTTTTTAGAAAAACTTTTTAGACATTGTTTGTGTAATATTGAGTTTTAGTTCTCGGGGTTGCTGCTGATGATTGGATACCTTCTGTTCGATGCGTTCACACTGAACTGGCAGAAGGCTTTGTTCGACACGCGGCCCAGAGTTTCCAAGTATCAAGTTTGTCAGGAATGAGGAATGGACAGGTCCAAACATTGACTTGAGATGATGTTCGGAGTGAACGCCTTCTCTGGCATCCTGTGTCTGGTGTCTCTCGTTGAACAGAAGACTCTCTGGTCCTCCTTGGCCTTTGTCAGTCTTCACCTCGGAGTCGCTCAGGATATCTTCTTGCTGAGTTTTGCGGGAGCTGCTGGTCAGGCGAGTCAGCTTTATCTACTTGTACCGAATCCCAGATAGCGACCATACAATTATCAGAATCTGAAAATGTAGAAAAAAATTCATCATGACTAGCTGAGTTTGACTGACAGAAAATATTTTGATTCAAATAATTTTAAATTTTCTACAGTTTTCTTTTTCTGAGCCTTATGGGTTATGTCTATGGTTATGAAACACTTCAACAAGTTTTTATGAGGAGAATAGTTTTCAAAACTTTTTCACTTCAGCTGTTCATCTATGCGACGATTGAAAAGTTTGGCCCGATCGTTTTCGCTGTAATTATGACGATTCGACAAGTTTGTTCACATCGAATAATACAAAATATCCGTTCGAAATCTTTGCAGATGTTGTCTATAATGCTGTCGGCGATCTACTACAAACACGAAATGTCTGTTGTTGCACTACTCGGGTTCATTATCGTCTTCGCTTCTATTTTCGTGGACATTCAAAAAAAATATTTCGATAAGCGCATTTCTAAGTAGTGCATAATCTTTCTCATATTTTGTGTCTAGTCTTTGACTTCTTGTTAAGTTATAACTTTCTCTACAACCACGGGCTCGATTCGTTTCGGATGCATATTAGATATATGGGCATTTTTCTGTGATTTCATTTTACGTGAAAATGCATTTTAATTGGTTGTTGAAAAGATGCGTTTTTATAACCTAGGAAACGGAGGAAAACTGGAGCGTAGCCGTCCGTTTTCCTTTTGTAAACATTTTTGAAATTCGTATATGAACGCGTGACGCTGTGTCGTGTAGTTGGCGTAAACACAACAATTCTAAATTTACTCGCGTAAATATGGATAAATAAGGCTTGAAGGTGACTGAAAAATGTTAAGTAGAGTAGGCGTAAGAGTTCCCGTAAATTGTGTTTAGTATGTGGACTCGTTGGTGGCTATGCGGACATGGCGATTTCTTTAGTTTCGTTGATTTCTTCGTCCTGTAACAGCGTATAGTTTTCCTCTTAGAATTACAATTGAAAAATTTTCCTGTCAATCACTCACAATGCTCTTCTAATCTGAAGGCATAAATATAGTGAAACTTTTCTAGAAAAGGTGTTTCGTTTATGTCAATGTTCGAAGAACTTTCGTACGCCTTTTTTTCTAAATTTCGAATTTTACAAAGTAGTTTTTGCGGTAAAGTGCACTTACTATGACAGAAAAAGAGCGGCTCTCTCGTCTGCATTGAATGGCGACGAAAAGGAGCAGAAGTAGGAGAACGACTAGAAGAACGACGAGTAGAACTGAGAGCATCGACAGCTCGTCCCACATTTCTTACCCGAGGCGAAGCGGCGATTCAAATTTTTCGACGGAGATGTGGAGAAAAGGCGGAGGCCAGCTGTCCTCTCGCCTGGAGAGTCCAGACGTGCGAGTCGCTTCTTTCCCACCCCGGCTGTTTTCTGTTTTTGTCGCAAACACTCGTAAACAGCTGCAGGCTGTTCTGCACCGCGTCTTTTTTCTGCACTACCCAACCTAATTGTCTCGAAAAGAAAAGCATGATCCGAAGCGTAAACTGTGATGGAATGGGTAGAGAAAGGAAAAGTTTTATTTCTCTGTTTTGAGAGTAGTCACAATTGTTCAACAGAAAAAAGGGTACCAGTAAAGAAGATAAATGAATAGTAGTTATACGAAAGTAAGGGGAAAGTCACTGTGTGCCAATCAGTTGGAAAAAAGTACACGTTTGGATTATTGGGGATGAATTCGGAATCGAGAGATGAAATTTGCGTGGAACGAATGATGCTATGGCGAAAATCATTTTCCAGATGCAATCAGGCCCTTTCGCCACATTCTAAGGCCGAGATCCCTAAGCCTGAAGACAGGCCTCTTCAAAAGTCTAAGGACGTGTCGTTGCCGTTCATTCTTGTCAGCAGGGCCTTCTGGGCGGCGTCTTCGGCAATGTCTTTGGGGGCTCTGTGCAACAAGAAGGAAACATTGACATCGGAGAAGGAACCGCTTTTCAATGTTCTTTTCGTCACTTTGACCTCATACTTCTCTAGAAACGTCTTGTTCTCAATGATCGTTTCCACGACATTATACACGATCTGTGTCGTGCCGAAGTTATCGAAAGACGAGAAAACCAGCGAGCAGTTCATTATGTCGAGTTTATCCTGAAAATAGACGCTCGCTGAAATGTCAGTGTGTTCAGATTATATTTACAAAAGCTAAATGATCACAAAAAGACGAACCAAATTGAGATCTCGGAGGTCCCAGTCGCAGGCAACCTTCGTCGAATGTCTTTGCTTGAGGGCAAATGTGCCGTCAAAGTTCAGCGACAGGGACTTCTGGGCGACCTCGTCCCTCAGCGCGTTGCGAATGTAAGAGTCCGGCGTCCACGGATGAACGGTAGAGGGGACCTGGAAGCGTTGGAGCATCTTTGACGCGGGGAAAGTTCAGTACCGGCACAGAAGAGACGCCGTTGAACCGCAGTCGGTCGTCGTTCCAAACCTGCGTCAGCTCCAGAATACAAGAGAAGGTGTTGTACACTGGCTGTCGGAAGTTTACGAAGTCGAACGTCACGTTTATCTGCGAATGTTAACGTATGGAGAATAAATTCAGGGTTTCTCTGATTGCTTCTGAAGAAAAGTGATTGGCTTATCATGAAACTTTTTTTTCAATCAATTTTCCAGGTCAGGCCTGTATGTGTGGTATGAGCTGCGGCTCAAAAGAACGAACCAGGAGAAAATAATTTGTTTAATGACTGAAAGTCTCTACAAAAATCCATCTTTTTGGCCTTGTCTCAAAGGCTTAATTTTGGATATGAAGAGCCATGCTTCAAAATACTGTTTAAAAAAAACTAAAACTGAGTAGAAAGTTCGTTCGGGGGCTCAATTTTTTGCCGTGTTAAAAGTGTTCAAAATAGGCGTCTTTGCATTTTGCGGGAATTATCGAACAGGACCTTGCGTCGAGTTTCGAGAATTTCGAATTTTCTAACGTTTCGCTAATCTTTTTTTTGCAACAGTTGATCTCAGTGTGCATCAGGCAAAACACTTGATCTAAAAAAACAGAGGTAACAAACGGTTTGAAAAGAGCTCGGCGCGTGGTATCGGCTGTACTCCATGAAGAGGTCGTCCCACTCGACACGGTTGGCGCGACGTTCAATGACGAGGTCGTCGAGTCCGGAAGCCGCTGGCATCAGAAGCGCGAAGAGCAGCAGCAACGACGTCATCTCAACCGACGCCAATCATCGCGAGTCGGATCGAACGGCCCCCGCCCCAAGCAAGAAGAACATGTTGTTCTCAACATTCCCTGTGGAATTGCGAATTCACACGTCTCAGTAGAGGAGAAGAGTCAGAAGATTATTTTTGAGAGACTGTAGGAAGCCTACAAAAGCGCCAAAAAACCAAATTCATCTTGGTTAGGGCAAAAAAGTGTGAGTTGTTAACTGAATTCGACGGCTTAGCGAAAAACCCAGTTAATGCCTCTCCGTAAAGCCGTGTTCAAAGTAATTTCGCGAAAATCAAAATTATCTCTGGCTCTCCGAAGTCTAGCTGTCTTATTCTTTCTCTGAAGGTTATTCGGAATTTCGCGGAATGACTTCGAACACGACATACAATTGGTTAACGAACTCATTTTTGATTGAAAAAGAAAACATGAAATTGTAAAGATTAATGAAAGGCCTCTTTCGTAGAAAAATTATCTTCTACACTCTTTGATCACAAAAATGAGTTTTGTTCGAATCTGCCGCAACTGTTATCGAGCCGAGGCAATGATCATTGAAACATTTTTATTAAAACTAAAAAAAAAATCGCCATTGCCGTTTGTGAAAAACGTGTCTTTTTATCTGACATGCGAATAAAAAATTCACAGCAAAGTGTGTTGAACAGAAAATACTTCAGCTTCACTCTTTGGGTTACCATGAACTAAATGCTGGTTTTCGAAAGATTTATGGGAAAATAGTAAAACTGCAATTATCATAGAGAACATGAGACAGTGTGCAAAAAGGGATTTTTCGTCTGAAACGCGCCTCAAAATTATCCGCGATGAAACCAATTTTAGAAGGAATCTTCAAGTTTTCAGACATAAATGGAGTGTTTGGGGAATCTAAATACGCGAACTTCGTTTCAGATGGCAGTCGCTTCTCAAAGAAATCGTGAAACAATCAGAAAAACCAGAATATGTGCAAATGTTGAGAGGTTCACTCAAATATCGTGAATGAGATTGAAATAAATCCGTTGTTTGGGTTGAAGAAAAAGTCGTCGAATAAGCAGGCAAAAGAAATTGAAAAATCAAAGAGAAGAAAGCCATTCATATGCATTTTTTGATGTCTATAAATGAAAAATAGAAGAAACGCGATTGGGGAAGAGATTCAAGTTCTCATGCAAGAAAAAAAAGACCCCTGTTTTCTTTTCGTGAGATAAATAATCACTGAAACTTCTAAGCATATGCCCGAAAGTAGGGGAAGCCAAAGAAATAAGAAGAAGCTGGAAGAAGTGCGGCTGCAGGGAAACGAATATGAACACAAAGACGAAATTAGGTTAGTCATAGCCGCGAAATGAGCCGCTTTCGACAAAACGACGGCACAGGAATTCCATTTCTGGCAGTTTTTTCCAGTGGGCGGCAGAGTGCTAGCGTCATTTGGCTCCGTTTTACTGGCGACCGAGTCTCGAATTCTTCGGCCACACCGACGGGAAAACCGAAACTTGAAACGAGTGTCCTCATGTTCCCATATCGTGCGAAAACCACTATCTTATTGGCGCGAAGGCTCTTCCGAGCTTCAGGAAGTTTGTGTGTCCTTACGGTTCGTAAATACGCTGCTTAACCATATACCTAGCGCCCCTAGAAATGTTATTCAAATGACCCAATCCCCAGAATTTACGCAAATCATCAAAAAATTATTCAACATAACAGATATCGAAACTTTTCGGAAAAAGAATCAGGGCCGCCCTGACGTTGGCTTTCAAAAACTAACACTTTTTTTACAGAAAGATTTTTTGTATAAAGCTTTGAAATTATAGATGAATATATCCCCTAGAAGTCTCATAAAGCTTCCTTTTTAAATGAAAATCTAATTTCTAGTTGACAAATACGAATTCACATATCCCGAAAAATAATCAAAAGTCTCTATGAAGATTCGAAGCAGGTGTGAAAAGATTTTAACTTGCGTGACGTGAATGATCTAACACCCTTTTTAAGTTCTAGTAGGATTCAAGTAATATATTCGCTTGAAACTCAATAAACTATTTGAAGACATAGGTTGGAGTCTAACTTTTAGGTAATGTTTAAATGTGAGCACAAGCTGATGAAATAATGGGAAGTTAGAAAAGAGAGCCTAATAAACCAGTAAAAAAAAGTTCTGCAACGATCAAATTCTTGGCGGCTTTTTCATGCGTCAACGCTACAACGAACACAAAAGAAAACTTTTAGATCTGAAACGCGCGAATTGGCGTAGGCTGCGATGAAACATATCTCAATTCAAGTGACTTAAGAGAATGGCTTGAAAAATATACATAGGGCAATTCTGGGTGTGGCGTAGGTGAAAAGCAGGTTGAAGAATTGCACGCGAACGACTGGCTCGACGGGAATAATTGGACCTCTGACTCTCCTTTCCTTCCTCCCATTGTCGTTGAGGACAAGTCGCCAAAATACTTGTGATCTGCCAACTGTAGCCTTTGGACAACATGACCACACGGAATCAGGAATGGATGAACAAAAAGAAAAAGAAAAAAAATGTTGGGGGCTAGATTATTTGAAAAAAAGTAACTTGAAGTTTTCGCTAAGAAACTGAGGCGGCCGAGATTTTCCAGTGAGAATACTAGGTGAAAATACAAAAGCAGGCGTGTGAATAATGAATGTGACCCGGCTGCGAAGGCAAAGAAGTCATGAAATATTAAATACGCATCTCGGCGCTTTTTTTCAGTGGGGCTACCTTCCTTGAAAAATTTAGACGGGTAGAAAAATTGAAAAGTAAGGCGCATCAAATTGGAATTATCACAGTAGGAATCAGAAGAGCGTGTGCAAAGAGGGTGTTCCGGGAGCCGCGGAAATTGCTTTCGATACGCCGGAGAGGCAGAAGACGTTGACTGATGTGCGGGTAAGTTAAGAAGATGAATTCTCGCCCACTTGTACACTTGCCAACTAAAAAACGAGCCATTCCCCTGGCTCGTACCTCCATTTTTCATCCAGCATTCCAAGAGTGAATTGTCAAGACATTCGCAAGTTTTATTTATTCGTGTTCTGAATAATGACCGAAAGAAAAGTGAACAAATGAAAGCAAAAAAAGTTCTTATCAAACTAAAAAGATCAATTGAACCAAAGTTATGCAAAATTAATCTTTTTACTCTTTTTTACATGTTTGATTTGTACAAAATGCAAACCTCTGCGGCTAAATTTCATTCAATTCCGAGTTGTTTTTCTCGGCTTGTGAGAGGGACATAAATGACACTTTCGATGGCCTTCTGACGCACTTGACCATTCACCTTTTCCACTTGCAGAAAATACTAAATATCAACTAGAAAAAAAGACTTTTTCTGAACTGGAAAACCTGTTCGCCGACCGACTTTTCAACTGGAATCACCATTCGACCACCTTCGGCTAGCTGCTCGATGAGCTGAAATTTTTTAAATTTATAAATATTTTTCAGATTTGATGTACACGATTTAAAGTTATTTCAGATGGTAGGAAGGAATTTTGGGTTCCCGAATGTTCGTGAGCGTTAATTGTGCATACACGAATCTTGGAGGCTTGAATATTTGAAAATTTGAATCTTTGCAAACGATTCTTGGGAATATTCCCCTCTTTTTTGAATTTCCTTCTTTTTTTCCTACATTTTTTTCCTTTGTCGTTCTATTGTGAGGATGTCGTGTTTCGACCACAAATGAACACTGTATGATTTTTTTCAACTAACTTTTTATCAAATAATGCGTCTTTCTCGCATACAAGTAGTCAAATATTCGCTGCAGAACGGCTTCCACATTTTCATTCACTCTGTATATATTCTCCATCATCTTCTGTTAACAAAAACATTGGAAAAATTATAAAAAATCAGAAAAGAGGTGAATATTCCCAAATATCGTTTGCAAAGATTCAAATTTTCAAAGATTCGAGCCTCCAAGATCGGTGTATGCACAATTAACACGAATATTCGGGAACCCAAAATTCCTTCCTACCATCTTATTTCAAACTAAACTTCAAATAATTTTTAAGCTTCTCCTCATATTTAAACCCAAGAAGTTAAACGTCGACATTGAAAGAAATATTTACGACGATTGGTTTTTTGGCAAGGGAAACCTATTTAAAAATAGAAAAAAATTTTTCCCCCTTTTTTACATTCTAAGGAAATGGCATCCTTCTCAGAAATGAAAAAGTTTTTAATCAATAAATATTCTACACTGTTTCTTTGAAAAATAAAAACCACCCATTTTCTCTTTTCATAAAAAGATTTAACGATCTTCATCATAGCATCTGTCAAATGGAGCGGGCTTCCTTCTTTCTTCATTTCGATTTCAATCCAAACAAAATTGTTTCTTTATTATTTAAAATCGAGAGATTTGCAGAAGATTCACCTCTCGGACATTTAAATAGAACTATTTGATCATTAACCTGTGGCGGAATCTCTTTAGCGGCGGCGCCCACGTGTATGGCCATATATGGAGCTTTGCTTGGATATCCGAGACGTCCATCCCCCTGAATCACTCTATATTGCTCAGTACACCTCTTGTCTTCACCTCTACAAGAATGAGATTTTGATTTTCGAGAAGGTTTCTGTGGTGCTTCGCCACGTTTTTCTTGCTCATTTCGACGAGCTGAGGAATGTGCTCGATTCCGACAACTGTTCTATTAGGGCCGACCTTGAAGTTTGCCGCATTCGTTAGGGAGACAAACTTGAGGGACCATCTGAGCCATGCACGCAGCCAGGAATCCCGATCCGGAGCCGACGTCCAAGGCGTTCGCCCCGGCAACAAAATGATCTTTCAGGGCCTCCAGAGCGGCCGCGTGCTACAAAAAGAAGATCAAACATTTCTTTCTCGAATGTTTCCAGCCAAACATTCTCCAATATAGTAACACTTTTGCATTGAAATATTACATAAAACTTCCATCTGCAACATCCAGAAGCGATATACATAAAGTTTGACGACCTTTCATACTAAATAATAAAAATTAACTTTTTTAAAGCGTATGAAACGCTAACAGAATACAAAAATTGATTGTAAAAAAAAATCTGAGATTTTTCGACGTCACACAGATAGAAAATAGAAACCTTTGCGATTTTTACAAGGTTTTGATAAATTTCGATCTTCATTTTTTATCGGTGGAAATAATCCGCTCAGCAATTTTTTTTTCTTTTTATGAAGTTCAGGCAAAAGAAACACGCTGAAATTTTTTTACAAAGCTAAAACTTTGTATTTTCTATCCAAATTGAAAATGTATTATAGAAGTTTGAAAATCTGATTTTGATTGGAAATAAACCATGTGAGGAGCAGAGATGGTAGCGTTGAAACCAATAGTTTGCGGTCGGTCTTCATAAGGATTGTTATTTGTGAAATCGCCGCGATCCACAGCTAACATGGCCTCTCCAACTCGGTTCGATGAAAAAAGGCCATTTTCTGAAGAAAAAAAAAATAATATTGTAAATCATCTCTTTTCCGTTTCCAGAACAGAAAAGGTCGAAAACTCGGACATTAAGAGATGGATATGAAAAAAAAAGCAAAACTGCGTAGAATAAAAAGCTGAAAGGGCTAAGAAACGTACTTTTCATGTTAGTTACAAGCTCGGCATTGGAATTTCCACTGGAACGCCAGGACATGCTCAACCGTATTTGGGAGCTGAGTACGAGAAGAGTGGAAAGCGCTTTCGATCTTATGTTCATGAACCGTAGAACCGTTTTCTGTAAAATTTTATTGTGAGAATGGATAAAATCGATTTCCTCCTTCACAGGATCTAGTATTGGAAGTTGAACATTCCGCAACAAAAAAGAGCTAAGAAACGTACTTTTTAAAAGTTATACCTCTCTCTGAAAGCCAAAAAAGGAAAGTAAGTTACTTATCCCAAAAAATAAAGTTTTGCAGACCAGATGGGATCAAAGATGGCTTTTGATCAATATTATACTCTCTGTGACCCAGCTGTCATTTATTTACTACTACAAACAAACAATTCAAAAATTATTGGAGTCTTGCAGAAAAATATATCAGGTTTCAAGACAAAAAAAAAGCGTTCCCTTCCCACGAAGTCGAAAAAGAAGATATCTTTAAAAAAGAAGCAGCTGAGTTTGTTCAGTATATGTTGGAATGAGACGCGTAACAAGCCGGCTCAAACAATATTGATTCTTCCGCGAAGCATATAGAACCCATTCCTTCAACGAAGGTGCATTTTACAACAGCCCAACTATTTTTTCACAACTCCTTTCTATAAAAAAATGATAACAAATAACTTGAAAAAAATAGGCGGTGAAGTTTGTTTAAATGAAATTGAAAATTTTTTTCTAACTTATCACAACGGAAAAAAACTAAAAAAACAAAGCGTAACACAGATACAATAAACTTTTTGAATAATTTGGTTCTGTCAGATTATTATACGAAACACCTAGGTAAAAAAAAAATCAATACAAACTTAATTTTGGAACTTTTCGCAAAACTTGCAGCGCGCTCTATCAAACAAAAAAGTGCATTTTCCCCTCTCATGCGAAATTCCTATAAATGCATTTTTGAACCTTATTCACTCAATGCGACCAATTCTGAAATTTTTTTATGTTCATTAACTTGCCGCAAGCATACGAAGTATTAGAAAAAAAAGCAACATAAATAGAGCTACGTAGTACTTTAGTGAAATTTACTTGTAAAGTTTTTGGTCCTTTTTCTTGTCTTAATATTCATCAAAAAACATCTATATAAAAATGAAGGAAATTTCAGAACTACCCTATTCTGCGTGCCTCTTCCTTCTACATTTCTTGAAACTTTTCGTTACTCTTTTTCTTACATTTTTTAGGCGTATCAATATAAATTTTCTCTTTTTCAGAATTTTGAACACATCCTAAACGTTTAGGAGCGTTTAAACGCTTCCTCTCATGACTAAACTTATTTAGAGTAAGGTGAAAAACATTTTTCAAACCAAATATTAATAATTCATCTTTTTGAAGTTTACATAGCAATTCCACCGCTTTCTTCCGATTCGCTATCTTAAAATCGCTTTCATATTCCATTGTTTGTCAGTCAGCGAATTAATTGATTGGTAAATATGCATATCATATATGTTAAAGTAGTCCCTAGAGGGTACTTAACCGCCGTTCAAAAAGCGCTCAATTATTTTTCCCGCACGGTTTCCATATTTTAAGATAGCGAATCGGAAGAAAGGTTAACAAGAAGAAAATGGAGGAACTTTGGAATTTTTTTCATATATCAAAATTCTCAGGGAGAGAAAGAATGAATTAATAGACTGAGTACGTCTTTCAAAGAACGTCTTTAACAGGAATTATGAAATGAATGAGGCAATTCTTTGTTGGGCGAACAAAGTAGAAACTGAGACTTGAAAAAAAGTTTTTTTTTTGGAATGCTCCATAATAACATATTTTCTCTTAAAGCTTTTCGTTCCGTTTCGAAGACTGTCCGAATAAATAAGGTAAACTTTTTCCGAAGTTCTCTCCAATTTAACACCCTTTACTGATCCATTTTTTTTTTAAATTTTTTTTCTAATTTTGTCGAATCTAGTTATTTTGCTTGATATTTCATTTTTCTTCGCAATAAAACTTAGATCTTATGAAAAACGATTCACTTATTACTTCCGCGGCGAGCTCGCAAACGTTGTATTTCTCTCAATCCGCTTTTTTCAAACTAATTTGCTACTTCAAAATTTGCCTACTTGTATTGAATATTCAAGCTTGGAGAGATCAAAAAAGTGAGTTCGGAGTTAACTTGTGTTTATAACTGTGGAAAAACTGATTGCGAGATATACAGGAACATTTTCGGAAAAAAAGCTACCGATTTTGTCTGGTTATAGTCTGTTCAGATTTTGAATGTCAAGTAAAATGACGTCATTCAAAAACGCTCTGTGGATGGCTCGCTCTCTGATTGGTTTATCGCACCATTATGGGCGGAGCTTGAGCGACGACTTGACATTGAAAATCTGAACAGACTACTCGCATGCTGAGCAGGTGTCTCAACGGGTGTACCCGTATTAAACCCGTGTTTCTGAGGTTATTTTAGTCTCAGTTGGGCTAAAACGGGGGAACAACGGGTGTAAGAAAAATATGTAACCCAGCTGGGCTAAAGCGGGGTCTCAGTTGGGCTAAAAAATGCCAAAAGTTCTATCAGCTGGGCTTATACGGGTTTAATACGGGGGCACCCGCGGAGACCCCGTGTTAGCACGGCTGGGTTACCCTGCTCAGCATTCGAGAAGTTATTAACTCGCTTTTTTCGATGAACACGCAATGAATTGTGAAAATATTTTTTGTTGAATGTCTTTCAAAACGCGCGAAATTCTTTAAAATAAAATAATTGTTTCAGGGCGCTAATACTAACACCTTTTTTGCTTTTTATTACTGCTACGTTTTTATTTATGTCAGAAAAAGTACTTTTCGGTCGTTGGCTTTCAATGACGAACCGTTCGTGAACTTCAAAAAATTATGCGAGAAAGCGTTAAAGTAAGCATAGTTAAATTCAGAAGCGCAAGAAAAAACGAATAATTGACTCCACCGCCTGCATATCATAGACCCGCCCTTGCGCCAAAAATCGAGCATGCCTTCAAGGAAAATTGTTATGCTCGGCTCCAACACACGTACGCAGCGCTCCGTCTCTTCTGTACAGGTCAGGGGTTCTAAGATTTTTTTCAGATTATATTCAATTTTTTTGTACTGTGAGATATGAACTCGCATGCTGAGCAGGGTAACCCCGCCGTGCTAACACGGGGTCTCCGCGGGTGCCCCCGTATTAAACCCGTATAAGCCCAGCTGATAGAACTTTTGGCACTTTTTAGCCCAACTGAGACCCCGCTTTAGCCCAGCTGGGTTACATTTTTTTTTTACACCCGTTGTTCCCCCGTTTTAGCCCAACTGAGACTAAAATAACCTCAGAAACACGGGTTTAATACGGGTACACCCGTTGAGACACCTGCTCAGCATGCGAGAATATCACTTTTTTTTTCAAAGTTCAAGAAGTAAGTCAACAAAACTTTCATGTTCACTAACTCCAAATCCAAAGCTAATGCGCTAAAGGTAGCACCTATGGAAAGCGTACATTTTTTTTCAAGGAATGGTACAGAAGTTCGAATAATTTTCTCTTCTTCGAAGGATAGAAAGAAAATTACTAATTTAATTTAATTCTCACTTTTTTTTGATATACTCAATCTTTTAATAACCGAATTTTCTCCCTAAGTCGACTATTCTTAATCTTCGAAAAAATAGAAAATTTTCGAGTGAATTGTCGGCTGGAAGACTTATGAGTGAATAATGGATATGCATAAATTGTTGTCTTTCAGCTGCCCGCCGAGTTCATTGCGTCGGCCTCTGCCGCTCCGCATTTCAACTATTTGACGAAAGATTTTGTAATAGATTTGCGGCGGAAAGAAAACAAGGAAACGCCACAAGATAATGGAGATGAAAGAAGGGGCGTCAGCAAAACTGGGGTAAAGAAATGAGTCCGTCTGCATGAACAGTTCGTGCGTGCTAATTAGAAGGGGGAATTCACGGCTTGCGTCATGTTGTTATAGGGTTCTATATATTCATGAAATTTTGAATGAAGTTCAATAGTACTCAGCCTTCTCCATTCGAAAGAAGCTGCATGAAAGTTCAGTTTTAATTTTTCTCCTTTCCAAATATATTACAGTTTTCACGCTTTAAAATTCATTCACCTTTTAATTTTACGAATTCAAAATGCTCATGCATACTCCGTCAGGAAGGATTATTTCGAAGGGAGAATAGGTTTTTTTTTTTCTGGTTGCAAAAAAATTGGGAGATATATTGACGGGTGCCAGTTTTTTGATTCAATTTGCTTGCAGCTCAAGGATCTTTTGCACCAAAGATGGGAAGCTGCGAAAAAGTTCGATGCATTCAATTACTCGCTCAACTGCATGTATCGTTGTCTCGACGGCCAGTATGAGTTGTCCATGCAGGTTTTTAGACCTGTTCTTAGATCTCCTCTGAATTTTCTCATATTTCGAGTTCCTGCAGTTTTTCATAAGTTTTTTGACAGTATCTCTTGAGAATATTTCCGCACGAAGCTGAACAAATTTGATTTGTTTGACATCCTGTCGCATTCAATCTCAGCGGTACTCGTGGAATCTTTCCCTATTTTTTGACATGGATTACTTTTATTCGTCCGATTCTTCGAGTGAAGTTCTAGAAACGTTCATATTCCTACGGAGAGTTCAGTTTCTTCGACACGAAATCAATAAAAAAGAGTTAGCCCGAATAGATTAAATTATAACTAATCCACTGAAAGTTAGAGAAAAGGATGAAGAGACTTCCTTCCGTGCATCAAATCTAGTTTTCTACGAATTTTTATTTATTTATTGAGCTTTCCCACTGTCTTCGTTGCAGCTCAATATTGAACGAGGCGATTTACGTAGGAAACCGATGCACTTCAAAAATATCAAAGAGCCTTTCAATAGCCATCGTTTCAATTTCACGAAGCTGAATGATCGAGAGGTCGGCTTCTCAGAAATAAAGAAGGATTCATGTGTTTGAGGTGATGATGTACCTTAAATGCGAAGACGATCCGCTGAGCGACGATCCCCTCGACCGTCATCTGGTGGCCGTCAACGCGAGTCCCCTGGAGAGGGACCACAGTCTCATTATCCCTTCTGTTAACAAGTGTCTTCCTCAGGTCAGTGAGTTTCAAAGCTCAATCCTAGTATTTTTCTCTATTCTACTCGAACTCAGAAGGAAAGTGTGTGAACATCGCAGATCTGGTCCAAACGTCTGTGGTAGATAGTCCTAGGTAGGAGTACTCGAACATAAAAAGAAATATCTGCCAAGCGCGATAGGGTACTGAGTAATAGACTGTCGAAAACGCACGGAAAAGGCTCAAAAACTGATTTTTTTTTTCGGTTTTTTATTCTAAAACGTCTACTGATATTCACTATATCATAAGTAACACGAGAAAGAAACTTTTCCCAGAAAAAAACTCAACGGAAATTCGCTTTTGAGCCTGTCTTGTACATTTTCGACACCCTGTTTCTCAGTACCCTTGGACGCCTCGTAAATCATTTTTTTTTTGTTTTGGAATACTCATAACCTGTACTGTCTACCACAGAGGTTTGAACCATATCCGCGATTCTCACCTCACACACTTCCCTCGTCAGTGTCGTTTTTATTCATTTTTGACTTGAAATGAGCGAATGATGGCTGTCGGAGCTGGCTTTTGCGCGTTTTTTTTTTCAGCTTAACTTTTTGAAATGGTCTATTTGAGACGCTTCGAATAGGAAAAATATATATAATGAAAATAATTGAACATACATTAAAAAGAGAAATATTGATTTGAGCGATGGTATGAGATCTTGGGGACTAAAATTTTCTCGGAAATTGAAGATTCCGTGTATTTACTTCACTCGAAGTGGTAGCTCTCTCAGTCGGCCAAGGCTACCCTAGAGTATACACGGAGTCCGTGCCCGAGCCCCACCATCGCCGCCGTGCCCGTACCCGCGAAACTGAAAGATCTACTTGTGGAACGAGGCGAAGGACCGTAAGACCCTTGCTTTCAATTCAATCGACTACACGTTTTGACTTCTTTTTCGCCAAAGGCGGTGTTAGTGCCGCTCAAAAGAGCAATTTTTTCAGCGCCTAGTCGATATCATCTGACTAAAACAACCAATAAATATTGTATTGTATTGTATGGAAGTTTTAGCGCATTGAGTTTTAGCGCCAAATTATTAAGTTTAATAAAATCAAATGGACAATCTAGATAATGGAGAAAGCGATTTTTCAACGAAAGATCTATTTCAGAAACGAAACACGTTTGTTACTGTAGAGATAAAACAGTAATAAGAAAGATTGAGGTTCTGACGCCGTTAGCTGTGCGGTTAGCAGTAGACCTGATGCTCCTGGCCCAGGACGACGGCTTCCACGTTCTCTTCAACAGTCTTCTGGGTCAGGCCTCGGTGAATCATCTGCATCTGCACTGCCTCTACTGGCCATACGACAGCGACCTCATCAACAGAGTTTTTCTTTCGTTGCTTCCTTCGGACACTACGAACCTCCAGAAGCACGAGTCACTGCACGACGTCGAAAACGCCTATGTCATTAGACCGCCTCGTTGGCTCTGCAGCGCTTTTGTTTTTCAGTTGACAGACGTCAACCTGTACTCGAAATTCAAAGAGTGACTAATTCCGGTAGTTGGTAAAATCCTTTTTTCCGATTCCAGGAACATCTTTAAGTGTGTAGAGTATTTGACGACGCAAAATCAAGCACATAACTTGTTCTTCACACGAGCTCAGCCAATTAGGTAGACTTATTGACAAGAGATCGTTCATCGATTTCTTCAGAGTGACTGGTCCTGACCGAGAAGAAGATCGAAAAGGACTTCGTCCCCAATACGTCACCGCCTACATCTTCCCCAGGACTAACATGATAGGTTCGTCAAAAGACGAAAAAACTCTTTCACCAAAAAAATTTTTTTTGATTTTCAGGAGCCAAACCACCTAACAACTTTAACCCGGCGGCCAATGAACTTGCAGGCAACCTCACGGCTTACAGTAAGTTTAACTTTTCTCATTAAGTTGAAGTAATGGAAAATCATATAACCAAAAATCTATGAGCTAAGGAAAGGTGATTGATTTCAAAAAGAAAAAAAAACGTTGCCTGAGATCCTTTTTTGATATAGTCATTAGCGAGTTTGAAACTTTCAGCGATTCGATTTTTCGAAGCCGCGACAGAACAAGCTGTAGTACGAATAATCGAAGAAGAGGCTTCTTTGGCCGACGACGTTTTCCAGAACGTTGTTTTTGCAGTTTTACATCAAATAATCCAATAGTTCAGCTCTGCTTTGACCTCGCGGACATTTTATCAGCGCGGCCGCTTGGAACTTCGCGACCTTCCAAAAATAGTCTTCTGGAGGTGAGAGCGGGTTTTGCGGCGTGGTCGACTTTGCGACTGCAGGGCCTGACGTCTCCAGAGATCGACGAGCTCCGTGACTCCTTTCAGTCTTTCATGCCGCGGTCGCCGACCATTCGCGACCGCAAAGACCGCACTCAATCGGCGCCTGAACGCGTTCAGTTCCATGTTTCATAGTGAAGTTGTTTTTCAGTCGTTTGCGTCAGTTATCTCTAGATTTATGAATTGGAAACCTTGCCGAAAACATATTTCTTCGACAGCTTAGGAGAAACTATGACGATCTGATCGAAAAATTAAAAAAAAAACGTTTGTATTTTATATTTTTTTACGAGCTTGCTGTTCTGTCGTGTACCGAATACAATATTTCTACCGAATCGTACGATTTCGCACCGAAACTGATATACTATTTCTTCCGAACGCAGCTTCAGCCGTTTTGTAGGCTTGGGATAAACAGCTGCTTATATAACCGGTAGGTTGTGTATTGGGATTTTTGATCTATCGTCGAAACATCGAAATCTGTTGGTGTGAAGGAAATCTCTTATTTCTGCTTTGAAAAGGAATCAGACTCAATGGCTTCAAGTCATGCAACAGGGCAGATGAACCCAAGCCTGAAAGCGAAAATTAGGCTATTCACCCATACAGAATTTCTTGCTTTGTTAGAGGAACTCTTTTTTTTGCTGCGCAGATCGCAAGTTGATTACGAAAATGTGTTTCTATTTATAAAATCACTATTCGCATGCATGCGTAAATATAATGACATTCAGCCGTCGCCACCTCGTGAACTTGGAATCCACAAATTTTTCCAAAAGGTCATTCTCAAAGCTGATTTACTGCTAGGTCGTAATTTGAAAAAATTCCACCTCAGCTCCCTGAGCCTACGAAGCTTGCAGCTTAGTTCCCAAAAAATTTTTTTAAATTTTGTTCACTTCTCATATTTTTATTTTTCTTTACACTATGGTGAAAAGTTTAGGATGTTATCTTTGGGAAAATGAAAATGTTAAAGAGCATTTTTTTTTGAGAGCATAAAGTGAATTTTCGCATCATTGGTACCAATAAATGGCCTCATCTCATCCTAGAAATTTCCACTCTACCCCGATCCAGCGAATATTAGCTCCAGTTTAGGCAAATATATTATTCACAGATATGACGCCCAGTTCATTTTTTCCTTTTCGTGTTTCCAATATTCCTCTTTTTTTTACTTGCTTCTTTCGCGAGCAGATCATTTTCATGGGTGTTTTTTTTTCAATTAAATTGAAATTCGTCTTACGTATATGAATACCAGCGATGTGATGTATTTAAATTCTCGACACAATTCCAAGAAATATCTGAACAATAACATTGAATATTTGGTTATTAATGATTTTTTCCCAGCTCCTCTCTCTTTACGACATCGTTAGGTTATCTAAAATCACACCAGTTCAGACCTACAGGCACCCGTCCGGTTTTTATGCACAAATTAAGTATTTTCACATACAGTGTGCCAAACCGGACGGGCTGAACAGATGTGAAATACTCGAAAAATTCCGAAAAAAAAAATTGGGATTTATTTTTTTCACCTTCCTTTTGGGGAAAGGTTTTTTTTTGTATTCTCTATTTATTTTTGCAATTTTCAGAAGAGTCACTCAAAGTCAGATTTTTGAAATTTTGTCTTTCATTCATTTCTGTTTTCGCGAGTCCCGAGAATTTTTGATCAGCTTTCTCGATTCCCCCAGTCATCAACGGAAGTTTCTTTTTTTATTTTTCGAGTTCTCAAAATTTTCAATTTAAAATAGTGACGAACTTCCGGCCGTGAGAACTCCGCATTACTCATCTGGCAGTTCATTCTGTCGCTTCCAGATGATCCTTGTTTTTACTTTTCATTCGCTCTTTCGCTTTTCCTCGCTTTATTCTTCGTGAATCCTCTTTCTTTTATCTGACCAGCATGATTTTTGGGCTCAAAAATCTAGATAACTTTTTTTAGAATCAGCGAGTAGAATTTAACGCATTTCCGTCAAGTGATAATCGAATGACACTTGAGCGAACCGCGAGAAATTGATTGTTTTTCTAAGTGAAACGCTGCGGTTTCATGAAGAAAGAAATTGAAAAGGAATTCCGAAGCTTCTTGTTGTGCCAATTGCTGCGAGCTGTTATCTTCCCACGTCTTCTTTCTCGACGCCTCACGCTCCAGCTTTTTAAACGTTTTTAGAAACCTCTAATTAATTAATTTTAAAAAAAGGACCCAAATGCTTCAGTTTCTTACTTATTGAACCGAATTTATCAAAGTAATCAACATATTTGCACATTATATTTCTCTCGCGGTGTGTGAAGCTCAGAAATCAGAAAAAAGCAGTCTGAATGCTAATTCGCGAGGAAATAAAGCTTTCAATCACAACAGTCAAACTAATGAGAGTGCAGATTGAAAGAAATAAATTTTCGACCGAGTTGATCTTCAATTCTGAAAAACTATTTCAATCGAGATTGATAAAAAAAAGAGGTTGTGGAAAGAAAATGGGTAACTCGGAGGGTCTTGTAGACTTACTACTGTTTAGTTTGACTTTGGTAGTGACTGACCTGATGGATTTTCGGAGTTCTCCGATCTGAGAAATGCTCTTCCAAGATAATTAATTAAAATCAGCTCTGAAAAGGGCTCTTTTTTATCGCCTCGCGCGGTTTGTTTGCGGATTTCCACGACGGCTCTTATTTGGCATATCCGGATGGGACGAACTCTTTGTCAGGCCACGCCTCTGCTGTTTTCAGGATTTTCACGTTTTCCATCAAATTCGTCTGATTCCTCTTGTTTCGTCGTTTTCTCACGCTTTGCCTCATCTGATTTTTCTTCAACCTCAATTTTCCTCCAATCTTTAATAGAAAACTTTCTCTTTAGTCATTCCCTTCTTTGGCTCACTTTCATCACTCAGAAGCTTGGGCGTCTTTGAAAAAGTTTATGGGGAAGCTTCTGAGACTCATTAGCTCTGCTCCCTCTAGGAATGAAAGATTTCAAAAAACCAGAAAGTTTTTCGAATACACTCCGAATTAAACAGTTGTGGTATTCCATATTCCGTCAATTGCTTTATTATTTTTTTTTTTCGAAAAAACGATATGCTTGATGGGAGATCAACAAAGCTGACTTCTAAAAATTCACAATATTTCATTTTTGTACTGGGTCGAAAACGTGGCCAACTCGGGTCGGTGGGGTGAAAAAGGTTGGAAACATCGAAGGGTTGCAACTCGACCGGGCAGAAGCGACGACGCGATGTCGTCGTCGGAGGCGTCGACGCGGGCCGAGATCCGCAGCGTTCTTGTCAGACACTGGCGCTCCCTCGACCGCGCACGTCTTCACACCATCCATTTCTGGCTGCTCGCTTACGCCATCGCTCAGATCTTCATCGAGTACTACTTCACAGAAGTTTATACGGTTAGTCAACTTGGTCCTTCTAAAAAGAGAATTTGTAAATTTTTTTCAAAAAAATTTTCAAGAGTTTTTCTTTTGTTTTGAAATTTTTTTATAGCAACTGGGTTTAATTGTTGATGGTCGACAATTCTTGTAAAAACACGCTTCAAGTATAATTTTGAAAAAAATTTGAATAAAAAGTTTAATTAATCCCTTCTGGCGTCATTGTATAAAAAAACTTGTTTAACTAGCTTTTTTTATTTTTTTCAAATACTTTTTTTACTCTTCAAAATGACTTTCAAAAAGAGTAAATTTTTATGAGATTTTGAATAAGATTAAAAGTCACTTGCTGGTTATTACTCAAGAAGCTGTGAAGGTGTTCCTAACAAAATAGCTCAATAGAAAAATTAGAACCTTTGCCGAATGAATATTACTTTTCATTTAGGTTTTTTTTTCTTTTTTTTTCTTTTTTTTCTGTTTTTATATATTTCTCATGTAGTGCAATTCGAAATTTTTTGCCTGCCGAGAAGTTGGCAAAATGCCTGCAGACACATCTCGCTGGGGTCATATTTTTCATAACTTGTCAAAAGCACCGCTCTCCGTCGTTCTCTCACAATGCGTTGTTTTTAGGTTCTTATGGAGGCACAGCAAGTTCAGACGTCCGTTGACAACAAAACCCAGGTATCCTTCTCGGAAAGATGAGGCTGTCTTCGACGTGTATTCGGTTCCGAAATTCCCATGAGCGCGAAATTGAAGACGTCGCCGAGCCAAGCTCGGGAAAATCGTCTTTGCCTTGCTTTACCAATTGGTCGATGGCCTGCTGATTTGAAAGAAAATGGCAAAGAGCTCAGTTTAAACCTAGTCACTGAAGAAGGAATGTATCATGAATCAATGAATCAAAGAAGGCTGTTCCTAAAATCATTTCATCAAATTGAAAACAAGATTTCATTGTTTTTCATGGGGGTTTCCTGGTATTGAGCGCTCAAAAAAAAAACCTCATATATTGCTTTTTATGTATGAATTCACAGTATGAATCATATTTTTCATATTTTTAAAACTCTTCACTCCAGAAGAAAGAAAAAGTTACCTCGAAAAAAAAAACTCAAAAAAGATGACCAGAGGTTCACGCAAAGAAGCCACTTCTAAAACATTGATTAGAGAGAGATGAAAAATGGTTGAAAAGGTAGGTCTTCTTGATGTTTCTATAATAAGATTCTGCGAAGCTCGAAAATTATAAAAAAGGTAAGATTTATTTTTAATCATTATGATTTTAAAACAAAGAGCAAAAATCGAAAAAAAATTTCAAAAAACTCTATGTTTGGAAAGCGAGGTTTTTCAAAGAAACTGTTGCAGGTGAAAGAATGGTCACCGTTTTGTTTTTACCTGTCTTTGGTTTTCATCGCCTACATTTTGGCAACATGTTTTGCCATACGATTCCGTCAGCAGGTTGGTGGAAATCACAAAGTTCTGTTTTTTTGTGAACTTATGCAAAAAACTTTGAATGTCTCTGAATACTATCGAAAATGCTGTCTCTTATTTTATTTTTTTCGTTTCGCACAGCGTCTCGACCGGTTTAATCTCACAGAAAGAAGGTCTGGGTCTGGTGCTGCTCTCTCTATCGACTTGTGTCCTGCTGCCGGCCTTCTCCTGGATCGTCCATCTGCCTGTCATCGTCTTCGTCAGCAGGGTTCCAAACAAACCCAAAAATTGTCAATTTTTGGAGATTTAGGAGCGGATCCATCTGAATGAGTACGACCACGACGCCTTGTACACCAGCCTGTGCATTTCCTCAGTCATTCATTTCTTCGTTTTGCCTCGCCATAGACGCATTTTCCTTGTCGTCGCCATAACTTGGATCATTCTGAACTTCTTCCTGCTCTTGTTCATCAATTGGGATGCTCTCAAAGCTAACCCATTATTTCTTTGCTCGGTCAGTGACCGATGTTGATACGATTAGGAAAAAGAACGGATTTTCAGTGCATTACCATGCTTCTGCACCAGTCGATCATTGCTTGTGTTGGCTTGATAGCGGACTCCAATGAAGCTGGTGGGATACGGATTCTCATGAAGCTTCATCTCTCTTTTCATAGGCAACAGAGCGGAAATCGCGAAAAAGCTCACTGAAGCCGTGTATCGGAGGACAGAATTAGAAACGTTGAAAGATCGACAAGACCAACTGTTGCTGTCGGTGATTCCGGCTTATCTAGCAGATCAGGTGCTTCTTCCGGAGACACGAGGGAAAACTGATTTTTCAGGTGAGCAAGAGCATCATCCAGTCTAGCAGTACTGCGACCGGGAAAGGAGGAACTCAGAAACATCACAAGCTTTTCCACGATCTTCACGTTCAGGTACACGACAACGTCAGGTGGGCTTCAGGAACCTTTCTTCGAAACTCTCTTTCAGTATATTATTTGCGGACATTGTCAACTTCACTGTTTTGGCTGCTCAGCTCACAGCGAAGGACTTGGTCCGAACGCTCAACGAGCTGTATAGCAAGTTCGATCGAGATGCTCAGGTAGTCAAGTTCGCTGTTGAAATTGCAGATTGCCTCGAAAGTTATCTTGCAAAAACATTCATGAAAGATGGTCTATATTTGTTTTCTTGACTTTTTCAGTTATATTTGTGTTGAATTTTATTAGATATGTCGTACCACAGAGGTTGATTTATCAGAATATTTTTATAACAAGCTATCAACTTCAACTTCTTATAGTTAAACGAACTCATTGACTTCGAAAAAAAAAAATAACAATGTTTATATTGATTAAGAAGAAAAATTTTGTGATAATGAAAATAACATTGAAGCGTTTGCAATGCATGAGAATCAAGTTTCTCGGCGACTGCTACTACTGCGTCTCCGGAATGCCGGTCAACAGACCCAACCACGCCGACATGTGCGTCGTCATGGGTCTCGAGATGATCAACACCATCAAGTTGGTCGAGGAGTACTCCTATGGGTTTTGGGAGGGTTCAGACAAGTGCGGATCGCGACGGGAGTCGACGTGAATATGCGGATCGGTGTACACACTGGATCCGTCCTTTGTGGCATCATGGGACTCCGAAAGTGGCAGTTCGACATCTGGAGCGATGACGTCACTCTCGCCAATCACATGGAATCAGCAGGAGTACCTGGGTTCGACTTTTGGCCTTTCAATCGTTCAAGAAGCGCCGAGAATACTTTATTCTTCGCTCCAAACCCTGCTTTCAGGGCAGTTCACGTCACAAAAACGACGAGGGACATGCTTCTCGGCGATTACTGCATCGTTGAAGCAAAGTGAGATTCCTGCAAGAAATCACTAAAAAAATAATGCATTAGAAAAAAATTGAAATCCTGTCAACATATTGAATTATTTTATTTTTCGAATAGTTTTAAATAAAAAAATGAACTTAATTAATACATTAGTCATTTCCTAAATTTCAAAAATTCATACAAGGAAATTTTTAAATAAAGTTTCTGTTCTCAAAAAAATTATTTTTACAAATATGATTCCTATCTTTGACCTAACTTTTTTTAATTATTAAAAAAATTTCAATATCAAAAAAATTCCATAACGATCTCGATAATGAACTACTAATCCTATTAACAGTTTGAGAAAAACAGCAAATTTCATAAATTTTGGGAAATTAGAAAATTTGAATGGCTATCGCTGTTACATATATAAGCCAACTTGACATTTTCGAATTGAAGCACCGACGATCCGCATGTTCTGGCACATGGGGAGCCGACCTACCACATCTTGCCGGACAAGTCCTCGGTAGTTGAAAGAACGGCTTCCATTTATCGGAACAGGTCCTGTGGAGAAGTTTTCTCAAGGAACAAACAGTTCTTGCAGAAGAACCATCGAGTTGAGCAGCACAGACAGAAACGTCAATCGCCTCATGACGAGTCCTGCTGTGCAGAATCGCATGAGCATGAAAGCAAAAGTTTTTTTCGTTCATACAAAGTTCGAAAAAATTAATTTAGGTCTCAAAAATGGTGGAGTTTTGGGGCGCTGAAACTCCTTTTGCGAACTTCAATTGTAAGAAGTCTTCAACGTGTCATGACCCCGGATTGATAACGGTGACCAGAAAATTTCCATTTTTGAATTTCACTTATTTTAGGATGAGACACCTCGAAGGCCGCACTACAGTAACACGATCCAATCAATGACTCTCATAGAAAATAATTTAACGAACTTTTCTTTCAACAAGTGAGAAATTCATCCAAAATGATAAATATCTTTCTTGTAGCTTGAACAACATGTTCAACTGTCAGTTCCCATCGATTCAATCGTCCCCAAGCCTACTTTGGCCTTTTAGGTACGTTCTGAGGCTTTTCCTCCGCCCTCATTTTTTTTAACGGGAAATCAATTCAGTAATAAAGCAATAATCTGCAACTTGTCGGACACTTTCCTTCTGCTTCTCCTGTGTATTCCAGCGGCGACCGCCAATCTTCTGCTCTGCTCGCTCTACTGTCCGTAAGTAGAAGATGAAAAGTGAGTAGGAACGAAAAGTCTGCAGCCCCGACGTCTTGGAGCAGACGGTTCTGCAACAGTTCTTCACGATAATCGGCCTCGTTCTTCTCTCGATCCTTGACCGCGTCTGTCCTTACGCCAGAACCACAATCACCACCGTCACTTTCCTACTTTCGGCCTTTGTTCCCATCGGTCCTCATGTGCGGGTGCTGACTGAAATCGGAGACAGGGATCAGTTCAGATCATCATCGCCAAGTCGGACCTTGAAGGCGTCGCCGCCTTCGCTTCGATGGTCTTTCTCCCGGGCTGTGTCACTCACATAATGTCTGTCTTTGTGCTCTACCGACTTCCGTACACTCACAGAAGTCTTCTGTTTGTCATTGACTTTGTCATTTTCCAAATATTGCTCTCCGTCTTTCCAGTGTACAACGCTCGACCGACCCAAGCTTTTGTGAGGTTGGAAAGAGACAGTTTTTCGAGCCTTTATTTATTTCAATTGTAGCTATCATCTCTCCTCGGTTTCGATTTGTCTTTCGCTACTGCTGGTGCTCCTTCTGTTTATAGATTGGATCGTCCGTGAGAGGCGTAGGCGAGGAGATCCAACACGGAAACTTGCAGACCAACTACGAGAGGAAGGCGGAGATGGCGTGCCACGTCTCGTTCCAGAACGAAGAACGCGACGTCGAGACGATGCAGGACATCAACAAGCTCCTAATCGAGAATATTCTGCCCTCGAGTGTCGCCGCCAAGTTTCTGTCTCCAGATCGAGCCGTCAACGTACGTCTTTAATTAAATTCGACTGCCTCAGATCCTTTTTCCCAGGAGCTCTACGCTAAGCAACATGAAAACGTGTGTGTCATGTTCGCGTCAATACCCAATTTCAAAGACTTCTGGGGGCAGTGGGACACGAGCAGAAAGCTGGAATGTCTTCGTCTGTTGAACGAGATCATCTGCGAGTTTGACAAGGTTGAACAGATTTTTGAAGAGATGCTACGAATTTTTGTTTTGATGTTGTAGTAAGTTGTTACTGAAAAAATTACTCGCAAGAAAAGTTCGGATATTTGGAACAAAAAGAAACTTTTAAAATTTGAATCCGATTTTTTTAACCGTCGAATTTTGTTGCTTCGTAAGTCCAATGAAGGTTTCACAGAATCGTTAACCTTTTTGGCGCGGATTAACATAAAAATAATATCAACTACATTTTATTAATTTTTCTTTCATAGTTTTTTTAGGATAAAAAGTTCAAAAAAATTCAACATAAATATGCTTTTTCGTGACGTCCAAAAAGATAGCTCTTTTTAGAGGCAAAGTGAACCAGTTTTTTTGAATTACAAACAGTTCAAATATTCTCTTATAATTTCAAGAAAACCCGGTTTTCGAAAAAAAAAAAATTAAGACCTTTTTGTAATATTTTTTTGTAGTATAAAAAAACTGTTAAAATAAGAACTCACGAACTTGAATTTTTCTTTTTCAAGTTTCCATCAACACTGAATCAAACATGCCTGCACTAAAGCAAAGAGAGAAACTTGACAACTTTGCAGCTTCTATCGAAACCAAAGTACTCGAGTATAGAGAAGATAAAGACAGTGGCAAGTACTTACATGGCCGCGGCCGGTCTCAACGAATCGGATGCAGATTACGAAGACGTTCGCTCCATCAGAATCTTCCATAATATCATTCTTGGTTTGAGGTCTACATCGATGGCTGGACGCGCAATGGAAATAACAACCTTCGAGCCGGAAACATGGTTAGATACCTTGAAGATGGTCTTTGAAAACAAAACTCTGTTTTCAGGCTTTTAGAAACGCTAATTTGATGATTGAGTTTGCACTGGCCATGTCTCAAATACTGGACCAACTCAACCGGGATTCATTCCAGAATTTCGAGCTGCGAATAGGTATTCTGTCTTTGGCTCTTGCCTTTCGATCTTGAAATGAAGCTTGACCAGTCTAGTCAACGGGTCTTTTTCCTATATTTCAAAAATAAATCACTATGATTGGGAATCATGTAAAAGATTCCCTCCTTGGTTTAGCGAACACTCCAAATCACTGAAAATTTTATGGCCTTTCTCATATATTTTTAAAAGTAGTTAGGCTCAGCGGGTCTTTTACTAATCTATTTCTTGGCGTTTTTCGTTTGGAAGGAGTTATATAGGCCTCATTGAGGTAATTGATTACATCTTTTTTACCTTCTGAAAGTAGGTATGAGCGTGGGTCCCTTGGTCGCTGGAGTAATTGGAGCGCAGAAGCCACAGTACGACATTTGGGGCAACACTGTGAACTTGGCTAGCCGAATGGACACTCACGGCGAGCCGCGGAAAATACACGTACAAAGCTGAGCTCAGAATTGCATAAGCTGGTTTTTCGTAGGTGACGACGGACATGGGTCGAATATTGCAGCAACGCGGCTACAAGATGCAGAGTCGCGGCAAAATCGCTGTCAAAGGAGTCAAGGTGCGTCTTGGAAGGTTTCATCCGACATCACTCTTATCAGTTCAGGAGCCGATGGAGACCTTCTTGATGGAGATCGACTCCAAACGCAATTCTTCCATTTCCACCGACCAGCCCTCGCACTACTACCCTCTTTGAGTTTTAAATTTGTCTGAATTTGCGGGAATTTCGATGCCACTTTTGCCCAGTTGCCTTTACTCTTTGTTTTCGATTTTACTTGAAAGAAGAAAATTTTCGTGTTTTTGTTCTTCGTACAAAATTAAGGCCGGGAAGGTGAGCTCCGAATCTGCGGCGCGTGGGAATTTACTCGGCCAGAAAAACAAAAACAGACTTTTCGACAAAATAAATTTTTTTTTTCTTTGATTGCGAAATTCCATAAATTGAGAATGGAAGCAGAAAAAAAAATTTTTGTGATTGCAGTTTGGAAAAGATCGCATTTCTCAAAAAAAAAACATATTAATACTGGTCCTAGCATTCCATTTTTTTTCACATCCTCTAACAAAAAGGATGCTGGAAAGCGATTGAAAAGATTCGAGAGGATTAAAAAATGATCCTCTGAGGCTGTGAAAATTGAGCTCAGAAGCTTTTTTACATCATTTTAGGAACTTTTAGAGGAAGCTTTTTATCTCCCTCTCAGGATCTTTTGAGGATCCTCAAAGGAACTTTCCGTTTTACCTGTGGTAGATTGGCAAGAGTCAAGCGTTGCGTGTGCGACGCGGCTTTTGGCGGGTAACTTGAAGTCGAACGCAATCATCGGAAATGTAGAAAAAATAGGTTTTTTATACTTTCATTCGTTCCACATTTTATCGAAAAACTGTCGAATAAGGAGAAACAAAAGGCTCGTGTTCGCCTCGAGCTCCTCGCAAAACCGCGTTGCACACGCAACGCTAATTTCAGGCAATTTTTTTTTATTTCAAAGGAAACCTGAGGAAGTTTAAGGAGGTTCAGACTTGCAAGCTCTTTTATTATATGCTTTGAAGTTTCGTCCTCGAAAACGAAGATCTCGTACAGTCTGCCACTCCGAGGATCTTCTTCTAATACATTAAATGATCTGAGGGCGAAATTTTTGAATATTCTGAAGCGTGAACAAAAAACATCTTACTAGAAGTGTCAAAAGTTTTTCTCGATTTTTGCCGAGTTATAATAACTCTTTTCGATAAATCTCTACAGTGGTGAGAATAGATGTGAGGTTTTTTTTTATTATTTTTTCTTTTCTCCTCCCGATTTTTGCCGAAAACTTTATTCAAAATTTCAGTCTTCTACATATCTGAAGAATGCATATCTTTGAATTTATTTTCGAAATTTTCTTTAAAAGAAAAATAGGAAAAAAATAGATCCATCACGATTCTCGCCACTATCTTTGCATTTTTTTTTTTCAGTTCGTTTTAATTTTTCCAACGATTAGTCTGAATCTCAACTCTAAACTGGGAATTTTCCCTTGCGCTGCCTCTAAGACTTTTCATGAATGACGGCCGTTTTTAGAAACTCCTTGAGTGTGCACTGCTCGGATTGATCGGTCGGCTCAGGCATTGTGGTGGTCAGCGCCACGTGAGCGGTAAACAGTGACCTCTAGAAGGTGAAAAGAAGCACACAGACGGCGGCACAAACACAACACCCAAAAGGAGGCGGAGTCTCTAGGACCGCCAGCTTCTGTACGCGACGAATATGGGCAGCCGCTTCGGAAGTCTTCCGCAGCCACCGCCTCTCGCCGCAATTGATTCATCCGTCCGACCTATTTTTTCCTCGAGACTGTCCTGCGGTCCTTTATCCACTCCGCTCCCCATTTCTCACGCCTATTACCACCTCCGTATCGATCATCCCAGACATTTCTCTTCCGAAGAACAAATTTTCCAGATTCTTGTTTTTACTTGCCTTTATTTGGATGTTCAATATAATTTTCACTTTTCTCACCTGTGGTCTGTCAAAAAAGATTAAAACATTCTGTTGCCAATTATAAACCTTTTTCTTTTTGAAGCAACATATCTTTCTCTTTGAGCTTGAGAACTTTTTAACTTAACCTAATACTTTTCATTTATTGTTTCTGACAAAGGAAGAAGGTGAGATGAACATCGCAGTTCTGGTCCAAACTTCTGTGGTAGGGAGCCCTAGGTGAGTTTACTCGAAAACAAAAAAATTTATCTGCTAGGCGCCATAGGGTACTGAGAAATAGCGAAAATATACGGCAAAAAGCTCAAAAACTGATTTTCTTCGAAATTTATCTCTCTAAAACAACTGATATAATTCACTAAATCATAAGAAACAAGAAAAATAATCTTTCATTCTTCAAGAAAGCGAAAGAAACTCAATTTTAAAGCTTCTCATGTCCATTTTCGACGAGCTATTTCTCAGTACCTTATGGGGCTTAGCAGATAACTCTTTCTGTTTTCGAGTACCCTTACCTAGGACTACCTACCATGTAAGTTAGGACCATATTTTCGATGTTCAACCCACATATTTTCCTTGTGAGAAAAGACGTCTCAAAATTCCAGACTACAGTACAATGACAAGAAAAACGAATTTGAAAGACTTATTTCAAAACTTGAAGCAAGAGCGACCCCTGAAAATAGAAAAATCAAATCGGTATAGGTAAAACTTCTTAAGCTCAAGCTCTTTCCTTACTGGCGTTAATGACATTCAAATTTCTAATTCTCGATATTCGTGTTCATTATGGTAATCAAAAAGTGGGTTCATTTACTATAACTTCATTTTTTTTCGCGACACATTTTTTTTGATAATAACGATTCTGTAATGAAGCATCTTGTAGCTAATTGTTAGCTGCTAACAAAGTAAAGTAAAATTCCACTTCTTTTTAGCATAAGGTTTCTCAATTTTCTTATTATTTTGAAATATAATCGTTATCTTGCTTTTTCTGGCAAGTTAGAACTAGGAACTTAGAGCAACCATTTCCTCAAGAAAAGAAATCAAAGAATTTCTAACAAATAAAAAGAAAAAAATAAAAATTGGCACACATACGAAGAGTCAATAAGGTTACAGCTTTTCCTTGTCAATCTAATTCATTTGGAACTCAATTTTTTATGTTCATTCGGAAAATTTCATATGAAGGAAAGAAAATCAAACTGGAAACGCTCTTATTTTTCGGTACCTATTCATTCTCTTTCAGTTGCTTAATGCGTAATTGAAGCAAATCCCATCATGAAAAAAGTTGAAGGGTAGAATGTTGGACGTGGTTCTCTACTACTTCTTGGCAGCCTGCCTCGGCTACTTTCTTCTGCGTCGACTGGTCCTGGAGCGCTTCGAAATGCCGATGCAAGGCAAGTACGTGTTCGTGACGGGATGCGACAGCGGCTTCGGACGTCTTCTGGTGATCAAGCTCGCCTCGAAGGGCGTCAACGTCTTTGCCGGCTGCTACACACAGCAGGTCCGTTTCGTTCGACCTCCGCTAATCCGACAAACGGTCCGCTCCACTCTGAACCATGTTTCTTCAATTGCAAATCGCTTGTGTCAACACCACTCCTAACATTTGTCTGTTGGTTTTTTCATCGCCCAGGTCTTCGGATCAAACGAAACATGTTCTCTTTTCTTTTTCCTCAGCATGGATTGAAACAATGAGGACATGAAGTTTCAGGGTGTCGATGAGCTACGGAAAAAAGAGATTTCTTCTTGGGGGAGACTTTATCCGATGCGCCTGGACGTGACCGACGAGGGCAGCGTGGAGGACGCCAGAAGAGCTGTCGAGAGAATCCTCGAAGAAGAGGTTTTGAAATCAACATTTCGCTCTGATAGGTTCAGATCGGCGTTTTCTGATTGAAACTGTGAGCCTTCTCAAACTCCAACAAAAATGAAACCATCTTAAGTTTTTTGCATATTCGAGTAGAAAAAGCTTTAGAGCTTGAAAAATGCCTTGAAGATATCATTACAAAACTAAACACTCTTGATTCAACAAAAATATGAATGCTACGGAATCGGAAAAAAAAAGTATAATTTTAACGTAACTCTAATTTTATACTCAAGGCGGAGGGTTAACGCGACCGCGAATCCTCTTTTCTGAATCACCAAAAATTCCGAACACGTATTATCCTACATCGATTCCGTAAACTTTTGTGTTTGAGAAATAAAACTTGATTGAAAAAATTCTGTCTTTGCCACCTTCAAATTTGACATTTCTCTATTTTTTCGCAGTTTGTTTTTTTCAAACCAGTTACATCTAATTTTTTCAGGGCGCCGTGCTATCGGCTCTAGTGAACAACGCAGGGATCTTCACAACTTTCGGACCCGACGACTGGTGCGGCACTGCGGAATACGCAATTTCTTTGGACGTCAACACTCTCGGCGCCATTCGCGTTTGCCACAGCTTCGTGCCTTTGCTCAAGAAAAGCAAGGTGCGACTCATTTTCTTTTGAAAGAGCCTTGAACTTTTCTCATTAGCTGATCTGAAACTCCAAAACAAAAAATATTCAAAATAAGCTCCCGAGAAGGAAAAATGAGGTTGGCTTGAAATAATATCAGTTAGAAGTTTCATACGGAAATATGGCTGGTAAGCCTTGAAGACGCAACTATTTCGTTTTTACGCATCTATTTTATTTTCTCTTGATGTCGACGACGAGGGAAAAGAGACTGCAGACAAGCTAAACTGTTCGAGTAAAGAACGACCTAAGGAGTGTCGAACTTGCGCTTCAAAGCGTTTGAAACAGAAAAGCTTATTTTTTGACCGCCACCTTGTAATAAATCGGAAGTTTATGCACGGAATGTTTCTGTAGGGTCGAATTGTAACTATGGGATCAACTGCGGGACGGCTTCACGGACTCTACGTCGGACCTTACGTCACTGCCAAGTTCGCCGTCGAAGCTTATATGGATTGTTTGAGGTGCTCATTTCCAACCTAGCCTTTTTTGAAGTTTTTTTCAGATTGGAACTGCGTCCGTTTGGGGTTTCGGTCCACATTCTGGAGCCGGGCGCTTTCAAAACAGAGCTTCTCAGCGAATCAGCTCAAAAGTCAAGGATTCAAAAAGTTCTTCACAAAAAACTGGACCTGAACAGAAGATGATTCGATTTTTTTTTTTCAGATCTGGAACTCTTTGCCTTCTAACACCAAAGCCGAGTACGGAGAAATGTACAGAGAGAACTGTGAGTCAGATAAACCAGTACCCTGTTTCACGAAGGATTTGCAGTCGAGGTAGCTTGGCAGATGGGAGTCAACGTCGTGGCGAATCCGAATCTTTTTTGGGTCGTCGATTCCTACATTCACGCAATTTTCGCCTTGTGGCCTCGTCTCAGGTTTTTTCAATTTCCCGAGTGGAAGAAAAAGAATTCGAAGCTGCAGGTACTCTCCTGGCTGGGACGCCATCTTCCTGTTTGTGCCGATCAGCGTGCTGCCGACCTCCCTCCAGGACTTGCTTCTCACTGGCCTCTACGCCTTGCATCCTGGCCCTCGGCTCCTTCCGGCAGCTCTCGCTTGCAGGAGGTCAAGCTTTTCCTGCGCAGGACTAGTATATTTACATTTACATACATTTATTCAGTCTTCAGAGAAGAATCTCTACTAAATCATGGGATAATAGAAGAGTTGTTTGTCGGATCGCGAAACTTTCGTTGATCAAGAACGGCGCGTAGAGCATCTCTCCTTCTTGTGATAGTAGTAGACGATTTTGTTCCGACGAAGAGCTGCCTTTCTATGTAGGAACTGTACGGCGCCCAGCTCATCCAGGGCTGACGGGCGTCAGATTAAGTCTCAGGCGAGAGCGGTAAAGAAGACCGACCACTCGGGAAGTAGAAATGAGATCGATCAGGGCTAGAAAAAAACTCAAATTTTTCTTTTTCTCTTTCTAAATACGTTTTGATTGTCGAAAGATTGCAATATGTACAAGTTTTTATATTGATATTGATTATTGAAAATTTCACTTTAGAAGGGAGACGAACAAGTCGCCGTGGAACTTCATGATGAAGACGCTGACTTATGCGACTCACCTGGCCATGTTTCCGATTTTCTGCACGGCATTCCTCATCCGCGGAATGTCCACTAAAACCGTCGTGGCGTCTGGAAACCACACTGTGGCTGAAAACTGAAACGACGACTATTAAGAATCATCCTAATCAACACAACCACCGACGATCTTCACAGCCTAACGTGTAATCTTTTTGCAATCCGTTAACCTTCTTTATGCATTTGATCAAAATTAAAGTTTGCAAGTTTTATTTGTTATTTATATTGTTCAATATCATTTACAAGAATTCCATCAGTAATAAGGAAGGAGGTCGGCGGAAGCTATGGCTCGTCCAACCTCGTTCTCGCAAAGCACCGTGAAGCCTCCTGAGGACAATTTTTGGAATGCAAAAGGTCGATAAAGAGAAACCGTAGTGGTGAGGCTGGACGTAGGGGATGGTGAGTCTACAGATATCGGCCGTGTCTTCGATCACTACGTCCGTGAATCTCATTTTGTCCTGGTTAAACAGCCAGCAAACCTGCAGAATAAACATTTTCGAATGTAAACATTTTTTGAAGAACGACGTTTTTGTTTCCATAAAACTTTTTTAGTGATTATTGGCTTGATTACATGTAGAGCTTAACTTTTTGCCATGACTTGATGATTTTTCCTCCCCCAACAAAACAAAACATGAAAAATTTATTGACAAATTGATTGTAAAAAAGCTGACCTTCGGTCGTGGACTGCCCAAAACAACACAGTCGAAGACGGCCTTTCCTCCCACGTGCATGCGCAAGTCACTGAACACCTAAAAAAAAAAGATCAGTGAACACGGTTTCGTGTCGCCGTTTTCTCTTACTTTGAGGAACTCTGGAGCGTAGTTCCACGGGTTCTGTGCATATTTGTTCTTCGGGATCTCATACGCCAAGTGGTCTACTTGCTCAAATGAACGGTTTTTCAACAAATTGAAAACGAATTTCAAAAAAAACTTTTTTAGATCGTATAGAAGGGATTTTAAAAGATAATTTTGTGAGAACGCTTCTATGCGAACCTTGGTGAGTGGACTGGTCTGAGGGACTGGCCGAAAAACGCCGTCGATGCAGTCGACGTTGAGATTGCTGTAGCTCCTGGGCGGCGGTTGCGGCGAGTAGCTCATCTAGATCAGATCTGACGCAAAAGTCAAGCAGATCATCTTTCGCGGACAGTGCAAATATGCATAAAACAACGGGGAAAACTGTGAGATTTCCGTAATTTTAAAGGACATTGAAAGCAAAATGAATGTTTTTATTTTGATTGTGATTGAAAGATTAAAAAAAAGAAAAAAATGACAAGAACTCGCGTGTTGGTGAGTTGGTGAAAGAAGACGCGGAAATTGCGATGGGGACGAAAAGAATGAATTGTTTGCATTCCGCCAGCGGAGGTGGTGGGACGATTGTTGAGCCGCGGCACTACAGCTTTCTGTGCTTCTTCGCCGGCAGCCCCAGAACCGTTGTCAGATACTTTTTCTTCTCATATAGGTAGTTTTCCTGCAATAAAACGTTTTTTTTTCGACTATATTTTGTATGTCTATTAATGACAGAAATTATATATTCTTTTCATTACATGAAGTTTTGATGAGTTGGTGAATGGTGGGAGAACATCGTCGAAATAGTCCCAGTTGGAAGTTGGCGCCGAAAGAACCTCTCGGATTTCGTTGACCGTCGGAGGCCTCTGAAGACTGTAGGCTGCCATTGAACACATCAGCAGCCACCATCGAAAAACCATTCTGAACAAACACCAATTTCAATATTCTAGGCTTCAAATATATACCGAAGTGCAATCTTTTCCAATAACTTTTCGAAAGTATTCAGTAAAATAATTCAGAAATAAGAACATTAAGGGCGATCACAGAAGAGATTAAATCGTTCAAATCACATTAAGCAGAAACTATTTTAAAAATTATTACGACATATCTCAACAATGTTGTCTGATAGGTTATTCCCACCTGAAACAAAGCCTTTCTTTATTTACCGCACCTTTTCATTGATAATCAACTCAAAAAAATTGCAGAAGTGAGAAAAAAATTTTTTTAAAAATATGAAAGTACGTATTTTCATGACGTAAAGCACAGTGACTCTCATTTCGGTCGATACTTTTTAGAAATGTTCAGAAATAAATCTCTGATTGGTTTCCTTGAAAAATTTAACCAGATTATCAATATCCATAGTTTTTTCAAAGCTCAGCAACTTGAAAACAGAAAAAAATGTTCGATATTTCGCTTTTCCTTTTCCAATTCGCCAAACCAAAATATGAAAAAGATGTCAAGTGCAACAGAGAGGCAGCGAGTGAAAAAGAGCCGAAGAAATCGGATTCAACGGCGCAGTCGCTCAGCTGACGGCAACACAAAAAAGAGAATAAAACGGTCTTCTGATGGTCATGCATGAACCCGTTGTTTCAAATGCGAGAAGACTGAGAAACAAAAAAAAAACGGATGCCGATAGACGGTCGATTGGGTTTTTTCCGTCGTTTCATGATTAATGAAATACTTTCAGATTCTATAGTTCCTACCAGTTTCTTGTGATTACCCATACAGGACCGACAATGACACTATTCACAGATTTATTGTTGAAAAACCTCTATATACATACAAAAAAGCAAGTGAATTTATGACCTTCGTATTTGGGTCGCTGAAAGACGAATCGAGTATATAGTTCAAATGGCATTTTAGGAATATAAAAGAGGTATAAAGAAAAACCTCAAATTTGCGCTTCTCTGGATAGAGAATGTGTTTCTTAACAGCATAGGAAACAATAAAAGGCGATTATGATTTTAAAAAAAAATCTGACCAGTGACCTATTGTCCCGGTCAAAAATGAATGTTAACTTCAGTTCACTTCAAATTTTGAAAAAAAAAGAGAAATTTAGAAACCGAGAAAATGTAGTTTGTCGTACACATTTCTTATAAAAAAGAAGAGAGTCCAATCGTTCAAAATTTTAACAAAAAAAAAACGGCAGTTCAAGGACGGAAATTCTAATAACTTCATATACCCCAACTATATGAAAAATGAAGTTTTTGCGAAAATAGACGATTCGTCGCTGGCTTGGGACAGAAAGGCAAGAAGTTGGCTATATATGTGATCTTTTTTGACCTACACAGCAGATTTGACTGCCATCTCGTATAGGCCATTCTGCGCCAGCTTGTTTTATTTTTCTTCCCGCCAAAAGGCCAGGTCAAACTTGACCAACTTCGCTTCAAGACCTTTGTTTCTTGCCGTTTTAAAAGCAGAATTGTTAAGAAAGCTGTTTTCAGGGTAGCCATTTTTTTTAGCTTTTCTTCAAAAACGTGACCGCCTCGCTCGGAACTCTCCATAACTGCAAAACAAAAAAAAAAACAAAAAAAAACCAAACTTCGTGAAGCGAAGTTGGTAAAATTTGATCAAATTTGGTATATGGTTTTTTGGCGGAAAGAAAAACGTGACAAGCTGGCGCGGAATAGGCTATAAGTCTCAAAGAAAAAATTATGCAAACTTTTGTTTTCACATTATTTTTTCAATACTTTACATCCCTAGGTTATAAAGATGATTTTAAATACATTTTCAAAAAAAAACTGCTCAGTGTTTGGTGAAATTTAGCGACGTGCACACGTCAAAGGAACTTCCGTGAAACGAATCAGCATCTTTTTCTTGCGCGTTTTCTCCTCCTAAGCCATAGATGAATCGAATATAACGAGAATACTAAAACATGTCTAGCAATATGCTAAGTTTTTCCGTATCCGAAATTTACCTGATGAGATGCTGAGGTGTGATTACAATGTAAATGCAAGGCAAGAAAAGCAAAAACATTGAGACGTTGGGAGGCTGGCCGACGGGCAAGGAACACTCGATGAATCGATCGACGTGATTTGCGGTTTTGGGTCGGAAGAAATGAAAGAGAAGGCGACGTTCAGGGCAGGTTGATGTAGTTGACGATGACGACGTGGTAGTCGAGAAGAGTTCGCATCGCGTCCATGAAGTCGTCACCGTTGACCACCGAGAAGCCGACTCTCATCTTGGCGCCCACGTCCAGTACGATGTTCCACTTTCCACCGAGGCGAGGCGAGGCCGGAAGGCATCTGTAGTTCTTCACGTTTAAAGCGGCCAAATTAAAGGGATTCCCGAGCTTCTCATAGGATAATCCACGCTCAAAAACAACGCGTTTAGTGATGCATATTGCCTTCTTGGTTTATTTTTGGATTGGTTCAGAGGGAAAAATATACAAAAAGAAGAAGCAAGAGGAGATGTTGTACAATATCACCGTAGAATTTCGTGAAGACCGCTCTCCAATAATAGCGAAGGCTATTCATTCAGGCTTAGTCTGTGAATTTAAAAAAAGTTCTCATTTCATTAAAAGCAGGTGTAAGCGCCGTTGAAACTAAGAAAAAGCGGGTGGAATCGCCGGCCGAGATTGTGAACGGGGGTGTACCCAGGGGTGCACTGGCAGATGTACGCGAAAACCGCCCGCATTTCGACAGCGGATGCACCCGCTTCATTGTGGGAGGCTAGCGCATTAATGGAAGTCACGGTATCGCTGGAATACGTATACACATTTGCACAAAAAACACACAATTCTACGGCATTCGCTTATTATATAATCAAAGTCGATAAAAAGTTTTAAGCCATAATTATGAAAAAAATAAAAAAATATTTTTTTATATATTATTTGTCTTATTTGCGTCAATGCTGAGTTCTTAAATTTTAAAGAGACTGTTTTGTAGTTTATATCAACGGTGACCTTTTTGATTTAATTTTTTTCATACTCGTCAAAAAAACCAAACAATATCTTCTTCCTTTTTTTCTGAAACTTCGTATTTTAAGTATGGTCACTTTCTTATTCAGTCTGTGATTCAAAGTTTCATATATCCAATGTTCTAAACTTGATAGAATTGTTCATGTGAAATAAGTTTTAGGCCACGCATGTTTAAAGGCCTAGAAATGGTTTTCTCCAAACAAATTTTAAATTTCAGGGTTGATGTTTCACGATATGCGCTTAGCTTCAATAGTTTGCCACAGACGACGCCATGGAACACCTTCTAACTACTTCAAAAGCTAAAGCTGGGAAATTTGAGAGGGATGAACAGTTTTCGATGAATTGTCGTGAACAAATAGTGAGTTTGGATACATATCTAACTTCTCGCATGAGTATGAGCTAATTTTTAAAACATTTTTTGTAAAGATTAGGTTATTTTCGGTTCCACGGTCTCAAAAAAATTTGTAAGGGTTTTCGAATATGAAATAAGATTAATTTTACCATTAAAAATTTATCTAGCTCATTCCGCGCCGGCCTGTCGATTATCATTTTTGAAATAGTTTCTCAAGTTGCCAAAATCTCTTTGCATTGTTCTATGCTTCAAAGACGTTGAATTCTCAAGTTACGCAAAAAAAAAAAACCTTTTGACGTCTAGAGCCCAGAATATCCCGGCTGAAGATTTGCCCCACGTCTTAGTGGCTACTTTTGTACAGGTCTCCTGTTCCTGAAATTTTTTTGTTTTTGTGAAAATGAAAGGAAGTATCACCTCAAACCAAAGTGTGTTTATGGCTTCCAAAGCTATCGCTTTGCTTTTCTTCGTCGGGAACTGGTAGTTCTTGATAAACAGCGTGAACTGCCCAAGGCGCACAAACTCGTCTTCGTAGAGCATCGCCATGTTTGAAAATTTTCAAGAAAGGAGTGTTTCAAAGTTTTATTTTTCTGAAAAAAAAATGGAACACATGTTATATCAAAAAAAAAAATTTGAGACACCAATTACGTGGCCTGATAATAAAAGGTAAATAAATTGGAGAAGCCTTTGGGAGTGAATGAAGCGCTGCCACCTCCGAGCTTATATCCGATGCGTTGAGATGCTCGGATTATCCCTCCCTCGCGAGTTTTTTTTCTTGCTAGCTCCGCCTTTTGACAAAGCTCGAATGCCTGTGTTGACGTCTTTTGATCTGTTCTGAATACGAGTAATTCAGGACAAACGAGCTCCATTGAGACGTCACAACTTTTTAGCCAGTTTCAAGACATATTATTGTAGTGACGTCGACTTGAGATCAGCTTTTGCTAGTGTCGTCTTTCCAGTGGGCTAGGAATGACGTCTGTTGGGCAAGTAGTATCGAAAACAGTAGAATGACGATTTTCAGTCGAGGATCGAGATCAAGAAGGTGGATTTTATTTGAGAGACTTTTCAGGAGAAAGTTACTGTTCTTTTTCTTCAAAAAAAAATCTGTATAGATCAAATTTGACGTTCTCCGAGTTTGTATTCACTGTTTTGGGAAACTTTTTATCGAAAAAACTTTTTTTTTTCTTAAATAAAATGGAAACAAAGACACGTCGTTCAGGTTTTTTTGCTGGACACATTTATTGAGTTTTTATTCCGGTCTCTGAAATACTTCTCTTGGCAGAAACTTGTTCGCTATTATCCTATCAAACGATAACAAAACGTTTTTCTGCAAAGTTGCAGCTGTCAGGACGTTCTGTTTCCAGCCAGCACAAACTTAAACCAAAAATGACTGCCTTATGTTTTCGAACTTAAATTTATTGTTCTTTCATTGTTCTTTTTTATCGCGATTTTTTTTCCAACCAAAAATATTTTTTGCTTTTTAAAACATTTTTTTCAAAACTCAAAAAAGCTCACTAAATTTTTTTTGTAAGGAAACGACTACACTACAAAACGGAAACGGACTGCTTCTTTCAAAATTATAGGAAGTTTCAATATCCTACTGAAATTAGTTTTCTTCTCTCAGTGAAGCACCAATAGGAGGGGATGGGAAATTTTTCTCTGCTCGTTTTTGAGTCAGAAGAGCTACACTTTTTACCTTTTCAATGGTATCTATGTAGCAATTGGTTTCAATAAAAAAATTGATTTTAATAGATAAATCTTTGATTGGGGCTCAGTTTCAGCTAAATAGTTTCGAACAGGACTTCCTTGAAGTAGGAAATTAGAATTTTAAACTAGTGAAGAAAGTTTTCAAAAATTGTTTTGAAATTATATTTCCTGTCGTTGTAATTTTGAGTTCCTCGGGAGAAATTATGTTTTAGTTTCTGGGAAAGATTAATCTGACGTCATTTGGAGAGACTGCAACGAATAGCAGACTACCTTTTTGAGAACAATAAGTAAAAGCTTCGTAATTCTTCTATTAGAAGGATTTTCTCTTTTCTTTTCAAGATGCCTCGTCATTAGTTTCCCAATTGCATCTCATAATTCTGAATCACTTGAATACGCCTCCGGCGAGTTACCGTGTATTCTGATCTTTGAAGCTTTACTCCCATTGAGAAACAGGTCAACTAAGCGAGAACCATGTGAACCTTAAGGAGCATGTCCAGTCAATCGAAGACGTAGTTTTTCTTCTGAAAGAAAGTCGAAAAAATTTTATATTTATTATAACTAGGCTTTTTCTCTTGATTTAAACTTTTTAAAAATTAAAAAGGACTTTTTTTTTTCAAAAAATTTAATAGTTCGAAAAATTATTTTGTACTAAAAAAATCAGAAATCTAACCAGGGCATGGTCTCCGCTCGACAACGAGTTGAGCTTTGAGACTTTGTGGGTGGATAGGCCTAGGTGAGAGCACTCGGAATCAAAAATAAAACTTTGCTGAACCCCACAGGCTTCTGAGGAAAAGCTCGTCGAAATTTTTCCAGCCCGGATATGGCCGCGCTCGGAGCCTTCGGCCAGCAACTGGTGGCGTGGTGTAGTGGGTAGTAGTCTTGTGCACTGTAAATGTTGGGACCATGGTTCGAATCCTTTTGGCGGAAATCTTTTTTGCTGGCTCATAACTTTTTTCCTTTCTCATTTTTGGGATATTTTTTTCAAAATTTTATAATAAAAGTTCACAAAAATCCCAATAAAGAACAAATTACTGATCTGAATCTTTTTTTTTTTTTCCTTTATTTTATGGACAAACGATTAAGAAAACGATATGTTTATGAGAATTCACGATTCACAAAAAGCGATTACCTGTCTTTTAGACACGTGTGTACTAAACGGAAACACAATAACACAATAAAACAACAAAAATGAAACTTTTCCGTTCGATTTCGCGTTCCAGGTGTCAGAAGATATGGCGATTTTTGAAAATTCCAACAGAAAATTGCGCGAAATGAGCTTAACTTTAATATCTATGTTGCCGGTTGCCTGCCTTCAAACTAAAATATTTGAAAATAGCCTCCTCAATACGAGAAGAACAACGTGGCATGAGAAAAGTAGTAGAAATAAAAGTTTTCTACAAGTTTTGATGTATTTTTTGAAACAAATCTCATAAAAATGTGAAGGAATAAAATTATGAGCCGTCAAAAATGATTTCCGCCAAAAGGATTCGAACCATGGTCCTAATATTGACAGTGCACAAGACCACAACCCACTACACCACGTCGCCAGTTGCTAACCGAAGGCCCCGAGCGCGGCCATATACGCGCTGGAAAAATTTCGACGAGCTTTTCCTCAGAAGCCTGTGGGGTTCAGCAAAGATTTTTTTGATTCCGAGTACTCTCACCTAGGCCTATCCACCCACAAAGTCTCAATTATCAACTCGTTGTCGAGCGGAGACCATGCCCTAGTAAGAAAATAGCTCAAAAAAAAGTTTACACAAACGATGAAAAAAAGAAATTAGTTTGATGTCTCGAACCGAGAAATCGAGGTGTTTTTTCTCCCATATTTTCGTTGAAATTCTTGAAAAAACTTCTTCAATTCGATCTTTTTGTTTTGAAACGCCACTTAGATACAAATATAATTTAAAAGAAAAATTGTATCAGGCAACTACAAAACGAGCGTCTGGCGGCGTTCTGTGCCAATTATTGCGAAGAATTGAAATGTTTCTGTGGGAGAACTTGTTTTGAGCCCTGTTTACTAGGGAATTAGCGCATGAATTTAATGTGGCGACACGGAGAGAGAGCTCCGAAAGGGAGACTTCCATCCGACGGACCACCACACAACAGAGATCGATGCAGGCCGCGCCGCCTTTCCGTCCAAGTATTCCTTCGTTTTGTCTTCTTGCTTCAATTAACCGCAATTGAGTTCATTTGCGCGTGCCGAAAATGGCTCCGAGGTGTTTGCTTAGCTAGGCCGATGGCCTCTTCGCAAGTTTTAGCGGTTCTTCGGTTTGCAAAAGTTTTTTCTCTATCAAACTGCCATTTGAAGTTAGGATGTGCTATGTGTAAGTCCAAGAGCATCAATTTTTTTAGATCATCAATGAGATGCTGAGAAAAATCCCATTTGCGAGTCCATCAAAAAGTATCAGGCTCATTATTTTTCTTTTTATATTCATATAGAAACTATAAGCACTGCCTCTCTGCAAAACAAGTTTTTTTGGTTTCTGCATTGTGGTTTTCTCGAAGAAAAGAAATGCATGAAAAATTGGAGAGGGTATGATTATAACTATACGATTTCATACCGAACCTCTCTCAAAAACTACGATGGCTTGAGTGTTTTACGTAAGAAAAGAAGAAAAAAGTTAATCGCATGGGGGAAATATAGAGTATTCATCAGTCCGATTGAAGCTTGCACTAAAATTCCTCATTTGAGCTGAGTAATGACATGTTAATGGACATCAAATTCACCTGCGTTCTCTAAATCCTTTGTAGATATTCGCAAGTTTCCTAAAAGAAATTTTGAATCTGTGTACTTCATTTCCTATGTCATGATCGTGCTTTCTATAAAAAAGGGATTAGTAGTTTTTGAACAATTCCTCTGTAATCATAACTGCTAGAACTGTGTATAAGAGGAAAGTATTCGGTTCAAAAGCCTGAAAATCTTTCTAAAAAATAAAACCGACTTTAGTTTAAGAGAGTGTTTTTGCAGCTTAATGAGGCTCAAAGCGAACTGCCGCTGATGAGCATTTCTCCTTGGGGAGCCGCAAAAAGAAAAATAAAAAGCGTCTTTTGGAGTGAGTGACATAATACGTGATCCAAGGGTTGTTTCGCGATCCGACCCACCCCAACGGCCTCATTCAAAATAAATCTGCCATCCTTGTTTTGCTCCGTTTTCTCGTTTCTCTGAAAATGGAGAAAATATTTCTATGTAGACTATAGAAAAACAACTTTACGAAAAAAAAACCTTGCATTTTGTCCTGAGAAAGGAATGAAAAACTGCCAATGGCTTAAAATGAAATTATTGTAAAAAAAACTTCTTTTACTTTGTTCAACCTCCTCGAAAATTTCCATGAAATAACTAGATTTGCAAATAATCTTTTAGATTGATCTTCTTACTTTCATTATGAGTGACCGTAAATTTCGTTATAAAAAAATATACCAAGTTTTTCGGTTTGTAGGTATTATTTTTCAGAAACATAAAAAAACATTTAATTAATTTAACATGTTTAAGAATATTAAAAATAACTTCTGATTGAAGAATTTAGAGTTCTCTCAAAAAAACTGCTTCACTATCTTGTTTGAGTTGTTTTTGGTTTCCTCACGTGCCTCGCATCTTTTGAATCGTGCCTCGACCAACCGTTCATTACTACAGAGGGAAAGACAAACACGAGACAACGACGTGGTTCAAACTTATCTCCGCCGTTAATCGTCTTTTGAGCGTATCGCTGCGAATTTCGCGGCGCACGCTGTCGTCAGCGACGGCGGCGTCTCCGCTCCACGCCGACATGCCTGGCTGCACTGTCATCGTCGTCCTTTGGAAGTACCGGCTGAATCTGTCACGTCTGCGGCGACGGGACGGCGTCCGCGTAATCGTCGTCGCCCCTCCTCGGATGCTTGTCGACGAAACCAAGTAATTCTCGGACAACCTCTCTTCCCAAGATGTTCGTATCCTTGTAGCGTGGACGTCTACTACCAAGTGGAGCCGCCTATTCGGGATCACGACCACTGCCTTCTTATGCATAAAGTATGATTCTGAAACAGAAAAATCATGCCGATGTTTAGGTTAGGGAGCTGTGTTCGATTTTCGCATCTTCAGTCAGGAGAATTGTAGTTTTCGAAAGGTGTCTTCAGCGAGCCATGGCTCAAATACGCAAGGAGATGGATGTTGAGGTGAAATTATGATTTATTCACAGATCCGTGTGAACTCCCAAGACAGGAAAATTAATGCATGAAACCATTTTGTGAAAAATTAACCGATTGAGTCTAGAACATTAAAAAAAATGAAAAAAAAAACTTTTTCGAAAGAAGGCGGACTCCTTTTTGGTCTCAGTCAGATTGGAAATTCTATACCTTTATTCTGAAAGAAACTTTGTTTTCCATAATAAAAAGCAATTGAAAAAGATTAACTGCCCAAAAAAACCCGTGCAGAAGTCGTGAAAAGTTCTGTTCAGGGCTTCAGACCGGAGCAACTCGAGCAGTTTTTCCACAGCGGCGACGCGTTTTCAAAACGGAATGGACTCTCAACTTTGAAGTATAGTTTTTTCCCGCTACTTTGAACTTTGATCGGAAAAACTACTGAAGCACGTTTCTTATGTTTTAGTTACCGAGTTTCCTATTTTGTAGACAATGCTCACTGTCAGGAACACCGCAGCCAGATTCATGGGTCGAGGCTGTGCGCTCCCAGGTAGGGTCCACCTGGGTACACTGAAAGCTCTTTTTCTCAGATAGGCGGCTTTCCAGCCGTCGTCCGTCCGTTGAGACATCACTGCGCTCATTCTGTCGGCTTCATTCGAGACGAAAGTGAATTCAAAAACTGGTTCCGGGTTAGTTTCACGGCTTTATCTTGTTTGTCAGCTCGAAAAATCTTTTATTTCAAAGCTTGCTTTTCATTTTTATTTTTCTATATCCGCTTTTTTTGTTGTGATAGTCTGAAAAATATCTGCCACTTCAACATTTTGCGTATCGCTGAAAAAAACATCATTAATTAGTCGAAAAAAATTGAGAGCAAATTTTGAACAAAAAAATGGGTCTATTTTAGAGAATGACAAAAAAAGATTTCATATTAAGTGACAGCTTTTTGCGAAGCTGTAAATGAAGGAGATACTTTTAGAATATTTTTTTCTGTCAAAAAAATATTTTTTTATATGGAACTTTTTCTAAACATACGTGGGTAAATGAAGAACTAAATAGGTCCGGGAGAAGTAGACTTACAATTAATTTCTGAAAAGAGTTTTCTGATATTCTTAACGAGTTTTCGAGTGCTCAGTAAAGGACATTTTTTGATTTAACTCATTTTTTACGAAATAATTGAAAGAACTATGTTCTACATTGATCGTCATAAAATTCAATTGCCATGGAAATCAATAAAGAAAATCAAATCAATTTTTTTTTGAATTCGCTCGAAGTTTGAACGAAAGAAATCAAACTTTCGTTATTTGTGACCTGATAATGGAAATAAAAGAGAGTTTAACAAGTTAATGAAAAGGATCTTTCTGAGTAAGGGATCATCAAGACTCTCAGATTCATGTTATCAAAAAGGTTTTCAGCGCAACTCGAGCGTACATCGAAATGAGCAGTATTTGGTGCAGGAATATATGGACGACGGCCACGAATTCACCGCCGTTTGCACTTTCCAACGCGGACTTGTCGGTAATAATTATTGAATTATCTCTTCAAACCAAGATTCACAATCTGTTGGATATTAAAAAGACGTTTCAGGATGTATATCTTCAATGGAAACGCATCGATCCGTCCTCGAGTGTATTCAAAACCAGCAGCCGTATGGATTGGAGCTTCTTTCGACTGACCAAACTAGAGACATCATGCCCGGCCTCGAGTCATTCACAATTCAGGTACGACCAAAAGTTGAACAAAAAAAAAGAGAAGAAGTTCAGGTAACCAAAAATGTTTTTCCCAATGGTTATCTTGGCGCTCTTTTCATTCGAGGTTATTATAAGGTGTAATTTAACATTTTCAATTTAATCATGATTTGTAGTTCAGGATCACAACGAAATATTTTTTTACGGTTTTGGTTTGGAGCCAGAGAATGAGACAAGTCGACTACTTTTGGCTTTACCTGGTCCGTCGCCTTGGGAAAACATTCTGATCGAAGCTCAAGCCGAGGACGAGTTGACGGTTGGTTCGAAACGGCTCCAACCATCATCGATGGGTTCAGAAAGAGCCAGAAGAGAGGAACCAGTATCACTATTGCGTTCTTAACTTCCCATCTGCAGAGGGGGTTCTTATCCACCAGACATCCGTTCAAAAGAGGTAGCTGCGTCGAAGTTGGAGAGCTCCCAGTCGAAGCAGACTATTCTTCAGAAGCAGTGAGATGCGTGTGGCGTGGCGAAGTGCGGAGAGCAGCGAGATGAAAGACAGCGACCACGTGGACGACAACGTCATGCAGGTGTTCCTATGGCACGAAAGCCGGCCGCAGCTTCTCCTCGACTGCGAAGACATCCTCCGTAGCACCGACATCACCATCGACAAGAACGTGCTCAACGAACGCCACAATCTCTGCCGTCGAAACCTCGGCAGACATGCCGCCAAGGAACTTGTTCGCAGCTGCACTACCGCCGACTGACTTTTGACTAGATTTCAAACGTAAGCTTCAAAAATATTGCTTGCCTTCTTTCAGAAATGCCTTCAGAATGAACTGTCTTTCTTTTTTCCCAGCGTATTTTAACTAAATTTTCTTCATTGTTCTTCGAAGTTCAGATATATTCCATTAACCGCTAGCTTGTCACGAAAAAAGCCGAAGCATTTCTGTAGATTTATATTTCTATCATGCTTGAAAAGTTGATTTTTTGAGAATGAGCTGACTTTTCAATTGGCTCAAATCAATGATGATAAATAAATCTTCCATAGATTTTCCCGTCGATAATTTCTACGCGGTTTTGAACGGCTTTTTTTTTTACGTCCAACGAAAATTGTGATCTCGACTTTATTCATAAAATGTAATAAATAATTGCACATTTTATCGCTACACGTTGATGGGAGATAAGATTACTGGATGAGAGAATGCAGGAAAGCGAAACAAGTGACGTCATCGTTGCCAGCCTCGCAGAATAACTGGAAAAGGAGATAAGGCAACTGTGAATAGAGAAACCTGTGTATTAGCGAGATAAGAAAAGTCATGAGAAGAGCAGATGACGTCGAAGAGGCCGCCGATTTCGTCACTGGCTGCCTTCTGGATCTTGCGTTTTGACGACGACGGGTTCGAGTCGACGTTCTGAGAATGTCGCAAGTGGGTTCAAAAGGGAAATCGGACCTGTTCGATGAGTCGCCGCAGTCTGTCGTCGTTGCACTTCTCGTTCAGAGGCTGCGTTCGCGTGTTTGAGGCGAACGCCTTGGAAAGAATCGGCTGTCTGAAACCATCTACAAAGGAATTTTTAGTGAATTTTCATGGGAAAACTCACTATTTGGTTCAGTTTCATATACACCGTTCTGAGGGAAGCGTTCAGGATTTTCAAACTCGACATATCTGAAAAGAAGATTCTCAGAATTTCCTGTGTGAAATTGGAGTCTTCAGATCACAAAAATCTTTTTGCACTGAATTAATCTGAAATCAGAGAAAAACTACCAAGAAAATTGAATCTTTTTTTTTCATAAAAATGGCGTTATTGAGACGGAAACATCATTCTTTCATATTTCGCAAGACATTCTAAGATCCAGCGAAGCTATGTCCGGAAAAAACTGGCATAAGTTGATTTTTTCTACTCGGAACTTAAATTGAACTGAAACTCCAATTATAAAAAAGAAATCAAATCTTAAGGTCAGGGAAATATCTCTAAAAAACTTTGAAAAAAATCTGCAGTCAGAAGCTGGCTTTCCGCACAGCATTTTTCATGAAATCCATTTTAAAAACATTTTGCTGAAATTCTAAGAACTTTGATCCTCACGTTTCGCTTGGCAATGTCGTCCCACGCGTTGTGGCGTCGACTCGTGGAGCTACAGTTGGAGGGAACTCTGAGTATTGAGCGGCGGCTTGGACTGACAAGGAAAAGAAAGTTAGAGACGAGAGTCTTCTGCAGACCTTGGACTAAGTTTGATTGTTGTGGTTGGTTAGATGAAGGCGGCGAGTACTGTTGAAACTGAGACTGTTGTTGTGGGAAAGCGGGCTGTTGTGGATACTTCACTCAACGTTCATATTGAAGGAATTGAGTCGCGTTTAAACCTGACGAGCGTCGATTCCGACGAGAGCTTCTTGGCCGTTGTTGGGCGGCGGAACTGCCGGCGGAAGAGTCCCAGGAAGAGGAGTCGAAAAGACGTAGCCGTTTCCGCTGTTCTGTCCGCCCAGAGACATTAGAGGAGGCAAGGTCGGCAGAGAGAACTGCGACAAACCCTGAAGTCTAAGAAGGTTTTCCCTCAATTATCGAAATGAGTACTCTCAGAGCGTTGGGATCAGGAGTTATGGTGGGTAATGTCGGGAATGGGTTGCATGGCAGAGGCGTCGGACATGCCGGTGCCGGAGGACAGTTCAGCGTGATTGGAGTTGGACAAGACACTGAATCAAGTATCGCCGCTGTTCTTTCATTCGAGAAGACAAACTTCCGAACTGTCCATTAGGACAGTGACACATGTGAGGCGGCGATCCGAAGGCCAAGTTGCCAAGGCAAACGACGACGACGGCTATCAGGATCATTGCGGAGAGGAGACAAAAACAAGGCCCTGGCCCTATTTATACAAGTTAAGTATCTCCGCGTTGCGACTTGTTCTCGGAATGGACGTTCAACTCTTCATTTCTGTGGATCGGGAGATACTCGTTGCAAAATTGCTTGTGTACAGAAGGAATGTTACTCGTCGTTCATCTCTATTTGGCCGTCGTTCCCGTTTTCATTGATGACGTTAAGGTCGACGGCGTCCAATTGATTCAGTCTGCCATCATTCGCATATAAAAGAGTTGAACAGAGTTTATAAAAATGAAAAAATGTATTTTTTCTGTATGAAAAGTATTGTCTGTCCACTGACCGATAAGCAACGCATGAGACGTTCTCAACGGTCTCTTGGCAGAATCGCGAGGCGGCGATGAAGTAAGAGAAGGTCCCGTCGGTGCAGATTACGTCATACCTGCCGCCAAGATCTCTTTTCGCGCGCTCCGCAATCAAACTTTTCGACTTCGCCAAACTTTTTTCAATACTCTGAAATCGAAATTTGAGATTTTTTTGAAATTGAGATTAAATTTCAGCCGTGTAGCTGATTCAGAGCTGATTGCAATCCAAAACAAAATTATTGAATTTTCATCATTTACATCACTAACAAACCAAACTTCTCGGCTTAAAAAGACGAATTTTCCGTGTTTGTGTGGGTGCGAAGCGGTCGTGTTGCGTTTTTGGTGCATTTTTTTTTAGTTTTGTTCACTTTTCGTTTTAACAAAATCGTTTGAATAACTTCAAAGGCTTCTTGAGAAAGGCGTTCCTTGACATTTTTCTAACGATGGAAAATGACTTTAATAAAGTTAATTCCACGAACGACATAGTTTCGATCGTTTCGAACACATCTTAAATCCCAGATACTGCTCATTCCAGCCGTGTAAAAGCTATTATAAAAATAACCTGAAGCACATGCAGAAAGATACGGTTCACAAAAAAAAGATGGTGAATAGCTTCGCGCATTTTTTGTAAAATACTCTTAACTGTGATTTGAAGACTCTAAAAAAATTCGAGCTTGATTTTTCTTTCATTTTTTTCAAAAAAACTGCTTTTTTTATACAACAGTTTTGTGAAATGATTTATAAAAAAGGCTGGTGATCAAAAATAAATTCAGTATTGGGTCAGCGCTCATTTATTCTCATTCAAACTACATTGTCGGGAAAAAGCAAACAGACTCACAGAGATAATGATGAAGCGCAAGTGCTCGTCGTTGCAGTTGGAAGTATCACTTTTCAAAAAGCTTCTTTGGCTCCGTAGCTCTAAGTTCGTTGATTAAACTTCCAAAAATCGAAGAAACTTGAAAAACCTTCGCCTGAGCTATTTTCGAAGTCAGTTAAGAACTCTTCTGGCAAAATGGTTTTTGACGCCTGCAAAGACAAGATATGACCAGCTCAAGGAGAAATTTGAACCAGTGGAGGAGGCGGCAGAGGTCTGACTTCGGTAGCCGAAGCTGCCGTGGAGAGTCGTTCAGGCTGGTAGCAACCGACGAGAGCGGCAAGTAAGCTTGCGAAAAAAAGGGGGAAGACACTCGCGGACATGCCCAAAAATTGGGTTTCCCTCACTCGACTCTTTTTTTATACCTGCTCGAGTTTTCGTTTCTAGCACAAAGAAAGGCTCTGGACGGGTCTCTGCGCATTGTTTGAGTGCACGTATTAGCATAATTGCAGAAGAAGACGAGTTGAACGTGTCCACTTGTCAAAAATAAACAAAATTTGACGTTGCCCCAAAAACTCGATTGTTGACCATTGACCATTGCAAGATCTGAAAAGGGAAAACTACCGATAATTATGAAAATACACACCGTTTAAAGGAAAAAATGGTTTACCATTCAAAAATTTTTCAAAGCCAAGGAACTTCCGATCTGCCTTGTTATAACTGTTCCCAATTTAGAGTCATAAAAATTTTTTTGAACGTTTTTTTTAAATTCCCATATGACGTTTCAAGCGCTTTTTGAATTATTGTGGAAATTTTTTTCGTACGTATTGGCTGGAAAAATTATAACTTCAGAAACTGACTACACCAAAATACTTTTCGAATCGTCGTTTGCTTACTCTTCCAAAGATGCACAGTTCGCCACTTCATCTGTGGAATAAAAAGATGAAGAAGCCCTGCTCGAAGTGGATCGAGTACCGCGGAATGTGCAAATAAGGACAAATGTTTAGCAGAAGATAGGCATCAGGCCAACGTTCGTGGCGTTTTTATCGCAACGTCCAATCGCGGCTTCGAATTTATGCAATCGCGGCTTTTGGTTCCCCAGGGCAGTCACACCGAATCTTCGGCTAATTTCCCGCCGCCTTTTCCCATCTTTTGTCATACGCGGCCTTAATCACAATCTTTTTGCTTGGTATGATACTGGGACATCTGCGCGAAGTTTTCATCGAAAAAAAAAACAGTTGCGCAAAGCGGGAACAAGTTTGCCATAGTGTTTGCTACACATTCTATATGATTTCAGCAGTTTTTTGCGCTGTTTTGTTGCTGTAAAAGGTCTTTTACTGTTTTTTATTATGTCCTTGTTTAAAATGGAAAACCATGCATATTCGAAAAATAAAGAGGGTCTTTTTTTATTAGAGAACCCTCTCGACGGAAGATTTTTCAAAGCTTGAAAGTATAATTAGTTCTGTTCGGTTGGTTCGGTCTGTCTTTTTCCAAAAAAATTTCAAGTTTTTTTCAGTTTTAAATCGTTGAATTATCCAAAATGCATGATTTTTGGTTAGTTTGAAAGTTTCTGAACATTAAATATTTACAGCCAAAGGGAAAGAATTTTTTTTTAAAGTAAATTTAAGGTTAAGGTTAAGGTTTTTTATTTGACCTGAAATCAAAGAATGGGGTCGGCATAAAAGTGTTTAATGAGGTTCGAGGACCTAATGGCCATCTTAAAAAGAACCGAAAAATTCAATTAAACGGACCTTAACCAGAAACCCGCAAAAAAAATTCTGAAAGTTTTGAATTGCAATTGAACTTGAACACCCACGGCGCGTAAATCATACGATCAGGGTGATGCGTCAGCGTGTCACGTACCTTGGAAATCTCCCGCGCAACTCTTGATCAGGAAAATAAGTTTAAAAGTTTTCCTCAAAATGTTTTCTTTAAAGACCCTAAGGGGTCAGAACCTTGCTATAGCCTATTTCGCGCCAGCTCGTTGCGTTTTTCTTTCCGCCAAAAATACCCTATATCAAAATAAATCAAAATTGAGCAAGTTCGCTCCAAGATCTTTGTTTTTAGCAATTTTGTAGAGAAAAAGGTTGTATTTACGGAAGCTTTTTCTTTTATGTTATTTTAAAAGGTGACTATCTTCCGCGGAACGCTCTATAAAAATCTTTCCAAAGACGATTTTTTGTTATACGCTGTTTCAAAACTCTTGTTCAATAGTTGTAATACATAGGTACTATAGTACCTACCTACTCACTTCATCTTTTTTAGGCTTTCACTAGTCTCGACCAGATTTCTGGGAAATTTCTACCTGGACTAAAAGACCGATAACTGAGACAGATGGCGCTGAGGCGCCGAGGCAGGTGCGGTACCCGATGAGGTCGACGCTCCTCCCCACAAGGCGAAAGCTGTCTCGAAGGCCGTTTTTTGTACGCTTTCCATGCTGAACTGTACAAATTCAAAAGAAAACGAGGGCCGATGGAAACAACACGGGGTGAAAGTTGTAAAGAAGCGACGGCATGCCACCGACTGGTTCTTCCCTGCACGTCTTCTTTTTCCTTCTTCTTTCTCATCATCATCTGCGCTTCGTCATATGCTGTTTCCCGATTCCTGGATCTTTTGCTTTCCTATCGATTTATCACAATCATTCGCTTCAATTTAATTTTATTTCGTTTTATTTTTCTATGCGACAAATTTTCGCGATATTTAATGTCCTGCCTCCGAATTCGAAAAAAAACGTGCTAAAAAAATTTCTCAATGATAATAAGCGAGAAAAGATTTCGATTCTTTAATAAGTATTTTAGCTTAGCCTTCGCAACATGGGGATTATACTGATTTTTGAGCTAAATCCTATCTAATTTTTTGTTGTCAGTCCCCTGAGAACAGGTCCATTTTTCACGACTCTTGATTAACAAATAAATTTTTTTTCAACGATTTGTTGCAAGAATTCCTGGATGATATTCAAGGAATACAATTTCAAAACTAATTGCTCAATCGTTTATTAATTTTTATCGAAAGCCATGATAAAAACGACTCGGGCAAAACTGAAAAGCTCTCCAAATGCTTTTCTCAAAAAAAGACCTTGAAAGGGTCCCCAGCAGATCTTTTTTATATCATTTCAATTTTTTTGCATCTTTTTCACTTCCTCTCACAAAAAGGAGGCTGGAAAGCAACTAAAAAGATTCGAGCGGATTTAAAAAGGATCCTCTGAGGCTATGAAAAAGGTGCTCAAAAGCTTTTTTACATCATTTTAGGAGCTTTTAGAAGAAGCTTTTTATCTCCCTCTCAGGATCCTTTAAGGATCCTCAAAGGAACTTTTCCTTTTTACCTATGTGATATTTCTTGTTCATTTTTTTCATTTCATCAAAGTTTCAAGTTTTCGCGATTTCTTTTTTGTTTGTTCCTGTGATTCTATGATTTTATTGATAAATTGGTTTTCTCATTGTTATTATTTCCTTTCAAAAAAATTATGATCGCTTTATTGATTTCTCCCATTGTTGATTGCAACACAAAATCGACGACAACAGCTGCGACCAAACTTTGCGCCAAGCCGGATCGTGACCAAACTCCCCCTGCCAAATTCAAATTAAATACTGTGTTGGCGGCGAAGTGACCGTGCGTGCCGCTTACTCCGTGTTCGAAAGAAGGTCTTTTGAATATTCGAACTCTGCTCAAAACACTTCTATCATGGCGTTTCGAAGAGAACAATGAATATAACAGCTTTAAAAGTTTGAATTTTATTTTCAGGCAAAAATATCAGTGAACTTTTTTTATTTGCTTTTATTTTCTTTCAGTTTTTTCAACGGTCACAAGCAAAAAAATATTTCACAATCAAGCATTTTTTTATTATAAGTTTATGCTTGAAATCTGAAAAAAACCGAGAAACTATTCGTTTTTTTCTTCAATTCTAGTGCTGTAGTTAACAGCTCTCTTTGGGACGCCTTGCAGAACTTTGTAAAGGTTTTTACCGCCTTTTCCATAATTTTATCGTTTTTTAGAAGAGTTAGTGAGCATATAGCTCTTTAAAAGGAGAAATGGAACTAAATCAGCAAAGCTTCTGGACCTCTTAAACGAAATATTTGAGCCTTCCATCTCTTCGAACCTCACTTAAAACGAGGAAATAAGTGACTACAAGTATCTATGTTTGATTTTTTTTTTTCTGATCCTCGGATGTTGGCGTCTCCAAAAAAGAACAGCACCTCGCGGCGCATGTGGCGGCTCTCGAACTGTCAAGCGTCGACGCAAACCGGGTGCCGTCGGCATGGACTCACAGGCATCGGATTTCCGTCAAAGACGAGTGCAGTGCTCAAAAAACCGCTGTTCGCTACTGTTGCGGGCCGGAAAGCTCCGTCATTTTGACGTGGCTCTTATCTCCCACCGCGTGATTTTCCTCTTCTGATTCAGCTCTTATTCCGTTTTTTTGACAAGAAACGATTTCTCTTTTATACTCCTACATCACTTCCATTTTTTGATGTGTTGGTTATCCAGCCATTTTCTGGAAATTTCTTAGAATGAAGCTCTTGTGATTGCGTCCACGTAGTTACCATTTGCATTAGTATCTTTCGTTGTCGCCATTGACGTTGATTCGAGGGAAATACTGGAAGATCCATGCGAATATCCGAATAGGGGCTGGAACTCGTCGGGAATTCGCTGTCTCCACCTTTACACTGCTATTCTCATCTCGCCTTTTCCGTAGAATAGCTGGCGCCATTGACAATTCCCTGTGAATATTATAAAGCTTTCATTTTTCCTGATTGATTGGTTTTTGATCATCAAGCTTTTGCATAATGTTGATTTTTTCCTATTCACGTCTAGAGTCGACAGTCCCCATGATCTTTTAAATCTTGGAAAGTAAACCGAAGGTCAACAATCAAAAAGTTACGTTTAATCTAGGTACTTGTTGTATTTGAATGGCTGCGTCTTTCTGCTTCCGAATTTTTTCTTCTGAAAATTCTTTTAAAAAAAGTTCCTCAAAAATAACAACCGAATAGAGTAAACGAAGAAGCTGAACTAAAAATCTTTTCTTTTTTTTGACAGATAGACTGAAATTGAGAAACCTTGTAAAAAAAAAAACGAAACTGAACAATTTTACATACTTTTTCTAGTTTTTGGTGATGCAGTTTTTGGAATATCGTCGAGAAGCAAAAACCTTATCAAAACGAATGAAAAAAAAACGAAGAATTTTCTAGATTTGCCTTTGTCGGGAAACTTTTTTTCATAGAGTTCCCGTTCCCGATAAAGAAAAACAATTATACTTTTTTTAAAATTTCTTCCATCTATGTGGCTGGCTAGCCTTTCGAAAGCTATCTCTTAGCGGCTATTTTACATGACCCACTCAAAAAGTGTGAGAACGAAACGGCTCGCACCCATTTTTTCGGCTTGTTTGTGTTTGCCGGTCTTGTTTATTTTTTGTCCGTTGATCCTTTTTTGCCTTCTTTCCATTCGCCCCATGCTTCCGAAAAGACCTTCTGGGATGCTTTTGGCAAATTTTTCAAAGCAAAAAAATTGTGTAAAGGCCCTTCGAGCTCTCTGTTTCTTTTATAGATATTTAATTTTTTCTTTGAATCATACAACCAGAGCAGTTGATTGATGAGAACTGAGACTTTGGAGCATATTTCAAGCCTTATCAAGTTTTTTGGCGATCTACCGACGTAATCCTTCTTGTGATTTCTAAATATTGTTCTCTCACTTCATTTCTTTATTTTTTGAATTTCGAAAATGCTTGAATAGGATTAACGCTCGAAACGGAAAATATAATCTGTAAAAGCTACATTAAAACGCTAACCTTAAGTCCAAATTTTAATTAACTTACCCCATCATATATTTAATCCGCTATCTGCTTTTTTTTTCTACGATGAACTATTCGTCTTTCATTCAATTATATAGGAAGGACAAGGTAGAGATTTTCGACGTGTGTGTTTATTTTTTATGAGGATTGACCCAGTTTGGAAACAGGAGCACGAAAGCAAAAAAAAACGTAACGATGCAAGGTTTATAATGCCAAAACTCTTTCTAAAAATCATTCATTTGATGCTAACAACTGCAAAGTTTTTATAAGGTTATTTATATAACATAGGCAAAGTCGGAAGGACCATCCGAGGGTTCATAAAGGCTGCTGAAAGACTCCATAGAAATGTTCTTTTTAGGGTGGTGAAGGCTATCTTTTTGCTGCCTTTTTGCGCCATTTTCTCAGCCCTTATGCACCATTTTTGCTGCCTCTCCCTTTCTCCACCATTTCTTGAGCCTTTAAAATTCTAAAAAAAATAGAAGGCTCGATGAAGGGTCTCTCTTTGCTGCTTTTTTGCTGCCTTTTTGCTGCCTTTCTTCGGCCTTTTTTGAGCCTCTCCTTTTTCTCCCACTATCCACCCTTCCGACTTTGCCCGATAATATATTTGCTTTGCTGCTCACATACCAGTTTCAAAGTTGTTTATTTATCGATCAGACGACATTTACCTGTGTCTTGCCTTGAATCTTATTCAGTAATTAGGCTGCTCTCAACTGAAGCTTGTGTTTTTGTTGAATCGAAAAACGTTTTCGATGTGTCTATAGGAAAAAGAGTGTGTTGCAGACGAATGCGCAGCAGTTGCGACGACGCATGAAGAAGCCGAGCCGGGAATGTACAAACTGTTCGCCGTCGTCCTCTCGACCTTGGCTGCCGCTCAACACGAACGCGAGTTCTTCTACTTTCCCTCATTTTGGTTGATTTCGAAAGGGAGAATAACTAGTTGTCGCTCCATTTTTTTCTCTTCGAGCGGATAATCTTTTGTACACCAAGTTAATTGTTTGTATTTCAGGACCGACGTCTTCTAGGGATGCCGTCGGAGGTCCGCGACATGGAATCGATTTTTTGGGACCCTTGTGGTTATCGAGAACTTTCAAAATCACGTGCTGTCGGCGTGGTTCGCCTGTAGCAGAGAATCCGGAGGTGTGAAAACTTTTTCATATCAAGATTTTTCTGCAAGTGAAACCACTTTAAAAAAATTTTTCAATCATTTTTCACCGTTCCACACTACATCCCCTGATAATGCCGTATGCAAGGTGGTTCCAGCAAAATGCAAAATCATCTTTGACTCTCCAAAATGAGTTATATATTTTTTTTCTTTGATGGCTATTTTGAATGTCGAGAAATCACTTTGAACACGGCATTATACTTTTTTTTGGGAAGTGAAAAAAAAAAGTCGAAAATTTTGATAAAGCAAGTCAATAACTCAAAATAGAAAGAAAAGCTACTTTATTAGTTTATGGAAAAGACATTTTTTGGAGTTTTTAAGTTAAAAGATGAATATTCAAATAATTTGTAATTTTTTGAATCGCGTTTACGTACAAGATTCAAAGAGAGCGTCTAGATTAGCGGTTTCTGTAACTGTTTTTCGAAAAAAAAGGTTTAAAGTGATTTGTACGAAGATTTTATTTGAACCAGATCCGATCTCTGATTTGAGATTGCTGTAAAATAAAAAAAGTAGCAAAATGATGAAATGAGACCTGCAGCTGATCAGCAACTGGACTCAAACGGCCTCAGACTACGCGGTCGACGAAAACGCGGTCGACCATCCTCGAGACGACCACTGCCGCGTTTTCCAGGGCACCTTCTTGCTCTCGGCCGCCGCCTTGTACAACACCAGCTTCACGGGTTACGGTGTTCAGTGCAAGTGTCCAGGTGCGTGAAATGCCCTATGGCTGAAATCGGAACTCATTTAAGTTAACCTGGGACCGCTTGATCAGCACTGTCGACAGTTGGCGCCGTGCCAAAATGGAGGCTACCGCAGTCAAACGATGGGTCGTCGTTGCTCCTGTCCGCAACCCTACTTCGGCGACTTCTGCGAGAAAGCTTGTGATCAAGGACAAGTTCTAGTTGGTCCGGGCAAAAATCTCAGCTTCTTCTCAAAGCGATCGTTTTTGTTTCTAGGCATCGATGGACACAACTACTGCAGCTGTCTGCCGTTCTATCAGGGAGAAATGTGCACCGAACTTGTTTGCCTCAACGGAGGTTCCATAAAATCACCCTCCGTTCAATCAGAGCGCTTCTTGAGGCTTCGAAATCCGTGGCCGATGCAGTTGTCCACAGAATTTCCTTGGCTACCATTGCGAGATCGACGGCAACCGCACGGCAAGGGCCAACTCCAGATTTCAGCGCTACGGCGAGGTATTAGAGATCTTCTTTTATTGTTCTTTAAAGGATGTCGTTCATCGTTACACGCTATTAGTACAGAGTAAAAAACTTGCTGAGGAGTCAAGAGTATTCGATTTTTGCAACTTTTTTTTCTGATATTCAAGTCATAAACCTCCCCTCAAGTGGGCTTAATGACAAAAAAATTGTTTCAGGCGATTATAAATTTTTGACAGTAAAGTTGGATTGTTTCCTTTTTGAAAAAGTTTCGGCCAAACAGAAAATTTGGCCTTTTCGTTATCTTCAAGAATTCAAGTTAGCGTTCGAGTCCCGAAAAAAACGTCAATGCACCAAAAACACAGAAGAAAAACAGTTTTAAAAGAAAAGGATGCTTTCCGTTTACGCTCACGTTACAATTTTTTTTCAGAGACTCAAATATTTTTTAATTCAGTTTTCTGATCTAAATTGCTCTTCGGAAGATTCCAACAAGGAATGTCTGAAGCGAATATCGCAGGTCTGGTCTAAACTTCTCCGGTAAGTAGTCCGTGATAAGAGTACTTGAAAATAAAAAAAAATCTTCTCGTGTTATACAAAACTGAGAAAACGCCTGTAGATGAAATGCCGAAAAAGTCTGGAAACTGTTTTTCATGTTTTTAGTAGAAACTAAAGTTTCTTTGTCAAAGCAGTTAATTTCAAAAAACAAAGTTTGAAAAGTGGCTTTTTCAGGCGTATGCCCATTTTCCTCCGACTTTTTCTCGGTTCCCTATGATGCTCAGCAGATAAATTGTTTTTGATCACTCTCACCTAGGACTACCTGTTGAAAAAATTTGGACCGGACTTGCAATGATCACCTCGGACAGTTTCCTTGTAAAAATAGAATTGAGTACGAGATTTCAATTTCTCTTCTGTTAGTTCTTCAAATTTTTATTTTTGATCACTTTCCATTGTTAAAAATTTCTGAAAAAAAAACGCTCGTTCCGTTCATTTCTACTTTAAAGCGATTTTTCTTTCTTCTCGTGCAGGTTAATGTCGGTTTCAATTCATCGGGTGAAATTCGGAACAGAAATAGCAACGATGAATTTTAGGGAGGCGAGCTGTTCAGTCGCGACATTTCCGGCACTGTTTTTAGTCTGGTAATGATCGTCGTGCTTGTTGTGTCGATGTACCTGCTGATGAAGCATCGAATGCAGGTAGACCGAAACTTCCGAGTTTCGAGAGAAATAACGGACATTTTTAAGGTACAATCGCACATTGTGGCTTCTCGTCGAGATGAGTTGAGCCGGGCCGCTGCGGTTTATGGCATCGGTGAGAACTGGGCAAACTGTTTAGGAAAGGGAGAGGTTCAGGTCGAGGAGGGGAGACGATCGCCAGGGACGACTTGCGGATCGTTCCCTTCGTCGCCGCCGGAATCCATGCCCCGCCCCCTTATGCAACGACGATGGCACCTCGAGGTTTTCTTGGTTCCGAGTGAACTCGAAAGTTTGGTGTGAAGGAAAAATTTGTAGTATATTGTTTCATTGATAATTTTGATCAAAATCAATTGATGCGGATTAAAGAAAATCAGTATAAACAACTCAAAAAAGCTCTTCAGGTAGTACTATACAGATAAAATTATTTTACAGTTAGAAAAATCGTTTAGGAGTTTCAGAAGTGAATGTGGTTGAATTCTCGCCCGAATATTTGAAATATATAATTTGTTGAAAAAAAGGTGACTTACGGACGCCGGTGCGTTCGGAACGTTCGGGACGCGCCAATTTTCCTGGCTCTAAAATGTTTTTATGGTTTTTTTTAACGACGACGCCTCGTATTTTTGTTATACTATAAGTTTTATCAGTAAATACGGTATGAAGATAACTGAACAGAATTTAAAAAAAAAAAAAAAAGGCAAAAGATTAAGCAGTAACGGGAATAAGTGAACCCTAACGAGTAGACTCTAGGTTATTTTTGTTTTAAGCAGTAAATGGGAGATCACGTTGGTGTTTTTATCTACTGGAATGTCTTGCGTAACAGAAAACTTCAATTTTTTGTTTTAAAAAAGTAAAAAGTAATTTATTTTTTTCTCAGGCCGGAGTCGTCCAGAAGTTTTGCCTCCGCTTCCCAGCTATGAAGATGCCACAAAAGACACAGTCATAGGGTTTTTGTTTTTCATGAAGCAAAGAAGAAACCAGGAACTTGCAGCGCGTCGACGGAGTCAGAGAGCTCCCGCAACGTTCCCCCATCTGTCCCGACAGAGATGGCTCCGACTGAACTTGCGCCGTCGCCCTCAGAAGACGCAGCAACGGTGGCTCGAAACGTCGCCTCTCGTCGCAGTTTGTAGATATCTTTTCAATATTTTTGCCTAAAACTTTCAACTCTTCTGATTTCACTTGAATGACGTTCCTTTGCCACACTCATCGCTTCCGGGTTATTTTTCTTTGTAAAAAGTTTCTGTTACTCAATCTGAAAGCAAGTATAGAAATATGAGCACTATTTTCGGCAGTATACACGATTATTGTGCGCTAACTTTCTGTATTTTTGCCTTTGAAATCAAATCGGGATCCTTCTTTCCAATGCATGTACAAATCGCGATTAGTGTGAGTTCTGTCAATTTTTGCTCAATTTTCATGTTCTTTCACCTTCGTACCTGTAATAAACGCGTTCATATGATGAGCTCAAGGCAAAAAGAAATGTATGAAACCAGTTATGAGGACTGGTTGAAATTGAAATTTCAGACAGATAATTTGTTTGTTGCACCGGATCCCTGAGGAATCAATAGTTTCGTCGAGGCGCCGTGTTCGGTGCTTCACGGACAAAGTTTGCGTGCACAGGAGCGGAAAAACCGAGTAGTTTTTCGTTAATCTTCCAGGCAAATATTCGCCTCCTCCTCCTCCGTTGTTAATACGTCGTTTTCCATACAATCGCAACCGCTTCTTGCGGTTATCCATTCATTTTACTTTCTCTTTTTTTATTTCCTTTTTTTCTTAAAAATTCTTAAAATATATATTTAAAATTTGTAATTCAGAAAAATAAAGTTCCCTTTTGGGGCATTTAAATTTTTTTCTTGTTTTTTTATTCATGATAGCTCATAGGAAAGTTTTCAGGGTTAAATTATTTTTAGAAGTATTGGAATATTCTGAGAGATGGCTTTGAACTGAGTTGTGTCAGACGAGATCCGAACAGTTTGGTATAACGGCGACCTCAAGTCCCGCCCATTTATCACATGTTCTTCTCTTTCTTTTGTTTCCTTGCTGGCCGTGAGGTGTCGTTCTTTTTTCCTGGTATTATTTTTTGTTCCTAAACCGATCGATTCTTTCTCAAAGACAGTTTTCAACGTTTGGAATCTTTTTCCCTTTGTTTTTTCGAAAATTCTTTATAAAAAAACTTTTTGTCAACTTTGTCAAGCAGTAGGCCTGAATTACAGTATCGATTTGACAACTCAGATTTTATTAAATTAAAAATTAGGGACAGCATGTACTTGAAACTTTCTGCGAGAAGCAAGCAAAAACTATCACAGTTTTTTCTCCAAATAATGAACATGTTCTGTCTTCACATGCAAAAAAGTCTCGACCTGTCCGATTTGGCCACCAAGAAAATGAGATGCGAGCAGTTTTTTGATGACGAATCGGTCACTCATCTCCCAACTACCTCGGCGTGTGAAGATCGCCAACTTTTTGGGTAGAAACGACCACTTTTCCCATGTACCTTTATTCATGACTTCTGTCTCGAATCTCGTTTTTTCGAGTAGAACTTTTCAGTTCTAAAAGCGAAGAAAGTATTCCATTATAGGAAAACTTCCGAAATTCAGCTTTTGAGTTTCCCTGAAACTATTCACGTCAGCAGACGGTCTGTGTACTGTAAACTAGCTAAAAAGCTATTTTTGTCGTACGATTCATCAAATATGGTTCACGAGGCAAGTGTTTACCGCACCTGGGAATGGCACTAACCTACCTGCCAACTATTATGTTTGTTTACGGGTACACTGGTACCGTAGCCAGAATTTCCTCAGGGGATTTTCCAGATTGGTCCTTAAGAAATTTTTCTGTCTTTTGTCGCCGACAGCTATAATCACGGTTCGTCATCTCACGAGCCGTGCCGCCAAATGGAGCGCGTATAAAAGGCGCGGCGCCACCGTTTGAACTTTCCAAGCCATTTGGGGTTCGGCAAGTTCTTCTCTTGTTCTTCTCCAGCCAGTTTTTCCATTAATTCGATTCATCTCCTTTTCTACCAAGATAATTTAAACTCATTTTACTCGCAGTAACACGGAGCCGGCATATTTTGAAATACTGAATTTGAAAAAAAAAAAGTAAAAAAGGTTTATCCATGTAGCGATCAGTTAGAATAAACTGAAATCGATCAACTGAGTCATCGAAGCTCAAATTGATTCTTTTCCCTTTGAAATGGCAACTAGAAAAATGATCAAAAAGCTCCATGGTATCAGGAATATTTCTTAGAAATTTTTCTTCTTATTTTTTTATCGAAAAATGAGGGCTGTGCAAAATTTTTGAGAAAATTTTTTTTCATCAAAGGTCAGTCAAAAATCGAAAATGATGGCTTACATAATTTATTTTTTGTTAGAAATTTGAAGACGGAAAAAAGAAAACAGAATAAAAAGAAATACGTAATAAGTAGATGTACATTAAGTGGACCCGGTGGTTTGGTTAACTGAGCGAAGGCAGCCAGGAGCCGCCACAATTAATCACAACTCGCTGGCGAATGCTCCCAAGCGTCGTCGCCTACAACGCGTCGCTCCAGCCGCCGACGGGCGACATGAACCGTCGGATGGAGCGCTTCTTGTCTTTCCTTTTGCGCCTCTTTCGACGAGCTCTGTTGCTTCGCGAGCCCTCAGATGTTGTCGTCTTCGAGCCGCGAGCTCTCTGAAACTCCTCACATGTTTCACGGCCAGCCTCCTTCCTTCAGCAAAACAACTTTTCTCGCCCTTCTCGAAGTTTTTTTCTCAAACCTCGTGGCACAACAACTCTTTATCTTTTTTTATTTCATCGATAGTTTCATTTTCAATCAACTCGCTTCCATTTCCTTCTATCCTCGTCGTACGCTCAAGTACATTCTCATTCAATATTCTTCCCTATATTATCTATTTATTTACGTTATCCTAATTCTTTTTCTTTTTTTTCACTATATTTGAAGGTTCTGTTCTTTTTTCAAATACATATTATCGGCGTTTGAATATAATGAAGCATTAAATATCTGTCTAAAAGTGATTTACTATTTTGCTGTTTTTTTTTTACAAAACAAAGAGCCGATGGCCTTAATTTTTCCATTTCAGACGATGATCTTAATGTCTAGCTCATTCAAGTAGACGTAGGCTATAGAAAAATTATAATCATTGCCACTAGAGCAATGAGAAAAATGTATTTACCTCATCTAAGGACACAGGTCCACGCTACCGTCCATCTATAAAAAGTTATTTTTATCGCTACCAATCACATCGCTCATAAATATCTTACTCCAGAACTGGTTTCTTACGCCGGCCATGCACGAACGAACAATACAAAGATTGGTGCATTGATTTTTATCACAACATTTTCTGATCATTCCAAGTTGGAAAGGCAGTGAAGTTCACTGGTCCGAGAGCGGTTGATCTTGTTGAAGTCTCTATTAAAAAAGCTTTATTCAGAAACGAAAGCAAAAAAACTTCAATTTCAATTGGTTGATTTCTTAGGAATCTTCTTTACAATGTTCGTAAAGCCGTTAATTCAGTCGTTCAATAATCCAAATTAAAGGAGAACTGCAGTTGAGATTCGAAATATTACCACTAAAAACAGGATAGAGCTATCTTTCACTTCAATTTTATAACTTGAATTTTTGAATAGGAGAATCACGATGCAGTAGCCTTAGAATCCGGTTAGGACATTTAAACAATTTTTTACATTTTCAGACCAGTTCCCCAAGTTTTGTGAATTTTGTCTTTCTCCAAAGTGGAGTTGTTGCATGGAATTTGAAAAGTCTTCGAGAAATAGTACTTATGATTGAACTTGTCAGTCTCAGTGCACTGCCCGAGGTGTTGTCAGTGAGCTGCAAGTGTCGGATAGTTAGTGCGACTCTCCTCGGGCGACACGCTGCCTCGCCTCCTCGACCGGCAACGTTACCGTGTTCCACGTGCGGAAGCCTCGTTTCCATTAATCAAGTCGTTCCGAGAGTTGCGATCGATCTCAGCACTTTGTCGATTTCCCACACCGCTGTCGGTTGCCGCTTCTACATTGCAACATCGACATTTTCCCTCGGAGGTGTTTTTTCCCTTTTTCTTATCATATTCCTTTACCTCTTCTTTTTTTTTCTTGACAGATTTTGAAGCACGATTTATTTAGATCTTTTTTCCTTATCTTTTGCTCTGTCTCAATGTTCAAATGAAAAATGTCTTGGATATCTTTTCTCAACGATCGATCTTCATTCTATCGCAACTATTTTACAGAGTTCATTCATGATTAGGCAGTCTTTCTTGTCTGTGTTCTTTTTCCTCCCCAACTAGATTAAAGAAAAACGAAACCAACACATAAACAAGGGAGCGCAAAGTGATTAGAATTTTTAAAGTATTTTTTCGAATGAAGCATATAGTCTTTTTTCGCGTCTTGAAAGGGCGGGACCTCTCTGCGCCCTCCTTATCTCTCGACGTCCCTCTCATGTTTACGTGCTGTTTCCATGTTTCTCTGACCTCGATGGTGAGGGAACAGAGAGACGCAGACACGCGAAAACTGTCAAATCGCGGCGGACGGACTATACTTTACCCCCCAAAATGGAATTTCTAGCAACCCAAATTTTTGGCTTGCATTTTGTCCCTTTTTTTTCTGAATTCATAAAAATATTTAGATTTATTGACTTTTGATAGGAAAATCTCATGAAATGACATATTTGATTTTGATATTTTTCTTGAGGCGCTTTTTTTGTATTTCTACTCAAGAATTTTAACTAAGTCACAGGCAGTTGTTTTCCTTCCTTTTTCCAAGGTTTCGTTTTTTTGACGAAATTTATTTTGTTAATTATTTTTTTGCCTTTTTTTCAAATTTGATTCATGATCATAGTTCAAAAAAAGTTTTTTTATAACTTTTTAAAACATATTCTGGATATTTTTTTATTTTAATAAAGCAAAAAATGTGAAAAATAATGATCTCACCTCGTCAGCTTTGGCTCAATTTACTAAAGAAATCTGCTTTTCATGTACAGCTCTTCACACGAAGAGTCTTAAGGCACTAGTCTAAAGGTTTGCAGAGAAATTTTCCGATTGATCCAGAACCAGGATTTCCTAAACTATCTTGAAAGTTCTATTAAATTCTCAGCCGTTGCGCTATCTTTGTACAAATGTGTACATTACTTATTTCTTTTTTCATATAGGTATGAAGATTCGAAAACTGTGAGTTGGTTTCAGTTAATTTGAATTTTTTTTTTTCAAAATAGGCCTTTTTTTGCAAACAACATTCGTTCATCCATAAAGTGCTCGCCCACGTCATCTCCCTTACTTTGTAGACGGGAGTGGTTTCAAAAACTTCTACGGGAATGAGACCATCTGCGACCCGATTTTTTCTTATTAAGGACCGAAATTGCACTTCTCTAAGCTTCATCCGCCCACCATCGCTTCTTTCGGCATTTAAGGACAATTGGAGTCTCGATTTACTGCAGACGCGGCTCTCTCTGTTGTTTGTCCTCGCTGCGAACGCCGTTGCTCTTTTTTGCGACGTCTTCTTTGAGTCATTTCTGCGCGACCTTTGCAAGATTTCGACACAACGGCGCCAAAAAGTCACAGCAATCGCCGAAAAAAGCGTCGATTTGCATACCGTACTCGACCAATTTCGCGTCCAAAAAAACAGCGTTGTCCGGCTTTCGTGAAATTTTCGTGTGAACTGGCAGCCTCCGCAGTCCAATCCTAACAAAAATGTTTGTTCAAGCAATTCCACTTGAGTAACCATCCTTATAAGAAACTTTTCAGATCTTTTCAACAGGGCTCTCATTTTTTGAAGTTTTAATCCCTTCGTTTTTTTTTCATTCTGAAACAAACTGTCACCATTCATTAACCATATGCATTTGACTTACTGAGTTAATTGGTGTCTTGACGGCAGACAGAGCTGTAATTCATTCACAGAAGTCGTGTGGCGGGAAAGGATTCAGACCCAAATTTCGGTGCCTGCTTTCTAAAGACTGATAAAAAAGATTAGAAAATCTGTTTTGCTTCCAGTTTCTTTCTATTTTTGCTAACCAAAGAAGACGAAAAGCTTGCTGCACCTAGACTTGGACCAAAAATTTCGCAAACTTGAGAAATCAGTTTGAAGAACTGATTTTTGATTCCAAAAAATTTCTTTGGATAGATGGTCCGATTTAAATGAGTTTGAGCGTAGTATTGAGGAGCTTCTCGACGGTTTCTCCGTGATCGGCATCGCCGCATGTGAAGATTTGCTTCCGCAATCCTTTCGTTTCACATTGTTCTTTGCGTTTGCAGAAGTGTACACCTGGCGATAGATCCGATATCAGCCGAGTTTTTGAAGTCTGCCGCTTCAGGTGTATCATGTATCGTCGACGTCGACCGTGCTTTTCTAGTTTACTCGATCAAACCTCGAAGTTTGGGCACGTGAACTCGAGCTCTGAGATCAGACCATCGTTCAACTTGAAAAGCTTTCAAATATCTAAGCAAGTTTCTCCGAGAAGACAGTCAATTTCTCTCATTATCTATGAAAAGTTTATACTTCGTAAGAACCTTTCAGGATTCCCCTGCTTCGAAATTTTCTACCACCTACAAGCTTCTATTGAAAAAAAAAAGTCTGCAAAAGAAGGCCTTTGTTGAGCGAGTTTCTCCCGCGGGTGCGATTTCGGACTGTGCAGTGCTGCTCATATTTTTTCTTCCTTTGCAACATTAACGCATTTTCGTCAACTCCATCCCAAGGCACTTCTCTTTCGTCTTTTCCCACCAAAAACATCTATTTTCTGAAGTTTTCGTTCCTTTCTGACATTTCAAACAAGCTCAGTTTTTACATCAATTTTTTGACATGTTCGCCATTTTCCTTTTTATGCTGACATTTACCGTTCACACACGTTACATCAACTATTTCTGCTTCATAACAATTAAACTAAGAATCATTCTCTACAAAAGCTAACCGGTATGATGCGCATTTCTACACACCTTAAAATTCTAATGTTTAACATTAATTAAATTCAAATTCACTCGTTATTCTGTTCATGGAAATATTAATGAAGTCATCGTATTGTGTTTGGAATCTAAATAAAAATATGTCAAATGTTGCGACCTTTTCACGTGCGAGCTACGTGGTTTTCCCACGCCTTTTGCATTTGTCTTCCTTTTTCGGCGACGTATCTGACGCCGGAAAGGCTAAAGAAGCAGCACGAAAAAGGAAGCGCTGAAACGTTATACGGGGCCTCGACGTCGCCCTCGCGATGACGTCCGCACACGCACGTCTTCAGCCGTTCGTTGTTTGCAGCCCTCCCACCATTTGTTAGACAGCGAAGCCGCCGCCAAACCATGCGCTGAGCCTCATGTCTTCTCCGACACCGACATGCCGATTATGAACGTCATCGCGACGGTTCGCCTGCTGCTCTATCTTCTTACCGTCTTGTCGTCTCTCTGCGACGTTGACGCTGCGAAGTCATCCGTTTTCTCCACTGTCGACGCCGAAATGGTCAAGAAAGGTCGGTTGATTTTATGGAAGTACCTATAAGTTAGAGTTAACAGTACAAAGTACTATTTTCGTTGTAAACTTACAATCAAAATTTTTTCATAGACTGTATGCATTAACATCCACGCGGAATATTCACGAATCCACAAACATAAAACAAATTCCGCTTTTATCTGGAACTAAAATAAAAGTTTTGCAAATCCATGAAAAATTTTGTTTGAGAATCTCGAACTGTGGTGTTGTATTTATGAACCTCGAAGGCATGTGCATACGCGTCAGGAAATTTTTTAAATATTTTTTCTTTTTTTGAAAATTGTTGAGGATCTCGATGTTACAAGATAAGGTACGTCACAAAAAGTACACACGCTTTAATTTTATTACCAAAAAACCTATCCTGACTACCGTAATCCGGCCGGCCGCCTTAAACAGGCGTGAACAATAAAAGGTCATTCTCAAGGAAACGTTTTTGAGCCGATCAAAGAGTGAAACGCTGAAAAAACACATTTTAAACTTCAAAACTATGTATATTTTGTAAGAAACTAGTGATAATTTGAGAAGCAAAAGTTGAAAAAAAGCAAAAAAAAAATAAAAATAGAGAAAAATAAATCTTTCTTTTATGACGTGTTCATTGGAGAAACGGATCCTGCTTCAAAACGAAAAATCGCGTTCATCGGCGCGCCAAAGTTGCTCCAAAACAAAAATTAGTACTGTTTTGGAGCAATTTTTGCGTTTAGAATCAATTTTCGTTTTGTCCGATGAACAGGCTTGTGCGAGGGCCGGCCCGTCACCCTCCCGGCCCCCGACCATTTCGTAAGCCCGGCCTTAGCGAGGCCTCAAGAAAAAATGGCCCGCCCGTACAAAACGCGCAATTTTCTAATCGGATATCAAGTTTTTTTCTCCGACAAAAAAATTACGTTTTTTTGCTCAATTTTTTTCACTCAAAGTTTAACAAAAAAACTATGATTTCAAAAAGTAAAAAGTAACATTTCGGTGAAAAATTTTTAAGTGAAATTTCAATTTTTTTTTTTCGAAGCCCGGCCCGGGCCAGGCCGCCCGGCCTGACGCACAAGCCTGCCGATGAACACGCCATTAAATTTTAAACTTCGCGCGCTCTCGTCATGAAAAAAAATTACGATAGAGCACACATGAGCAACTTCCTTTTTAAATTTCTCTCGCCTCTTTTTTGACAAAGTATAGTCTAGACTCTAGACGCCATTATAGATAGCACTCCCAAAAGTCTCCTCTTGGCGCATTCCGCGTGCGTGCGCGCGCCAATTCAAATTTCGTCTCTTGGACTAGATTTACAGGCTTCCAGTATATGGTTCTTTTTTTGTATAATTTTTCTTACTTATTCATTTCCAGTTTTTTTATTTTATTTAATATTGACTCATTTAGGGAATCTAACTTTATTTAAGAAAGTTTTTTTCTTGTTTTAGCGCCAATTCAAATTTTCGCCTTCACTCACTTGCACAGGCAAATGGGGAAGGTACCATAATGTGCCCACAAATATACCTCTTAAAAAGAATCTTGAATATTCCATAATATGTCCATCGTGAGACGTCGAGCATAAATTTTAGCTCTAGCTGACCAGGGAATGGTGTCTAGTCGCAGTTGGATTTCAGAATGAGACCCAGTCCACTAAATGAAGTTTTTCATGCTGTTTCCAAATCTGTTCTCAAAAAATGCCGCGGAGGTCCGTGAAAAAAGTTTTTTTTTGGAAAAGTTTTTTTGAGCGGAGATACGATTTTTTTCAAAAGCTCCTCGCATGATAAGGAAATTTGCTGCTGAAAAATTCATTCTTCGTTTCTCATGAGCGAATAGAGAACAACGTGTACAGCTTATACAAATTTCAAAGGAAGTCTGAAAAACAGAATGAATAAAAAAATTAGAAAACCGAAATGACTAAAAAAATAATAATAATAAAAAAACCTGGGAAGCATTTCCAGGCTACTCGGTAGCAATCAAAAAAATTTCAGGTACTCTGCCCGTATATCCAGTTATCATAGATATGATACCCGTGTAAAATTAATTGGAAGTTTTTTTATGCAAGAAAAAAATTATTCAAAAAAACCATATACTGGAAGCCTGTAAATCTAGTTCAAGAGACGAAATTTGAATTGGCGCGCGCACGCACGCGGAATGCGCCAAGAGGAGACTTTTGGGAGTGCTATCTATAATGGCGTCTCTAGACTCTATTCCGCGCCAGCTTGTCACGTTTTTGTTACCAAAAAGACCGTATACCAAATTAGATCGAAATTCTGTTTTTACAACGGCAAGCAGCACCAAAGGTCTTGAAGAGAAAGTTGGTAAAATTTGACCTGACCTTTTGGCGGAACGAAAAACGTGACAAGCTGCCGCGGAACGGCCTATATAAAGTGTTCATAATTTCTTCCCCTATTCTCTTTTTTACTGAATGAATGTATACGTATAAAATAATCATATAATTATTTTAACAGAGTGTTTGGCCAACAAGGAGTCGGAAGATAATTTATGTTTTTTCATAAATCCAAAATTTTTCTGTGATTTTCTTGGTAGAAATACCTCAAACTTATCAATCCTCAATCAGTTTTATTTTAAAGACAGCTCAATAATAAAGTTACAATCATATTTTAGATGATACTGGGTACTTGAATTTTCATGCTCAATGAATGTAAATCATGATTTAGGTTTTTTGCGAAAATTCGGCCTCGACGACGTTCCAGTACCACATGGACCGACTATTTCTATCCCTACACACGTCTGGGACATTTACCATGATGAGGATTACGAAGCAGATTGGGTTCGTCATTACTATCCTAAGGTTTGGTTTTATTTTGTAATAATATTACAAAGACGCCTTTCAGGAGCTTTTGGAGGTAAATTCAGGTTTGATCCTGTCTTTCAACTTATCCGTGGCTGCAAGGATCGCTTCTGAAGAGAAGGTTGTTAGAGCATTAATGAAGGTTTGTTAATCTAACAAAAATAAAAGAAAATCAATGTTTCAGTTGCGAATTGACCGGAAAGCCAGTAAATGCAGTGAGAAATCTGTTATTTCTGTGTTTTTTCTTGACGGAAATCAGGTTCTCAGCTCTCTTTTTTTCTTTTCTGCAATGATTTTTTTTTTTGCAGAGATTGTTGCTGGGCTCCCAGGGCGTTGAGAACGAGACGGATTGGGTCGATTTAGACGTAACTGGCGCTTTTTCCACTTCTTCGATCGATACTGTCAGTAAATTTTGTTTTTCGTTTGATTAGGAAGGTGTGAAAACAAGAAATTTGACTCAGGTCTTGTTAATTTGTAAGTCCGGATAACCAATTTCAAACTTTTGAAAACAATGTTTTTCTTTCCGAATTTTGGTCTTATGATGAAAAAAGAAAAATCCATCTGAAAAAAAGATGAATGAAAAATTGAATATGTCGGCAACGCTGTTTTTGAAACATTAAATCCACTTTTTCAAAAAAAAAAAAGAAGAAGACACAGTATAGCTGATTCACGGCTGACTTGAGCCATCGAGAAAAAGGGTCCTGCCACGAAAAGAGACGAGACAGTGCCCTGGTTGGTGGAGATTGCAGACAGGCCACGCCTTTTTGCGTCCCAAGCTAGCCGTGTATCGTCTATATATATATATATACATTGACATTTTGTATCATCTTCTCTGCTGAAAGTTTTCTTTGAAAGAGATCGTTTTTTTATTCTGACATAAATAGCTCGATAGACGTTAATTAAACTTTTTAAAAAAAGCAGAAAAAAACAACCTAAGAAACTTTAAAAATTTCAATAGCTGAACAGAGAAGTAGGTGAAAGTCGACTGTATGTCAAATTTTTAAATAATAAATTCAGTCTTTTTTTGTTCTTCTATTTGTTATGAATTTTTTTCCCTTCTCACAGTGAGCAGCAACTTTTGGTTACTCAACGAAAAAAGTTCATTTTTTTTTGTAGGTCAGTTTTGCGGTTGAGTTTTCGGAAGACCTTTCGCTTCATGCCGCCGAAGCCACCTCAATTTCCTCGCTGCCCTTTGCTCGACTGCAAAGTGCTCCTCTAATTGTTTTCAGGTTTTTTTTTGTCAAATTGTCGTCTGTCTCGTCGTTTTTTTTTTCTTTTCGAAGAAGTTTTGAGTGGCATATTGTTTCAGCGAATCGTCGAAGCCGTCCCGCGCGCGTCGGAAACGAAGTACAAACGAGCGGAGAGGCCGCCGAAGAAACCGCAAGCACCACAGACACGACGCAGAGTCGCACCTGTGCCGCAAGGCCGAGCTTTACGTTGACTTCGACGAGCTGAACTGGCAGGACTGGATCATGGCGCCAAGTTGACTTTGCGTCGTTGAACCGAGTGGCAATCGAGGCTTTTCAGAAGGTTACTCGGCTGGCCAGTGCATCGGCGGCTGTCCTCATCCCATGCCAGCGCATCTCAACGCTTCCAACCACGCCATCATACAGTCTCTGCTCCACTCGCTCAATCCCCACGACGTGAGTTTTCGAGACCCGCATCTGAGAACTAATTTCACGTCTCCAGGTTCCTCCCCCGAGTTGTGTCCCCACGGAGACGTCACCTCTCAGTATACTGTACGTCGACGTTGACAATGTGTGAGTTTGATCTTCTTGGGCCGAAATAAAATAGAAGAGGGTAACACAGATGTATCGATTTGAACCATGAATAAGAAATTTCGAAAACGGAAAGCTCAGAAGTAAGATTTTATCGATTTCTGAAGGAAAGGGAAAGTTTAAAGGTTTCAGCATTTCAAAGTTAGAACAAAATATCAAAAAGCTCGTGCAAGAAATGGCGTATTTTTTTTCCCTATTTCGCATAGTTTCAAGCTTTATGTAATTTGGAAGTTAAGAAAATATTGATATAGAGCAATCGCCTCAGAGTTTGCCCGGTTTTCATTACCCTTTTTTGGCTACTTCTTTCGTAAAGGTTCAAATCGTGGTACGAAAGATTTTTTCGATGCAGCTCATTTCAGTGTAGTGTTTGGAACGTTTTATTGATCTTCTTAAACAGTGTTGAGGGTGAAGCTTTTTTTTTATTAAATGATGATTTCTTGTAGTCGCCTTTCTTGTAGTCACATGCGCTGAATTTCAGCTTTTTAGAGATAATATCTCAAACCTACGTATCATCCATGGCAGGTCTGATTCTCAAACGCGAACTTCAAGTAACTAGGGTGAAACTAGGAGTTTGCGTAGTCAGCGGCTAAGGGTATTAAAACCCTCAATGAATGTTTGAGCAGATTAATTTGTAGTCGCTTATTGTTTTGCAAGGAACTCAACAAGAACAAGAACTGCAGAATCGTAATCAAAGAATATCCGGACATGCGGGTGGAAGCATGCGGGTGTCGCTGATTCGCGTCGCGGTACGGTCGAGCAAAACGTTCCAGTGCTTTCTCATGATCTTCTTACTTGTTTCCTCTTCCTACGGGTGATGTTCGCGCACGAGAGTAGTTTCCCTTTTCCGGTTTTCTTTTTTCTTCTTATTGACGCATTTATACATATTTTGTGATCTATCATGTTTATTTCTCCTCACTGCCTTTTTTTCCCGCTTTTCTAATATATTTTCTCTCGTCAGGCATTCACGAGTAACTCCTTTCTTTCTCATTGTTGAATCTTTTTTGTTATTTTCCCGATTTTCATCTTTATATTTTTTTTTCTTTTCAGTCGTGTGATTCGAGATTTTTAAAAGCCCCTCGAGGACTAAGCTAAATTGTTTGAAAATTTGATTTTTCAATTTCATTAGAAGTTTGAAGATTGTGTTTTTTTTTCTTTGTGCAATCACATCCGTCAAATTCGCTTAGTTGCCATTAGAACATCGCGTTTACAACGTTCAAGTCTGCTGATCTCTCAATCGCCTATATTATTTTTTCTATCTCTTTTGTTGGTCTTATTTGTCATTAAGAGTTCATTCTGTCTGTATGCAATGATAAATGTTTTATTTGTTCATTGAAGTGAAGAAGAGTACAACGTTAAACGTTTGCAGGACGAAAAATGCGATACTTTCAGCCCGTTTGTATGATTTTCGCCACAGTTTCCTGAAATCAGCATAAGGGGTGTGATAATAATAACGGATTATTTTTTGCAACGTTTCAGTAAAATTTAATAAATTACTTCCTCCATTTAGAGTTCGCTTTGGAGTTGAGGTGTTCGTTGAAATTGGCCAAGGTGAACTTTAGTTCGGCCTGAAAAAGAAGTAACTTAGACGTCCACCGAAATGTCTATAGGTCATTCCGCGCTAGCTTGTCACGTTTTTCTTTCCGCCAAAAGGCCAGGTCAAATTTAACCAACTTTCGCTTCAAGACCTTTGTTTCTTGCCGTTATGAAAGCAGACATTTGATCTAATTTGGTATACGGTTTTTTTGGCGGGAAGAAAAACGTGACAAGCTGGCGCGAAATAGACTATATTACAATGCAAGAATCGAAAGCTGTGGACCGCGGGCTTTTCATCGAGTCAATTCGAGCAGAGTCCAGAGCTGCCGAGTAACTGGAAGAAAGGGGAAATTATTTATATTATAAAGTTTGAAGGACTTACCGCACTCTTTCGCTGTCCAAACTCAGTCTATCATGAGGCGACGGGACGTCGGATGCGTTCGGATGAGCTTCGATTGGACAGCATCTGAAAGGTCATCTGTTTTCTGACCGATTGCAAGTGAGTAACCTGAAGTGATAGGCGAAAAATGGGAGAAGCTGACAAAGAAAGCTTGTGAGAATAGTCAGGATCAGGAAAGAGAGCTCTTGCTGCGCTTTAATATGGTCTGTTTCTTACAAAAAAAAAAAAATACGTTTCACTTCCTACAAAATCTAAAATTTTGACTTATCGAAAGGGTTTCTAGTTTGCACAAAATTTATTATTAATTTTTCAACGAGAGAGAAGAAGGAGTATTTTTTCGCTACGAGGCTCCACTTTGCGATAAAGACCAGTGTAATTATTTCTTAGTTATGCCTAAACAGAAACGGGCTAGAAACGAAGCTTCATATGATAAGAAGAATCTTTAACTTTAACTTTCTCATTAATTTTTATCTCGAAATTGTCCTCTGTCCAAATTTCTGGGCTAGCATATGCATATTTACGAAATTTGAATTGAATAAGAATTGAAAAAAAAAATTTGAAAAATAATTTTACCAATTGAGGAACCTTGCCGACTTTTCGGACTACTCATTTCTGTCACCATCAAGATCGTGGTTTGGATGGCTAGTTCAATTCTTGCGTTCTGAATTTAGACACACTTTTGTGAAAAATTCATTAACTTACGGGTTCTTTAGAAGAGGGTACTAATCGAAAAATCGGAAAGTGGTTATAAATGGCGAGCGAATTAACGAGAAACATGCAAATCATGCTCACTTCAACGATATTGACCATCTTACGCTTGAGTTTAAATTCGAAAAGAGCCTGTAAATTCGATGTAGGAAAGATTGTGCAGCGGAGCGACCTGTTCAAAGCTGTCCCCGTCGATAACGATCCATTGTACGAAAGCTCTGTGTAGCTCCAATTGCCACTCTGCATTACCCTAGTGCTTTTTATTGAAAATGAAATTTTACATTCAAATTGAACCATGAAGTGATCTTTAGGAGCAACAAGATGCGGCACCAAAGCCATTATCGAAGCGTTGGCTGCCGTAGAAGTGAACTGCAACTTGCAACGGAACTCGTCTTTCGGATAGGCGGCGAGGTCGAAGTGCGGACATCGCACGTGCAGCCATCTTGAAAAAAGCGTTTTCAAGAAGCGATAATCACAATTTTTTTAGATTTTGTCCAGCGCAATGCTGGCAAAGGTAATATTAAATCGACCTTGGTACATGAGATTTTCACAGGGAACCATAGGTACAAAAGCCTGATTTTGGAGAGCGCCTGATTTTTTTTGTTTTTTAATGCTCTTCTCATTGTGTGAAACTCGAAATTTTCCAGCAAAAAGCCTGATTTTTTATTGCGAAAATCAGAGAAATGTCGACCAATGAATGATTGAGCTACCTGAAGGACCGCGCACTGAAGACCTTTGAAGAAGACGACCGGCGTCCCACAATTTGATTCGTCTTCATATCGATTCTCAAACTACCTTTGACAGTTTTTCAAAGTCTAAATTCTACAAATTGTCGATGTTGATGCCGACAGAAACGTCGTCAAACAACGTTTTCGAGAAGTTATGCAGAGAGCTTGGACTATTCCACTCATACGACAGTTCGGCACTCAAAGCCATCGTAGAGCCAACGTCGTCCTCAGTTGCAAAATTGGAAAGGGAAAATTTTGACCGCATACCACAAAATGCAGTTTCGGGAATTCGAGTACGACCATGGTTTCTTGTAGGAATTTATCTTAAGAGGAAATCTCGATTTTTCGAAAAAAAAAAAGTCTATGACTCTGAAAACCTCGAGTAGAAACCTGTCCAAATAACAGACAACTGTAAGGAATAATGAAGAAGAATAAAGTCATGAATATTTATTGTCCAGAGGCAAGTTTATGTTTGCTGCGGAAGCGGCCGAACTTGTAAATGGAAGTGACGGAAGTGTGGTACTCTCGAGTTACCAGTTCACAAACACGTGTAGAGCTCTCGCAGGGCTTTGAGCATCCGTACGCATTGCGCATGTCCCGGAAAGATTTCCAGTGCCTTTTCCACCAGCTGACGGCACTCTTCGTAGCGACCTTGCTAGAAGCATAATCAAATCATGCTGAGTGACCCTGTTTGATTCTAGAAGAAATTCTAGGGCTTTTCATCAATTTATTTGAAAATGTTTAGTCAATTTTCTTTGATTCGGTTGAAAGCAGAGCTATGCACGGAGTCGACCCGGTTGGTCATATATCTGCATGGCCGGCCCACGCATAACTTTAGTTGGAAAAAAAAAATGAAATTTTCCCCTATCGCTAACCTTGTAAGAAATGAGAGCTAGATTGAAATGAGCCTCAAAAAGATGTGGCGCCTTGGCGACGGCGGCCTGGTAAAGAGACCGTGCCTCTCCTATTTTGCCTTCGCGATGCTTCAGAATCCCGAGGTTGACCATCGCCTCGCCGTAATCGGCGTTGGCTGCCAAGGCCATTCGGAAACATCTTGCGGCGAACTTTGTGTCGCCAATACCCAGCATCACGTCGCCGGTGTTGTACCACACATCTGCAGCGACGTCGTCGGTCATTGTCGCCTGGGCTCTGAAACCAGTCTGTTAAGGTTTCCGCTTCAGAAAAACCTGGTGACGGAAGACAAGGCGAAATCGAACTGCTGACAGGCGAGGCAACACAGACCAATGTTCATGAACAGCTCGGAGGAGGCAGCACCCATTTGCAAGATCCGTCTGGAAAAGAAAAGAAAGTTTGGACTTCTTTTTTTTTTACTTTTCAGAATATTTCATATTAAAAAAAACCTTCTATGCAAAGCTTCTATTTTCAAAGTACAAATCTTCTATTTTCAAAGTTTGATATCTTTTGATAACGCGAAATTGACCATTTTCGGGATGCGGAAGGTCACTGAAGAAATACCTATAGTATCTTAAAGCGACTTCTGGCTTGTTGTCGTAGAAATATGTAGTTGCAACACAAGCAATCGCCTCAATGTTGTTCGCCTGAACGTTGAGAACTCGCTTGTAGATTCCTACTGAAAGCTCGTATTCGCCCAGGAGCTAAACGTTTTTGTTCAAGCCGGTGATAAAAGAACTCATTTAGACTTCTCGGGTCCTAGCCATTCCCGTAAGAAGAGTGACGTCATGCTCAAAATACGAGACACCTTCGTTATAGATCTTCAAAGCGGCCATCGGTTGGTCCATCCTGTTGTAAATCTCAAAACAAAAGTTTTTCTTCAATTTTATTTCAAAGCCACCTTGGCCAGGAAAGCGTAACTCTCTACAAGCTTATGATGATTGAGGGAGGAGAGAAGTTGTTTTTCGGCGTCTGCCAACATTCCCAGTCTGTAACAGGATTCTTTCATCTTTATTCAACATTTTCCAACCTCAAATAGCATTTGGATAGTTGATTTTTCCAGTACCAGTCTTTAAAGTTCGCAGCTTTAGTAGCCGTTCCAGCTATCTAGAGTAAAAAGAAAACCATAACACGTTTCGGGAACGAAATTTTTACCTGATGTGCAACTTTTATGTCATTTTCATGGTAAAAGACGTATTCAAACAACTGACGATTAACCTGAAAAAAACCCTAGACACTATGGCGAATGAGCAAACACGAACTTGAGGATCAGCAGCATATTTGTCGATGTTCAAACGAGCCAGGTTAACGAATTGTCCATCAAACCCAGATGCCATCGACGCCTTATTTTATACATTTTGATCAAAATTTCAAAGCGAATTTGAAATTTTTTACACCAAAATATACTTAGAATTTTTTAAAAATGCGAAAAGTAGAATTTAAAAAAAAATGAGCGTATGGCGCTTGAAAATCGCTTTTTTGTCCAGAAATTCCTGTGAAAAACGTTTTTTCATGCTGCTTAAAATCAGTTCTTCCATTATAGTTATTTTCGATTCGAAATTGCCGTTGAGATAATCCATCAAAAAGCCAGTATATACGTACCGTTCCGAGACGAACGTTACGAGCAGAAGAGCTGCTGACGGCACGGCCTGTTTTAGCGGTTCTGGCTGTCCTGACCGCCTGGTCCATCGATCCAGATTTGAAAGAAGTCTGAGGCCGCACGACGCCGGAGAGAGGACGTCCGGCTGTTGTCGTGGGTCTGAAAGCTTACTACTAATCGAAAATAAATCAACGAGATACCGTAATATGGGGTTAACTCCTTTCGAAGACGTCATCGGTCTTTGAAACGAAGTTCCAGGTCTCGCGTTTGGAGCAATGACATTCTGCTCCAAAAAAGTCTCTGCTATGCCAACGTCTTCGTTCTCAAGTTCATCCACAAAAGTCGTTTCAGTTAGGCAGGAAAGCTTGAGAGCCCATGCCGCCTGAAAAAGGTCAAGTTCAAAATCAAATGCAGAAAAAGTTCACTATGCCTCAGCCTAACTTATTTTAGAAAAAAAAAATGAGAAAAAGGTAAATTACCATAAAAACTAGGTTCGAAAACTTCTTTTCCGTTTGATCTTACGATTAACTTTTGTATAAAAAAATAGCGATGGAAAAAGGAAAATGTGAGAAACCTCTACGTAAAACTACTTCGTAGATCTCATTTTTCATACCCTCTCACCGAAAAAAACAGCTTATCAGTTCTCAAACCTTTAAAAAAAAACAAAAGTCCGGTAGGGACCAGGAGGCCTGAACACCCATTAGGGCTGTTTTTTTGAACCCACAAGGAGGAAATTAGTTTTTCTCCTTTTTCACCAAAAAAAATTACTGGTGCTTTTCAGCAATCAGATCTTGAAAGAATCCGGACAACGCAGTCATCCAAAGCGCCATGCTTTACACTGAAATTGTGCCGAGTTCCCGAGGAATGATCTATTTCTCAACGGAGCACAGCTGCCAGCCAACGGCTGTCCTCTTAAGTGTCTACCTGGTCGAGTGGATTTTGGCGCAACAGCTGCGAACAAATTTCTTCAGCCTCCGGAATCCGATTGTTGCAAAAAAGTCGATAAGCTTTTATCATTCCCTCGAACTGCATTGCCAAAACAGAAGTTACACCAGGTTAAAAGTGGGTAAAGTCTGAAATGATCTAGTTATACCCAAAACATGTATTTTGAAAGGACGAAACATGCTAAACAGGAATAATTGATTCTCGAGGGAGAAAGCCGCCGACCGCGTTCTATCCTCCTTGTGTCGTCATAGCAACCTGTCAAACTGCGCCCCAGCGACAACAAAAGCTCATCAACTCTCTTTATTTAAGAAAAAATGGTGGAAGCATTCTTTTATAATCTCTAAAACTTCTGACGGTTTTCATTTTATTTTACAATTTTCGTTAAAATATCAAGAAAAATTAAATCCAAAGTTGAAATAGAAATAGAAAGCATAAAAAACACATGTTGTGGATTTGAAGGGCACATGTGGCTGGCAGCGGGTCTCGAAGCGAATTTTCAGACGCTTTCTGAGGTTTACCACATGCGACGGACGTATTCTCCGCGCACGTCACGAGGCGTACCGAAGGCCGTCATGCCAGTCTGCAAAAGTTCATTTTCAGAAAGGTCTGAAAATCTAAAGGCTTATTTTTGCTTTCAAAAATTAATGAGAATCGAAAAACAAACCTGGTTGGCGTGCTCAGACTCGCGCTGTCCGCTCCAGAACGGAACTTCTGGACGACGAGCCAGATCCGCCGGCAGGTCTTCGTGCGTGTCGTCGGTGAAAGGCGTGTAAACCTGGCGCGGCTGTCCAAATCCGGTCTTTCCGGCCTGCGATTCGAGGAAGTTGACTCCCATTTGGTAGGGGATCATTCCCTGCAAGCAGTTCCTTTGATTAGTCTTCTGACACACAGTACCTGTGATCGTTGATCCTGGTTCTGGAGCAAGGCAACAGTGTTATTACGGAACGCACCGAACCCAGACATACCGGCTTGGGAGGCACCTGAGCAAAAACTTTTTTTTTCCGTGATAGCCTTAATGTAGACCAATAAAGGTACAATCTCAAAATCAGAGCTCCTAATTTTAGCTTCAGATTTAAAAGTAAAAAAAAATTTTAGCGAGCTGAGTAGTATAGAATTTTATTTATTTATGGAGTATTTTAGAAGGCAGATATTGGAGCTGATAGTTAGTCATCGAGATCACTGCGTCGATTTTCTCTTCTTTTTTGAGCTTAGTATCATGTGGTCAAATTTTCTCAAACCATGAAACTAGTTTGAAAATTTCATTCAAAAACAACCGGAAGATTTCTTTTCCAAAAACTTCTCACTAAAAACTCAGAGATGCTTTCTTCTCACTGATATGTTGGAAAAGTCTTTAAATCCATAATTTTCTTTCTGAATTACCTTCTTTCCAGCCGGAAGTCTGCTGAGAGATGGTACCTTCGTCGTGCGGCATGTCTCCTCGGACTTCGTCCTTGTACCTTGAAATTTTGAGCGTGATTCTAGGCTGTTAATCAAGAATACTTGGTGATGTTATGTCGGGGCATTCCAAAGCCAGTCATGCCGCTTTGGTTGGCAAACTTGTTCGTTCCCATCTGAAGATGAATGAAACCTTGTGAGTCGCGGTCTTGGTCGGCAGTGCGTCGAACTGGAATAAAGGCTCCGTAGGATCGTCAGAAAGTCAAGGAGAACTGACCATCGACGATTCGCGGCATACCAATACCGGTCATACCCGCCTGTGAGGCGAGTTTGTTAGTACCAGACTGCAGAGGGACGATTCCGTCCGAGGCGCGGGCCTTTTCTTCGGCGACTTCGCTGGCACCACCAGTTCCCTTGGTCTTGTAGTTGACGTCACGAGGTGCACCGAAGCCTAAGGCGAAGTTGGAAAAAGCCGTAGAATCTCATCAACTCACCGGTCTGTCCCTTTTGTGAGGCAAACTTGTTGGTACCAGACTGGAGCCATGTCGATCCCTTGAGGTTCTTGATCTTCTCCTCATCGGTGATTTCCTTCAAGTTGTCCGACTTCACCTTGTCGATGACGTCACGGGGGACACCAAAACCTGAACGGGGGAAAAAATTTGCAAAGTGGAACAGTTGCAATCGTACCCGTCATTCCTTTTTGCGAAGCATACTTGTTGGATCCGGCTTGAATAGGAATGATTCCCTCGGATCGCATGAGCTTGTCCTTGGAGTGAACCTTGGACGGCTTTCCGCTCGAGTAGTTGGCTTGTCTAAATTGGAAAATCTTTTCATAGGAATCTGATTCCAATTTGTACTTCCTGAGCACACTCTGCGGAACACTTGGCGTGAACTGAGTTTGTCTGCCTGGAGTTGGACTCTTGATCGAAGCAGGGATGGTGGAGCGAGGTGCCGGAGGAGCTTCTTCCGTCTGCTCGGGAGCGGCGGCCGGAGCCGGTGCCTCATCTTGCTGAAAAAGAACACATCAATGTGGTGATGATTATTTCACAAAGGTATAGGTTACAGAGCTAATCTGCCTCGACTTGGAAAGCAATGGTCACAAAAATGGAGACACGGCTGCGATTACTATAATGAGAAAGGATGTACTGCTTTTTTGTTTTGTTTTTTTTTTTTGAAAACAACCCTCAGCAAAAAAATTTCAAAATAACACCGAGGATTTGAGGCGAAAATGCTTTGCCATAACTCCATTGAACAAGATAATTCCTTGCGACCATTGCGTTTCCAAACCAGGAAAATTAAAGATGGCAATAGGGGAAAGTTGGGTTGGAGGTTGCAAATGGCTTCTATTTCTTTTTCATATTGGGTTTCTGAGTAACCATTAATGTGTAAACATGTTAAAAGGTCTATTAGGTTATATCGGTTTTGGTAGAGTTCAACCTGTTCTTCTTCTTCTGGTTCCTCGGGAGCTTCCTGAAATTTCAGAGAACGTGAAATTTCTACCTAATATTTTGCTAGTCTTTTCTCTAGTACTTTGTTCCCATGGTAGGAAAACTTTGAGGCTTTGCGAATTGCGTCGTTGCACTTGCGTCTGTCGATGTTTTGTTACAACCGAATCGTAGAGGGAGAAGCCGACAACACATCCTACGACAATCCACTTTACACCCTATGCGGCGCTCGTCGGTTCGCCGCAGCCACAAAACGGAGCCCTTAATGATCACTGCGAACCTTCCCGATAGGCAAAACAAATCGGGAATGTGGCGTTCGCATGGGCTCCGAGAAGTTGGGCGAAAGAAAAACTTATTCTTGTCGGAGTGCCAGAAAACGCATGGAAACGGAAAAAAAAACTTTGTGCTTTTAAAACTAGCGTCAAACGGAGATCGATAAAGTGATCCAATTATTCGACTTATAACGATTTAGATTTGATCCAGTTAAAATGAAGAAAATCCTTTTTCTTATTTTATAACTTTTTAGTAAAGTTTAATTTGAACTTCAAATCATATTTCGACATGAGAAAAGATGCAGCTATTATATAAATTACAACTAGTGCGAGTACGGCACCATCTCTGGACTGACAAGAAGACATTCCATCTTCAATCAATCTTTGATGAAAAAGACGTTTCAAAAATGAAGACTTTCAGAAAATAAGAATTTTTACAGGTAGAAGAAGAAATAAGGATAACGGAACGAACCTGAGACTCTTCGGGCTCCTCGATCTCCTCCTCGTCTTCGTACTCGTCCTCGACGTCAGACATGTTGGCTAAGGGTTCAGGGAAGAGCACACGGGCAACAAGTGAGTGGAAACCGCACGGTTGGAAATCCCCGGCGGCTCGGCGTCGAGCTTCGGTAGGCGGGGTCTGCCAATTGGCGCGCCGCCGCCTACATCCTCATGGCAAGCCTATTTTTAATGTGGAGGCTCTCGTCTTGAGCCACGCTCTTTGCTTCGTCTATCAATCGATGAAGACGCGACGTTCCGAGAAGAGCCATCGAACAGAGTGACGGAACTTGAAAATCGTGATCCCAATCCAGACTTTCCCGCAATCGGCTCAATACTTGACATCTTCCTCTTACACATGGGAAAAGTCCCAGAGTTTTATTGAAATCCTAAATCAAAAGAGAAGCAGTTCCTGAAATTTGATTCATTTTTTCTTCGATATACCCTATTTCGGATTCACCTTTCAAAGTAACTTTCTCCTGTAACGAGAAAACTGTAAGTATGTTTTCAGGAAAATTTGAATCAATATAAACGTGAGAAACTATTGTTTTTTTTTTTCACTATTAATAAAAGTCGAGGCTGCTATATTCAATTTTCGCTTTCAAAGAGTATGAAATTGATATGCAATTTTAAAGAGCTTCATAACTAATTTTATAAATAAAAAGTGCTGAAACAAGGAATATGGAAGGTTAGGAAAATTGCATACACATGTCGTGGTTTTTTGTCTGTTGTTACAGCAGACAAGCGATGCCGAGCACACGCCGGAGCTTCATCTCTTTCCATTCCACGGACAATATTTCCTCCGTCAGACATGAGTTAATGTTGAAAAAAAGTTAACTTCCATTGCGCATGTCAAGTTTAACAGGCTTCACATTACGTCGTACATGTTTAAGACAGTGTTACGACGGCCGGTCAATATTGCGCCGTCAGTTTCAGAGCCAGGAAATTTTTTAAAATATCATTTACTTTTTCGCAATTTGATAAGGACCTATCTCTCGGGGTTACAAGACGAGTTACGTCACAAAAAGTACACAAGCTTTCATTTCATAACAGAAAAACCTATCTGAACTACCGTAATACGACCGGCCGCCTCAAACAAGCGTTACGCGTAACTTCTCAAAAGCTGCATGGGTTTATATAAACAATTCTCACAAAAACTACACATTTGAAAGTAAATAAAGCAAATTTTCACATTACTTCGATACACAGTTAATTAGACCGTGTGCAAAGTGATACCGAAAAATTCAAAAAAGCCGTCAGAGAGTGAAAAAGATGAGTTAATTTTAGAGAGTCGGAGATATGATAATTTTGCATTTCTCGGTATGACTTTGAACATGGTAATAGATTAATTATTAAAGAGAAAAAATGTGAGTCAATTAAAAAAGTTTTCCATGGCCTTGTAAGCGCCAATTCCCATCTCGATAATCAAAAAATCGCGCATGTTAGGATTCTTGTCCAAAGTTTGGAAGTGCCTCCGGGCTTCTTCGAAGGAGATTTGGTTTGAGGCCTGAGGGACCGTCGTGTTCAAAATCGCAGCGTTTGTCCTCTGAAGCAATTTTAGATGAGTTACTGAGAGAAAATTCACCTTATCTGCTACAAACGTAGTCAAAAAATTTTTTTCTTTTTCATTTTTGACACTGAATTGCACAGTGAACGTCGGCGGACTATCGAGATAAATGTCAGTCGGATCGGATATTTCGACTTGCGCTGCAAGAAATATTTTTAGTTTCTCCAATCGATTCAAACTTACGGGTTGTCAAAGTGAGAACCCTGCCGTTCTCCATAGTAGCTTCAGCCTGCAATCGTAATATTATGTAAATGCTTAAACTGATACTAACTGAGAATAATTTCAAAAATTATTATTATTTCTAAACCTCAAACGTTCTTCCACGCGCAGTGAAAGCGCTGGGCAAGCTCTTGACAAGGGTCTCAATTCTCCCATTTTTAATTTTCGCCTCGTACATTCGTCCAATGGATAGTTCGATGTTATTCGATTTCAGCGTGCTTGTCAGTTCACTATGTGTTCGATAAGGTTTGGTGAGTACAACCAGAAACGCTCGATTGTTGTTCAAGCCGGTGAGAACGACTGCAGAAGTTGCCATCTGGAAGTGTTCTACAACAAATCAAAACCTCGAAAAAAAAAAACAAAAACTTCATCTTTAATTAGCGTTAGAACATATTGAGGGGTCGTCTTCATTGAAACTGTCAGAATCTCAAGCCATGTTCGATATTGAGAACAACTTTAAGACTGTGAAAAGATTAAAATGAAGGAGAAATGAATGTGAATGAAAATATGAAAAATATGAAAAAAAAAAACGTCTTTTAGGATGATTTTCTATCTCGCAGCCTATTGGAGAATTTGAAAATAATGGGAATGTCGTTTGAAAGAACTATGCAAACGCGTTTGCAAAGATTCAAGAGTGAAGCCTCTATAAATATTGATTGCTTGTAAGAGATAAGTCAAAGGAAGAAAGGAGAAAAGAAACGCTGAGAAAAGGTTTATCAATGACTCAAGCCACAGCCGCGTTAAAGGCATAGGCACGCATGTTTGAGACAGTACTACGGCGTCCCACGCATGTTTAAGACAGTGTTACGGCGGCCGATAGCCGGTCAATATTGCGCAGTCAGTTTCGAAGCCAGGAAATTTTTTAAGTTTTTTTTTTCTTTTTTTTGCAATTTGTTAAGGACCTATTTCTCGAGGTTACAAGATAAGTTACGTCCCAAAAAGTACTCAAGTTTTTGTTTTATTACTGAATATCTGATCCAAACTACCGTAATACGGCCGGCCACCTCAAACAGGCGTGTAGGGGCCAGGGTTGCACGGAAGGGAAACTTTCGAAAAAGGAAAGAACACGGGTTACAGAACAAACAAATTTGTTAAGGAAGACGGAAAACGGGTTAAGGAAGAGAAACTTATGCGGAAGACGGGTGAATGGAAGACGGATAACGGAATTCTGTGCAACCATGTTAGGGGCAGTAAAAAACGGAGTTTGAGGTCTGAGCAGTATCTTGTAGAGCGTTTCTCTGCGAACCGAACGGACTAGTTGAAAAACCATGGATATAAGTACTTTCCAAGAAAAACGCGATTTTGTTTTCCGGCAAATCAATTTTGAAATATTCTTTGGATCGGTGTACAGAAAACTGTTAACAATAGCCGTGCACGAGAAGTTGTGGACGCCTCATTCGGTTTGGCACACTGTATCTAAAATCGTGCATACACCAATAGCGGTTTTGGGCGAAATCTTCGTTAATAACGAGTTTTTTGTACGAAAAAATGAACAGATTTGAAGAAAAACGCAATAAGAACATTCAATGATACAATCCAAGTTTTAACAATTAAGTTTTTGCAAACGCTAGCATGCCAAAAAAAAGCCTAATTTGGGGAATGCGTGTTTTGTGAGTGAAAAGAATTTTTTCTCTGTAATTTTCCATCTATTATTGTCGGAAATAGCCTTGTTCATTTTAATAAACAGAAAAAATTATCGAGAACGGTCTAGTATGGCCACCGGAGACGGCGCAGTTCAAACCGGACGGGTCCCTGTAGGTCTGAACGGGGTGTTAGACTCGCATTTTGTGAGAAATCAACTTCATACTTCGATTTCAAGCTGGAAAATTTTAAATTTTTTCTCCAGAAAAAAAGTATGAATCGGAAACAAAAAAATGAAATAAGAAACATATTTGATAAAAAATTGATTATCCACTCCCATGATAATTTTTGAATTCGTTTTGTTGACCCGTACTAAGAAAAAAGAAGATTTTGTAAAATTAAAAAATAAAACAAGATACTTCAAAACGGTTCGGCGAAAACTATTTATCGACTTATCGAAAAAACGCCCATGTTGTTTTTTATGATTGTATGAGAGAAATCTCTAGAAAAAAAAGAACTCAGACCTAGTTCGCGGCTAATGCAGTCACAGGTAGAGGATGGAATGTCTTGCCATAAAAGTACAAGGCAGAAATGACGTTTACAAAAATTCAGCAGTGTCGGCCATTTGTATGGCAAAATGGCCCTTACACCTAAGAGAGTTTTTTATGAGCAATATATAAAACCTGTGTACAAAACGGAAAAGGTTATCGTCGCCAGCACAAGTGAAGAAAAAAAAGCAGAAAAGTCTAGTTAGAAGAAAAACTAAAGTTTTCTAGTGATCATACGAGGAATTGAAGGAGCGATTACTTTAAAGTAGTCGCCTCCCAGTATACACCGCGATGGCAGAAGAAAAATCTTGGAAATTAAATTTTGACAAGTCAATGATGCAATGAATGTGAAAAATGTAGAGATAAGTTATCAAATTATAAATAGAAGTAATTCAAAGGGTAGATTGGGTTTACAATATATCGCGCAGCCGTTTCGAGTCTTAAAAGTGGACGGCGTAGGAGGTGACTCTCTTCAGCACTTTCCTCCTTGCATTAGTTTAAAAAAAAGGAAAGAAAAGAATAATTTTGCGAATATATATTAGGTGCGTAAATGGTCAATCTGAAGTAAATAGCGCGCAATTTTTCTGCAAAAACGGCACGCTTTCACAGACCTTCGTAACGTGTTCGAACTTTAATGCCGTGTTCAATTTGATTCCGCGAAATGCAAAATACCCGTTAGAGAAAGGAAAAGATCACTAAATTTTGGAGAGTCAGAGATAATTTTGCATTTCGCGGAATCAAATTGAACACGGCATAAACAAAACAAACAAAAACAAACCCAAGCATCAATGCGGTTATATAGACAGATACTTAGTTGAACTGGATAGCGTGCAGTGGTTAAGTGGCTCTATATAGCTGTTCGGTGGTCATTCATTAGCGAACGCTAGAAAATAGCTCCGGGATAGCTGCTCGTTAGCATATACCTGGTAGAAATCGTAAATGTCATGATCTCTGACTTTCCAGACTTTAATTATCTTTTTCTTTCTCTGGCGGCTCTTTATGTTCTTCATAATCACTTTGAACACGGCATGACGTTCAAACTTTTCGTGAAACCAAAGGTTGCCAGAAAGTTTTTGTAAAATTACCTTCAAAAATTTTCGTATATAAAATTTTTTCAACTGATGATTAGCATTCTTGGCTTTGTTCTAAAAACAGTAGAGATCAAAAATTGAAGGCTTGGAAGTTTTTAGAATGGCAGTATTCAGAGCTCTATGCATTCGAAAACATAGATGAGCTAGCGCAGTTCGTCCCCTCATTCTCAAAGGAAAATGCTAGCCTCGCCTTCCCTCCGCCAATGTATTCCTCTGCTTTTATTTTTATCTTTTGTATCCCCAGAAGAAGAACCGCTTCTAACCAAAAGTATCCTCAGAAAGGTTTTTAAAGGAATCTTCTGTTTTTCAGACAGTGAAGATCGATGTCTTGAAGCCGTGGATGCTGGCCCTTGCCAATACTTTCAAGTCAACATTTAAAAGATTATTATCAAAATTTTTCTTCAGGTCAAATGGTTCTGGGATGAAGCAGATGGCGAATGCAAAGAGTTTCACTACGGCGGATGCATGGGCTCAAGAAACCGATTCAGCACGAAGCAAGAGTGTCTGAAGCAGTGCCGCTACAAGATGTTCAATCCTGTTTCGGTTCCGGGTGAGTTTCGGAATCCTTTTTGTCCTCATACACCTTTTTCAAGATCTCTGCTTACTGGAGGCAGACCAGGGTCATTGCGCGGATGAGAGAAAGGGCCAGTGGTGGTACTTTTTCAACTCAGATAGCGGTGAATGTGAAAAGGTACGAATTTTCAGGAAAATTTTCAGTAAAAGACCACTTTTCTTAGTTTTTCTTCTATGGGTGCGGCGGCAATGATAATAAGTTCTACAGTCTGCACATGTGTAGGAAAGTTTGCGGAGAACGGCTGTCCCCTCAAATAGGTTGGGAAAAAAACTGAAGGAAAATCTGCATTTGATTCTCCAGCTTGCGACCAATGCGACGTTCGTACCTCATTCTGCAAATCGCACGGAAAATTCAACTACACGTGCGAATGTCGAGTGGGCTACGAAGCAAATCAGTACGGAGAATGTGTTGGTCAGTAGATCAGCTGAAAAGTGAAAGATAAGCTCGAACTTGAGATATTGACGAATGCCGGGGATACACCGCGGTTTGCGACAAAAACGCTTGGTGCACTAACGAAGTCGGATCTCATCGTTGTGAATGCATGGCGGCGTACCGCGGAGATGGAAAACATTGCACCTACGTCGGACTGGGTTTGTTCCAAATATCATTGAATCCTCTAATTTGAAAGAGAAGTGAGCGAAGTGAACAATAAAGAAAAAAATCTTACCTAATTAGGAAAAAAAATATTAGATTAGCTAATTTAATATTTTTTTACTAAGGAATTCATACTATCGATAATTTATTCGATTCGGACGTTTCACATTAATAAGCTTGAATAATGTTTAAAAAATCTTCCTAAAATATTGAAAACTCCTACGAGGAAGGTCATTGTTTGTTTTGGCTGTTCGCTAGAATCAGCTCAAAAACCATTTATTTATCAAATGAAAACCTCGGAAGTCTCAACGACGTATAATTATTTTTTTATGACTGGGGTTTCGAAGTCTAATAAAACCATCAAAACATAACGGCTGCACACAAGTCCATTTTTCGAAATCATTTGCGCCTATTTCGAGTTTTCTTCGTAAACTTCAATAAGCAGATGGAGTCGAGTTCGTGCAAATGTTCACAAAACAGAGCGGCCTCTACTTTCTTGTTTCTTGTATACATGTTCATAAATCAAAGAAATTTTTTTATCTTTGTGATCACATGGGTGGAACAGTTTGATTTTTAGTATTTAAGTAAATGAAGTCCAGAATTTGAAGGTGACATTACAGAACTAAATACTCTTGCTCCAACTAAGATATAAATATTATAATCTCGACACGCCTGTTGAAGGCGGCCGGCCGTATTACGGTAGTCAGGATAGGTTTTTCGGTAATAAAATTAAAGCGTGTGTACTTTTTGTGACTCACTTTTTTTTTTTGATTTGAAAAGCCTGTTGATTATATTCCGTGTGAAATCTTCACTCGAAGTGGTCGCCCTCATTCTGAGGCTTCCACCCAGAGCACGCTGTGTTCTGCGCTGGTCAAGGCGAAACTAAATTAACTACACGCAGAAAAACGAGGCGAAGGACCGTAAGACCATGCTTTCAACTTGATCAACTTCAGGTTTAGACTTCTAGTTCGCGAAAGGCGGTTGTTCGTTATAGCTTCAAAAGCTCTCTTCCACCTCGTTGATCACACTCCCTACTAAAACAAAAAGAATGATGGATTGACATCCTTCTAACGAGAATTTCATGGTTAGCTCCCTGAAAATTGGCCAGAAAAATCCTCGATATACCAGGTGAAGGTTCTGAAACTCTCAGCGTTTACAACTTTCTAATGTGTGAAATTCCCGTTTTTCGAATGAACTGTCATTTTCCAGAAACTTAAACTAAAGTTTTGAGTGATTCTATAAGTTTTTTTCAGCTCATTCAAAAATAACAGTGATCTAATAGAAGATTTTTTTCAAAGAAAAATGTAAATTAATGTATTTTTTTAAATTTTCAGCTTTTTCTAGCTACGAGGTCTATCCATTATCAGATAGTCTCTGTACATTCAAAAAACTTGAAGGTCGGTCTTCGATCGACTGCAAAGACTGCGATATTCACGCCACTTGCAACAACGGAATCTGCCAGTGCAAGGAGGGCTATCAAGGCGATGGATTCAATTGTTCCGGTTCGTATTCGGAGCATCTGTAAAAAGAAAGAGTTTTAGATGTCAACGAATGTTTGAAAGCTCCTCAACTGTGCGACAAGAACGCCGAGTGCATAAACCGAGAGGGATCCTTCATTTGCAGTTGTCTGCCTGGTTACGCCGGCAATGGATACAACTGCACTCTCTCAAAAAGTTTATCTTTTCAAAATGTTCAGAGTGTGAAAAAGGGCAATCGTCTCTTTGATATCATTAATATTCACGAAGCATGTTTCAAAACGCATAAAAGGTTCATTAGCCATTCAAAAATGCAAGGAAAGTAACAAAAAGGGAAGGTTTTTCTTCTTCTTTATTTACCGTTAAAATTGATTTTGGGGAATAGAAATGACCGTTAGAGAGTAAAAAAGATAACTGAATTTCATATCCTTTAGGAGAGAGAACTTAGCATAAAAACACCGGGACTATATTTTTTTATTTTAGTACATTTTTTTCAGATGCGTGCCTTGACAAGTTTGATCACGAATATTCGGAACCATGCGGAAACGAGAACTGGCGACCTCATTTCTTCTTCGACCACAAAACGCGCCAGTGAGGATTCATTTTTGAGACTTTTTTTTAATTTGAAGTCTAAGAATCATCAATTTTTGAATTCCACCAAGCTACTATCAGCATACTCACTTTTGAATGTTGGTTTAGATTTTTAAGTTTGAGAAATAAGATTAGGTTAGGGGAAGCTTCAAAATTTTTGAATTCGAGATATTTCAAAAGAAAGTCTGCTTAAGAGCTTTTTTGAAGATTGCAGGGTTGCTTTTCTTCAGAATTGAACTGACTTGAAAAGATCAAATGAATTGTTTAAAAAAATTGTTCTATACAGATTAGCGGAACAGTGTCTTTGACACACGACAATTGTCTTCACTGTATTGTGAATCGTTTTACGCCTTCCTTGAAGATGCCAACAGTTCTGGTACGACGGATGTCGAGGAAAGTCGCGCAACGTCTTCTCCGAGTACGAAACGTGCACAGGAATGTGCGAGGAGACGAACGTCCTCACCAGAGCAGGTCCCACGCCCACACGTGCACTTTTTGTCCCCGTGTTCAGCTTGACTTTCCAAAGTTGTTTGAAAAGAATGTTCAAGGCAATATTCACGAAACGCTTGAATGCGAGTCAATGCAGGGCCAAAACGCTTCGAAAGCCGCCGAGGCCCAATTGTGGGTTTCCGGAGTTCCCGAACGCCCAGCTACTTAGCTAAAGCCGTTTGCATTTAACTAACAGAGCTTGAGCTTCTGTTGGACCCTCTTTTTCTCGTCCGTGACTTCTGGGTTTTTCTTTATATATTGTTCAATGCGCTTATTTTTTGAGCCGCTCGGGAAATTAAGAGACTTCTTTTTAAAAAATTTTCATTGATATTTTATTTACTTTTCTTTTTTATCTATGACGGGTCTCAGAAAGTAATATGAGAAAAAAAATGTGTACTTCAGGTCATCTAAACCTTCATGTTCCATTTTCTGGTTTGTCATATATAAATAAAGATATAAATATAGATATATATATATATCTATATTTATATCTTTTATATCTTTTGATTTCTACGCACCAAAAAAAAAGACACGACAAACGTGGAAATAGCAGCGTAGGCGTAAATTGTATCCGATTTAGATTTCGCCTCTATTTCTCTCATGCTCTCGCACTCTTTGATACCCAAACTTTGGGCAATCGGGAGTCGGAAGCAAATGATGCTCGAAGAGATGAAGGACACTGATGAGAAACATCACGTAGTAGCGATCCCGTTGACGCCGCAGACTCGCGGCCTCAAGAAGAGCCGTTTTCTCTTGAGATTTCGTGTTCGACCCCTTCTAAAATCCACCCGCACACCACTCTCCTCCTTTTGCTCATTCGCTTCTCCGCGTCCAAAAAAGGCTCTTGGATCAATTGCGACAGAAAACCGGGCGGACGACGTCGCCGCCGTGTCCTGCGGCGCCATGTCATGAAGGACCGTCGTCCGAATGCTTCGAGAAGAGTTCTGCCCAGGCAACTGCTGCACGTTTTTGCTCTTGCACCGTTCCCCCTTGACTTCCGAATATTCCTGCTGCTCGCCGAGTTTTTTGGTGTTGAGTCTCGTTCAGAAGTGTGTTGGGACAAGTTCGACCTCAACTACAAGAACCAGTGCTTGAATGGTCAGTATTTCCTTTTTTTCGTTTGTTAATTTCTGAAAGTTCTACGTTCCTTAAAAAAAAGTGGCTTGTCACTTCTAAAAATGTTGATGTTATGAGTAATATTAAAAGGTAGATTAGAAAAATCACTTTTTTTCTTATCTTAAAAAAAGTCTTCTGATCGTTACTACAATTACTTTTTTTCAAAAATAAATTCTGAAGGAAATTTCTCGATTTTAACGGTTCAGAGAAACATAGCCTTCAAAATTATTACTAAATAAAAAACAGGTATTTCCTTTTTTGACTCTTTATGCCGTGTTCAAAGTGATTCCGTAAAGTTCGGGAAAGAAGTCATAGGGTGAGAAAGATAATTAAATTTTTGGAGAACCAGAGATATTTTAAAATTTCGCGGACATTACTTTAAACACGGCATTACAGAATTGGCACATAAGCTATAAGAATTAACTTTTTGCGTGTAACAACTTTTAAAGCAAAAACATTATTAAATATTAAAAAATCCCAATTTTGAAAGCCTGTAGCAAAAAGTTCTTTTTTTCTCAATTGACGATATTTTGACGTCTCAATTTTTTTTACTTGTGAGCGGCTTGTTTTCCACAGCTCAAGTTCAGATAAAAAATATTTCAACTTGATTAGCGAAAAAAAATAGTGCTTAATTTGTCATAAAAAGATTTTTTTCAGGACATTGGCAACAATGGTACTACTTTGACCACGCCTCGCTGACGTGTCGCCAGTTCTGGTACGACGGATGTCGGTCAGACTCGCGCAATATTTTCGAGGACGAGCTCACCTGTCAATGGCTTTGCGAGTCTCAGCCAATGTACAAATCTCGTGAGTCCTTTTCTTTTTTTTCTAACGGAGATTTTTTTTGTAATTCATTCTGTATGGTTTATAACCACTCGAAGAGGGAAAAGTATGAAAATGAAAGAAATGATATTACGAGAAAATAAAGAGAGCTTATGTTCTCACAGAGGTGGAAGATGGCAGCCAGTAGGCCGCCCTGGCTGCCTGGCAAAGTTCAACAAGGGAGTTTATTTCACTTTGCGGATGGGAATATTCTGAAAACTTTTCACAATAACCTTTAAAGTATTGAGGTCCTGAAAGTCAACTTGCACAACTTTCTATTTTTTGAGTAATAAGGGCCTAAAGCCCAAAAATAGCTTATTCTGATGGATTTGGAGAGATTCCTGTCTTTGAGGGGTCGTTTCTTGAAAAAATAGGAAGTTATGCAGGTTGAGATTTTTAGAATATTCACCTGGTACATCGAAGAGTTTTCTGATCAGTTCCCAGGGAAAACCTAACCCCAAAGTAAAATACTTTCCTTGTTGAGTGAAGTTGAGTCTGTCGATTTTTTACAACTTGAAAAATATTCGTTCTACTTAAATATTTCTTTTTTTATCCGATTCTAGGAGCATGCCTGGAAGATTTTGACGAGGGACTCAAAAAGGAGTGCAATGGTGGGCGTTGGAGACAGCAATGGTACTTTGACAAGGGAAGCAAGGTGATTTTCGTCTTTGATCTCCGGAAATGTGTTGAATGAACCGCAAAACGGAATGCTTGACGTTTTTTTTTTCAAAGATCTTAACTTCTTTCTATAAAAAAACCAGTTCCGAAGAACTAATTCATTTTCCCACCAAAACTTCTAGAAATGCCATGCGTTCTGGTACGATGGATGTCACGGCGAGAACAACAACATCTTCCAGGACGAAGTTTCCTGCCTTCAAACCTGCGAAAATCCAGCCAAGAAAGATCGTGAGTTTTAATTATTTTTCCTCCTTTTTGAAATGCTCTATAAAGACAATTTTCAGCTCGAAAACCGTGGCATAACAATGACAAGTTTAAGATGAAAGAACTCCTCGGCGATGTTTTCAGTAAAAGACTTTTTTTTTTCTACACCTTACCCGTGATTGTAGAGCCTAACGTGACCGACGTGTGTGCGGCGAAAAATCCATGCAAAAATCAAGGAACTTGCATTTTTGTTTGGAAGAAAAACACGCACTATTGCAAGTGTCCACCAGGTTTTCACGGAAACAACTGCGAAAAGAAAATTGGTGAGTTTTCCGATCTGATCATTTTCATTGCAATGACCACTTTGAAGAGTTCGATCCCTGCGCTGAGAGTCCTTGCCACAACGGAGCAACTTGCCAAGCGAAATTCGACGAGGACGACAAGCCGACATACGAATGCTACTGTTCCACTGGGTTCGGAGGGCCGAAGTGCGATCAAAGTGAGTTTCCTCCGCTTCACCTCAAAAATTGATTTTTCAAGAACCCTGTGACGTGAATCCATGCCTGAATAACGGTACCTGTCGAACGACTCGCGGCTTGAGTACCTATTTCTGCGAATGTCAGCCGAGTTTTGGTGGCAAAAACTGCGACATTTGCAAGTCTAACTTGTTTCTTCACCAACATGAGAGATATTTCAGCTATTGGCTCTGTCCCTCCTGAAGAAAAGTTTGGCAAGAAAGTGGAGAGGATCTCAAGCGGAAAGGAGGAATGGATAGCTCAGATGCGGGACAGACTTCGCGAGACTGGCGGCGGGATCGGCGGAGCTACTGGCGCGGGTCTCAAGAAGCCAGGCAGTGCCGAGGAAAAGGACAAGTCAACCAAGGTGGCCAAGTCGACGCAGGTAGCAGACGAACCCTATAAAGGTATTTTAATGGAAAAAATCCAACACTAACTAGGGCATGGTCTCCGCTCAACAACGAGTTGAGAATCAAGGCTTCGTGGGTAGGTAGGCCTTGTGTGAAAATTCATCGTAAGTTTTCTCTCTCAAATATTCTAACCATGGTTTGAATCCTTTGGTGGAAATCATTTTTGCCGGCTCATAATTTTTTTATATTTTTCACACTTTTTGTGAGATTTTTTTTCATATATACTCAATTTAGAAATTTCGGGAAAATATTTTAAAAAAACATTTTTAAAAAAACAAACATATTTTTTTACAATCTTCCTCATGTCAAATTTTTCTTCTATAATGAGGAGATTTCTCCGATATTTTATGTGTTGGAATACAGACATTCAGGATCTTTAGTAAATTCAAGTTTTTTTTGCGCAAAAAAATCTTTTTTTAAATTTTTTTGAAAAACCGTCATATTTTTGTGATATTTGGAACGTGATTTTATAAAAAAATTTTTAAAAAAAGTTTGATTTTTTTAAAAAAATTGTATCATGGTGTTTCCGTTCAGTACACACGTGTCCGAAAGGCAGGTAATTGCTTTTTGAAAGAACTTAAAGTTTTAGAACAAATCTACTTGACGTAAAATTTCATAATCTGATCGTTTTCTCCAGCATTTGCACATCAAGTAGTAGAAGATACAAAAAAAAATTTTTATCAGATTCATTTTAAAATGAGATTTTAGTAAATTTTTATTGCGAATTTTTTAAACAAAACCGATAAATATGTGTATATATGAAAATGATAAAGTTTTGAGCCGGTGTTTCCCGCCAAAAGGATTCTCACCATGGTCACAATATTGACCGTCCGAGCGCGGCCATTTGCGCGCTGGAAAGCTTTCTCCGAGCTTTTCCCCAGCTGCCTTTGGGGTTTAGCAGAACTCATTCCTGATTCCTAGTAATCTCACTTAGGTCTACCAACACACAAAGTCTTGACTCCCAACTCGCTGTTCAGCGAATACCATTCCCTAGTAATGCTTTAATACTCTTTTTTGTTCAGATCCGGCGACCAAGAAGCGAGAGAGAGAAGAACAGGAAAAACTCAAAGCTGAGGAGAAGGCAAAGGCGGAAGAAGAAGAAGCCCAGAGGAAAAAAGAACTCGAGCTGAAAAATCTGGAAGAACAGCGACTTCTGCAGCTTTTGGAAACAACTACAAGTTTCCAGAGCCGAGTCCCCGTCACCCTCTCCTTTTTTGTAATTTTCAGTGCTTTTATGAAAATTTTCTAGGCTTTTTTTGAACGTGTGTGTACCAGTTTGTATCAGCCCTCTTACGTGTATTACCCACATATTTTCTGCTTTTCCCTTCTGCCATCCAAATTTTTATTTTCATGTTCTTGCTTTATATACATTCGAATAGAAATTTACTGCCTAGAATTGTAGCAATGATCAGAATTGGAAGGAACTGCTCGTGCCGTTGATGGAAATGGTGATGGGCTTCACCATTTCATTTTCTTTGAACTTGACCAGCAAAAGCGAATACGTCACAATCACCGATATTAACTGGAAAACTAGAGTTTGCATGAAACAAAAACCGCTATCAGGTGATCCCAACAACTCTTCAAGTCATCTGAATCGAAATGCAAAAACAAGAAATCACCGTGAAGAAAGTTGTTCTTTCCAGAGGAAAAGCTCGCCAAACCGTCATCCCCCACATGAATTGAGTAGTCATCTTGTGAACAAAGCAAGAGATCTCAACAGTTCCTATAAAGAAAGTCTGATAAAAAGAAAAAAAACTTGGAATCGATCCAAATCGGCGTTGGCATCAGGAACAATCCTCAAAACGGCGTTAACAATTTGGCGAGTCTGATCAGTTGCTTTTTCTCGAGAAATTGATTGAAAGTTACAGTTTCGTTGGTCTTCATTCCAGTGGAGCAAATGACAACAATGTGAAGGACGGCGGTGACGATTTGAATGGCCGCCCAGCAGATGAAGAAATGGACGCTACGGGTCAGAAGGTAACGAGTTCGGGGGTTCGTAATCTGCTCCGCAGCTATCGGCACCATCAGACTGTAAAAAAAGATGAAAGATCTGGACTCTGAGTTGCAAAAGTTCAAACTGTACCTGGAATGCGGTTGTGTCAAAAAGTAAATAGTGAGGCAGAGTACAAGCAAGGACCACGCCAGAGAAAAGAGCAAAAATGGATTAAAAAGATTCCCAACGGCCTCCTGAACTTTTCGGATCATCAAAAAATTTTAAACCAGCAAACCTGAACATTAGTGATGCGTAAAAACTGCTCATAGTAAAATTTGAGGCTGAAATGTCGCTTCTTATGCTCCATATTGAGCGAATTTATCAAAGTGCTGAATATTTTAATATAACCACTTTTCCAAAGGTGAACGGACTTGCAGTAAAAGCGAATGAGGTGGTTGTAGAGGTGATAATATAATAGCGGAATGATGTTCCAGAGGGACAGCAAAGGCACGATTATGAAAGACGAATCCATGAGCAGGTTGTTGCCGAGGCTGCACAAATACTCATCAAATCATTTCAAATCACTCGTTTTGTTGTTTTAGTCAGAGAAGTGATCGACTAGACGGTGAACAAGAACTTTCAGAGTTATAACGAACAACCGCCTTGGCGAACTAGAAGTCCAACCGTGTATTTGATCAAGTTGAAAGCATGGTCTTACGGTCCTTTGCCTCGTTTTCTGCGCGTAGTTCATTCAGTTACGCCTTGACAAGCTCAGACAACAGCGGATGTTGTGCGGGAGCCCGTGCTCTGGGTGGAAGCCTCAGAATGAGGGCGACCACTTCGATTGAAGATTTTACACAGTCTTGTTGTTCATTTTTGAAAATTTTGCCAAAAACTCAGGTTTTCATCTCATGTTTTCTCTCGAATTTCTTTCCAAAAAGTGTATAGAAAAACGTGAACCTTTGTTCGGTTGAGATAAACTCGACGACTTTTAGAGCAAATGTGATACCAACGACAGCACAAATGGTGAAGAAAAAGACGATTTTGTACATTTTTAGTGGCGGAACAATGTGGAAAGCGCTTCGGAAGCACACATCGACCATGTCGACCGTCTGTGAACAAAAGTATTATTCCAGAAGAAGAAAACCTGCCGAACCTTTAGAAGACGTTCATGAGAGCGGAACTTGAGCACGGAAAAAATGATGACGAAAGTGTTAATAACTGGTTTCGTGCCAGTTATCATGCACGACACCGTCGCCGCGTGCATAAGTCCGAACTTGTTCTGATTTGTTCGAATATAAGAACTGACGTCGAAAATTATTCGTTTACTCTGGTTAAAATCACTAAAAAGCTAAATTTCTATAATTCAATAGAGATCTTGAGCTTCAAAAAAAAGCCACCAAAAGGCATTCATCATCGTGTGCCGTTCCTATATTGGGATTAATTGAGACTTTTAAACTTTTTTCTGTGCTCAGGTAAATCCGATTGAACTCTCAAACGTACCAAAGTACCTTCAGATCAATTCTTCCGATCAAAAAAAACTTGATTTTACTTCAAACCTCATAGTTGGCGATAAGCCAAAGATTAATGTTGACAAGATATGAATTGAGGAGCACCGCCAAAACGCAAAAGTTGAGAAAAAAAAAGTATTTCTGCAAAAATATTGATAACAATGTTCTTCTTTTTTTTTCGAGTACAAGATATGAAGTGACGCCAGTTTTCCTCTGAGCTTTTCCATCGAGCCTGGTGGGAAAGATGGCAAGCAGCCGGAAAAACAGCAAAAGCGGGCGGAACGAATTTGAGACGCAGTGCACTCCGCTGAAACGTCTCACTACGTCAATTAACAGAGCAACGAAATATGATGAATTTCGTCTCGTAGAGTTATTGCCTTTTTTACGAGTAACTCTTGAGTAGAAAACTAGTTTGAAGACCTAGACTGTTCCTCGAGGAGTCGATGTTCTACTTCTAGTTGCTCGCCTTCTTCGACGTCCAACAGGCCCGACGGTCGTCGCAGGAGCATCAGCCGGACTTGAAGCCGAACAAAAGCTCCAAAAAGTGAGAGCTTTAGGATATCAACGAACGGAGACAATCGCGTTGAGAAAATTAATTAAGCATCTTCATGAGGTAATTTCAAACAACATCTCGTGGCTCCCAACGGAAATTGTCCGTGTTTTGGCGCCTTTGGTTCTTATTTTTTTTTGTCCCAGAAGCAGAGAGGAAGAAGCAAACAAAGAGAAAATAGTGGGTAATCCTTGTGAAGAAGCACATTTCGGGTTCAAGTGGTAATTTTGGCATACTACCGTCTTTTCCTCGTTCCGCCCGCGCCATCGGAATAGCCACATTTGGGACAAGACAAGGCTTTCGGACAAATTGCTTTATTTCGCAGCTTTTTTAGACATTATATTTTAAGAAAGAAAAAAAGTTTGATGACATTAATTTTTTTTCAAAAAAATTTTTGAAGGAGGCTTTTTGAAAGAGAATTTTCTTGTAAAAAAACATAAAAAAAGCTTCTAAACTTTTGATCTGAGAGAACCTGAATTTACTTTCGTGAGATCATAGAGGCGAAAAAAAGGGCTAGAAATTTTCTTTTTTTCTGCTACAGGACAATATCAGATTTTTCCCTGGAGGACTTTTTTTGTGTACAGTCTTGTTCCGAAACGTCAAAAAAAGTAATAATAGGAAAAAAAGCATGTTAAAACTAAAAGCTTGGATCTATCAGTGAAAGAGTGATGAAGATAAGTGTCCTTTTATTAAACTTTCGTTTGCGTCCCCACTTTTGTGAAGTCGAACCAAAGACTCAATTCGAAAAAAGAAGAAATAAATTCGTCAAGAAGATGATGCTTCCGCTCTCCATACTTGGTTTCCGATTCAGATTTCTTCCAAAGACGAGAAAAAAAAGAGACCGGAAACAAGAAAGCTCCCAGCCGGCTTCACAAAAAAATTAGTGAACGTAAGAGCTTCAAAGAATTTCAAAGTATTTATACGTGAGAGAAATTTGGGAGCTCTTTGTTAATTAATTACTTTTTCATTGAGGTATTCAAAATGGATGAGAATTTGAACACATTTTTGAAATTATTCTCATCAAAAGATGTCCTCTTTGGGAAGTATGGCATGAAGTAGTGTTGGAAATGAGACTAGGAAAGGAGGTCGAGAAGGAGCGGCCAAACAAAGCACCTTGAAGATGTCGGTTCTCCTGGAACCTTTGGGAATTCGCCTGGCAGGTCATGACCGCGCCTCATCTTTCAAGTCTTTGCCCAATTCTTAGTGAAGTCGTTGGAAAACAACGGTCCGTTTTCCAAAAGACCCTCGGGCTTTGAACAATGCAGCTCGAACAGCAAAAACAACTTTTTTCTCCAGAGTACAGTTACAGTACCCAAATAGTTTGACGTCAAAACACCTGCCCACCCAAAAAAGCATCACAATGGCAGTAATCTCTTGAGGCTCGTTATTTTCGAAAATCTATTTCTAGGCATTAAATCATGTCCATACGACAGCTGCAAAATCTCTACCGAGCAATATTAGAGTAAAGACAAGAGAATAAAAAAGTCAAAGTTTCAAACAAAGCTTTCGAGAAAAGGAGAAAAGTGTTTCCGAAAAGTGAAGTTGCATGCATGTGCAGAGTTCGTGAATTATTTCTCAGATGAAATATTCAGCCGAAACGACAAAAAACAGCGCAGCATTGTTTTTTTTTGTTTTGGACCGGAATCGGAAGAACGAAATTTTAAACAAATGGAAGGAAAACCACATAGTCTTGTTTACATTTGAAATTCCTAGTTTTACCAAAAAAAAAAGTTGAATGGCCAAATATTGAAGAGTCTGCGCGGGGAAAAGATGTATGATGAGAATTTTGATCGGCTTGAATGACGACTAGGAAGAAGGTAGTCTTCGGTTGAAAGCTGCAAGAACACGAGTTCGAGCAGGCGCCGCCCCAATTAAGGGCTTCTCTTTTTGGCGGCTGATGTGCCGAAAATGCCTGAGGGCGTCCACCGCTGCGTCTTGCATGGGAAAATCGAGATTCGACTTGCTTTGACACAAAAAGCGACAGAGTTGAGGAGACGCATGTTTTTCTGTTAATTGGAGATTTCACCTATATTTTAAAAATGATTTTAAAACAGTAAGGATAAGATCACAGAGAGCGCAGATACGTTAGTTTTTTTGTCGAGGCTCATCAAGTAGAGGGATATTTTTCGGAAGTTTCCTGAAGACGGAAACCTTTATTTTCTTTTTTCGGGATTTAATGAATAACAAAGTTTCACAATATAGCTGAAAAAGTGATACTTCCGAAAATACACATTAAAACAGACACACAATCCGCAGGACTATAAAAAGTGTTGAATGATGGCGAGTAGAATTTATGTTTGCTACAGATTGAGTTATATTTTTTCAAAAAACAAAAAAAGATATGAGTAAAATAATACAATGAATTCAATTACTCACTCGAGAAAGAAAAAAAAACTCTCATGAACATCTTTTAGTGCGGAGGTTAACAGAGAATTAGTTTTTTTTAGAAAACTTCCTGTTTAGTTCATACTTCAAGAAATGCCACTCTTTGCCCAAAAACTCAGAAACTCTTTTCGGACTTTTTTCTCTCCAGATGGGAGGTACTTCCTACACTAACGCAAACGAAGTTATGCTCGACGAACAGCGTAAAAAAGAAAAGAAAATAGGAAGCAAACCGCCAGGAACACTCGAAGATGGTCTGTCGACGGCCAGACGAAAGAGCCCGGGTCCAGGAATCGCGAGTTCTGGACAGCTCCAGAATGCTGGCGAAGATGGTCTTCTCGGGGTCGTCGTCTTTCTCGAAGCACTTCTGTTCAGCCAGAGGAGTCTCTGCCGCAGATTCTTCTACTCGTAAAGAAGACGTCCGGTTGAAAGGGTACATCTGAAAGCGATTCATCGCGACGTTTTATTCTCAAAGACGTGAATTATTATGGCGCGGTTTCTGCAGCAACGGTGTTTTGAAGAAAAGTCCCAGAGGAAAGTCTTTTTTCGAGTATGAAAATAGTTAGAAAAGGATTAATAGGAATTCTGCTTGAAACTAGGCAATGAAAGCAAAACTTTATTTTACAAAGCGGAGCTAATTGAAGTAAAAGTGGAGTTTTCGGAGCAGATATTTTGGCTCAAAGAGGCCATTAATCTTGCAATCATGTCACGAAGTACACAGATGAATTCAAATAATTGTCTAGAATTTTTTTTAAATTTCAAAATTATGATTACAGTGTCAACATATAAAATTTAGTTATCTTTTTCACTCTCTAACGGTTTCGCGGAATTACTTTGAAGACGTCATTAGTAGTCGAAAAAAGAAAAAAACTTTGTTCTCAAGTTTCATTTATTTTTGCTGCTTTTTGACAAATTCAAAAGCAAAACTTTTATAAACTTTTTTTATAGATGGATTAAACTGAAAGTAGCACTGAAACTTCTGAAAAGATACAGAAAAGGGTAAACTTTTCAACTTCGTTTTCCAATTTTTTCTACCTCTCTAATATGTTGGAAACAGCTTCGTGATTTAAATATTGGTAGCAAGTGCAAGGAAATGAAAAAAATTGGAGGGTTTCTTCTTCATGGGAACGAACTTTGTCTCTGTTTATATATTCAAAGAAGGATTAGCTCAATCACGAAACGCTTGAAGGTACTTTGCGCGCTCCCTCAAAGCTTTAGCCGAACTTTTCATTAGGTTTTTTTTCAAAACTGTTTCGGTTCGGAACATCACCAAAAATCGATACATACATCGATATATGCTAGCTGAACAGAAAATTCATAACAGCATTTCAAAGAAATGGCTAACCTCAAAGTGCTTATTAAAGACGCGCTAGAAAGGCGCAATTCATATCCTCAAACTTGTACAAAATAAAAAGTTTGGACATGAAAAAAATACTCTTTTCTCAGAGTAACAGTCAGGAAAACTTCAGCTCAAAACCCTTTTAAAAAGAATACGCTTTTTCACGCGACGTATGACGCGTTTTCTAAGGATATATTGTTTTATGTGGAAATATTGAATATATTGAATCAAAGAAAATGATCATAAAATAAGACTGGGGAAGTTTTCTTTGAACATCACAACCAAGACGATCTGCAATAAAATGTGCAGTAAAAATAAGCTCAAATGCTTTTTGCAGCGTTCGAAAAGCGGCGATTCGACTTATTAGAAAAAAATTTTTGAATCTTGACACTTTATCAAAAAAAGCAAACTATCTGACGTTTGCTTTCATTGTTAGCATCTTTAAATATTTTTTTGAAAAAAATCCGTTTTTTTGAATATTCGAGCAGTCTGAAATGACAGACGCAGCTGCGAAAAAAATCGCCTAATGCTTTCAAATTTTTTTATTCATTTTGAATTTTGAAGGAACGAGTAAGGCTAAAGGAATGGAAAAATGTTCAAAAAAAAAATTAGTCCACATTACACGACACCCAAAATAATTGCCGATATCGCAGCGGGCCGCACGCGATATAGCCAAGGCTTCTCGCTGCGATCTCGGCAACATGTCGCTGCGACCTCGTCAAAGTCTAGCTCAGCACGGATGCCGCACGGTGCATTCTGCTTTTTTGCACTCTGGTGCGTAATTGGGGTCTGCACCGTGCGATTTTGTTGACTTTTTGGTGCAAAGGTGTCAAATCAGTGCTTTTAGCGTGCTGCACCAGTGCGACACCAAAAAAGCACCAAAACTGCACGGCGCAGACTCCAGTTTCGCACCAGAGTGAAAAAAAGCAGAATGCACCGTGCGCCATCTTTGCCGAGCTCGCTGCCATATCGCTCCCTCTAAAAAATTTGAAATTTGAAAAACATTTTTTTTGCTTTATTTTTGACTTTTATGATGAAATCAATCAAATTCAAGAAAAAAACATTTTTGAAGAAAAATTTTTCAGAGAGCGGTATAGTCTGTTCAGATTTCGAATGTCAACGTTGCAACTAGAATGACTTCATTCGAAAACGCTCTGTGGATGGCTCGCTCTCTGATTGGTTTATCGCGCCATTAGGGGGCGGAGCTTCAGCGAGGACTTGACATTTGAAATCTGAACAGACTATATAGCGCAAGACGTTTGCGAGGTCGCAGCGAGAGGCGAGCGATATCGTTCATGGCTCCCCCGCGGTATAGCGTTACTCTCGCTGCGATATAGTCCACAAAATTGGGTGGACAGTTTGTCCAACCATTTACCAAATTGGACTTAATATGACAAAAGATTCGCTTCAAAAACTTAGTTTTTTGTTGTTTTTTTGAAAATCAGTAAGGAAAGGGTGCGAAAAGGCAAAGTTTATAGAAGCTTCACCCAATTTTGTGGACTATATCGCAGCGAGTGTAACGCTATACCGCGGGGGAGCCGCGAGCGATATACGTCTTGCGCTATATCGCTCTCTGAAAAAAATTTTTCCTTTAAAAAAATGTTTTTTTGCTTGAATTTGATTGATTTCATCATAAAAAAATCTAAAAATAAAGCAAAAAAATTTTTTTTTCAAATTTCAAATTTTTTTGAGAGGGAGCGACATGGCAGCGAGACTTTGACGAGATCGCAGCGAGAAGCCTTGGCTATATCGCGTGCGGCCCGCTACGATATCGGCAATTATGTTGGGTGATTTTTCTGTTGTTTTCGGTTCTTGCAGTGTTCAGGATCTGCATACACAGCGACGAACTTGCTGGGAATGCTATTTTTTTGAAAAAAATTTCACTTTCTTCAATGAAAAATTTAAATTTTTTTATTTTATGTTTTAACAAACTTAGTAAAAAGAACGATGTGATTTATCATGATGTTACATTTTTTCATTTTTTTTTTTTTGATGCAGTTTAAAGACTGTCTCCCGCGTTCTGCGACTTGTTCTACACCTTCTGTAATAAATGCGGTGAGCTCTCTGAAGAAGAAGAAGCATGATCCGATTAACCAACTTACAAAGGTTCGTATTGTTTTAATGGAAAGTTTTTAGCATTTATCGAAACTAAATAGATTAAGTTAAAAAAAATTAAACAGAAGACTTCTTTTCAGGGAGGAGGAGTTATGAAACTTCAAAAATAAAAAATAAAAACGACTTCGCCTTTAGTTAAAACTTTCCCCATTGATTTTCTTCTTATCAAACAAAACTTTTTCCAGTGAGTTAAAAAAAAACAACGCAGGAAACGGTCATGAAAATGATTCGAGCAAAGCTGTGAAAATGACGCTTGTATGGGGCGTAAAAGACAGCATAAAGAAATCCTTCTTTCTCAAAAGAAAATTCCTGTGAAACCATGTAGCTAGTTTTTCAAGATTCTCGGGAATTTTTTTGATAAAGCTGAAAGAAAAAATTTAAAGCTAAAAAGAAAAATAGTGAAAGGAGTAGTAGTAAAAGCTAAAGTCAGAAAATGAAGAAACTTAGGAAGGAGAATGCCTTGAGGCATAAATATCTTCAAAATCAAATCAACTGAGAAAAAGGTTTGGCGTAGTGCCCGACATGCGCAGAAAACAAACGAACACACTTTCAAGTTAGAGAAAAAGGCGGCAAAATTAATAAGCACGCTCCGCATAACGAACAAATCGTCAATTTCAGCCGTTTTCTATCCGAACGCCTGTTTATGATGATGTTTTCATTTGATTGCGTGGGCTTGAATGTCTATTCTTAATTGACTCCCTTTTTTTTGAGATTGAGAATATCCGTTGACGGCTACATTACTACTTTTCCAGTTAAAATCTTTTTTGCGGCAGTTTTGATGTCTGTTCGAGAAATAATACTCAAGAAGGCCTACTTTTTAGGTGCAGAAAAAGGGAAAGGTAACTAATTCGGCCATTTGGGGTAGAGCAATTTAAGGAATGTATTCTGCAGCTCTTTTTCAGATGTGTAGTGATTCTCTTCAGCTCCGCCTTGCACTTGACCAAGCACTAAAAGGTCTGTTTTCTTATTAAACTTTCATTTCAACAAAGATATTAATGATCAGTTTTTTCTTTTTTGATAAAAAGGGGAAAGTGATCAGATGTACCCAAAAATATAAGTGAACCGGAAGAAATACCCGTCTAAAAGCGTGAGAAAATGATAAGAAGCTGCAAAAATGGAAAATCTGGAAGTAGAAAAAAAAGTCATTTACGAAAAATTTTAAAGGTGGCAAGAAAAAAAGACGAGAAATTTATCTTGGGAAAAGGAAATTGGTTCACTCTTCATTGGAGCACTCGGAAACAACGAGCAACGGAATAGCAGGAGCTGAGCGTCGCCGGTCGAACTCTTTTGCATCCGGTCGTTTGGGCTGGAAAATCAGCTGGTTCCTGATGGCGCCTGCAGAAAAAGGGAGCACAATCGGAGGGGCATTTGCTGTTAGAATCGGCTGTGGCGGCGACGCTGGACCTTCCTGAGCGCTTACCAAAGACGATCTCTCGTTGTTCTATCAAACGACGCTGTTGGTGATACGTAGGACTAGAAGAAGTCTTACCGGATCGACGGATGAGGCGAGGCTACCCCGACCGGAGTCTTGTCCATTGCTTCTGTGCGATTCGTCGCGATGTCGTGCCGAAGTTCTGTTAGGGAAGAAGCGCATCTTGAAAGACATTGGTTATTTAGTTTTCATTTTCATTTTTTTGGTATGCACTCTGTTCCGTGGAGTAGGGACGTGTTCATGGTGACTCTCGCTAGAATGTTCCGATAAGTCAGAAACCTGAAAAACCAATGAAATAATAATCGAACAGAATTTTTTTTTTACTTCTGGCGCTTCAGAAACAAGGCGCTTCAAAAAAGAGAATCGTTTTCCTCGTTCAGACTGAGGGGTTGGGGGAGATGTCGATGCATCACATTGAAAAGAGACTCGCGGCGAAGAACTGGAACATAACAGCTTTAATAGCTTTCCAAAGGTTCATTTGATAGAGAAAACTTGCCTAGAACGTTTGTTAGGGTCACAATCAGCGAAAAGAGCATCACTAGTACGATGTGAAGAACAATTGGATCCTCTTGGCGTGCTGTTAAGGGAAGTTGTCTAAAAGGCAAAAAATGGCTTCCACATATTCTTTCGTTGTCGAAGGATATTCTCGTCTACCTGTACCTGGGTGACCGTCAGCCTATTACTCGCTTCTTCTTTTTTTGAAGGTCCAGGTGGCTGTGAGTTATAGAAGTTCGATAGTGTGCTGAAAAATGGGCAGGATTTATTTTTAATCTGAGCAAAATTGAACTTAAGGCTTCTTCCGGTCGTAGTTATCCTTCGGAGTACAGGAATTGTTTTGCTTTTCACCCGCCTTTGAATCACCCAAAGTTTCAGAAATATTTTTCAAGCTTGGGCTGATTTGAAACCTCGGTAAAGAACACGTAGAGGAAAGGGTTGGCAAACGAATTGATCGGAAAGAAAAAGACAAGAAGTATCTTGGCGTTGCTCAATGAAATTAGAGGTATTCCCATTGAAGCAGTGAGACCTTAAAATCATGTGCGTATTCAAATAAAAAAAAGAGCGAAAACCAAAGAAAAGAGTTGGGAACCAGCAAACGAGATTGGTACAGACCAGCAGAGCCATTTTCATGATAAGTGCTTTATCTTCTTCTCGAGTTTTGTTTTCCTTTAGCATTTTAACAATGAAGCCGTAGCACAAAGCCATGGCTATGAAAGAGGATAGGTTGAAAATTAGACCAAAAATCAGGTAAGCCTGAATTCCATAGTTTTGGAAAGAACTTAAATTAGCAAACCGTACTTTATCAAAAACTGTCTCCGCTCGTAGTGGGAGACAAATACTGCTGGTGGAGTATGATGAAACGCCAACCCAAGGCAGAAAAGCCATGAGAAGGGCGAAAAGCCAGCCGATCAGCATCAAGAAGACGGCGACCCTCGGGGAGAGCTTTTTTCCAAGGAAGGCTTTCCGTGTGTTGTAGGACATCTCGAAGGCGATCAGGAACATGGAGATAATCCCCAACTCGGCAGCGAATACTGCGAGGGATCCTGCAGCTTTGCAGCCCCAACCTGTCTGCCAGCTCACCGCATGCCGGTAGTACTCATCTGAAGTCCGAGCGTCTTGAATCGCCAGACAAGCCAAGTAGACTCCTAAACGAACTCTTTGAACGTCACTAAGTATTTCTAAGTTTTATTTTGAATCTTCTTATTTTATGTACTTTTTCAATCTGTGAAGGTCTACCTGTGATCATATCAGCGACTGCCATGTTGATCATATACATATAGTGAACTTTCATGCGTCGTTCATAGGCCAGCCCGAGAATGACTAAAACGGCTACGTTTCCTGCGATTGCCATCACCCACACCACCCAAATAGCGATGCGGAGAAGAGAATAACTAAAGAAAATTAGTTTGTCTGCAGTATGAATCTGTCGAACCCGACGATGTTCTCGCAAGGATTGAGTGCGTGGGGACTTGGATAACACGTAATATTTTTATAGTAACTTCTCACTTCTTCAACCACCGAATCACATGTGTCAGCTCCGATTTGAGAGAATGCTGAAGGAATTTTGTCATAATTGGGATTTTCAATATGAGACTCACGTGGGAGATCGCTACCGTAGTCGACGCCAATATCAGTCCCAGATCCTTCAAGTTCTTGCATCCATTCATCAAAGAATTCTTTCAAAAAGCCCGAAGATAGTGCATCTCTTTCCTTTAATTTCGAATATATTTTGTTTTCACCACTTTCTGCTAACCGCAATACGTCTTTTTTGCCTTCCCGCAGTTCTTTTTTCCGCACAAATTCTTTTGTGGATTTCCTTGGCGTTTTTTTGAAACTTTCCATTCTCGTTGACAACGACGTCATCAACATACTGAAACGAGGAAATAGCTCAATGATAATTTGAAGTATCACATTAAATAAACAACAATGATGGGGATACGTGAAATGAGCTGTTTCCAACTTTGTAAAAGAAAGAACCGAAGGAATTCTCTAAAATCAACTTTTGGCTTTTCTTGATAATAACGATATACCTTTAAAGTTGGTACGTTCTTCAGTTTCAGTGTTTTCAGATTTTTTAACCCATTAATGGGAAGTACGTTAATAGACGTGAAGGACAAGTCTCTGAAAAATTCGAGAGTAAGATAATGAACAAAAGTAGATTTAAAAAGAAAAACTCGCAGATGATGGAGCTCCTTGACATTTTTGAAAGCATCCATGGATAGGTCGCTCAAGTCAAGGTTATTGTCAATAGCACTGAAAAATGTTCCAAAAGGTTTCAATCTTTAAATCCAATTTATAAACAGCTTAACGAAACTGCTTCCGTTGAATGCGTAGCCCTCTATCTCGAGTATCTTGTTGTTGTTGAGCTTGAGCGTGCGCGCACGAACTTCCCGAACCTTGTTGTTGCCGATAAACTTGATCTGAGCCCGAAGATATTGACGTGAATTGGTCAAAAAAAACTTGGTTGCCTGACAAGTCGATGTCGACCTCCAACTTGTGAGCCTCAGTCATCCGCAAAGACGGAATCGTGTGAAGTCCGTTGTTTCGCAGAATTCTGAAATCAAAAATAAAATCTTTTCTTGGTTTTAAATTACATTTAACGTTCTCACAATTTAACTGCAAAAATCGCATAGTTTTCAGTTTTTTTGCTTAACAAAAAAATTTCGAACCTCGCCAAGGGTCGAACGAACTTCAGGGACACAGGAAAAATTCATATGCAATTTATTTAATTAAAAAAATAATAAAAAAACTTTTTTTAACTTTAAAATGTAGTTCTACTAGAGAGAATCGAAGCTGTCTTACACTGACTGTAGTTTGGCATTGTTCATTAACAGTTTGCCTGATATTTCACGCAATGAGCGGCACTTTGTGATGGATCTGAAAGCCGATGTTCCAGCAATAACAGTGAGAACAAACAATTTGCGAAGATTCGTCAGGTTAGCGAGACAAGATGAATCGAAATGCTCCAAAGCCGCCGAATCGTCTATTTCTCTGTGAAAAAGATGTTTGGCTCATTAAATGAAGAGCGTTTGAACTAACAGTTCTTCAAGCCTTAAATATCTTGAAAAGAAGTCGTTGGTTACTTCTGTTATACTCGTGTTGTACATGAACCTGTAAAATGCATTTGGAGACATATGAGATACAGAGATACGGACAAGGCGCGCATCGTGGTGGTCAGGTTGGAGGGCAACTCGACGATTTTCCGTCCTTTGCAGCAGCATTCTCCACGAACTCGTACGATGCAATTGCATCCATCGCCTTCGAAAGTACACGACTTCTTGAATTTTACTCGCTTTTTTGAGTTTTTTCAATCAGCTTTTTTAAATTTTAAAATCAAGATGGAATTTATTTTTTCCCGAAAGACCGACCTTTGTGAGAAATTTTGGCAGCTCGTTAAATGAGTTCGATGAAGCGAGGTGTATCAAAAGAACGACTATTAGGAATCGATTCATCGGCAGCGCGTGTAAAACTGATAAACCTTCGCGCGAGCCGTGGGCCCTTGATTGAGAAAACGATTTATCAGTGCTGTTGACAACGTCGAGCCGTACGAGTTTGAGCTATGTCGATTTGAAACATTATTCTTTGAGGACGAAAATAGAGGTACGCTCAAAGGGAGGTTTATAGGCTTGATAAACCGTTGATTCCGTCTCGAGAACTCAGAAAACACAGAAAACTCAGAAAATCAAAAAAAGGTGCCACCTCAATCGTCGCCTGAAATGAACTATCATTCGTTACAAAAATAGAACCTCCTCTCTTTGTTTGCATTGTTGCTATAAAAGACGAACATACAATACACCACAGAATTCTAATATTTTACTATATACGTGACAGAATGGAACGAGGCACTGAAAGTTGACCTTTCCAAGATTAAAGTTTGAAGCTTTAGAGTCTTCCTAAACACGGAATATATTTTCAAAACTAATAAACTTCATTTATTTTTCTTTCTCTGGTTTTTGAAGTCACTAAAGTTTGCATTTACTTCATAAACTCACTGACAAAACCGTAAATACCGAAAACGAGTGCAAAGTAAAAACGGCTGCAAAAAAGCCGCTGAAAGGATTTCGTTTTGTGCCCTTTATCGAGCCTCTCAATTTCGCCAGGACTCAGTGGACCCGTTACTGATCGATGGAAACTTCCGTGGTTGCATAATTGGTTCATCCGACATTGCCAATGTTTTGTCTATCACAACCTTTCCTGTTGGAAACTCTTCCAGAGTTTATTTCCCCACCTCAAATCATGGACTTATACTGAACTCATTCGTAAATTCCATCTTCTCGACCTGACGTTCGCCTTCTCACAAGGTGGGAAAATTGTTTGTAATTCAGTGGTGACAGACGACTGTTTGCATAGAGGGTGCTTACTCACCGCGCAGCTACTTCAACTTTTCATTTCGCTATATTCATTCTCAATACATGTGTGATTGACACATATTCAGCGACGATTCTTTCCATTTGACTTTGTGAAAAAATAATCATAATTCGTATTTCTTCTTTTTTGTATTTTAATCGTTCTTCTCGGATGTAACGCGAGACGGACATGCTCCGGAAGTTTCTAAGCATTTTTAGGGACCACTTTAGTAGCGTAAGCACGGTCCCAAGAATTGCTTAGAAAAGTCCGTCTTGCGTTACCAATGTCAGTTAACTGCATGCAGTTACCAAAGTTCACGTAAATTTCAAGAAAGAAGGAAAACGCGCTCCAACGCTTAAAGGAATTTTTTACGGAGCTTTTTTCTATCTCAACATTTTTTTTCTTTGTTTTAAATATTCATATAGAGAGATATTTACTCTAGCTAAGGAACAAAAAAGACTAGAAAAGTTGGGAGTATTTTAAACATAGAATGTAGCAGTTTTCAAAAACAAATAAAAAAAAATTTCTAAAACTTTCAGAGTTTTTCTCTCATCTGAATGTCGGATTGGAGCTGTGAACATTGCACGCTTATAAACAAGAGATCTTCAAAAAAGTGCGTAGCCTGCGGCTGGGAAAACGCAACGAGAAAAACGAAAAACTTGCTTCCAAAGTTTATATCCAAACAAGGTTCGTTTCTCTTTTTTCATAGTTCTCCAATTTTTTTTTTAGTAAACGACTTCTCGAACGCCATCGGCGATATCTTTTCATCGCAACTAAGGCCAAATAACAATATAGTTCCTTCGTGAGATTTTTTTTTTCGAAATTTTAGGTCATTTACAACGATACTCTGTGACAATTTTTGCACATTTGTTTGTCGCAAAAAGAAATATTCAATCTATTCAGGACCTCTTCATCTGCATATAAACCACGTGTACCGGATGGTCCTCTTATAACAAAGCCTGTACCACAGGATATCCCTTCCAACTCTCCTTCGTTACCGCGAATACCCGAACAAAATGGTAAATTTGACCCTTCATCACTTTCAATGCATTTTCGTGGTCTCGCAATATTTTTTCAGGCTCTGTACATTCTCCGCATCGTGGCGGTCTACCATATGACCCAGCCAGACCTCTTTCCACTGACCAACTTCCGAACACGGTTGGTTTGGTTCCATATTTCTATTTTCAAGAAAATTGAGGCTGTTCTTGGGTATTTCATGACAATTAGAGCGTATTTGTTGTATAGTAGTAATCAAGTTAAGAGTTTCTCGTTAATCTGATTGTACGATTTCTATAGAGATGAAGCAATTTATAATTATTTTTTTTCCTTTTCAACTTCTATTTTTTGTGTTAAGTAGGACTCTTTTTTTCTGTATTTGATTTTTTTTTTCGTTTTTTTTTTCACCTTTGCTGCATTGCGTAATAGTTTGTAGCAGTGTCCATGGAGACGTCAGACGCGAGTCGTAGAGATCTTCTTTCCTTCGTTTTTGTTTTTGTTTTAAAAGTGTTTCTAAGAGCTGAGAGCTCCTTTTTTTCTAAAATCAATTCGCTTCAATTTTCGATAAGCTTTGCAAGGTTTGTTGAGTCAGTCGTTTTTCGTTTATAACACGAGTTGAAAAAGTTTTCAAAGTTATTATTTTTGGCAAGAAAGTTATCTTTGACCATCCCCCTATGAGTTATATTCATTGAAATACTCCATCTCTTTCAATTTTGTTTAATACAATCTCAAGATCAAATAGCTAATAACAGATTTTTGAGAAATATGTTTTTCACTTTTCATTGCTGTTATTTTAAAAACTTCTCAGTGAAAAACTCAAAAAATTCAGAGTTTCAATACGTCGGCTCTGAGCGACTCTTCGATGTGCTCCGAAACGGCAGAAAATGTGCAGAGATCTCTTCAAAACGAATCAGAGCAGAATTTCTTGAGAATTTCGGAATTTTGCAAGTGAGATAATCGTTTTATATAACTTTTTGACTCAAATAGATCGACGAACACACATTTCATCGACGACTCTTTTCCGCATTCTCAAAAGTCGATAGGAGAATTGGAAAGGGAGAGCGAAGGTGCAGTTGTTGGTCGGTCGGATCAATTTTACACGAAAAAGTTGATCGGTGTAGGACATGCGCCGAAAACATTCGTCTGGATCCATCCGTCAAACATGTTCACGAAGGACGGCCGCGCCTTCAGATGGTCCGTCTTCAACGATCCGCGGCCTTCCGACATCGAACAAGGTGATCGAGAACCCCAGAAAAAGCCTAGTTTCCAATTTTTCAAATCCAGGTTCACTTGGTGACTGTTGGCTCCTCTCGGCCATGGCTCTGATTGCCGAAAGACCAGATATACTTGAATCGATTTTTCTGACAAAGGAGTACAATCCTATGGGAATATATCAACTTAGGTAGTAAATAATAACAGGTTCAGTGTTGATTTCAGTTTCTAGACTATGTGTCGACGGCCTATGGATTGTGGTTTTGGTGGACGACTTCTTTCCCTGTAGACCAGATTCTCTTTCTTTGGCTTTTGCAGTCGGTCGCAAAAATCAAGTAGAACACAGAAGTTTGATTTGAATCGTTTTTGTTGGAGATGTGGGTTCCGTTGATCGAGAAGGCTCTCGCCAAGCAATTTGGAAGCTACGCTGCACTTTCGGCCGGTCGTACAGTTGAAGGTCTCGCGATTTTGACAGGTTTTTTTTGCGTTTTCTTCTATTTTCAAAAATCAAGAGTTATTTTTGAGTGTTTCATTCAAAATTTTTTTTGAATATTTTGAGATAAAATGAGATTTTGAATTATAGGCTATTCATACCTTTTTGGTTTTTTAATCAAGACACGAAAAAAAGCTTGGAAAGACGAGCCAGCGAAAAAATCGCCAAACTGGAAATATTTTCTGTTGTACGTTTCTGAACAATCGGTAAGAAAATTACCGACTGGCACCTTTTGCAGGCGCTTCTTGTGAAACGCATTCGACCCAAGATTTGGCAGACACCGACATCCTCTGGGCGTCTCTTCTCAGTTCGAGGTTCTATCAACGATCTTTTCCTGAATATTCATCCAAATTCAGAGAGGCTGGTTACATCATGGGCTGTTCATGTGGCGCCGGTAGAATATCAGTCGATCCTCTTGAATACAAGTTTGTAGCAGAAAAATTGGCTCATGTTTGAAAAAAATCCAGGGCAAAGGGATTACTCGCGCGACATGCCTATTCTATTCTGGACGTCGTTCAGGAGAGCGGAATCAGGTATTCATCTCTGAAAATTGTCTTCCACTGTCTTTTGAAGATTGCTCCGGCTACGTAATCCTTGGGGCAACTTTGTCTGGCAAGGAAAATGGTCGGATGTTTGGTCAGGATGGCCTCCGGGTGTGTCATGATATCAGAAAGATTGATCCAGGTTTTCCAGAAATGAAGAATCGTCTGTTGCGAGAGCATGAGACCGGCACTTTTTGGATTGAATTCTCCGAGTTTATCCAGTATTTCGACTCAGGTTACTATCTTCAGCTAGTTATAATATGACACCGGAAAGTGTGAAAGTTGAGCTGCGTCTTTATTCGAGAAAAATGAGGCCCCAAGAGATCGTCCGTTCAAAATTTGGTTTATGAGCATAGATGGGCAAGTACTCCTTCAGCCCGCCGGAGGGATTGACTTTCAAAATTTTTTTGAAAATTTAGGAATATGATGAATTTTCAGCTTCACAAAGGTAGTGTTAACGTTAGTTTAGAATAATTTGGGAGGTGGGGTCGGTGGCTTTTGAAAATAGTTTAATCATGTATGTTTATTAGAGTCTGTCAGATGGTTTTTTTTCTATTCAGTACCGCAAAAACTTCTGCATTCGATGTATCATGATTCGAAAAAAAAATATTAGAACACGGAAAAATAGGACAATCAGAAAAGAAAGAATTCTAACTTTGATTGTTAATTAAGATGTGAGCTTGTTTACCACACATCTTTTTCAACTTTCAAATCGTTCGGTTTTTGAGAGACCTTCTTGATAATTTTTTTGTATTCTTTTTCAGTGGACATCGCCAAAGTTCACTCACAGAATCGTTGGTCGGAACTTCGTGTTCCGGTTAAAATGAGCGGGAAGTTTTCTCCGGTCGATAGGTCCGAGATTCAACTGAACATATTTTCAAAGTTGTATTTCAGAGCCCTGCTCATAATTGTGACGGACAATACAGAGATTTCGTTGACGCTGTTCCAAAAAGACTCCAGAAAACTACGCGACCAAGTTATTTCCCTTGCTGAGCCGGACCAATACAGGTCTTTCAGAATGACGTTTTGATCTGTGTTCATAAAGTGAGCGCTTCTCATCAAATCGGAGATCTCGTCGCCGAGTCGCCACGGAAGATTGCGTCATTCGTGAGCACAGGCAAGGCTGAAATGTAGAAGAAACGAGGCGAATTTGGGTTTAGCTGATGTTTTCCTCAAGCCGGGGCAGTACGTGGCGATTTGCCACAGTATCCTGTCGCTTGGCGGCAAAAGTGTCGAAGGAAGTCTAGTCGTCTACAGGTTTCAGTTTTCACCAAGCTTTTATGAATGATCTTCTGTTTACATGGGAAAGTTCAACCAAAAAAGTTCAGAAAAAGCTGAAAAAAGTTTAGCTCACAACAAGATGATTTATTGATATATAGAAAGGTTTTAATTACGACAGAATACGATATCTGCTCCAAAAGAACTGTCATTTTTACACATGAGAATAAAACAGATGATGGTGATGATGTGATAAGATCCTCAAAAATAGACGTTTTTGGCCTTTCGCTCCATTTTTCTCTTTTCTCATTGATCGCATATTTATTCGTCAATAAATTTTTTTTTTCTTGACCTTAAGCTATCATTTTTTTATTATTCCACGAAAGCTATTTAAAAAAGTGGACTAACTAGATGAAAATGAAGTCTTATGATAAATGGTAAAAAAAGTCTTAATTTTGAATTAAAATGAAACAAACGTGAAACTCTGGGCTTTGAAGCTCGCGTCCGCTCTTTGGCGAGCCGATTTTCTGCCATCCAGAGATGTACACAGACTCTCTGACCCAGCTGGTCGCGGCGCGCGGAACTCCCGTCGGCTTCTCAGTTACTTTTAAAAATTCAAATTTTGTTCGTTATTCGGCGAACTGCAGATCTCCAGCGGCGCGGTCATCCGTCAGTTGGCCGTCGACTTTGCTGGAATGCTCATTATGGCCGATAATCTGCTCGAAAACACGTGGCTACATGTCGGGTGCGCTTCTCCAGTCTTCTGAGACAATCTCAGCCTTTTTAGACTAAATTGCTCGGACTCTGTGAATGTTTTATCTTCCCGCGGAACTTTGAACGTAGCTGATGTGATACCGCCATTGAGCAGACAGGTTTTATCGTTCTATGAGTAATTGAAACAGTTTTTTGCAGATTTTGATAGTGCTCACTCATTTCGAACCGAGCTCATTTTTTAGAGTTTCAAACCAGATCCGAGTGAGTTTTTTGTTTTCAAGAAGTTGGCGAGACTGAAATTAATCTGCGAATCAGGGCCGACATTATATTTGTATAAGTCCTAAAACATGAGAAACTTGATTTTTGATGAAGAAAAATTTATCTGTAAACCAAAATCTATCATGTAGGTGACGATGAGCCGCAACCTCGGGCTCCGCGAGTTGGCTCTTCCGGACCGAAGAGGTGTCGTCAACAAAAACGCGGTTCACACTCCCGACTTCGAAGGCGTCGAACAGGCAACCCTCCACAAAACTTTCTCACTTTTACGCTGAATTGTGTCATTTGCCGGTTCTCGGAATGCTTCTCAGACTTGTGAGTTTTTAAAGTTTCATTTCTGAAGCACTTCACTCAAATTTTCTCATAATTTTCTCCAAATCTCTCAGAGTGAAAAATTTTTAAACACGTTGAACTGCTGTGTCTGACACTTTTTTCTATTTTTGGTCAACCATTGTACTAACAAAATCCATATCTCTCGAGTAATATGATAATTACCGGTGGTCTAATACGAGCTTTGGAAGATTTTCAGAAAAAAAATTTCATGTAATCATGGAACTTGAATGCATTTTGAATAAAATAAAAAAGCACACGTTGACTGCAGAGTTGCAGGGAAATTTCGACAAAGAAGTACTTAAACCCCCTATAAGAACCGAAAAGTCGAGCTTCATCAAACTCAATTCAGGGGTTGAATTGCGATATCACAGAAATAAAGGAACACGTAGGAATGTATTAAATACTACTGTCGTCGTCGATCACGACGAATGGACGGCAAAGTTGGCTCTGGTTGCCGGTTTTCAGGATCAATCCACTGCTTTTCCATCTGAAAAAAGAAGAGATTTTCTTCGTAACAGAGTAGCTTGTTTGTCTTCAGTTTCAGTCCTCTGTTTTCTAAAGAGATCCTATATGCTTTTTCATTTCATACAGGAGTGGGAAGCCAAAGCTGCCAGTTGGTTTTCTCCGTCTTTTCTATGATGAGAAATGATATTTTAATATGTTATAAAATAGAGAATTTCCCAAGCTTTCAAGCAGGAGTAGTTTTATAATCTTTATGAAACGCACAATGTCAAAACGAAGCTTTTTTTGAAACGACAAAAAAACAAAAAAAATTTAGGTTGAAAATATTTTCAACTGGACACGTATTTTGCTCATATAAAGGCTCAGTTTACCCTCTTTGAATGGGCTTTATACGTTTTCGCCCAGTTTATCGGTTCCTTTTCTTGGATTTCACCTCGTTTGCTCTTGATATTCTTTTTTGCTCGTGCAGCAGGCGTCTCTTGCGTGTTTCGAAGTAACCAGAAAGTACGCACAGAATATTGATGTTAAGAAGGCAAAGACAAAGGTGAGTGACGCCGTCATGTGGATGAAGCTGGCGATGCCCAGTCTTTTCTGGATTTTGAAAAAGGTGGAGTCCCTTCATGAGCTTCATACCAAAGGTCTTCCTGCTTCTTCATATTGCGTCTCGTCAATTGAAGGCTCCTCTTCCTGCGATTTGTTAAAAGCGAACATGTAGATGACGTCTCCCATGATGGAACAAGCACTTGTCATGAAGATGGCGACGACGTAGAGCAGCGCGTTCGGCGGGAAACAGGGTGAACAAGAGCCAATCAGTATTCCAATGCCGCCGAAGACGAAAGTGAACACGGCGAAGAAGATAACGCCCTTGTGGTGAGCTGAACTTCATCGAACCGTCTCAAACGATGCCGCAACAACTTACGCAGAAATCTATGAAGAAGTAGCTCTCTGGACGCTTTGTCGCCCTTGTCCAAGGCTACTCTAAGCGTCGCTCGGACAGTCGGATCCAACTTGCTGTCACAGCGATCTCCTGAACTCGAGATTAGAACCTTGGATCGATAACAGAAGACCTCTTTGCTCGGCCTGCAGCTCATGCAGAGGGATCAATGTGTTGTGGTGGACTATACAATCCCACCAGAGTCCGTGTTGGTGGGAAAGATGCTCCCGCGGAAAGTCAACCACCTGGGAGACTTGGATATTCTTAAGTTTGAGAAGGATTTTCCCATTCATTGACCTTTATCGCCAAGAGATGGCTAGTCATGCGGAAAACCTTTGTTTTATCATCTACGTCCGCATTATCTTATAATTGAGTTACATTTATTCTCTTTTCTACAAATGTATGACATGGGAAAATAGAGTGATCCTAAACTCCAATTAATACGTAGATAGCCTAATGAAAACTACATTCACTCAGCAAAAAACAGATATGGAGCGTGTATGTTGGGCAGACCTCCCATATCGGGCTGAAAAGGCTGAAGCCGGTGAGAAGGACTCCGACGACGATAAGAAGTATGGAAGTGATGAGCAAGAGCTTGTACATGACGAGCGCCATGCATTGACACAAGCTCCGAGCACGCGAAAGGGCCCTTAATACCTTTTTAGATGAGGAATTCGATGGGCAAAAACGTGAAAATGCCGCCGAATCCAATTATGAGAACAAAAGAGCTTCTGGCAGGGAAATCATGCGTTTTTATTCCACTCAAAAACAAAGTAGAATCTGTAGAACAAAGAAAATAAGAATTATATATAAAATTGAGCATACAATGAAGGGAAGTAGTTTTGCCTTTCTTTAGAATGAACTAATCCAATAATCTTTGGCCTTGTGTTCCGGCTTTTCTTTGAGACTTTTCTTATTGCTGAATATACTTTCGGTCAAGATGTTCAAATGAGAAGCGAGAAAAAGCGGAAAGACAAAAGAAAATGGAAGTGAAATGCGTCGATTTGGCTCTCAAAATCTGTTTGCTCAAAGAATCGCATGTCATCCGAAGCCTTGGTCTCGTATGGCAACCCATGTAAAATTCATTTCACGTTCTTCGGCAAAAAAGGAACGGCCATCCTTCAGACTCTAACAAAAGCCGCCCAAAACAACGCAAATCAACCCTCATTTTTTTCCATGTTTTACTTGTGTGGCCAAATATATTCAAGGAATTTTACGGAGTCAAGAAATTTTTTTTTCTTGAAAGTTTTTTTTTACCGATTTGGAAGCTCTAAGCAAATCTAAGCAAAGATTTCATAAAGAAAATTTCAACTACTCATTTTCCTTGATTCCAACGAATAATACGAACGTTTAACTCTGCACAAAAACACTAAAGGCAGGGTCGAAAACAATAGAGATGAGAGCGCAGTTGAGAATTCTTCCTCTTCTGCATTCTGAATACACTACATCCAAATAACTGGCTTCTTTTTGGGTGAATATTCCCATTTTATTTAAAAATTTGAACAATAAATTTTTGCCCCAACCTTTCAAACCAAAAGTAATTCAAAAATAGTTACGAGTTTCTTTACTAAAAAAAACCCTTATCGCGCTCTAAAAAAAAAGATTTTTTTTCTCCAAAAGCAATTAGGAAATATGCTCAAAAAGCAGTACATCCATTATAGGGAATTTGGACGAAAAGCGACACACAAGTCTTTCAGAGAAAAAAGCACATGAGCAACAAAAAAGAGGCTCTCCAAGTTTGAGGGCAATTTAATTTGAGAGCAACGCAGTTTTTTTTCTGAAGGTCAAACGTGAGGAGTGAAAAGTCAAAGATATCAAAAAATATCTAAAAATGATATCTCCGTAATGTCAATATTTTATTAAATAGGAATTATTTCTGTTTAAATCAATTTTAGGCTGAACTCCAGCGATTTCAAGCTATTGATTTGAACATAAAGATCTTAATGAACTTAGTGAAAAACATTTAGAATCTTTCAAAAACAGCTCATCTCGTGAGGTGCTCCTAAACTTGCTCTATGAGTTTGAGTTTAGCTATCAAGTGCATTCATGCGAGAAAAATGAAACTAATGAAGGAAGAGGAAGTGGAACGCCTTTTTTGGGTAAAAGTTGAGGGGGTTTTTGGAAGAAAATGATGGAGTAGGTGAGGAGTGGAGGCGGGGCTTGTGGTCTCGTGAGAATTCTTGCAGAGGTTCTTCTCGTTTTGACCGCAGTGTTGCCAGTTCCATGCAAATTAGCCCGCACTCTTTCACTTTCTCATCGTGTCTTTTGCCTTTTTCTCAAAGGCTCAGATATACTATTAAAACAGACTCTCACCAGAAATCGGAGCATTAAAACGTCCTTTTAAAGATGTCAAAAATCGGCGTAAAAGACGGTTTTTGTAAGCTCTCGACCACTCAAAGAGCTTGGAGAGCCTTTGTGGCCAAAAACGGGTTCAAAATACAGATTTTCTTGAATTTCGGTCAGTTTTGGAGCTTAGAAACAGTTCAAAAAACATCGTTTTCCTGCGGTTATTTTAGACTCTGTCCCGCTCGAAACAGAAGGAAAACTCTGATAAAAAGCAAGTATATTATTATAAAAAAAGAAGAAAAAGTCGAAAAACTTTGATGAGAGCTGGGTAGATTATATTTAATGACAACCATAAAGTTTTTTTTCTGCCGGGGGTTGCTTTTGTTTTGATTAATGAGAAGAGTCGAGAAGAGCAGCTGTGAAAAACCAAACTTTTAGTTATATTTAATCTTTTCCACAAATAGTTTTCTTATATTATTTTCCTTATTTTCAAGTTGAACGAAAAATCATAGCGGAAGTGTCAAAAAGGAAAAGTCTTGGCTAAGTGCATGAGACCTATAAGCCAAAGTTTCCTTTTGAAAAAGTCGTGCTCCGAAACGGACATGGTTGGATAGCTGTACTTTTATGCTTGACTAGACCCAGAAGTTTTTAGGGAAAGTTTGAAAAATAAGAAAAAAATAGAGTGGAAAGTGGGCTTGGCAGACCTTTGTTTTGTTTTGCTCACAGTTTACTGCTTTTAGAACAATTGAGCTTTTCTATCATTGAATTCTAAAATTGCTCAAAATTTTCGTAAGTTAATGATTCGAGCACATCCTAACTAGTAAAATTCGTAAGTAAAGACTAAATTTTTTCTATCAATTTCATTTATTTTTTCCACAACTTTTTAACGACATTAGAGTTATTGAAAAAAAAGTTGCGCCTTCTACATCTTGTGAGGAAGTTTCGAGGTATCTGATCGTCTCATGAACGAAAGCTTTTGTTAGGAATTGTTTCTATCAAAATAGTGAAAAAGAAATAAATGAGTTGGCGAGTTAGACAGCGGAATAATCAGGAGAGGAGACAAAAAGCACTGTGAATTCGCTAGAGACTCTGGAGGCGAAGGATTCTCGGCTGACAGGTACGCCCTTTGGATCGGAGCTCGTTCCCTATGCATTCGCTCCGGCCCAAGGACATTCTGAGTAATGTCTTGCGTATCGCTGGATTTTCTGTCTGCGTGTGATTGGAAAGCGGCGATAGATCGCAAAGTAACTTTTAGTATATGGATAAAAACCGATTTTTGATCCAGTCAGACTGCGCTCACATCCAACAGTAGCCAACAAAAACTTGACCTACACTACGGATTTTTATTTTGTGAGAAGCTTTTTCAACGCAATCAATAAACGTTCAAAGTAAAACTAACCATGTTCGTTAATAATATCAAAGTTACATTGGATTAAAAAAAAGAACATGCTAATAAATTCTTTTATCCATAACCTTGACTTCCCACTAGCGATTCATACGAATCGGCTGCGCAGTCTGCGCAGAAAATTAATCGGAAGCATTCGGCTACCAAATACCTCGATTCCCTCACCTCATTCATCTTTTTGGCTGACAGGTTTCTCGGCCAAATCAACATAGGCTTGAGTTTATTCACGTTGAAGATCATTTTTAAATCAAAAATTGACTTGTTCAATAAAGCCTGAAGAGACTTTACTGTCCTAAAAGGCGATATTTCATACTTTCAATTTTCAGCCTCCCACCATGATATTCCCATAGACCGAATGACCTAAAAATAACATACGAAATGACTTGGAGAGGTAAGGAAATAATATCAAGGAAAACCCACGCTGCAATGAATCACAATGTCAAAGTTTGTTCGAATGAAGTAAATCTTATAATCGGAGGCCCACTCCCCTTCATCGCTCAATTTTGTTTCGTGAAATAACGTCCCTTATTTCTTTATTGTTCCCTTTGCAGAATTTATTCAAAGTTTAAAACTTGTAAAAATGAACGAATGTTTTTCTTTTCTCTTAGATTGTGAATCTTACACATTCAAACAACAAGAATAGAATGAAAGTATTTATTTTCCAACTTCAACAAACTTTCATTTCAATCTACTCCAAGCAGAAATTCTCAGGTGTGAATGGAGGATAAACGGAAAGGAGAAGCTTCAGAAAGGAGCTTGATGATTTACTTTGACTTTTCTTTCACTCATCTTTCTCTCAAATACTTTAACGATATGTGCTCTGAAAACTATTTTTTCGGTTTTTAGTTTTCATGTCTAGTTCCTTCGAGCTGAGAAATATCTAAGGTTAGCCTCGCCAATTCGTCTTTGAACAACTACCTTGGGGAAAAAAACTAGTAAACATGTAACTTGCAACTTTCAGTAAAACTGTGGGAACCTCTAGCTTGAGGTACTACTCTATGACAAAAATAGCCAACGTGAGAAAAAAACGTGACAAAAAGAATTAGAGAAAAAAATTGAACTTTTTAGTTTTTTTCCTATTTTCATGATCTGACAATTATTATTATTTTTCAAAAAGTTCCTGTCATGCTTCTTTGCGTCTTAGACAGAAATTTTGAGAAAAAACTCATTTTTCTTGCGTTTCCTCATTTTTTGATTCATATTCTGTTTGTTCAAATTTTCTCCCAGGAAACGGAACTTTTTACCTGATTATGTCGAAATCTTTAATTAAATTTTTGTCTACTTCCGTTGCGCCTAGATCTACATCTGAACCGATGACGATAACGTCCTTGGACGAGTGGGCTTCCGACTGTCTTCTGAAGTCGTCAAGTCTTGTCGCAGCCGAGAGAAGGATCATCATCGGCGTTTGTATCCTCATCGTCTCCCTTTTTTCGTTTCTCATCAACTTTTTCCTGATCATCGCCATCCTTTGCCGTTGGACAAGTTTTTCTAAGCAGGTTTAATAGCTTTTCGAAGAATTTTTCAAGAGTTGATTTCAGATGTATGCCCACTTTGTGCTCAGTATGCTTTTCGCTGGGTTACAGTACACCTCTGTCAATTTTTACGTTTCGATTCCTTGCGCCTTCACGTATTGTTCTTATATATCGTGAGTCCCACTAAAAATGTCGAAAAATAAAATACTACATTTATAACTCTAGAAGAAATCTTGAGATTTTCCAAAGACCCTCAAAACAGTTTGGTCAATCTTTCAGGGAAAAATATCTTCAATTTTTGAAAGTCTATAAAATATGTTTTGCAGGAGCGATTCTCTGATGGTTGCACTGGCCACTCCAAATACACTTTCTTTCTTTGCCTATTTATTCGCAGCTTTCGCCTTTTCAGTTTTTCGATTTGCTTGTTTCATTTATAACAAACGTTCTTGGGTCGTTTTCCAGAAAGTGAGCTTGAAAGCCTTTTTTGCATATCCCTGATCACTTTAATTACAGGTTTGTTTGTACCTCCCATGGGTTCTGGCAATACTCATCGCTTTTTACACGACTGCCAATGGATGCTACAAAAGATACAATCGATATGCTCTGGAGTACACTTACAACTGCTCAGCTTGCAATTTATTTTGTTCGTTCTATTTTTATGATCTATTTGTCAAGTCTGAATTTTCAGTCAGTTTCAATTTCATGGACTTTAACTTTTACATCGGACAAGCTCTACCTCTGATAATGTTTGGGCTTTATGGTACCATCGTCGTCATGGTTTACATGTCGCGAAATTCCTATGCAAGTGTCCGGGGAACACAGTTGAAAGACGCCAAAAATGGTATTTTTTTCTGTTCTAGTAGTTTTCTGATAGTCGACTCAGTTTTTTTTAAAGTTCATCTTCTAATTTTATGAAATAATTTCGATAAAAGACCTTTATTGAAACTTTAAATAGTTAAAAAAACACAGGGAGACACAGGAAAAAAAAACAAGTATCAACAGTGTATTCTAAGTTCGCCTTTTCATAAAAAATTTCAGATGAGATCTACTAGCTTTTGAAGTTTTCCAAGCTTCGGGTATTGGCTAAACTAATAAAATATGTGAAAGTCGTTTTGCTCCATAAGAAAATTTCATATTGCACACGTGTTTTTTTTTCAATTACCCGCCTGTTTACTACCCTTCAAAAAAAACTTATCAAAAGTTGTGCACATAGACATGAAAACATACTCAGTAAACACTTTTTTTTATTGTGAAATGGAATATGGAATGGGGTCTCTCAGGTGCTGATTTTCCTTATGAAAAGGATTTTTTGCAGGCTTTGCAATATATCCTGATCTGTACGGCGCAGTACCTGGCGTGTCTTCTCTTCTACATGGTTCCACGACTGGGCCGCGGTCATCCGGTCGCAGTCACCCTCATGAACACGATCGGCTCCATCAACGTCGCGCTCAACCCCCTAGTGCTCATCCTTTTCAACACGCAAATGCAAAAAGCCTGCGCTGAACTTTTGAGAGACTTTGGAATTTTCAGAAATAAACCCAAGTTTAGTACCGTCGCTGTCACTCCGTCTTTCATTCGTTCCAACTCCCGAGTATCACGTTAAAAATGCTTCGACCATTTGAAAATTTATTTTTGCAAAGTATACTAATAAAATCATCTCCTAAACTCATTTTAAAGGATGTTGATGTCTTTTTGAGACCCAAACATTTTTACTGTTTTGCCATTCTTCAATATGCCGAACTTTATATCTCCCAAATCGCAGTTGTCAATAAATGGAAGATTTTAAAATTTCCTACAAAGTAAGTTATAGTGAAACACTTTGTGTAGTTTCTGTGCAAAAAATATTAGGTAGTTTTTTTTGTTTTGTTTTTTTTTCAGTTTTTATAGTAAACGCGGAAAAAATCGTTTTCACAGTAACTTTTTTTTCTGTTGTTCCTATAGGCCATTCCTCGCAAGCTTGTCACATTTTTCTTTCCGTCAAAAGGCTAGGTCAAATTTAACCAACTTTCGCTTCAAGACCTTTGTTTCTTGCCGTTATAAAAGCAGAAATTTGATCTAATTCGGTATACTCTCTTTTTGGCGGGAAGAAAAACATGACAAGCTGGCGCGGAATAGACTATATAAAGTTTTGACCGTCTCGCGCGGAACGCTATGAGTAAAATTTTTATTGAACCTCAGAAGAAGGAGCAATTTGACTTAATTAATGAACTTTATTTCCAACCTCTGAACATCGCAGATGTTCTGATGCGAAAAAAAAAATGATGACGTTTTATTTACAATTTGTCAAACAATAGTCGTTTTCAACGAGTTTTCATACCGAATTCGCGCCTCCGACTTGGACCTTAAGAATTTTGGTTTTTCTAAGACATTCGGGGACAAAAGTGAAGGAAGCCGTCGGAGCTGTCGATGCCGGACTTCTGAGTAAGGACACGTCGGCGCCTCGATCGCCGTTTCGCGCACTTCCGTGTACTCGCCCAACAAACTGAAAATTTGAGTTTGTTACAGAATTTCGAATAGAAAAAGAAATGAATACTAAATAGGAAAAATAAAGTTCGTTACAAATTTATGAATAAAGAGAAATGATCATATAATTATAGAATTTTCACAATTAAAACGTAAACATATCACATTACAATATATTCAGTAATTTTGACAGAATTCTGAGCTTTTCGATTCATTATTCAAAAAAACTACCAAGCACTATCCGCAGAATGATTGGTTTTGACTTGATGTATGAGTCGGGGCGTCGACGGAATGGATCTCGATGTTCCTTCGAAACCTTCCCGCGGCTTCTGCTCCTTTTCACTTTCTCCTTTGTCCGTCTGGAAACATCTTCATCCCATTCAATACTTTTCGAAGATTGCAACAATCTGGTTGGCGGGAAACCGCTGCATGACCGCGTCACTGGAAACGGTGGAGTCGCTCTTCGTTTGGATTCTCCATGGAGGACGACCGACTTCAGCCGCCGATTGGACACGTCCGAGTACGGTTTTCGACACCTTGATTTCTGTTCTCACTGGCAGAGGCTGAAATGAAAAAGATTCCTCTTATTCCGATGCCGAAAACGGACGGAATGTGAATTGACAGCCTTGCTCGAAGCGAACATTTTGTCTGTCATGGCGACGGCGAAGAAACTCCAAGCCGAGGGAGCCTGTGGATACGCCCGTATGCATTCTTGCATGAACATCACCTGTGTTCTTCGGATCAAATATCAGTTGTGCAAACTTCAGAAGTAAAAAATAAACAATTGTCTGACTCATTCTTACTTCCATAAAAATGAAAAATTTTTACCAAAAAATTTTTTAAGAATATCTTTTAACTCTCTTTCCCAAAAAAATTAATGCTCTGGTTGCTAGGCTAATCTAATACAAATGACGGCGGATGTTTTTCAGGGGCGATATTCACCGAATATCAGTTTTCTCATTTCCCGTAAAATATTGGACCACCAACCTCAGCAAAGCACTCTCCAAACACGTTCCACATGCTGCGATCAAAGCCTAAAGGTCCTAGACGGCAATGAGCGGCTCCTGGAATAAACACGAAATCGAAGAATAATTGAGAGAAACATAGGATCTCTTTGCAACGGATTATTCGGAAAATTGTAAAAATTATTCTCTAAAACCTTATTAATTAATCATTCTGACCTGTCTTCTACTCTTTATTCTTACTGGCGAGGGTATAGAAAAACTGGATCATCTACGCCCACATCATCGAGAAAAAAGAAAGGAAAAATCCGATTACTTCACTTTATCGAGAATGGACTATACAATGGAAAAAAAAAGAAAATTTGGACTTGCCCGTTTTTATAAAGGAATTAAGGAAAATTCACTCTCTTATCGCTAGAAGGCAACTTTTTTTTTTGTTATCCAGGCAAATAATTAATGTTTCTTTTTTTCACGTAGAGGCCACACCTATCATATCCGGATCGTAAGGAGCATTTTCCAACGGTCCGTCGAACATGACATGTAGAACGTCATCAATAAGCTTGATAAGGATGTGAGCGTGGTCCCTGAATCTCGCTATTAGAAGTGACGATTTTTCTGAAGATAGATACCGAATCGTGGCTATTGAGCCACTGCGAACGACGCCGCTCTTGCGGTCCTCAATACACGAGAGGAACGCAGACTTGTAGAATATTGAATTGACGCCCGGCGCCTTGTCGCAGAGCATGTTCAGCACCTTCTCCATAATGTGCAAAGTGCCTCTTCCCGACGTCTTCGGAGCTTCTGACAGCCGTCGCCAAGTCACTTTCAGAGCTCGTTTCTGGAAAAAAACTTTTTCTTTTACCGTCGGCCATCAAAACTTAGAAGCAAATGATTTTGTTTCCTTCAATTTCAACTGATCATAAAAAAAACTCGATTCAGTTCTTGGTTACTTTTTTGCGAATCGGCGCTAATTGAAACTGTTTTCAAACTCTATAAAGTTTCTGTTGCCCAGACGCGTGTTCATTTAGGTTTGGGTTTTTCATTTTTCTTATGAGAAAAAAATTGACGTTGAATAGATACCACCTGGGCGTTAATTTCCACATTTTGGAGCAGCCTTTAGGTTAGTCAAAAGGGTTAGAATTCATGAATGAACACATTTTTCTTGTGAGATGGAACTTGTGAGGAAAAAGGGAAAACCTGTAGATCGGAGAGTTTGAACGATAGGTAATGAACAAAATCGTGAAGACGATCTTCCGATTTCTGGCCATTTCGAAGCCGTTCGCGTCTTTGCGCCGGAGAAGGACAAGGCGCCACAGGAAGCGAAGACCCTCAAATTGGGATGGATCCATAGATTTTTTTTTTAAATGTTTCTCTCATTTTTCTAATTGTTCTTCAAGACTTTCTCTGTGACGGACTTACCCAAAGCATCGTCAATGTCCTTGAACTCTTCGTTCATTTCATGAATGAGCTTCTTTCTTTGAATCGCTTCTTTGATGCGCATCATTTTCTGAAAACTCAATGACGGGTTCCCTTAAAAGCATTGAGCGAATGAAGGAATATGAAACGAATGACAGAAATAAGTTCATTTGAAGTGAGCTTGCTGGAAGTAAGTTTTTAAGTTGAAGAGCACGAACTCGTCCACGAGAAAAAAAAACTGACGCAATTATGGAGGAAAAAGTAATTGAGAGAAGCGAAATTAACGACATCCGATCAAGTTACAGCTTGGCATGTGGCGAACAGCCTTCAAATAAAAAAAAAAGAAAAAAAGTACTTTTGACTATGAATGCTGCCACAGGAGGATGTTTTTGGGAAGCAACGGCTGCGATACTGGTTAATTCGTGTTCGGATCAGGTTTCCCATGAGTTTACTTACTTCAAAACCCGTTGCATGGATTATCCACCGTTGTTAGGACTTATCACACGACTCTAATTAAAGGCAGAACTGGCGACAATGCCTTTTTAGGGGCGGCGCCTCGAAATCTGCCGACATCGGAAAGGTGTGCCTTCATGCATTTGGAATCGCTGCTTGATAGATACGACCCGATCGTCGGCCCACACTTGAATCTTTTCCTCTTGGAATGCTCTATAAATTCGCGACGTTAACACTTTGAATACGCAACTTGAGCCGTCTGGATTTTTGAACACATTTTATACCTCAAACATGTCACATAACAAAAAAGACTCCAATATCAGTTTAGTTCATTATCTGAGCGTTTCCGGTTGAAAAACTTTTGTTTTCAGATGCAAGTAAAAACTGGAAAGTTATGGTAAGAAAACGTGACTCACTTTTGGCCAAATTTTCGAATTTAACTACTTCCATAAGGGGGGTTGAGATGCCCCAGAAAATACGAGATTGAGGAAGGTGGTATAAAAAGTTGCCAACCCATAGAAATCCAAACCAGACAAATTTGTTCGTCCCACTCAAAAATGCGTGCTTTAAAGTTTTTCGTGGATTATCTTACTATTTCCGCACTTACCAAGCGAATTTTCAAATTGAAAATAAAAAAATAAACAGAAGAACAGTCAAAAAAAGTTCCCGGAAGCTATTTTGCATTGAAAAGGAACATTTTGTTGAGGGAAAAGGATACCAAAAGTGGAAATTCGAGAAAGCTGTGTCTCAAGGCTGGCAAAAGCCCCATTACCCCAAAATGAGAAAAAAAAAACCTGGGTGTTTAAAATATGTTCAGTTTTCCCATGTTACAAGAAACGGAAACTTGATATTTTCATTTAAATAAAAAGTAGAGCTTTTGCCCTTCTGAACTGAATGTCACTGAATTCCTCCATGTTATTTGAAAACAATGTGCAATTCCTACAAGTCTCTCCAGTTTGTTTTCTTTTGAAAAATATTTAAAAAACCCTTTTCAAACGAGAAACTCGAAGCAAAAACATGTGCAGTGTCTATTGTTTCGGTTGTCTTCAACTCAAGAGAAAAGACTTTATTGGAGCGGATTGTAACAACGAATTCAATACATGGCTTTGTTTAGGGCGTCGAATGGAAACCAAAACACGTTGCTATGCATTGAAAATCTTCCGCCTTCTATCGCAATCCTCTCAAAATGTGTTTAGGAAAGGAAAGCTCATTTTAATGGCTTTTTTTTCTCCATAGCAAAATAGTTTTTTTGCCTACGGTTGTATGTTTCAAACGAAGGACGGTAGCGACAAGGCAGACTCACCAGAAATTTTCAACCTCACAGGTCAAACTTGGATCCTCAAGGATCCACTTGCAGACATGGGCGGAACTCCGCGTTCCGCGCTTTTTAGAGTTCCGCAGAAGAAAAAAAAAGTTTATTCGGCATATCCCAATTTAAACATTTAGTTCCGCCAATCTCTGGAGGTTAGCTCTGTCGATTTGTCTATCCACACCGTCAGTCAATAAACAGGATTCGCTGTTCCATAGCTTTCGGTTGATCATTCGCTATCACACTTCTGAACCTCCAAGAGCTTGAGCAAATGAGGATAGCGTTGGGATATTACAAGAGTGCACACAAATTACATGGTATTGAGAAAAGAATTGACTCTGTAAGCCATTTTGGACTATCTGGGCGCCGTACTGCGGAAAACGAACCCTCCAGGTTCAAACCCAAAAGAATAATTTAAACATTCAAGTTGAGTTATATATGTGGTCGTGAATGTTTTCAAAAACTTTGACGGGAAAATTTTACTCTAATATCAAAATTTGAGTGAATCCGTGGTTCGCAGATTCGCTCATGGTGCATGGCAGCATATTCTTTCATCCTAACTTCGGCAATTTTGTCATCGAAAATGCCCAATAAAAGCTTTTTGAACAATTTAAAGAAGAAATTGCCTTTATAACATTTGAGTAAATTTGAAACTGACTAGATTTTGGAGGAATCTATTTCGAACACAGCATTAAAAATTTAAAAAAACCTCAAAAAACTAACTTGATAGATTTCAATTGAATCAATCAAGTTTGGAAAAAATCTTTCTGTTAAAAACTTTTTAAGCTTGATCAAGTTTAATTGAAAATCGAAAAAAATGGGTAGTGCTTTATAAATAAAAAAACCTTTTATAGTTTTTTGATATTTTATCTTTAAAAAAAAGTAAAACTCCCGACGAAGATGGAGAGCCACACAGTCAAACCCTCAAACTGAGGGAGTCGCCGGCCGGCCAGACTTTGTTATACGGTGATCTTCTTCTCTGCCCACACGATGGCGCTAATGGCGCCAAAAAGGTTTTTTTTAAATGTTTTTTTAAATTATATTTTTTTCTCTTTCTGTTTTTTTATTCATATGAAACCGCATATCCGAGTTGTGTTTTAATTGTTCATCTTGAAATTGCTCCTGCCTTCTTTAATTTATAGCTTTGTTCAAAAAAAGAAAGAATTTCAGGTTTTCTCGGACAGCTATTGATAAGGAGGGACCGAGTGCCATTTGTTTTCATGTTCGATTGGTTTTTCCCGACTTTCTCAGCGTAGTCAACTTTGCTGACAAACACAACATGAATAGCGGCGATAATGCAGCCGGCCTCAGTTTCGGTCTGGCTGGATCAAAAAAATCGGTTAAAAAAATTTTTTTTTTCTTTCAAGATCTATCAAATTAGGTCAGATTTTTGATAAAAATTATTCTCTATGTCATAAATTATTCAGGCGTTTACGATTGGTAACTACAAATCTTTTCCGTTACGAATTCCGTTTGATCCATCAGTCAACTTCAACTACTATTCCAACCAAAAGAGTCTCGCTAAGCATTGCGACATGTGCTTCCCTCTGTTGCAGACTTCGCAACCTACTCAAGGATTTTACATGGATTTACTCCAGTTTTCAAGTGTATGAGAGAAAAATCATCGAATTTGAGTAAAATGATTTTTCCAGTACAATGGGAAGTCATATCCTTTATATGAAGCCGAAAAAGCCTTGTTCGAGATTTTTTTCTGACCTGAGGTATGTTTAATAGTTTTGAGAAATATATATTCAAAATAAATATTTCTCTCATATTCAAGGTATACAATATCCACTCCACTGCCGCACACTTATCCATCAGTGCGCGACGAAGTTTTTTCGTCAAAAAGGTTTTTAATTAATTTGCTTCCGACAAGAATGTTGAGAGTTCCAGAGTCAGTGAAGCAATCGAAAGGGTTGGAAACGATGCTTCAAAAAAGTCGGTGCGTAAAAGAGCAATGAGCTTTTTCTTCGAAATTCGCGCTTCCTTATCGCGTTTTGTCTGTAAAATATGTGCCTACATGCTTTACAAGGTGAGTAGAAGTTCAAGTTTTAAAAAAAATAAAAATAGTTCCCAGGTTTTTCGACGTCTCATGACGAAGCTTCTCGTTGATCCCAACGAAATTTCGCGCGTTCAGGAGGCTGAAAAAGTAACTTTTTTCAGGAGTTTCTAAGACGTTAGTCACTTTAGACGGGTGTTCCACTTGTATACCTGCCACTTCACAAAAGTCATATGGATTACTTGCTCATTACCTGGTGCGCGTGGCATTTCAACCTCCGTTTGCCACATATCGCTTCGGGCGACAATCTGAATCTTAGCGGATTTGGGTTGGATTTTATCTCACTTTTTTGCTTGAAATGAGGCAATGATAAAACAGAAGGCTCAATTAGATGATGCAAAATTGTTTAGTACTGTCATTTTGAAAAGAAAATGTTCACTTTATTTTATTTTTTCAGTTGGCTACTTCGCGCAACGGGAGCATTTTTCATTCGGCGACGTATCAACCCGAGTGACGAAGGAGGAAAAGATGCACTTTACCGGTTCGATTGATAAGCAGTTTTTATTTACTTTTTTCAGGAATGTTCTTTGTGCTTTTTTTCGCGCGCAGGTTTTATCGACCTCAAGATTTTTACAGGGCTGTTCTGCACTCTTACATCGAACAGCTTTTGAAGAAGGGCATGTCGATCGAGTTTTTCCCCGAAGGAACTCGGTTTCGAAAGCATTGAAGCGTAATCGCAAAGTTTTCTTTCTATAGGAGTCGGTTTGGTAAAGCTTTGATGCCAAAAAACGGGTTGATTTCAAACGTGGTAGAAGCTGTTCAACAAGGTTTGCTGGGAATCCTTGCTGCTCAAAGATTTTATTTTCTGAAGGTACGATAAAAGATTGTTATTTGGTTCCTGTGGCATACACCTACGACGCCGTCTACGAAGGAATTTTCTTGAACGAGTTGATGGGACTCCCCAAGGTCTGATGGGGACACAAGAACTTCTGAAACGACTCTTTTGCATGTAGGAGAGAGAAAGTCTGATGGGTGTGGTGAAAGGAGTCTTCAAAGGGTTCAGTCAGCCCGGCCGCTGTGGCGTCGTCCGCATGCATTACGGCCAGCCCTTCCTTCTCACGGTACGACTCTCTTACAACACTAGAACGCGGAAAAACAAGACGAATCAACCTTTTGATGAAGTAAAGGCACTTGGGAAATCTGTAACAGTATGCCTTTTCTGAAGACTCGGTTTTGTTTCTTATCAAAGATAATGATATAGATCATTAATCGCTGATTTGAGGTCATTTTCATGTAGGGTCCTAACACTATTATCGTAAAATGTGCCAAAAGAAATGGTTGAGGTAGAATCGTAGAATTTTTTGACACATGACTACTTTCAGCTGCAGGAAACATCTCCAGATTAGCAATCTCTTTTTTTTTTTTCAAATTCTCACAAATTCGGACTTTACCTGTATCAGTCACAGAGACATAGGCGGAACTTTTCAGACAGAAAAAAGACAATTTCCCATCTAGTTTTAGAATTGGAAACTGTCGATTGTAGAAAGAAAAGTTTTCACAATTACATGGTGTGAGCATACCAAGAGTCCAAGAGCATATTTTCTTCACGCAGTTTCGAGCGGTTCAGAGAGATTTTGGAGATTTTGTTGCAGAACCTGAAAAAACAAACAAACATGATTAATTTGCTGTAAGGTTGCATGCCCTTCTAAAACAGGCTAAAACGAGCCGACTATGAAAAAGAGCCGTCGCATATATGGAAAACTCAAAGTAGACCAGAACTACATGAAGATCTTCTGAAAGGCGCTTGTCCTGATTGATCAGTTGTAGGATTACCTGATGTCGCTGAAAGATTCGATGTCGGTCTCGCGGCCTGTGCAGTCGGCCTTGACGCGACTGCCCCAGTCGTTCTCCTACCGCGAGCTCGTTCCTTGGCACCACCAGCACTCGGCTCAGGTCGACAACCGCAGTCTCATCCGCGCCATCGGATTCCACTCAATCTACGGTGAGTTCCGTCATGAAGAATTGAAATTAATTGGAGACGGCGAACGAAAAAAAAAATCATAGTACTCTTGGTTTTTCTGAATCCGCTCGGTTCACTTATAGGCAGAGAAAGGTAGAAAGGGTGAAAGATCATAAACATCTTTTTTTTTTGATGGAATGAATTTACATTATAACGAAATCAATTTAGATTCTCAAGTGCTCATGGCCGTTTCCTTAGTTTCCGTGGTTAGCGCCATTTTGTTGGCAAAGTTCAGAGAGGTTGGAAATGCGACCTAAAATCTCATGAAACTATACTCTAGGGTATCGAGTTATCGGTTTTGGCGTTGGACTCGCAATGGCTTTGTGATTTGATATTGGCTGATGGAGGCGAAGTGATGGGCTACAGAACGAATGAAACGAGCGGAGAGGCCGTTGTTCAGGTTATTCTACTGGATTTGTTCTTTTTATACATTTTGAGGGCCTTTGTTCAGTATGCTATCAAATTCATTTCCGATTGTTTGGAATATGGTGAAGGAAACTTTGTTAAGCCTATCGGGTAGTTTTCCAAATTAAGCGGCGACTTTTGAAAAAAAGTCTTCTACAGGAGACACAGGGAACTGATCCATCTCGCCTACAATCGAAACGCTCTTCTCTTCCGATTTGCCTTGAAGTCGGCCCTGGGTAGTTCAAATCGCGATTTTTGTTGCTAAATGCTCGTTTAGCGATAAGTCTGGTATCGCAGCCAAGAAAGCCCCAGGACATTGCCTTGATTGTCGACGACGCGCTCTCCATCTGCGAGTGGATGCAATTCGAAGTCGTATTTTGTCGCGTAAGTTTTGGTTGCGAATCAAGCTTCATCAAGCAATTTTGAAGCCCTGCGAAAATCTTCGTGACCGCGTCTACGAAATACTCGGCAAACACGGCTGGTGCTCTCCGAAAGGCGGTCCTCTGCGTGCCGTTTGGGAAGACGACGGCTTTGACATTGGCGAGGCGCCGCGTTACAATGGCACGGTTGAGGTGTCTTTTCGTTAAAATCGAAGGAGAAAGCTGTAATAATAGCTATAGAGCTCACTGTGACGTTTGTTTTCCTAATTTCCTTGAATTTCTACTTGTCATTCATTGACTCTAAATACAACAGAGTATCATAAAAATTTGAATTTTGATTTTTTCGCTCTTCAGTATCGCGACGAACGGGCACATGACATGATTGTCTTTTTTTCGAACCTTCTACGGCCTTTCCTGCAATCCTTGTACATGTTGATCCACTACCTGGATTCCAACGAGTTCCTACTCAAAGAAGTCGCAATTGGTTCGTGTTCTCTTATTTTTTCTCGTTGAACTAACCTTTTTTTTTCAGAGTCCAAGTTCATTCGGAATTTGTGTCAACGCTCCTTTGAATTTCGCGCCGAATTGCCTTTTGATCCATTCCGTTCGTCAATTTTGATCATTCCTTCATGTCAGGATTTTACAGTTGAGGCCATCAATTCGGACTCTTTTAAGAACGGTCTCCGGATATTGCGGCACAAGGGTTTTGTCAGTCAGGATGAAACAAAGGTAATTTGATAATGTATGAAATTTAAATTTAATTCTACAAGACTAAATGATTTTTGCGGAACTTTTTTCATTGGGAAAAATTGAATTTGAATCTACGAGTATTTAAAACGTCTGATTTGAAATCGTCAATTCTATTGAAGGTCACACGGACTGAGAGGTCGCTTGAAGACGTTTCCTCCAACTTGGAACGAGTTCTTCGCATTTATTAGTCAATTAGTATGAGCCTTTTTTTTCTTCTTACATCTGGTTTATTTAGTTACTCGAACGTGTCGTTCGCTGTTACTGGTAGCTTTTCTTTGCCATGATAATTTGCTTGTTTTTGTTAATGTTTTATCCAGAATTTATTATTTATTACACGTACAGTTTTCTCAGGCATGCATTATTTTTTTTTTCAAAATCTATGAACTACACAATATTAGTAATAAATTTGTGAAGTTTTCTAACGAAGTATTTCACAGTTAGACGGTTTTCTGGGGCAACGGCTGGTATTCGTTGACCTCTACGCGGTCGATGGAAGAAATAATCTGAAGTAACAATTGAGTTTTTTTTTTCATTTTGGGCTTACTCGAGAAGTGAAATCGTAGTCGCCGGGCGTTTCGAAAAAGTCTCCGTCGGCAAAATATTCGGTATCACGGACCTGGTTCCAAATTTTCAGTCTTAGGATGAAACCTAAAATTTCTCGTTGAATCTATAAACTACACAAAATTCTCACGAACCGGTGATAAAGCCAGAAACTACGGAAACAAGAAGGACGATTCCGACGCCGACCAGTTGGTTGACTGCTTGAGCGGAGGCGGAGATGTTCTGACCTTGCTCATCCATTGCTGGATAGACAACCGAGTAGCTTCAAAAAACACGTGTTTTCTTTAATCTAGTCATCGGTTACTCACGTCGTTCCCAGTTCTACCTTGGGGTTTCCGGTCAGAAGCAAAAGAACAGAGACCAGTCCAGACAGTACTCCGGGCATTCCATGAAGGTTATGAACTCCACAAGTGTCGTGAACTCCCAGCTTGTTGGACAAGAACGGCTGAACAATCGGAATCGTTTAGCGAAAGACTAGAATTCAGTTTCCGAGGCTATACAGTCGTCAATTCTCTCATTTTTATATAATCTTGATTCACCGTGATGAGCTTGTAGCCAATGACGGAGATGGTTCCAGCCGCCGCACCGATCAAGAGCGCGTGGTAAGGCTCGACGACGACGTTGGCGACGGTTCCGACAGCAACTCCACCCGCCAACGTCGAGTTGGCAATGTGCACCATGTCGAAACGGCGCTACAAACTTTGAGTTTCACAACAGAGCGACTATTCCTCGACACACATGTTTGTCCAGAGCTTGCGACACGATGAAAGTCATGACGGTGCAGGCGACGAGTGAGAGAAAAGTGTTGGCAACGGCTCGCTGACGAGCTTCTTCTGTGGCGGCGACTGCGGCGTTGAACGAAGGCCAGAAGATCCACAGGAAAACGGAGCCGATCATGGCGAAGATGTCAGTGTGGTAGGTGGAGCCCTCGTTTTCGTGGCCTCTTTGCGGCTTTTTCGCAAACGCCTTGGCGCAGGCGAGTCCAAAGTAGGCTCCAAACATGTGGACGTTGATCGATCCTCCGACGTCGTTGACCTGAAAAATGGAAATAACTTTACGCTTCGGACCAAAAAAGCACGTGAAAGTGATGCAGAACGACGTGTTCGGTGACGATGGCGACAGGCGTCTCCAGAAGGGACATCAGAATGTATTGCATCGGTGAAAGTTTTCCAAGCATGGCACCCATAGAGATGAGGATGACAGCCGACGCAAAATCAGCCGTCAAAAGCCTGAAAAAAAACTTTTTTTTATTTGTCCTGTTCAAGTCTGAGCCATGAGGCTTTCATGAAAATCACCAAACATTAAGTTTGATATTTCGCTGTGAATATGCTGTTTCCAATATTTAGATCAGATGTGTTCCATTGAAGCCATCCTTGACTATAATCTTGATGAAAAAAAAAAATAAAGCTAACTGTTCCAGAGAGATTGTGAAGTGACCATCTTCAAGGGACAAGAAGCCGCGGATGAGCATCGCCCATTGAATGGTGAACGAGGCAAGCAGTAGGTTGATCGAAACGGCCGAGAAGCCGTACCTCTGCAAAGATCTCGCTTGAGTTTCCCTCCTCTTTTGAGTCAACCTTCAAGAAAGTCATGAGGAATCCGAATCCGATGAAAATCATCACGTGAGTGTCTTGGAACACTGAAAATGTTCTTTTTTTCAAACGCAGAAAATGAAATAATAACTTGGATAGAGGCTGGTCATGCGGGCTCCTTCGAGGTCTTGCGGGGTAGCGTCCGGCATCGCCGACCGAGCATATTTGCCGAATTTGGCAAACAGTACAAAAAAAGTTATCTTAAAAAAGCTGTATAAAGTTCCACAAGAAAGAAGAATCTTTGCTCACTACAGTTAGGGACCGCAAGCCACTTCCCTAAAATGTCTCAAAAGTCAAAAATCACCTTTTAATACTATTCGACAGAGGAGACTGTCATTATTTTTTTAAAGCTTTGCACTCCTTAATTACAGTCAGGAAAAAAAACCGGCTCAAAGCTTTGAAAACTTCGTGTTTTGATGAACAAACCTGCAGTAGAAGGAGAAGGACGGTGAACTGGTGAGTCTGGAGGGCTGACCCCATTCTTTTTGGGTTGCTGAAAAACTCGAAAAGTAAGAAATTCGAAAGAGTACATGTTTATAATTGGGAAGGTAATTAGAGGTTATTCTCAAAAAGCGCAGAAAAAGATATAAAAACGGAGATTTGTGAAAATAAGCTCCAAAGATCCAATAATATTTCCGGCTAGTTCGAGAGAAAGAAAAGGTGCAAGATTAAGGAGTCGAAACCAAAAAAGACTAACTTAGTGAGAGAACCGAATGACATTGGGTGATTTGTGTACTAGGAGGCGAAGGCTAATTGAATCATGCAACAGTTTGAGAGTCATAAATCGTATCCGATAGTTTCTCTCCGGCCACGCCTCTCGCGACCACAAAAGGTTAGTTTCTCGGCAAAAATTTTTTCCAATGATATGCTGTACAAACATGTCAAAAACTTTCTCAATCGGAATTTCAAGAATGATGGCCATCTGAATTCAGATTTTCAAATGAAAACCAGACCGTCCGAGAATACTCCTCTTACACCTTTCGTAGGGATGAAATAAATTGTCCGAGTTCCAAGGAAAGTTATTGGAATTATAAAGACCTCTCGGGAGGCAAAAAAAAATAACAAGATTGCAAGCACGCGGCCGATTCCAATGATAAACGCAGAAGACGTTCATTGGCAGCTTACAGCTTATCTCTCTTATCTTTGTAACAACGGTTTTATCGTTGAAATTTAATTGCCTTGGCAGTCTTTCATGGCATTATCGCTAACTTTTCGTTATTCTTGGGGGTAGGAATAAATATTGACCAAACGGGATCATTCTTATCAACAAAACTGCTATCTCAGGCTACTGAAGATCTTGGAGCGCTCTTCGGTCAAGATATATTGGGATCGAAAACGCTTATCTCTATTTGAGTGTTCAAAAGCGCGGAAGTTTTCTATAAGCAACGCTCGACATAACTCGTCGCTTCGAGACTTTTCGAATGTTATGCTCCTTCAAATACCCCGGTAATAATTATGAGCTATGAAAAAGGCTAGAAATTTTTAACAAAAAGAAAGATAAAATACAAACTGAGAAGTCCATTTAAGGTTTTCCTTGACGCCGAGGACGATCCGATTCGAGAAGGGAGAAGACGTAGAAACTGCGGCGATTCTGGGTACTTGAACGACGCTAATGTGGTTCAGCTCCATTGATGACGACACAGCGACTTCAGAAGGGATGCGACAGAGAACGGGAGAAACAAGCGCGAGTCAGGCGGATAGATCAACCAGGAACCTCAGTGGTTTGTAGTAGACTAAAGGGAGAAGGAGCCAATCTCAATATTTGTATTAACTCTGCGCAAATCATTTTTTATACAGATTAGAGCCAATCTGTGACCGATTTCAAGCAAAAGTTGGTGGGCCGAGTAAATATGGGGGTTGCGATGATAAAAATGCAACGTTCAAAATAAAAAAGGGAAAAAATCCGGTCCATCCTTTTGATCTCAGTTGATCTCACACGCGCAATGTTCAAATTAACAAATGACCGAACTACAAAACGGAGTGTTAGGGTGAGCGTTGTAAAAAAGTTCGGTTCAGCAGGAAAACGGTTTAAAAGAAAGACTGCCAGGCCATTTCTTTTATTTTATTTTTCTTCCATCGTTTATTTTGCCAAAGAGTTTGGCATTGAAAATTTCTATTTAATTTTGATGCGATTCTTCTTTATTCAAAGGTACTTGATGCCGCAGCGTGTCTAAATTAGAATTTTTAAGGAACTAGCCTTCCAAAGCAGAAAAACATGAGAAACCGATTTTGAAGGAATCTATCTTGAAAACTTGAGAATTGTACTGGTCAAGATTTTCAGGATTTTATCCAGTGCATGAAAAAATTTAATGTTAAATTTTCTGACCTATCTTAGTTTTCAATGAAAATTACTTCACTCCTCAAAAAGCTCTTCTTCTAAGCCTAGTCAACAAGCTAATAACTAAGCAAAAAAAGAAGCTAGATTCATTGAAATGTCATCATGTACTTGGAAAAACCGTATAAGTTATCTTGAGTTAGATTAAATTAAAAAAATTATAATATATATAATGAGATAAACGAATGGAGAGATTAGAAAAGAAATAGAGTAGGAGGGGAAAGTAAAAAAGAATCTAAACGTTTTGTGTTTAATGATTTTTGGAGATATGAAATGTGATGGAGCTGAAAGGCTTTGCGGTGAAAACGGTTTTCGATTTGAGTCTATCCTTCTTTTCGGTGATTTTGAACATGAAAAGTGTAACTAACTGATCGAATTCGTATTTGGTAGTTCCTTTCGGCATGCTGAGTTTCTCGTTCTTGTCTTGAATGTAGACTCCGTGCTCGCGATAGTCTGGAATTGATTTTTGAAAGTTCATTTGAAGATCTTCAATCCGGAGAACGACCAGCTTTGAAGACTTTTTACGCATCAGACACATTTTTGACCTTGTTAAAATTGTTTACTCTAAACTCTAGAGTAACTGATAACAAGAGAAATTTAACAGCTCTAGTTAAGATACCTTTATAGTCACGACGAGGCATGGGCAAACTGGGTGAGTTTGACTACAGCCCAAACAGAGTAGTAAAATACGAATAAAAAAAGTAGAAGGGCAGGACAAGACAAGTGTTTTTCAACCTTGAAGATTCCCCCCATTCTAATCTGAATACCGTAAAAACAGCCCATGTTTTCGTTTTTCTCGAACTAGAGCATACAGAAGGAAAGCCCCTTGACAGCAGAGTTCGTTTTTCGCTGAGAAGAGCAAATAAAATTCGAAGAAAGGTTGTATGCCATGAAATTCATGATTGAAAAATCACGGGCTTCATCTAACTTTTGGATCTAAAAATTTTCTGAACAAAAATGAACAATTACTACATTTAGCAAAACAATGAGTGAAATGAAACGAAACACGGATTGGCAAACAAACGAAAAGTTTAAAAAAAGAAGATTGCGAAAACTTGAGTTGCAACCGAAACGCCCATGCTTCAAAGTCAAAACTTTTTTCTATTTGTCAGACCATATCTCTGGTCCAAATGAACTGATATTTGCAAGCGTTGAGATAAAGACAACTTTGAAGATTTTGACCAGAAATTACCTTGAGAAGTTGAAGGTGTCGAGTTGGAGGACACCATTTGGATGGCATGGCTGCGGTTTTTCAGATTATCTCCGCTGGAGCTCGAAACTTCCACCATTTTTGATTACCTTCAAAAAGAAAGAATCGAACGTTGCTGGATAAAAAATCGTTGAAAAAGAAACTATACAGCAATTCTCAAATGAAACATGGAAAGGAGAAATGTTCATTAATAACTATAATCACAACATTTTTTTTGTCTTTTCTGAGTGTTTATCTATGGGAAAGATATCCCCCGATTAGCTGAAAGAGGATTTCTAACGCTTTGTAAAGACTTTCATATAAATTTTTTCTCTTTAATGAATGGGTTATATCGAAGGGAAAAAAAGTTGAAATGTTAGTGTAAATGGAGAGTCGGCCATCATAAAATGACCGTCGTGAAATTCAGATGGACTTTCTTTCTCTCTCGCCCAACGGCACGTGGTACAGTGCGAATCGAAAAAAGTTGGTTTAGTCTGAGATGAAAATGAAGTTGATTTTTTGTGATGGTTTGATTTCGGAGACGTTTGGCCGCGTCGAACACCCCATGCGAACCTTCTTGCAATAACTAGTAGTGTAAAAAGCGAAGTCTTCTGATAAAACACGTCTTCACCTTCAAACATCACATGATGAACGGTGAGTTATTTAGTTTTGAGCAGGATATTTCCTATTTTACCTCGCTTTCTCACCAGATAGAATCAAAACCTGCTTCGTCCTAGGACGTTGTAAAAAGGAAAAGAAACTGGAAATATTGAAAATATAACCTTCAATTCAATACAATTTGAAGAAGGAGACCGCAGAGCAAGACTTCTGAAGAACTTTTGTTTTTTGAAGAAAAGGGCTGCTTTGTTCTAGTTTTCAAAAAGTTTTGGTTTTTGACAAAAGGCTGAAAAGGAAGAAAATATGACCAATAAGTTCAACGCACCCACGAAGACTTTTTTGTACTGAAAACTTCGTTTGCCATCTTTGAATAAACGGCGTTCAAATGAAGGTGAACAGCGATGTTCGATTTTTTCCAGTTTGAAGAGAATGAAACGTTGTGAGATGTCATGCAACAAAATTTGTCTCTTGAGAACCTTTATCATCCTAACCCTGATTCTATTATCACAAAAATTCTTCTAAAACGATGAAAGGTTTGCGAAGAAGTTTGCCACGAAACTTTTTGAAAGCTTTTACTTCCATTTTCTGGAAGACGAGGAACCGTTGTGATCGCTATCGTGATTGAAGACTTTTTTTAAATCGAAACAATATTTTCCGTTCTTTTTTCCCATTCTCAAACTTTTTCAATGATTATAGCTCAATAAAAACAGAAAAAAAAGCAAAAAATTTACTTCAAAAAAAAATAGTGATTTGGCGTAGTAAATCTGTGAAAATATAAACCAATTTAGAAAAAAAAATTGCACACAAGCCAATGATAATGAAGCCGTATGTTGGACTGACGAAAAATTTACATATTTTCGGATAAATTTTGAAAGGAAAATCACAGGATTTTCGTGCTTGAAAGGTTCATTATCCATAGTCGCCACCACCGAAGTCGCCGCCACCGAAGTCGCCGCCACCAAAATCGCCGCCCCCGAAATCGCCACCACCGAAATCGCCAGCATTGCCGTAGTCAAGTCCTCCGACTCCATAGTCGTCCCCTCCTTCGTTAGCGTTGCCGTAGTCTGTCAACTTCGTCATTTGAAATGGGTTCACACGTGTCTAAAGTACCGTAGCCGCTGTTGTCTTGGTTGAAGCTGTCGTTGCCCTGCAAACTCACTGTTTATCGAAAGGAAAATGCATCGAGATGCCACTCAAAAACAAAAAGCTTTTTTGAAGTCACAGCCGAATCTAGCAACACCATGCTCAAACCCAACTAATAGCTCTTTGTTATTAAGGCTCGAAACTCATCACTCAACTCGATTAAGCTTCTGATCTTTTTTTACAAGCACACAATATTGCACAACAAAAGGATTCACATCATCCTGTGGAACTTCCTCGGCGGCTCCGTAAGCATTGTCTTCCACACTTAAGTCCCCAATGCCATAGGTCCCATCATCCCCTGTCTCAGCATCTTCAATTCTTCCATCGTCGATCTCATCCTGCACCCGAGCTTGCCACGACGTCAGAAATCGAAATTATTTACCAAATTAGCGTCTCCTGGAGTGTGCGTCGCGTCATGCGTCGCGGCTCCTTCCCCGCCGCCGCCATAGTTGTAGTAGTTATTGGTGACGTTCGTGTCATTGTCCTTGACGTAAATTTGCAAAATTAAATGATTTGCGTGATCACTAACCGAATAGTAGCCTCCGCCCATACCGTAGCCGCCGCCGAATCCACCATAAGACGGAAAATAAGAGTGATGTCCGCCCCACATAGAGCCGAGTCCATAGCCGAGCAATGAACCAGCAAGAAGACCTCCCCCCAATCCGAGTCCCATACCTCCAAGACTACTGCCGCCACCGTAACCACCGCCGTAACCGCCATAGCCTCCACCTCCTGAAATCAAGATTATTTTCCAATTAAGAAGAAAAACACACCGTCTCTTACAATGACCGTCGTGTGCTGTGGCGGAGCTGGACTGTAGCCGCCGCCCCCACCGTATTGTTGCTGCGGATAGCCACCTGGTAATGATCAACGTAATGTTCGATTCTCTTCTTGAGGTAACTCCTGTGAGAACAACTTTGTGGCTCCATAACTACGTATTAACCTCGAAGGCATTCCCCATTTAATAATTTTGACAAGTCTCACCTGCGTAAGGTGGAGGTCCGCTGCCTCCGGTACTAGGTCGATAGCCACCTCCTCCAGCCGGTTGGACTGGAGGAGGTGCGTCCGGATACTTTGGTGGAGGAACTTGAACGTTTTTCTATACATTCATACTCAGAAACACTTACTATAACCACCAGACTGAGACTGCGGCGATCCTCCAGCTGGAGGTCCAGGCGGCGGATTCGGCTTAGGTAACGTTTTGGTGATCTCAACAATCCAAGACCTGCAAAAACCTCGTATAGAAAGATGCAGGCAGAATTTGACTACTCAAGCTCCGAGTCAGACGAGAACTGAAACCAATGAACGGTTTCGGCTCTCGGATCCATTCCGACACCGACCAAATGATGCACCGAATGGCCTTCGGGACACTGAGGCCGCTTGGCTGCAAAGTATACTTCAATAGTATGAAAGAGCCTAAATTTTCCTTTCATTCTTATTATATCAATACAAATAATTTTGCAAAAAACTTCTGTTCAGTATTTTGAATCATTCTACAATTAAACTTTATTTTGCAGTTTTTCCATTCCTTTTATGCGAAAACGATCGACTGAAAACGATGGGTTGATTTTCATCATAACCTTTTTTTTTCTTGTAGACTCTTCGACTTTATAGAAGTCTAAATTCAAAAAACAAAAAAGCCCACTCGGCATGCGGTCGGTCATGAGTCCCACGCAAATGTATGGAACAACGTCTTTCAGCAAAATGCTTCCTTTGGGCTTCCTGTCGCCCTAAAACTTCTTTTCCATCCACAATATGAAGCTTTTTAAGAAACCCTCTCATCGTACCAACACAGCATGGAATCGCTGAAAAGCACCAAGTGGAACTTTTTCCACTTACTGCCCAAAAATCCTGTTTTGTACTTCAAGACATCACCTTCTTTCAGTTTTCGAGAGTCCATATCTAAAAGCAAAATCACTCAAAACCAAATATTTTAACGGACCAAAATCGACGTTGGAAACGGCTGATGTGCTGGAACAGAACATTCAACCAAATAATTCAGAATGGGAAATGAGTAGGATAAAATGTGTGTAGAACTTGGTTGCTAGGCAATTTGAAAAAAACACCCATGTGCATCAATAGTGAGTCTTTTTTGCACTGATTTTTTAGTGAAAGAACTCACAATTTCGAAAATTTTGACCATGTTCAAGACCAGTCAAAACACGCTTCATGAAAGGAAAAAAAACTGATCCAGGTTTTATGAGCAACTAACGCTTTCTGACTGTAAAAATTAGAATAGTGTCATCTGTTTAGTTTTTATTTATCGAATCAAGTCGTTATCAAAGGAAATTTGAATGAGAAATAAATGCGAAATAACTCTTTCAGCATTTTGAAGAAGAGAAGATATGACCCTATTAACAGTTTTCCTTTCTAAAATCCTTTTTTCCATGGTTTAAATTTTGAAAAACATAGAAAGTTGAAAAACTTCTTTTCGACGCTGTTAATCGATTTCGGCTTGTGACACAAGGCACCAAAGACTCTCATATTTGCTCAGTACTCGGAATTCCCCGAATAAACAAAAATAAAGAAGCCTAACCACTCCGTGAAACGAGAAAGAGCTATGAAAATCGACGATTTCCGAAATAACCTTGATGAGAGTAAAGAAATAAACACCATAGAGATCGAAGAAAAAAGGTTCGTTTGGTAAAACATGAGAAACCGATGAAATCACGGATTCGTAATTCGGAAAAAAAATTTACTAAAATATAACACAACAGGAGCTAATTTCTAGAAAAGTTTCTCCATAAGTTGAAAATAGAGATGTCGAAAGCTCAAGTTTTGATGAGAAAAAACATCATTTGATGTTTTTTTTTCATTAATAATCAAGCTGAGATGAGTACATTGTTTATAATAGTGAAAACACCAAAAAAATTAACTCATATATAAGATTTGACAGACTTGTGAAATAGGAAATCGAAAAAATTTTGCCAGGATAAAATAACCACCAGTGGCAGGGAAAGCAACAAAACATGACGCAGGGACACGTAAACAATGGAAAGAGCGTGGAAAGAGGAGAGAGAGGTTGAGAAGTGAGAGTGAAACAACAACAAGAAAACATCTTTTTGAACTTTTTCTCTTTCGCAAGACAGGAGTGACTCATTTCATCGCATGGATCTTTCGCAAACTTTAAGTTCCGATGTCTCAGACGTCTTTCTTGAATTTTTTTCGGCTATTATCAGCAAACAATGCAAGTTTCAAGTCATTTTGTGAAAGCAAATTCTGTATTGCCAATCTATTTTTTTACAAAAAAATTTCTCAAAGAATAAAAAAATTTTTAATGATAAAAAAATCACCTTGAAATTAAGCAGAATATTAAGCGAAGTTTTCATGAAGAGCTGTCTTTGAAGTGGACCGACTTCCCATTACCCAGAAGTTCACGAAGAGCGGCCATTTTGTCGTCCAGAAATTTGTGGTAAATCACGACCAGAGATAAGTTCGTTCTAAGAGATAGTTCCTGTACAGCAATAAGAGAAATGGTACTTACCCTCCAACAACAAAGAAAAATAAAACAATTACTATCGAAAGCCATGTCGGTCTGGAGCCGGTAACACTTATTACTATCAGACCCGAAAGGCCCAGAATCAACAGGCCGATGAGCAAAATGAGCACCAGCAGCTGAGGTTTGAGCAGCGCCGTACTGGTTTTCTGAAACTCTCTGTTTCCTCAACTGTTTTTGAGCTCACCTGCACAGCGACGACTGTGACGATTATAGAAGCGAGGTGAAGGAGGTGAACGAAAATCCAGGCAAAAAAGAAGATCTTGTAGAAAAGCCAGTACCGCAAAGGATCTGCTCTCCGGAGATACTGAAAGCTCACAACTTCGATTCTCATTGGGAAAAGAAACTTCTTCAGCTTTAAAACTAAAAATAAAGCCCAGTCTTTTCGAGAATTCACTGTAAAAAACTCACAGCAAGGGTCTGCTTGTAGAGGTAAAACTTTTCGTGCCAGTCTGGAGAAACGAGAAAAAGAATTCCGACTGTTATTCCCATCAAAGACGTGACCATACTTACTGCCGAATGGATATAAACCCATGTCTAAATCACTGAGATTTTTAAAAATTTCATTTAAAATGGTTAGTTTACTTGAATATGAAGTTTAAAGAAGCGGTGACTCTTCTCTTCTTGAATGATGTTTGCGAATGGATTGTCAAGACCATAATGGTAATTACTCTGCATGGGACAATGAAACAGAAGCAATAGTCACTGAATTAAATTGAAGCAAAGTGGAATGTGCCTGGCTTTGAGGAGGACGTGAGCAGTGACACGCAACTGTCGCAATAAATTTGACGTCCCAATGTAACTGGATCGGACATTGTCTCTGAAACTCAAATTTTTTGAGAGAGTTTCATGAAATTGGCTATTTCTCTTTGAATTGTTAATCTGAAAAGAAATCAAAAAATTCGTCCAAAACAAAAATTAGTACTACTTTGGAGCAACATTGATGCGCCAATGAGTGCACTCTTTTGGGTTTTGAAACATGTTTCGTTTCTCCAATGAAAACGCCATTTGAAAGCGGCTTCACGAAATTCCGTTTTTATTTGACTCTATTACAAAGTTTTCACGGAAAACTACACCATCCGTGCACACACCAGAAACAGCGAGCTTTACGACGGGAAAGTAGCCAGAACGAGAATTTTCGCGAAAATTCTACGGCTTTGAAAATTTTTTTAAATCTTAACGTCGCAGTTGGAGTGCTTATTGAGCACTGAAAAATGAAGAATTAGGGTTTTCCACGGGGTATTCAGTAATATCTCAAAAAACTTTTTGATTTTATGGTTTTGCGTATCAAAAACCTACTTTGCCTGCATCCATTTTATTTTAAATTACAGAAAAATTAATCTCATTTTCATTTTTGTGAAAGGCGAATAACTTTCGACGTCGATATTTAAAAAAAACCATGACAATTTGTGTCACCTTTTTTTCATTGGCATCATCGTTCTTGATTCATCTTTTATCCTATCAATCTTTCTTACTTGTATTATTCAGGCTGAAAATTCTAGACTATGGCAAAGTGGGGTGAAGGCGATCCGAGGTGGATCGTTGAAGAACGAGCTGACGCCACGAACGTTAACAATTGGCATTGGTACTTTTTTTTTTTCATAAAATAGTTTTGGAGCAGTAATTAAATCTAGTTGAATCCTATTTATTTCAACTTTTTATTCTCAGAATGAACTCACGTTTTCTTTCCGTGAAATATCAATGATGATAATAATGTTTCTTTTTCAGGTCGGAGAAAAATGCAACTCCCTGGTCTCGTGATAGACTTTCTCAGCTCCTTCAAGGGCTTGTCATTGAGGTTATCTTTTTCTACAATTTTTTCAATTTATAATTGCTATTCATTAAGGATGGTTCAATTGTGATCAAATTGGATGAAATAAAAAAGTTGGAGGGTGAAGCCACAGCAAATAACCGAAAAGCAAAGCTCATCTTCCTCTATGAATGGGTCATTGAGGTCTCGTACACAGGTATGAATGAAATTATTTTTCCATTTGACTAGTTTTTTTCAAGCTAGAGTTACTGGAACGGATACCGAATACAAGGGCAAAATCGAAGTTCCTAACTTGAGCGACGAGAATTCGGCTTCTGAACTAGATGTATACATCATCGTTCCCGTTCATTGTGCATATTTCGCGTTTAGGTGTCTTCTACTTTGGAAACTAAAGGACCACACGAAGCCCAGATTCGCAACGTCCTCAAAAAAAAGGGAACCGAAGTTGTTCAGGTTAATTTTAATTTTTCTTTTTACTAAAATAAGAAAAGCTAATGAACGTTCATTAGGGTTTTCGCATCTTCATCTTTAACAAATTTAATTCTAGGAGGCACTGGGAGCTTACATTCGCGAACTTAAAGAAGAGTTCAGTAAAGGTCTCATTCTTCCAACTGACCAAGTAAAGCCACAGGTTGTTGGTACTTTTTAAAAACTTCTATTTATCAGAAAGTTTCAGGTTGTTTCGAAAGGAAAAACCACGATTGTGGATAAGAGGAGCTTTCAAAACGCTGTTATAGCGAACCCTAACAGTTCTTCTGAAAAAACAGGTTGGGTTTGTGTGTGTGTTATTTCTTTAACAAGAACTTTTTTCACAGAATCGTTTGATGTCAAATCGATCAATGTCTCCGATAACTTCAAAGTGAACCCTGAGAGATTATTCGAAGTTTTAAGTCAGGAAGAGGTATCATGATGGTTTTTGAAGAGAAAATTTGATTTGCGACTTCAGTTTGTGCGTGTTTGGGCAAATGGTAACATTCAATGGGATTTCAAGCCCGAAGGCAAATTTGCGCTTTTTGGTGGAAACGTCTCTGGAAGTTTTGTGAAAATTGTTTGCTCGTTCCCTCTACTCTATTTTGATCTTTTTTCTAGGAACCTAATAAAGAAATTGTCACGAAATGGCGACTGAAAGGCTATCCAGGAAGTCACCACGCTACGATCCGCTTCTTTTTGAAGGATACAGTACGTTTTGCAAGCATCGGGAATCATTCCAAAAATCTTGGATGTACCCTTAAATTAATTAATTGTTTTTTTAAGAGTTTTTGAAAAAAATGAGCTAGTTTTTTTCAAGTATTAACGTTTCGAGTGTTTTATTAAAAAAAGAAAAAAGCGTATAATATTTAAAAAAATTTCAAAGCTTCAAAAAAATTTCGAACAACTTTAGTTTTACTTTTAAAAAAATTCTAGAAAAAAATCTAAAAAAAGCTAATCTAAAAAAATTTTCAAATTTTCAAATCTATTCTAATGATTCTACAGGGCTCTTCAACGGATCTCATCATTGAAGGTTCGGATGTACCGACGGATTTGGCCGACGACACCCAGACTGGCCTTAACCGCTTTTATTTGGCCAGCATCGCGCGTACTTTCGGTTTCAGTTCTCGTATGTGTTAGCCGTCGAAACCACCGCCGTGATACTTGTTTTTTTTTCTCCTATCATCTCTCGGATCTTTTCCTTACGACGATCTTAAAAACTATTTTAGTTTTTTTTTGTTATTTAATAAAAATTAATTAATCTTTTCTGACTTTTTTCTTTCATTTCCAGATTTTAATCGATGCTTGATGTTGATCACCGGTGCATTTTGTTATGATAACATTTATCAATCGCGTGTTGAATTCATATTGCACAGAGAAAAAAAAAATGAGATCGAACAATGTCACAATTCAGCACTGTAAGGGCATTTAGTAATGAAAAGTTAAAAAATAATCTGAAAATAGCGAAGAAACTTAAAATGAAAAAAAAACATAAGCAAGAAGAAGGACATCACCGCAATGGGGGAGCTGGTGGAATTGAGGTTATTGTTTGCTTTTTTTGGTACGCTTCTCGGGCAATGTCACGTTGCAGCTTGCCAAGACGATCTTGCAAGCTTTCCAGAGTTTTGACGACGTTAGCCACGCGGCGTTTACTGTCGTCGAGTTTGCGAGTGTAAGGATCAAGATCCACAGGCTGGGTATTAGTGAGGTCGTGCAGATAATCGGCGACTTCTTGGATCCTGGAGGACAGCAAGATTTGGCTGTCGCGAGTCGCTTGTACTTGGTCGTCGAGTGTGCGGATAGCCGGTTCGAAAACTGACATAATACCGTCGCTCATGTCAGAGCCACCGCGTTTATCAGATGGAGTGCTGGGAGAAGACATCAAACCGAAGATGGAAATCAACATTTTTTTATCTATGGAGCGAATCTTACGTGTGCAACTAGCGCGAGGTGCGTTTGCAAATAAATTTCTTCAGGCACAACTCTCGACGTCACGCGTTTATTTCTTTTTCTTTCTAACTTTTTAAATATATTTTGGGATAAGTTGCGCTTATTTTCATGTCTTATTCAAAGTAACTTCCGCGAAACGCAAATTCTTCTCCGACTCTCTAAAATTTTATTATCTTTTATTTTTTCTGACGGCTATTTTGGTTTTCGCGGTAAATTTGAACGAGGAATCATTTTTATCCTTTTCCTCTCTTGATTTATAGCATTTTTGGCTCATAGTGTCGACGATTCACGCAAAATGAGGACAAATTCTACGACCTCATTTGGATCGAGCTCTGCGGATGAAGTTTGTTTTTTTGAAAAATTTCTTTTTCGAATACTGTAACACAGTTATTTCGAATTTCAGGTCTTAGGACCTATGTCGCCGTCCAGCGCTACTGTAGATATGAATGCGTTGCAACAGCAAGGGCGGAAAAGAATAGCAGTTTATGCAAAAACTTTTACTATGCGCTTCATTCAAGTTTTCATTTTTTTTCTTGTGACTGAAAATTTTGAGATGGTTCAGTGTGTTGTTCAATCGAGAATGAACGAAAAGTTCGACCTTCCTTGTATGCTGCCGCAAAGCCGTGATTGGTTTAACGTGAGATACTCGGAAATGGGCGAAATAACGGCACAAGTAAAGAAAAGCATATCAAGGTTTTTTTTTTACTTTTTTTGTTGTATTTAATTTGTTATTTAGTTATCCACCAGATGCTCCATGTGTGTCTGTTGATTTTTTTCTTTATACTCACGAGGGCGAAATTCTTCCCCTGGAAACATGGTTGCGTTTTTGAAATTTGTATTTTCTGAATATATTTTAGGACTTTCTCTATTGAGTCCGACGAAGCCACGGAATCGATGGCTTTCCATAAAGAAGATGATTCAACGCTTTATCACCAACTTGGGACGCTCCTTAAAGTTAGTTAAAAATTGGACAAGTTTGATATTTTCTCAACAAGAGCTGTATTTGCGCCGCACGAATGACACCGATGCATCGCAACTATGTGAAAAAACAGAGCGCGGAAACGTTCATCATACTTTACAAGGTGAAAGCAAATCATCGATACTTTTTTTCAAATTATTGTTCAGGTAAACTCTTCGGAATCCCAAATCGATCTCGGCCAAGACTCGAAAGAGATGGTGATCGGTTCTTTACCATCAGTAATTGGAAACATAAGGCCAGTTTTCACGTTGATATTTCTCCACTGCGTACTTTAGATTGCGTCTTGCTTACCGCACAAAGATGCAAATCGATCGGACAATTACTCCGCCCGGGAATCAGTATGATTCATTCCAACAAGTAAAACTTTTTTCTTGATTTTTTGAGGAGTTTTTTTGTTTTTAGGTTAGCATCGCTTCGGCGGGAACCACGCCAGACTCCCGACACAACGTCGGAACGCCCATGTCATTCTGCGACGACGGCATAAGTCATTTCAGCGTCAGTCCAAGCAGTTTGGTAAGATTAGTCTCCATTTCGTTAAAAAGTTCGGTTATAACTTCACCGCAAAAAGTTTTTATTTCTGCCGCTTATAATTTGGTATACAGAAATAAGAAGGGTAAACAATTTTTTTTTTCCAGCCCATAACTTCACCAGTTTCTTCGCCTCCCGACTTTGGAAGTCCTTACCGGTCACCTGTCTTCAAAACATCGAGGTCCGTTTACACTTATTTTCTCAATTTTTTACATTTATTCTCTAGATCTCGATCGGCTTCAGCGACCAGCGACGGCGACTCGATTTGCTCCGCGGATGCTGTATCAGCGAGTCCACGCCAGAACAAGTTTTTCCACAGTCAGGTATAATATTCTATTTTTCGGAAACTTCAGAAATATTGCAAACTAGAAAATTTTATTCAGATGATACCTTCAAATATGCCTTTTGCGAATTTGCTCACAATGTCCTACACGGGAACCCTCTATCCACTGAAAGAGGAGAAGAAAGAGTTTTCGCAATCCGACGGTATAGGTTTTTTTTAAAGTCAAAATGTTTTCTCTTGAAGATTCACCGTGTGATAACGATGTCAATAACTGTAATATGAACAATTCTGGGAATTATACGGATGAACTGAAAGAAACTCTCAAAGGTGATCTTTTTACTTTTTATCTTTGTTTGGAATGACATTGAACATGAATTATTGGCAGAGGAAGACAAGAAAAAATTTAAGGACATGTTTTTAGTGTATGCAGAAGATGTTGGCGTCGAGCATATTCTTTCAAGTGTTCACAGATTTGTGCCATGATCAACTTGGTTTTAAATATCTACTTATTATGGTTCTATGTTTCTTTTCTTACACAAAAAACTTTTTTTTTCTTCACAGGTGGGGTTAGTTAATCCACCTAGTGGTCTTTTTCCCTCCCTGCAACATCACCATACCATCCCGATGTTGCGAAAAATAAACAAATTGAATTGAAATTGAATTGAATCTTTCACAGATACTCTAAGTTAAAATAAACGAAAATCTTTGATAGATCTTTCTCTTCACGATGATCTGCCGTTTGGCCCTCTTGAAACGAGAAATGACCTCTGCGAGCCAGGAGAATCAAAAAAGACGCTTTTCAATTTGAATGAAGTTGTAGGAGAGAGAGAAGGTTTTCGTATTTGTTAGTTATTCGCCAAATTTTTTGTTCCAACTTCAGAAAATTCGTCGCCAGTTGAAATGAGCCAAAGAACTATCGTCGGCGGCGAAATGGAAAACACTGTGAAAGACGAAGAATCGACGCAAAATAACGAGGAGAACGTTATCAACATCAGCGACGATGAAGATTCTTTCGTCAAGGTCGTTTAAAAAAAAGAAGTTTATGAGAAATCTCGAAACAGTTAATTTTTGAAGTTGAGTGTCCTGAGAAGGTGGAAGTTAATAGACCGAAAATTTTGATTTTTGTTCGGGAGTGGATTTCTTCGATTCAGATCCCTTCGTTCGGGCCGATTGCGGGAGACGCGACGGCCGAAAACGGCGGCGTAGATACTCAACTTGGCGAATTGCTCGCCTCGTGCAAGGCCATGCCCGAGATCCTCTCATTTTCTGAGCCAATCTCTGCCGACGTACTCATCCCCAATATCATGACTCATGTCAGTTGCCTCCGACTCTCCTTCCATTCATTTTTTTTTAGTTCGAAGAGTTTTCTCGCCATCAATGCGTTTTCGATCAATTTGTCGCCGAAGTCCGTGAAAGTGTGGAAAGGGATGAAATTTGATTCTTAACTGTGTGCTTTAATCCGTGTAAAAAGACGTTTTTCTTGTATCTTTTTTTGCTTTAATTCAAAAAGAACGGTCCCCAATTATTATTGTTATTTTCAGAAAAAGTAACACCGTTTTCTAAGCGTTTAGAACTCGTTCTAGTAATTGTAAAAAAATTGTAAAAAAAGAAATGTATAAATGAAATTTGAAATTCAGTTGACTGCTAATAAATGTATAAAAAAATTTCATAATCCTTTTCCTTTTAGTTTATACCTTCTCACTCGATAAAATTTCGATTTTTATTGTGAAGCCCACCGGAAAGAGTTTGCCAGGGGCGTCGTTCAGATGCGTTGGACGTGGCTGTCCAGAAACGTTTCGCAGTTCGCCGGCGTCCGCGATGCCGCCAAATACGTGCCGCGTCGGTCTCTGCTCTATGTCCCCGCGAGCAACGAGAAAATGCTGGCAAAAGTTCCTCGGATCCAGGTACCGCAGCCGTGGTTTGCACGGCAGCGGAAATGTTCCAGGCCGATTGCGTCGTTCTGGAACTCGAGGACAGCGTCGCGATGACAGCCAAGACGAAGGCGCGACAACAGGTGTGACCTATGACTCCTTCAAAATTATCTCAGCTCCAGGCTGCCAAAGCCCTCGACACGTACTCCAACGAGCGTCTCGAATGCTTCGAGTTGGGTTTGCGGGTGAATTCTGTCAGTAGTGGTCTTCTCGAAGATGACGTTAAGGTCTGTTTTCTTTTTTCACTAAGCAGTCTACTGGACAAAAGTTTTTAGGAAGAGAATCGGTTTTTAATATGGTGAAAGAAACAAACGAAATGATTTTAGCCCTGCAGAATATTAGGCCGATTTTTTTAAAAAGAAAATCAGGAAACATTTGCCCTTTCAGTATTTTACATTAAGGCGTTTTAGTCATGTTGAGAAAAAATGTGGACTGTTATTCAAAGGAAAGTATTGGAAAAACAAATATTAACAGCCACCTATTTAATTAATTTTTTTAAATAAAAAAATCAAAATGAACATTTTTTTCATTTAAACTTTAAACTTTTGAAATAGAATCGTTACAACCATTTGCTTCTGCGAAGCGAAAAATTGTTTTAACAAGAAAAAATTCACGAAAATAGGGAAAAATTTATCATAATTGAAAACTGTTCGATATACAACGTAACGAGAATACACCTAAATGTTCCCCGTTGTTTCGATAAAAATCAAAATCATTTCAAGCCCATTTTTGTATCAGAAGGAAAATACTGATGATAGGTCGACCTCCGAGGCTATGTCCCTTTCGATTGATTCAATTTCACAGGAGATTTGCAAAGCCGAGCATTTGCCGCAGGCATTCATGGTCCCGAAAGTGGACAGTCCAGAGGATCTCGCCACGATCTTCGACATTTTCCGGACAAATTATGGCGCCACGAGGATAACTGACACGGTGGAGTTTCTCATAATGTGGCTTTAGAACCGATTTTTTTTTTCGAAGAGAAAATTCGTTAGATCTTAAAAGAAATTCACAGATGGAAATAATGGAAAACGAATTTTTTTAAAATAGGAATGAGTTGAAAAATAATTTATGAAGCTCGATTTTTTGAAATGGAAGTTTTGGCATGCGACAAACGTAAAATGTATTTTCTTTTCAGTTTGATCAAGTTGAACCACCATACCTTTATGTCGCTTTGAAATAGATTGAAATTTGTGAGGTCAGTACTTGAAAAATAACAAATTTCTGAAGAAGAATTAGAATCTCCAAAATACGCGAAAATTTATGAGAAATGCTTGAAAAAAGATGATTTCTGATGAAAATTAATGGAAAGTCCAGAATACGCGGTTGGTGATCTGGATCGAGTCGGCGAGAGCTCTCCTCGACATGCCGCGGATTCTGTCGTCAGCCCTCAATCTCCACCGGAATTCCGGCTTCTTTAAGCTGGACGCCGTTGTGTTTGGATCCGACGATTATTGCGCCGACATTGGTATTCCCTCTCTTTGTCTTTTGCAATGAGTTCATGTTTCAGGCGCGACCCGATCTTCTCATGGCACGGAAAACCTTTTCGCCCGACAAAAGTTTCATTTTTTCCAGTAAACAAACAACTCAACTTTTTGAGATTTGTGGCCTGTTGCAAGGCTTTTCAATTGCAAGCCATCGACAGCGTCTACATAGACATCAAGGACACCGACGGATTGCGCAGACAGTCTGACGAAGGTTTTCTTTTCTTCATTCAAATTTTTCAAGGTTCTTTGCTCTATCGAACTTTTTTTCTGTTTCTTTCAAAATTCACCGAGAATTTAGAATTTCTTTTTTTCTTCTTCAAAAAAATTTCACTAGAATTTTCAAAGATTTTTTTTCGAATTTATTTATGCACATTGCTTCTCGTTTTTCGTCCTTTTTGTCACAATTTTTTTCGCTAACCTCATCTTGCCAGGACTAGGTATAGTTGCAAAAATCTTTAATACCGTTTTGAGTTATTTGGTAGAGAACTTTTGACGATGAGTCGCTCTCAAGTTTCGTGATTTTAAACGTCCGTGCGTTGATTTTTTCAGAAAACTTCTCTTTTCTCTTACTTGGTTATAATAAATCCTTCTTGTTTTGAAAGGCGAGATGGGTAGATTAGCAAGAGTAAAGCGTTGCGTACACGACGCGGCTTTTTGGCGGGAGTTTCCAGTTCCAATGCCACTCACTATTTTTGCAAGTTTCTCCTACAGTTTTTCTCTTACAGTTTCTCAATTACTAACTCATAGTTTTGAAAAAAATTCAGTTGAACGAATAAGAAAACATAAAAGCTTTGAATACTTTTTTTCTGCATTTTTTTCGTGATGGCTTCGATGTCAAGTCCTTCCCCAAGAAGCGTCGCGTACGCACCGCTTCCCGCTTGCAATCCCACCTATCTCACTTCTCAGCTCGGAAATACTCGACTTAACTCAGTTCGGATTTCAGGAAGATCCTGGGGATTCACCGGAAAACAAACGATCCACCCGAGTCAAGTGGCAGTCGTCCAGGAGACGTTCATGCCGCCGGGCGAGAAGGTCGAATGGGCCACGGAGCTGGTGCACGCCTACAGCCAGCACGAGTCGGAAGGAAAAGGCGCTTTCCAGGTGAGTCCGACTCCTTTTCCCCGAGCCTCGAACGCCGGATGCAGTTCCGCGGCCAGATGATTGACCGGCCACTGCTCCTGCAGGCGCTCAACCTCATTCAACTCGTCGAGCGTGTCTCGAGCAGATGAGATCTTGAATAGAGCAACTTTTCTCTGGTAGAATTTTTTCAAATTTGTCCAGTCAGTCTATTCCTTAAGATCGTTAACTTTCTCCATTGGAATCAGGACAAAATGTCCTTCATTTGCCGGTAGCCACAACAAAAACGTGGTACGGTACAATTTTTTATTCATTTACTATATGTACAAATACACAACGAAAACGTTATCGTATAAAAGTTTTATCATGAAGAAAAGAATTCTGCTATGGAACAACAACAGAGTAAGACCTATATTAAAGCTTCAAAATTTATTTGATGATCCTTCGTAAAAACCAGTTTGAAGAAGTTTTGAATATTAATGAAATGAAAATAACCGTAGGAAATGGGATGGAAAACCTGGGGAACATATTCAAAAAATATATAATAAATTAGAAAGACTAAATAAATTAGCACTGATGGATCTAGTGAGAAGGAAATTGAAAAAACCTAGAATATAGTTATAGAGAACAAGAGGATAAAACATGTATGAATAAAGGTCAATGAACAGACGGCAGATCGGACGACAGGCGGCGGCATATTTATGATTTCAAAAGGAACCACCTGAAAACTTGAGAAGGTTGTTTCAAATAGCTTTTCACCTAACCGGCAGCTCTTCTGTCTTGTCCAAAATGTGTTCTTCACAGTTTGGGCTTGGACTGAACCAGCACATCTGAAAAACTGATTCAATGTGTTTTTTTTTCACGAACTAGAAGAAAAAAACTGAGTGATTTTGGTTTTTGTGAGCTTTACAGGTTGATACGATAAGGTGAAAAGGTTTTTTTTAATGTGTATTTTGCAACATTTCAAAGCTCTCAAAATAGAGGCTTTTCTAATGCTTCAATTTACTTAGAGCACAGTCGTTTATTTGTACAGACAACGTATTATTTAACATTTGAAGAGATTTCGTTTTTTGTAAGTTAAGGAGCATTTTTGCTTTGGGTTTCGTCGGCTTGTCACTCCAAACCAATATGTCGTGTCAAAGTTTTCAGTTTATTCACCACGTTCTCGAAAATTCCAGGCTTTCCTTCAATCATTTTCTCGTCGCATCCTGTCTTCCCGTATTCGGGAACCTTGAAATGCATTAGGTATTTGAAAATACGATCGCAGTTCGATTACCCGCACGCCAAAATAGTGTCGATGATCCCAAATGTAGCTATTTGTCTGGTCGTAATAAAACTTCATTTTGTCCGAGCAGGAAAAGTCCTCGTTTTTAGGAAGACCTGTGCACTCGATGTAAAGAGCTCCATGGTCCATCGCGTCTGGATACCTAGAAAAGAAAACTTTAGTTTTGGATAATTCAGGCTTTGAAACCAAATCTCGGTGCCCTGGTGGTAGTGTTTGTCCAAGGCGTCGGCGTCGCACGGCCTGGCCCCGTGTTCCGTCTCGCTGATGAAAGTTCGGTTCTTCTGGCAGGCTGGCATGTGCGGCACGATGTCGCGTCGGAACACCACGCGGAACCTGCAACTGAGGTTTCTCGTCTGTCTCTAGCTTCTCCACAAACGCGTAGGTGATCATTTTGTCGAAGTTCTTTGCGAACTCTAGACTTCCTACGCGTGGCTGGCCAAACGTTACTACTTTGACTTCGTCTCCTGTTCGGTATCCTGAAAAAAGTAACTTTTTCGGATATTTTTTCAGAGAGCTTTCGAATTTCTTTTTCACTCCGAAATGGAAGTTTTCCATATATTCATAAACTAATAATAAATTTATCTTGCCTTGGCGAACTGTTCGAGCTGCGGCTAAAGTGGCCAGAGCACCTCCAAGAGAATGACCAGTGAATGTTATCGGGAAGTTCTAAAGTCGGATCTTCTTTTCGATAGAATAGACTTCGTCAGTCACCTTATATTTAGGATCGACAATAATTTGCTCGATTTCTGGCCATAAGACCAGGTGAGCGTTCATAAAGTATCTGTTAACCTGAATCAAGAGCTCTTCAAAAAATGATTAAGTTTACATTTCCAAGATCGAAAAAGTCGACGCCGGGATTTATTGACTGCCAACCTTCTAATAGCAACTGAGTCTATAATTATACCTTCGATTCGAATTTTTTTTCTAAATGCCACCTTCGTTTTCGTTCCGCGGAAAACGACAAAGAGTTTTTGCAGAGGCTCAGAAACTACTGAAGAAAAATAGTCAGTTTTGAGGTGGAAAGAAAGGATACGAACCCACGTAACTCTCGCAAATGCTGTCGAGGTGGTCGCATTCGTGCTGCATGACGCCCAACAGTCGATGCTGCTCATGGGCCGGAAAACTCCTGTACAAACTTTTTCTAGAGTTGATCAGATTGGAAAACTTGTTAAAGCAGGAGTCATGTGAGGTGCCATAGGCGGCTGCCGCTAGGTTGAGCAAAGATCGAGCCTCATTCTCGTCGTAGCGAGTCTTTTTTCCGAGGAAAGGCAACGCCGTGACAACTCCCGCCAGGACGGCCAGCAGGACTGGCCATCGCCCCATCAGCCAATCGGATACTAAATATTGTATTCTTTTACAACACCTGGACTGTGGTTTCAAAAAAGGCAGATAGTGATTTGAGAGAAAGGAATAAAAGAAGGTCTTTGGAGCGAAAATGGGTTCTAATACTTTTACTCAATCTACTCGATTCTACTCTACTAGAAAGTTACTTACTTGTTCACTATGACTACAGAAAACCTGTAGACTTTCTTACGGTCGCTAAATGATAAAAATTTCTCTTCCTCCTTCTTTTTGTTCTCAGAAAACTTCAATCAAAGTGGTTTCATAATCGGTAGAGTCGACGATTTAGATGTAAAAAATAAGACAATGCGCGAAAATAAGAAAAGTTGATGATGGTAGCAACTTTCCTTCCTTTCTCAAATCTTTACTCTAGGTAAACGCATTTTTAGTGGAATCTTGAAAATATACCTATAAAATCGCGCGTTCGGTGTTGACATTTGATTATTTGCAAGTTTTCAAACTTTTTCGAGAAAGATGTAATGTGTACTGATTCCCTCAATAGAGGAAGTAGAAGGATAAAAACACTTTTTTTCAAAAAATATTCGAAGCGTTCGTTGAATGCAAACTTTCGTCTGATTTGAGAGAATATATGTGTAGAACGAGCACCATTAAGGTACTAACAATAAACAAGACAAAAAAAAAACAATCGTATGCTGACGCCTTTCAATGATCGGGACTTCAAGTTGTATTGATAAGCAAAAAAAAATATAGTAGTAAAGATTGAAGAGTGAAAATCTGGCTTCTTTTTGCTCATAGATCTTCTCTACAGACATTCTTTGAGTTTATAGATATCCTCAAAGCAAACTTTTGAAATATTTTATTTAAGTTTCGTACTGTTTCTAACACATTCCAAAGATCATTTTGCTAACTGAAAACAACAAATAGTATGATTGAAAAGTTTTTTTGTAATAATGAAGACTGATTGCTTTTCATGTGACAAAAATAAAAGATCAACAATTATTTATTTTGTATTTTTTGCGCCAAAATTCGAAATGTTGTACAGTAAAACCAAAGTTTTATTTTATACAACTCCCAGCGAATCAAAACCAACAATAGCTTATTGTAAACTTCAGCGATATGCAAATACAAAGACGAGTTGGAGGATCGACTAGGGGAAAAAATGGTTGGAACGGGCCTCGCAGTCGGTTGAAGGACGACGACCAGAGGACCCTGCGTGCTGATTTTCCGACCGGTTTACCTCGTCAATTCAGCCGACTCCGCCCACTTTTGCCTCCATTCAGGCCGTCACACTCGTGTGCATCCGACGAAAAGTCGTGAAACTTAAAAGTACCAAATAGAATACCACGGAACTCAATACGCGAGCCACAAAAGAGGACAGTTTTCCTATTTATTTCATAATAAGCAGAAAATCGGTGGATAATCAATTTTTGTCAAAGTTTCGCTGCGAGTTCATGGAGCATAAACTCAATCTGTTGCGGCTTGTCGTCGCCCATCTCAGCGTTGACGAAAGATCGAATCTCCGCCATTTCTTTGAGCCAGAACGTCGGCGGAGGCTCGCACAACTTTTTCAAGTCTATCTTCAGGGGAAGACCCTGTGAATGCGAATTATTTTCGAAAAGTTAAAAAAAAACAGGTTCGCATTTTGGTAACCCTTCATTTTGAAAGTTTCGCTGAATAGCGCCTGATTTTTGGAATAACAAATTCGGAATAATCCTCAAATTGCCGGAACGAGTTTTCAGCAGTGGTAGTTTTGGTTTTTTTTTTGTTAGCAAAAGTCGTCAACAAGACATTGATCAGAAGGGTTACGAGAGACCTATCTTACATCCATATTAAGCGACTTTGGCGTCTTTCCTATCACCGAAGTCGACACATTTGACTCATCTGTCGGGTTTCTCACACTGAAAACCGGTAATCGTCTGAAAGGGGTCGACATACCGGTTAAAAATCCATTCAAGGACACGAATATTCTCGTTGAACCCAGGCCAGATGACGTTTCCATTATCGTCTTCTTGATACCAGTTTACGTGGAATATTTTTGGAACCTTCAATATTGCAGTGAAAATCAGCTGCTCCATTCATAAAGTTGATGTTATTGGGCTATTCACACATGGAGGACTAGGGCTTTGAAAAAAAACGTGGAACTCTGACCTTTTCTCTATTTTTGCCCATTTCGAGCCAGTGATCAACGTATTTGCCAAAGTTGTATGCCATAAATGGCCGCATAGACATTGGGTCATTGACAAGGCCATCTGAAGAGCTTTTTACTGGACTTCGATTTTCGAATCGACTAATTCACCGCTTTTTCGGTCGGTACCACTACCGACTTTAGAACGCATGCCAGTGGCAAGGAGCACGCCTTCTGCCCAATTGTTCGTCTCCAGGACCAGAGGGTAGGCGTCTGGTCTCCTTGAGCCGAATATGTAACTGAACAGAGGACTCGGACAGGAAGTGTGAGACTAACGCAGAGATAGGAACTCCGCAAGGCGAGTCCCATTTCGGATGGACGTTGGCCACGTTACTTGTGTACACCGTGAAACGGCAGTTCGGATGCGCCGGTGGTCTGAATCTGTTAACCAAAAGATTCAATCTACTTCTTTTTTTGTTTTAATTCTTCAGAAACTGTTTTGGAGCTGAAAAAAAAAATGTATTATTGGGAATTCTCACGATTTAGAATCCTTTGTCCAAGTTTCTCCGCGCCAGTCGACAACCTTCAACAGTACTGAATATCGATTGAATGCAGAATTTTCTGTTTTTTGAAATAGGCCAAACAGAAGTTAGATCAAAAAAGTTTCTTTTCAAATAAACTATTGAACCGTTTCTTCTGGTTCGAGTGTTCCCTCGATGCCTTGCCACATCAAACGGCCTTTGCTGGTCGTGGCGCAGTTCACAACCAACGCGTCACGCTTCAGAGCCTAGAAAATCCTCCGAATAATGAAAAAAAAAGTTCAAATACTTCAATTAGGATTTTGCCTGAATCCTCTTTGACGTCGGCGGCGATGCCGAACATGCCGTTTTCTGGCGCCATCGCAAACATTTGACCGTCTTTCCATCGTATCCACGCGATATCATCTCCTAGTACTTTGATCTGAAACTGTCACTTTTGAGAAGCGATGAAGTAATGTATATTTCAGAAAGTATATATTTCCGGATACCTTCCAACCAGGAAGAGCCGGCAACATTGCGCTCATCGTCGTTTTTCCGGCTCCGGAAGGGAAGGAGACACACACAAAAATTTCCTGGTCCTGGGGATCTGTGATGGATATTATAGCCGCATGTTCAGCCAGCCATCCGTCCTTTAGGCCCATGTAGGATCCCATTCTGAATCCTAAAATTGTTGAACAAAAGTTCAAAAAAGATTAAAAAATTTATCGTCATTTATACAAAAAAAGGCAAAAAAGCACAAATTAATCTTGATCTAGTTTTCCGATTTACTTGTTTTCCTAACAGAAAGTTTTGTTCATCGCTTTCTAGCTTACCTGAGCGCCAGGCATTTCTTGCCAAGCAACGAGTTTCCGCCGTACCCAGAACCGTAGGACCAGATCTCACTCTCTTCAAGAATGTGAGCAATGAATATGTCCGAGGTATTACAGGCCCACTGCAAATTTTGTTTTATTGTCCTGCTAAAAACCCAACATTATTTTTGAGCCGGTGCAGTACGGGTCTTGGAACACCGACGCTGTGAACGCACTTGACGAAGTCTCCATTTCCAATTGCGTCCCAAACTGACGAGGAGACTCTCGAAACACCTCAGTCACGAAGCTGACGTATGAATCAAGAAGGAAACCTCGCGACGACACGCATGTTGATGACGACGTAAGGACTGTCGGTTAGTTGGACGGCGTTTTTAGAGAAGCGGCCGCCGATCGGACCCATCGAGAATGGAATCACATACCTTCGATCTGTTGTTTTCTGCCGCAGATTTTCTCAACTAACATAGTTCTGCCTCGCATGCAGCCTGGGAATCGTTCGTCTGCCTCTTGCACAAACTTCTTCGGCGACATCCACTGCGCCAACATGGACTGAAAGTTCTTGGCCCTCGAAATGGTGACTGTCCGACTGAAAGTGCTCTCCTTCAGATACGATTCAAGCCTTAGGTTCTCGTCACTTTGGTTGCACTTCGCTTCTTGAATTTGTGACGATAAAAGTATTTTTCTCGACGCGCATAGTGTCCGACGGGTCGGTTCTGGCTACGTATACATTTTCCAAGGATGTCATTTCTTCCAGTAATCCTGAGAAGATATTTTCTCATTCCTACTGAAGGAAAGTCGAACCTTTGTTTTTTAAAATCTGAGAGAGCTCGTGTGCTTCGTGCCAGCTTCCATTGCAAATCCGGATTGCCGATGGACGCATTAAAACTGCCTTTTCACTGATGAAATTCTGAAAAGTGAGATGTTTGAAGTGAAAGCGCTTATGAGAAACGATGAAAGCAAATTTCAAATAGCTTGAAAATAACCCAGATTTTTGGAGAGATCCAGGTTGGATCGCCTTTGTAGACGGGAATCTTGCCTAATCCACGAATAGTCAACGTCGTCGCCACAGTCGAATTGCGCGTGGAGATGTATGAAGTGACGCTCTCGGGTTTCGGCGCAAAGTCCACTTTGGCTTCTTCGCAAACTGATTCCAAAAAAGGAGGATTATTTTATCTAGCAACTCACCGCACTCCGGACAATCCGTCTCCAGCATTTCGACAGTGGAAGCTTTAGGAATGACTGTTTCTCACGTTGACAAACCCAAATTTACAACAAAAATGAACGATCGTTGTGTTATTAAATTTATTGTTTAAAAAACTTTTTGATATGTTTTTTAAACAGACGCGGTTGGGATGGCAAGTGGAACTTTTTTTTTCTTATTTTTCTGCATTGTTTTATTTGAGACTCTTTTTCTCAATAGGCGTAGTTAATATATTTTTTTTCAATCTCCTAAGTTTATACATAATCAAGTGAAATAACTTATTTGGACTCTTTCAAAGGTTCAGTATTTTCTTGAACTGAAAAAAAAAAAATGGAAAAAGCTGTTTCGGATTGTCTGAATTTTTTTTTCAATGTTTGCATTGCTTCGATTTCGATTCTGACCCTATTCGAAGTCAATTTGACGCGCGTGGCCAAACAGTTTTTCTCGTTCCAAACCACGAGCCAGAACGCAGCAGGGACAACCACTGTGTTTCCTCAACCCTTTAACGAAACAAAAAAAAAAATTATACTGGACATTTGCAACCAAAAAAAAGCGGGAGCCGTCTAATCCCGATGCGCTTTTCCGCGTTTTCGGCTCGAGCTTTTGAATCAGAAAAGCTGTTTCGCTGCAAGTCAGATTTGAAATCGGCGTCATTCTTCCTCATATTGTCACTAACCAAAATCAGTAATTTTCTTTAAACTTAGTAGCCAGTTAATATCCAAAATTTTATTGTGTGGAGATAGCAGTAGATCTCTGGTTAACTAGAACGACTTTGTCGCGATTTTTCCGAAGCCAGGACGGCTGAATCTCGTAGTTGAATAGCAACATAATGAACCTGAAAACTTTGGTACTTGATCTAGTTAATAGGAACGTTACCCGTCGATGGCGTGTATGAAAAGAAAAGAGAGAGATAAGCATACAAATTGAAACCAAGCAGCGTTGTTCAGTTTGTAAATTATGGAGCAGTTGAGCATGTCTATCAGATGGACGCAGTCTTGGACCACACTCTGAACACGAAGTTTTCTTTTCTTCCTCGTAGCCTCTGTTTCCACATCGACTCATGCTTTTCATTTTATAGAGCTTCTTTGATACCGAGGCCTTTCAAAGGAAACTCCAACAAGGCGAGCCATAAACTTTTTTTTCCTCCGAATAACTTTGCAGTTTTTCAAACCTTTTGGACCAAAAGTATTGGTCTTCGAAAAATGAACTCATTTTTCTAAATACCGAAATATCGATCGATTTCGTTCATTTTCGATAAATTTCCTTTTTTTATAATTAATAGATGGACAGGGATCCATATCTACACTGAAAATAGACACGCTAGACATTTTTGAAAACGCTGTAATTTGTTTTCTTTTTTCTTATCTGTATTATCGGAACTAGTCATTATTTGATAATGTTGAAAAAAGATACCTGTGCAAACATTCTCAACCGCTTTTTTCTCCGTATTGCGTTTTCATTTGCACCGAGGCCGAGCGCCTGGAAAAGATTTATGCTTTCGAAAAGAAAAGTCAAAGTTTACCACTTCATGGGCTATTTTCAGAAACGTCGTGAAGTTACAACTGTTCGATAGAACAGCAATAAACATAACAGTATAAAGTATGAAATCGGCCAGAAAAAGGGCACAATCTGTGTTTTCTGGTCTCCAGGCGATGATCTCGGCATCGTAAATGTACGCGCAACCTTCTACTGGAACGACTGTTTTTTTGAAAAGAGAACTCTAACAAACTAGGAAGTCCTATGGCTGTGAAGACTACCCCTATCGTCCAACAAACAGCGAGGCAACCCTGGAATTGGGATTCATGAAAGAAAATTTTTCTGTGAACAAAACAGCTTGTAAGCTGTCCACGTTAGATGGTTGAAACTTTTTAGTTTTGACCTTCTCATTTCTACTTTTCTCACTTCCTTGTTAAGTTATAGGGAAAAAAGAGCGCAAATCTAATAGAAAACTGCCATTTATATATTTATCGCGAGTTTAATGCGTTCTTGGGTTTTTTTTTTGATAGAAGGTGACGTTTTTTTTCGATTAAAAACTTGAATAAAGAGAATCAAAACAATAGAATCGTTTTTAATTACACAATTAACGTTTTTATTCATCTGTTTTTTGACCCTGTTTATTGTTTCATATGTTGAGGATCTTTCAATAAAAAATGGTGGGAGGAACCTTTGTTGGATCTATTTTTTTCTTGGACATTGATCTTAGCGGAAACATAGTGACGAATAAACGGTTGGCAGCCATACAAAGCTGAGTGAGCGGCCCTGTAATAGAATAAATGATAGGAGTGCTTTTCCTTTCTGACAAACCAATTATGTAGCACCCCCAGCCAGCAAGCTGTCCGAATAGCACGTTGCCAAAGTGCGGAAGATAATAAGAGTTTCTGAAAGACGATGTCATGGAAAGAATGGAAAGAAAGATAACGTGGCTGAGCATGGAACGGTCCAAATCAAGAAGATCAGACAAACTGCCGAGTTGCTTATTGATTTCGAGAGGCAAAACGTGTGGAAGCTAGAATTCAGATGAATCCGTCGAACCAAAGATGTGAAGACGTAGATGTTGACCACCAGACCGAAGCAACTCCACTGAAAGTTCTATCTTATGCTCACAAAATAACTTTGAAAAAATTTGAAAATCATCAAAAAAAAAACCAAGGATAACTTATGCTAGATAAGCCAAGAAGTAAGCTTTTAAAAGTTTTTCAAATTTTCTCGAAAAAAATTTGGACAAAAACATAGTTCTATGAAGTTGGAGAATTATTCAAAAAAAGACTTTGGTCTATAATTAATTAAGCATTGAAACTCACAAAAAGTGTTATGAAAGTGGCCGAAATTCGAAGAATAGAACTCACTTCCATTTCTATGGAAATGGAGCAATGAAAAATCACATAAGGGACTCGCTTCGAAAATGATTAAGCCTGGCAGAGGTAATCTGATTTTCGGCGGGGATATTGCAATCTCACATTGACTCAATTTCTGCGAACGTTTTTTCTAGTCTTTTTTATTGTTTGTAAAATGAGATCCTGTGGGAAATGAGGTGGCAATTGGCGCGTTTGACATAATTAATTGGTATGTTCGAAAAAAAAGTTTCGAAACGCTGTTAATTGAAAGGAAGCAGCCACTAGAGAGCACTTGTGCGCTTTACTGTGTGCAACTGATTATAATCGCTTTTCTAAATGGAGAGAATATCAGTCGCACATAAGAACGGGTTCGAAAAGATCTTGCAAGCCCAAACGGAGGAGGTTCTACTCCTTCGCGAGCCACAACGTAGATATAAAAGACCAGTTTACAGAGGTTTTGAAGAATATTCCTGATCTCCCTGCTGTCGTCCGTGACGTCTTATTGAACAAGAAGAAAACATTTTCTGGAGTCCCTGCGGCGCAACGTGCGTTAGAGTCAAAATCGCCCCATGAAAAAGATCTCACCATCGTCGTCGTGGACCATCAAAAATCAGAAGAAGAAAGCCTGGCAAGCTAAGCTCGTGATCCTGTCAAAAAACCACGCATCAACATATGGACAAGGCTATGAGAAAGATATCATAATTTCACATCAGTTCATATATGGACTTCATTGGTGTCGGTCTTCATCCAGACTGCAAATGATATCAAATAGACACAACCAGCTAAATTGTAACGACCTTAAACTGGAACCAACCCCAATCCATTATGTTCTTTATAGTTTTATTACACGGCGTGTATAAATACTGAAACGGCTTAAAAAGTTATAGTTTCTGAAAATGACCAAGAAAATTCAAGAATTTTTTGAAAAACTGGTTTTCAAAAGCTGCAAGCATCAAATATCGATTTAACACATTTATATATTACTTTTATAACTTTCTTCGATTCGACCCAAAATTTTTTAAATCAAAGTGGAACTTATCGAAATGGAGCGAAGAATAAACATTTCATTTCAAACATACCGTAATGACGCATCAGACCTAGAATATAGTTGAAAAAGAGGGTGAATACACCTTGATTGAGGTGAAAATGCGGAATTTCAGCTTCCAGGATCTAAAAAGGACGTCAGCCTTTGGCATTCCGTTGAGGAACTGAGTAACGAGAAAAATGTCCTTAATTGACTATTCAGGTGTTTTTTCTTTCCCAATTTCTTTCAAGATGTTTGTAATCAGGCGCAGTTCATCTTGAAGGCTTTAAAAGGGAGAATCCGTGGTTGCGGAGCTGGCCTCATGAGTTTCTACGGACTTGTGAACGTCCTCGCGGAGGGTCTCTCCATGATCACCACCTGTCGAGAAGTCCCCGCCGGGAAGAATCGCACTAGGATGGAGTGTTCTATCGAGCAGACATACTCCGCGCTCGTCGGCATGTTCCAGATAGGTTAGTTCTTCGAAAACTTCATTCGATCGGCTCTTTGGACCAAAAAGTGTTCCATTATCGTGTAAGTCAGAACCCATTGAAATTCAGGTAGTCCGATTTCCAACATCATGCTGATCGCGCAAGCCGGACTTCTCGTCATTTTCTGGACTTGCACTTTTGCAATGAAGCGCGACTTCACAAAGTCGTTCTTGATCTCGGTGTGCCTTCTGATGACCGTCGACGTCTCTCTCAGAGGAACGCAGCTGCTCGTGCAAATTTTCGACCCCTACCTTTTGCCCTACACTGTGTTTGTTAGATAAAAAACGACTCATTCGGAAAAGAAAATTAAGGAGCTATTGGATCCACACTTTGGGACTGGTGTTCAACTGCGCCACGCGCTACGCTTTTGCTGCTGGGTCTCTTCTGTTCACCGTCTTTTCCTTCCGAACGGCCTGCACCAGAACTCAAATGGCCCATGGCTGCTGCACATGGTTACCTTTTTCGGATACCTCTGCCTTTTTTGTTTAGTTTGGCTTTGATATCAGAAGTATATTCAGCGTTCCGTTCATGATAATTGCTGCCGCGGCCGTTGGTCTCTCGGCAATGGCCTACATGAACATGTTGAGCATCTACGAAGCTCCGATTCTTCGCTACGCGTTTCTAATCATCGGCTCTCTTCCCGTCTTCTTGGCCAAGTTGTTGGTTGTGCTCATGTGCATCTGCTGTTGTTGTTTGCGACCCAAGGTCGGCATGGCGCTGGATGATCCAGTCGTCTGGAACGCCAAATCGCGTCTTTTTTGGTGCATTCCACTGCTCATTTCCGCTAGTCTCACCTGCACAATCGACATTGGTAGGCTTTATTTATTCGTTAATTTTGCAAATAGTTTTTTTCTGAAACCGGCAGCTAAAGGCTGACGATTCACTGTATTTTTTTCAATACACTTAAAAATTTTACACATTATTATCATTCGGCCTCCAGAGAAGTTCTCTGCTGGATCATGGAATAATGGAAAAGTTGTTTGCCGGTTCACATAAGATGGAAGTAGAATAAACCACATAAACGCCATAAATTTTTCGGGGAACTATAAAAGCAACTGCTGCATAAGAACGGCTTCTAGAAGCTGGAGTATTTGGTCTTTTTTTAGTTGCGAACTGAAATTAATGACTGGTACTGTGAAGTGAAACCTATTCAAGTAATATTCTAATTAACGTTCGATAAGAGTCTTTCCAGTCTCATACCTGATGACTTCTCCCTATTCGGCCAAATGGAGCGTTTCGGAAGTGAACGTCGTGATTCTTGTCGCCGTCTTCCTTTTCTTGCCGGCCTACCGGTACAAATCCTTTCGTTCCCAAATAGTTTATGAGTTTCTTCCAGATCGAAGCTGTTCTGCGGTTGCTGCTTGGAGACACAGCGGTCTAGGGTGGCGCCCCTGGCCGAGCCTTCTACGGCCACGCCGCGAGGACCCGTCACGCAGCTCTATCAGATGCCGGTGACGACGGCATCGACGGCTCCGATCTCGTTGCCCTCCGCCTACACCTACGTCGCTCCGGCTCCAGTGCAGCAGCCCATGTACGTCCATCATCCCAGCCAACAGGTCGTTTTCTCTTCCGGCTTCACTCACAACCCCATGCTCGTTGCGTGATCGCGGTCGATGATAAACCTTGTTAATACTCTTTGTGCACTGAACATTCAAAGTTGACCTGAGTGTTTTTTTTTACGACGGACAGAAGTGTGACTCAGGAATGGGAGGTCTTGGAAGTATATGTGTACTTTCCAAGACAGGAGCTTTCGATGACTTCGGATTTTTAGGAATTTTTAATACTTCACGGTAAAAACAGTAAGCTTATTGAGGCTAATTTTAAAATGGTGACTAAAGAGGATTTTTGAATTTTTCTGAAAGGTCTTCTTGCAATATGCTTTAGGCCCCTCAGTCTAGCCAACACTTTCAAAAAAAGAAAAACAAATTTTTAACGCCGGATGAGCATGGAAAGAGCAAAAAATGAATCAGGATTAATACGAATAAATGAAAAAGTTTGGTCTTGCAAAAAACCTATGAGAGTTTTCATATTTGCTTCTCAGCTCTTTCATTTGGCTGATAAAAAACGCATTCCGTTAATTTTCAATTAACCGCTTCTTCCTTTTCAGGCAGAGTTGTTATTCGTTTCAATTAGCAACGCAATCAAGTTTAATTTTTATTCAAACTAATTCTAAGAACTCAGGAGATGACACGAAACGTGAAATCAAGAAAAAAACGAGCGCTATCAGGCAATGATAAACATAATGACTGCGTACTGCGAATCAGATTTTAAAAAAAGCGGCAATCTAACTTTTTTTAATATGGTTGTTTGATGAAGATGTGGAGGGGTGAAGTGACTTGAATTTTCAAATAAATGTTCAAGGGAAAAATAAGTAAAACAGGCCTGTTATTTAGTCTTGTAAGGTTCTCACTGATTCATCAAATAAATGACGTTCGAAAAGAGAAGCATGACTATTACATTTTCGAAATAAATACCAGCTCAACTTGAGCTAATCTTTCGGATAGTGCCCTCTGAACTGACTTGTGCCCAGTTGTTCAAAGTTGCCTTTAAGCTTTTTCAGCTCTAATAAGAGTACGTAAACTGAGAACTTCAAGGAATAACGTCAAGGCTGGCAACGTCGAGAGGCTTGATGTGGACTCGCACGGCGTGGTCAGAGTTCTCGTCGGCAACGTAGATGGCGGAGAGCTTGGGTCTCTTCCGGCTGAACATGACGGCCAGTTGTCGTTGCAACGACGGCTGAGTCCACAAAAACGAGAGGCTTATCACATACGGATACAGGATAACGATGGCGGCTTCGACGAATTGATTATGGAAGTAATCTCGGGATTCGTAGTAGCCCAAGGCTATCTATGACTCATCTTTTTATTCGAACATTTCCCAAAAAGACTCACCATCGTGTAGAACGTGATTGGAATGCTCTGCTTGAGAGCCATGTAATCAATCATGAATAACTCATTGCGACGTTCCTCGTCGTCAGGGCTCTGCAAAATGCACGACTCGCGGACGAGCGCAACTGTCACCACGCACGCCAGAAAAAGCCTCGCTACTTTGGTTCCCTTCAAGAAAAAGCGGGTTTTCAAATTTCTCTCTTGGTTTCTGACGTTATAAAATACAGAAACTGCAGTTCCAGAACCAATAAAGCGGTCAATCAGGAAGTGAGCATAACGGCTAGCTGTGAGAAGGGCCACGATAGTAATGGAAGCTCCGGGAACAACTCTGTAATTAGGCCCTTTATCATATTTCCTTCAGTTCAATGATCTGGTTTTCCGTAGTTTCATAAACTCGAAGTACCTGTAGAAGTAGTTGATGAGAAAAGACCAACGGAGACGATGAATAGCCAACATGCGCATGTACAGAAGAACGTTCAAGCCAATAATGCAGTCCATACAGACGCAGATGCTTGCGCTCGGGAAGACGAAAGCCCTACGCCAAAGAGCCCATGGAACCGCACTGAACAGCATCAAGGCGACCACCTCGTAAATCACCAGCAATACATAGAACGTCTTCTGCAATACATACTGTTTGGATAATTTCTCATCGAGATCATGAAGAACATGATCCCTATACCCCTATACAGAAACAAGTTTAAAAGAGCAAAGAACTTTTTTTTTGGTTTCTTACGAGAAGTGTGAAGAAAAATCTTCTTATTTTTTGCAAATGACTGTAATAGCCTTCCGTATACTTTTATATTTTCACATGTTGACCAACTTTAAACCGAATTTTAGACCCAAGCTACCATTCTTTTGAACTACTTAGTGAGTGGACTGAGAAAATAATTTAGATAGAGGTTATTTTTGTATTGATGGGATGATTCGATCAGGAACTCAGAAAAAAAAAAGTCCACCGGATGTCTCAAAGAGACTTTTTTTCAATTCTAGTTACCTTGCTCTCGAGGAAGCTGGTACTGAAGAGAATTCTGACATAGATGATGTTCCATACGAGACCGAAGACGAGGGCGAATCTCAGCGTCGCCGTGGGCACGTCTCCAAAGAGCTCGAGCATAAGAGCCAGAGCTCGTCGAGCTTCGGAACTTGAAAGAACAATCAACGAAGCTTAGAGACTCCTTCTCGAGTGCATGAAACGAAAAGGCGAGAGTGGAAAGGTTTTGCACCTGCCCTCGACACTATTCTCAATGGATTTCGCTTGTTCAGGCACGGAGGCTGTGTTTTGAGCTCTTTCACTAATTTCAATAAATTAGACACTCTCGAAAGTTGCTCATTTCAATAATCGAACGGCTATTGAAACACAGATTTCGAATTGGAAACAGTCGGAAAATAGAGTCCAAAAAGGAGTTTAGTTATCAACAACTTGGACTAGTCTGACGTGTCTGTGCTCTCGGATTCATGTGCTATTTGCATTGTTCGCCGGTGAGAAAAAAAGAGGGCGCAGACATGTCAGACATTTTTTTTCACAGCTTTGAAGTTTTTTAAAGTTTGTTTTTAAAATTACTCCCTTTTGTGAAATAAAGTCCATATAGTGGTTACCTTGAATTGAAGTTCAAAAATTTACGGGTTTCTTTTTCCTTTACCAAAGTTTTGAGAGCGTAAATTCAAAGCTTTTTTTACTTGCAACTGTTTTGACGGAGAAGCTAAACCAAAATTCGCTCTAAAATTTTTTGGTTCAAAGCTGATTATATTAAAAAAGAGAAAATGAATGGTTGATTATGAATAGAGGAAGCTTAAAAAAATGATAGAGGAATAACATAAAGAAGGCGTGTCTCGTTGAAAATGTCAAAATCCACAGAAAGCCAAGGTTTTTAACGCTTGGTTAACACATTAGAAAAAAATTGCAGCGAATGAACGGGAAGCTTGGGAAGAGAAAAATGATAAATTAGAGGTTGCAGGTATTGACGCAACTTGCGCTCCAATCCAAACAAGACTACTAATTTAGCAGTTCCACATTATATTTTTCGCAGACACGGCTCATCCTTACCGAGTGCTGTCCTCCCAATTCAAATTCCGAAAGGAAACTAACTCTTCAAAAAGTCAGAGGGAGAAATTGAAATTTGAACGACTAAAAAATATTTTTGAAAAAAATTTTCAATTGGTAAAATTCCTGACATGAAAGCTCATTTTGCTTTGTGGTTGAGAACTTTCTGAAAATTGGCCCTAACGCTCCTTGATGAACCACATGAAGTTTCACAAAGTCTCGACTTGCACAACCTCTTAGTTTTTGACTAAGGACACCTATGAGTCAAAGAAAACACTAATTAAGTATCTTGATTTCGGGGCTTCATAGTTGAAACTATCAGAATCTTCTACTAGTACATCAAGGAGTTTTCTGGCCAAATTTTAGGAAGTTCTCAACCGTAAAGTAAAATGAACTTCCTTGTGAGCTATAAAAGTTTGAACTTCAATAGGAAAAAACAGCTCTAACAGTGCTCGATTCTGGATTGACTCGAGATTTTTAGTGTCATGTAGTATCCGTATCAGAGTTTTGAAAAAAATTTCTCAAATTTAATGTTAAAATCTTTAATTTGTAGCAGATCAGATAGTCATTTTAGTTTGTCGAGTCATGGCTCGCTTGAGACAATATTCAAAATGATTGAGGAAAAAATGTGAAAAAAGAAGAGGTTTATCCGTCTCTGCAGCGTTTTCCTGTTATTATCCTTAAGGAGGTGAGCTGATAGTAGAACTTTATCAGAAAATGTCAGTACCGCAGATTTTCCTGAATAATTCGAGAACTTTTTTCTAGAAGGAAAAGTTCGAAATTTGTTTGTGAAGAAATGTACTGATAGCGCGGGTTGATATCTCTTTTTGAGCTTTTTCTCGTCTCTTAATTAAAAATTCAAGGCGAACCATGTTGAATCATTATTATCATTAAGTTTGCGCAAAGGGTGTTGTGCATTTTTCTCCTTGATTGAGTGAGCATCAACCACCTCTTTGTTTACGAGCACAAATGAATTAATTAAACCGCAACCTTCTTTCTTAGTCATGTGAAGAAGCAAAAATCTTCTCTAATTAAATTTTTTGTTCAGAAAAAAAAAGTCGATATTACAGATTTTCTCATGAAATAAAATTTAAACTCAAAGAGAAACTATTTTGAAGAAGAAACTTAACTAATAACCAATCAGAAAATAGCGCTCAACGTTAATCAACAATCACAAATCGTTTCAGCCCAAGGGAGAAGACTATCGTGAAGATACCAAATCATACGAAAAAGTCAAAAAGAGTTAAAGAATAAGAAAAGATGATTTCTTAAATTAGGGAAGTTGATAACACGATATCACAAATTTATCTTTCTTTTTATTTTTCAAATACTTGAAGATATATATATATAGTACATCTACTAAACCAAGGAGGTCAATATTTGTAAGAGGCTTCAGATTTTCTCTTATCTAGCTTCGCCATTAATTAAGATTATTTTTATTCAAATTGTTATAGCGCACTTTTCTCGAGCACCCATTTCGACCACATTTTTTAATCTGACGCATTTCGACCATTTTGAAAAATGCTGAAATCACGCATTTTCGAAGACAATTCATACTTCTTTATGCATTGGAAAAAATCAAATAAGATACTTTTCATTGAGTGGTTTCAAAGCTTTTGGCAATACGGGATGCTTATTTTGAAATATTCATTAACTGATCGGAAAGAACTTAGTTTTGGAACGAAAACCCATGGTTCGAGACACCGACGTCGGCGGCTGTTCGCTGGTCATCATCGACATTGTCAGATTCGATTCAGCCAATATCATCATCGTCGATTCTTTTGAGACTGGCAGCGGAGGCGGCAAAATCTGCTCTTTTGTGCCTTTACGCCTTTTGGCTTCTGAAGCCATTTCTTTTTACTTCCTTGAGTCTTCGAAAAGGACCAACTGAAAAGAGGAGATGGATCATACATGTGGTGAGCTTTGCTTGGAAATAACAGCGGTTGCAGTTCTTTCTGAAATTGCTCTCGATTTACTCTTTATTCACATTTGAAGAACCTCGACAGTTTGGATTCGATAATACCAAAATACCAATAAAATAAAAAATAGTGGAATCGCCATCATTAAACCAACGATCGACGCGGGTACTATGTACTGAAAACAAAAAAAAATGGGATATTCCGGGGAGCACCGAAGAACGAAGAAAATTGACTCAGGGGCCGTCTGAAGTGAAAAAAAATTAGCGTAATTTAATTTTCTTACTATCAAAAACTCCAGTTTTCCTCCAAAAATTCATCAGGCAAAAACGCCAAACCCACCACAACTACAAAAATTAAACCAATCAATATGATAACTTGTGGGAAAAACTTTTAATCCAGGTGGGCAACTCCTATTTCCAGCTTAAAAGCTCGAAACGAATGACAAAATTGTTAAGATGATTGAGATTTTCAGGAAGAATGGCCGATTTCTTTATTGCATTTTAAAATGTTTAATTTCAAGCTAAGAAAATATTATATCTTTTGAAGTTTCAATCTGTGGATAAATCAATGGTACGAGATGGTTCTTTTTCGATGTAATAAGAAACTTGCGATTCGATTTTTGTGAGCACGTCTGCCAATTTCGAATGTCTCGATCACAAGGAAAATCTGAAAACTTTGAGTAATTTTCGAGACGATGGGAAAGTCCTACGCAAAGCATGAAAGGTACGACTTCCCGCCAGGTGAAGCGGTTTATAGGCGAAAAGACTGTGAAGTACCGGATGAAGCCTTCGGGCTCAGAGTAGATTCTGGTGAGGTCTTTCAGCAAGTGGATCACCCCTCAACGCAGAAAAGATTTGTCTTTTTCGACCAACATCAAAACCGTAAAGAAAGACAAAAACAAGCAAAGAGAGGAACGTGTAGAACGTTACAACGGTAGAAGAGACCAAGCCGATGGAGGAGGTCTGTATCGAACTGAAAGGCACCTGCAAGAAAACAAGACATTTTTCATCGTTCATATAAAGTTCAAGATCACCAGTGCATAAAACAGAACCGCAAACAAGGCAACGAAGCTGTACGTAATGTAAGTTTTGAGAGCAGCATAGTCTCGAGCCAAGGCTTTCAGTGAGATCAGTCCGCCTAAAGAGTAAAAAAAAAGATCGGAAGGACGAAAAAATCATCCGGTCAATGACCTTTTTTTGATAATCAAAATTCATCGAGAATTTCTAACAATTTTCCTCTTTTTTTGGAAACTCGTCAGCAAATTTGTAAAAATAATTACATTTAAGGATTTCGATGTTCTTTCGAGAGAAGAAAGAGATAAAAAAACTTTTTGATTAAAAAGATTTTTCTCTCCGTCTCGTCTTCGTACTGACTAGATAATCTTTGACGCCTGAACAATTACCACGGTTTTTAGGACGTGTTTTTTGAAAAAAAATTTTTTTTCCATAACGAAAAAAAATTTCTGAAAAAAAACAAAGAAGAATACTGTTTCAAAGCATTTTCCGATAGCAAATAAACATTTATTACGTTCTCAGAAATTTTTAGTTTCTCAGTTGAACACTATGTAAATGCTTCATAATAATGTTCTCTCCGTTTCATCTGCATCAGAGTTTCGATTAACAATCTATCGAAAAAATATCAAATGTTCACGAAAGTCAGGGAGACATAACCAAAGTGATACCTAGATTTGAAGAAAACTGCATGACGAGATAAAGAATGTTGAAGAGAACAAGGCGGAAATCTGCTATACGGTGTACGGCGTGGACTTCGGGGATCTTGACGGTCGGCATCGCGATACCTGAAAGATGCAACTCCTCACAAGAAGAGTTTTTTGACAAACTCTGGTCGTAAATGTGAAATCGGCTCATGTAATGGAAATGGTGGTTCTCCTTGGGCGAGGCGTGGATGTCGTTGGGAATTAATGAGGAGACCAGAATACCGAACACGACATAGCCCACACAGGCTGCCGAGAGCTGTACCTTCCTCATGAGGAGCTGACATATTCCACAGATCTACCTCGTAGAATCTGCTGTTTTTGGGTCGGAAAGAAGCGAGTGAAGAGACCCCGTAGCCCGTGAGACGCAGACACAGCAGTGCAGATCGAAACGAGACTGTCCACATCTGAAGCAAGCTTTTCCTCCACCAGCTGTTCATTTTTATCAGAACACAACATATTCTAAGATTTTTCCTAGAAAGGCTGAGATATATTTTTTGAACTCTACTGGAATCAAAAGAATATGTTGAAAACGACCCTGTGAATTAATGTTCAAAATGGCTTTCACAAACACGTTTCGGAAAACTTCGTCGAAAATTCAAAATTGGAAAGTTCAATCTGTTTTTTTGAAAGAGAAATAAGGAAAGTATGTTCATTATTCAACGATGAGAGAAGAAAAACTGCGAGTATTATTTTTGCACCGAAAAAAACTCTTTTCAGAATCTTCGAACAGAAAAACGACGACCTTTGATTGCGAGAAGCAGTAATATGATGAAGCCTGCAAGGCCACTTCCATTGCCCAGGAATGGATTCCAATCGAGTTGGCAAATGCTACAATCGGCAAAAGAACCCCCGACAAAACCACTGAAACGGGAATGTTTTTTGAGAGCTCGAAATTTCGGGATCAACTTACGGAGGACACTCATAAGAACTTTGAACCATTTTATTGGCATTTGCAACAAAATCATGTTGAAGACGAGAATAGAAACGAAAATATAGATCCCCTGAGAATAATCAATTCTTTGTCGTAATCGCGGCAATTAACTCACTGTGGGCGAAGAAAACGAAGCATTTCTGGCAACCGAGCTGCAATTTTCCATGTTTCAACTCTTTTTTTCTGTGACTTTGGCCATTTCGACCTTATTATTTACTATCTGCAAAAGTTGAGTTCTAAAAAAGTTGAAAACCTTTGAAAGTAGACAAGCGGAGAATGATATGAGCCGTTAGTTTCGTGAATATCGACACATTCTGATACAAGAAAAGTTGGAAAAAACTTCCAGTTGGAAAAAAAAACGTTGATTTGAAGGAATGTCGAAGCTGCAGTCGGCGACAGAGTTCAAGCCGTAGGAGGACAGTTTGAAAAGATGTCTCAGGAAGACGCCCAATTCGAAGACTTGCAGCACGTGCTGCAGACACGTGAAGACCATCAATCCGACCCCGATTCCTGAAAAACCTTCTCTTACCTTATCGACTTGAACTGAAACGACAATGAGTGGAAACTCACCGGTGAAGAAGACGCCATAGGACTGGAAAGCTCCCACAGGCGACTTCTGTGTCATCTGGCCGATGAAAATTTCGAGAGCCAGCAGAGGGAGAACGAAAATAACTGCGTTTAAGATAGTCGCAGTCAAGTAGGCAACTGGAAAAAACTTTTTTGATTTCACAGCCGACTTCAAACTCGAAGACGTACAGCCTCCGTCAATGAGGAAATGCATGGGTACGATGGTGAGCCATTGCGTTGACGTCATCATCGACATCATCGACATGCAATCGGTGACGAAGTCGAAGGCGCTTTCTGGAAAATGATATACATATCTGAAATTCATTTTTAGGTTGGGAGTGATTTTAGTTGAGGTTTGAGAAAAATATTGATATTTAAAAAAATTTTTCTTTTTGATTCTGATGGTCTACACAGAATTTCTTAGGGGTCGTCAATTGGGAAGAAAAATCACACGAATTTGAAATGAAAAAAATTGTTCTCGTGTTTTTTTGTCTGCTTCCCGTTGGACAGGTGTTTTATGAAACATAAGGAATTTTTGTGCACCAATCCAAATAGAAACTCAAACTGGCGAGAAAACAAAAAAATCGCTTTAAAAAAAGACGTATATTGATTCGATTTTCTTTTTTTAAATACGTATTTTAGTTCGATTTTTTTCAATCTTTCGAAGCGATAATAATTCTGTTTTTTCTTCAAGTCGAATAGAAAACAAACGATTATCTTCATCATCAGTTTTTCTAACTCCATAAACGGCGGAATTCTGAGGACGCGGAGACGACCTGACAGCGTTGGGCAGTTTTTCGCCACTGAGTTTCTTCCGAGTTGACCGCTTCGGAGAGACTGTCGTCCGCGGATTACTCGACTGCTTCTGACTTGGCGTCTTCTGGACGGCTTCTGCATCGCCTGCTTCTGGCGACAACGCCATCCTCCAGCTTCCACGACCGTCAATGAGGCTTGCTCTTCTTTGTCACACTCGTAACGTTTCAATTATTTTATTCATCGGAATAAAAAAAAAACCAATGTGGACAGACAAACGGAATTCATTACCGAATCGTCGTCGTTACGAAGAGCGCGTGGAGAATCATAAGTGGAATTTGATATTGAGCACATTTCAACCATTTCTCAACAAATTAAATTAAATAATAATATGATTAAATAACATATGGAAGCGAAAATATGGCAAAACGAAGCAAGATATAATTGGTCCAAGCAAAGTTTTTGGGTTGCGCAGCCATTTTTGAAGAGAGAAATCAAGGAGATGAACCAACACTTCTGAAAAGGCATTAGGATCCCGTAAACAAGAAGCATCACAAGGTTTCAAAAAAAATTAGCGAATGAAAGGTCTCGAGTGGAAAGGAGCGTCTAGAGCTTCTTCTTGACGAGTCGGTGTCGTTTTCGGAGGCAGCAGACGCCTTGCATGCACTGGGAATAGCCGCTGCCGCAGCCGCAGCTCGAGGAGCCGGAGACCTGGGCGCACATGACGATGGCCGGCGGCTGGGAGAACGAATTCTGAGCGACGCACGACGGTTGGCACGAAGGTTGGCATTGGGGAGAGCACTGTAGAGCCGGTTGAGCCTGCAAAATGCGACAAAGTATGAGGAAACGTCATAGCTGGGCTGAGAAACTCGCTCTCCCTAAACATCATATGATCTGAGAAATCTGGACGATCGTCATTTTCTATTTTGGAATCTCCCTTTCCATAGTCGGTAAATAATCCTTTCGGAAGATTTGAAAATTTTCTGGTAAAAAAATAATATTTTGCATAAAACGATTCCAGCGACCGAATCTAATATCTCATTGTATTGCAATCTTTTTACAACTTAGACAGAAGAAAAGAAAATTTTAAAAAAAACTGGAATCAATCTCAAACCCTACACCTCATTACTAAATCTGACTTTGTATTGAGGAAAAAGTATTCAAAATTAATTCGTTCACATGAAGTTTAATAAACTTAAGTTTCGCTTTGTTACATATGGTCTATGGTAGGAAAAAGCTGTCCATTTGACACTTTAACCGAGGTCGTAAGAGCCGAAAAAAGGAAAGGGTTTTTTTTTTCGCGGGGCTAGTCGCTCTAAAAACAGCAAGCTTGTCAGCTTCCTTTTTTAGATCTAGCGCCTATGTTTGTCGTGTCCCCCCACGTCGTAATTGTTTGTTAGGCTTGAAGGTATTCCCACGCGGAGAAGGAGGGGAAGACTGGAAGTTGGTGCTCGTTTTTGTTTGACTTTGAACAGGGCGAACTCGGCGGCCGCGAGCTTTCAAGTGGACAAAGCAACACGAAGTTCCAAACGGAGCGACCGACGAACCTGGCATGTTTGGCCGCAAACGGGTGCCGCCTGGACGACGACTACTTGTTGCTGACCACACGACTGCTGACAGCTGCTTTGGCACGCCTGCGAGCACTGCGAGTTCGAACCGCACGACTGCTGAAAGAGTCGAAATAAGCAAAGAAGTTTCTCTACAGTAACACTCTACAGTATTCAAAATATAGTCCTCATTAGCGAAAGTAGGTCAGAGAAGTTCTCCAAATTCTCTCCAAGACGACATTTACCTGGCAAGAAGGTTGACAGGCTTGAACGCAAAGGGCTTGTTGCTGAACACACTGAGGTTGGCAGGACGGCTGACAGGCTGGCGCGCACGAGCCCTGATTCTGCTGTTGGACGACGATGACCTCAAGTTTTTCGAGTCATTTTTGAGAAACACTCTCTTTGTCAATGTTCTCTTGATTGTGAGCATTTCCAAAGATGAACGCGGTCCTTGAAAGTCCAACTTCGAAACTTGAGCTTCAAGAACAAATAGCCTAGATGAACTTGGAAAACACACCCTGGAATTTTTTGCAGCGATTTCTAGGCTTCATTGGACTCTCCCGTCGTGTAAATATGTACTCTACGGGGAACAAGGCGAAAAGATCAAATTTAAGTTTTTGAGAGACAATTTTGTGTGAATTTTGGTCTTCGCGGTATTTGTCCGAGGAGGACACATTTACGCGGCTACACGGCCATAGAGACCTTGAATTCCAAATGTATTGTTCTAGGTTTATTTTTCTCGGTTTTTATTATTTGCGCTCATTTTTCCGAAACTAAGCGCTATTTCGAAAAGAGGAGTTCTTCGCTGAAATTTAGCATACAAAGTTGAAAAGGCCTATACAAAAATAGAGGTCAATGATTTATTTTCTTTTTGATAACGACTCAGGGTAGCTTGATTTAATATACCAGTTTAATTTGGAAAATTTTCCAAAAGAAGCAAGAAACTTTGAAATCGAAAATCAGCCATGAATAATGTGGAAAGATTGTGAAAAAGGTTGATTTCTAAAAACAGAACATTTCAAAAAGTCTGTATTCACAAAACGACAAGGTGTTGAGACGTTAATTCAAAAGTTCTATTGCCTGTTTGAAATTTGTTTCAGTAACTGGGAGAGTTCAAAAGTCTCAATCTGTGTCCATTTCTAAGATATATTCAACATTGAAAAATGCAAAAACCGGAGAAGAGGAATCTAAACCATTTTTTGATCAAAATTTTTCTGAGGATTAAAAGACCACCAAAACTTCAATTTTTTTCATAAACATATCCGCAAAAATGTTAACTTTTTTGTAATATTTTTGATTATAAATTATCGACTTTTTTAAATCGAATTTTTCGGAGAAAAAAAAATTTAAATGAGAGAAAGAACGTGTGTTTTTTTATGTGTTTTCAACCAAATGGAGGACTACCTGGGGCTGCGACTGCTGCTGCGTACAGCTCTGTTGGCAGCTCGGCAGACACGCCTGCACGCATTGGTTGTTACCGCCGCAAGAAGACTGAAATGAACGAAGAGTTCTCGAACTGTGTGGGTGCAAGGAAACCTGACAAGATGGCTGGCAGGCGGACTGACAGACGACTTGCTGCTGGATGCATTGTGGTTGGCAGGCTGGTTGGCAGGCCGAAGGACACGACTGTTGTTGCTGCTGGACAACAATCACCTGCAAGGGAGAGGATTCAGGGTTTCGCGTTGTGAATGAAAATTGACGATGTGAATCGAAAAATCTTTTCTTTTTTTTAGAAAAAGAAAAGTTAATGAAATTTTCAAGAAACGCTCGTTTGCAGAGCTTTATTTTATTTTATTTTTTTTTTTTGAAGTTAGAGGCTAAAGCTTTGAGAACGGACAGGTTGCTGCTGTTGGACGCAAGAAGATTCACAGCTGGGCAGACAGGCTTGGACACACTGAGCGTTGGAGCTGCACGACGACTGAAAACTCACGTCATCCACTTCAATAGTCTGAGAGAGAAATAGACCTGACAGGAAGGTTCGCAGGCGGCGGAGCAGATTTGTTGCTGCTGAACACACTGAGAGCTGCACTGAGGCTGACACGCTGGAGCACACGACGGCTGTTCTGGCTGTTGAACGACGATAATTTGTTGTTGTTGCTGTTCAACGCATTGTGAAGAACACATGGGCTGGCAGGCCGGAGCGCAGGCCTGTTGGACGCACGAGGGCTGACAGGCCGGCATACAGGCGGAGGCGCACTGCTGTTCTGGCTGCTGGACGACAATGATTTGCTGTTGCTGCTGTTCGACGCATTGCGAAGAGCAAATTGGTTGGCAGGCTGGAGCACAGGCTTGCTGGACGCACGAAGGCTGACAGGCTGGCATACAGGACGAGGCGCATTGCTGCTCGGCGGGCTGCTGGACGACGATTATCTGAGGCGTCGGCTGATTGCAGTTGTTATTGTTGCAGCTCTGAACACAAGATGGCAGACAGGCCGGTTGACACGCCGACTGGCACTGCTGCTGAGGCTGTTGGACCACGATGATCTGCTGCTGTTGCTGCTGAACACACTGAGGCTGGCACAGAGGCTGGCAGGCGGGAGCACAGGTCGGCTGTTGTTGGCACTGGTTGCAAGAGACCTGGTAGGTGAGAGCCCCGCAGCCGCAGCTCGTGTACTGCTGCTGGAGTTGAGGACAGTTGCAGGAGGAGCTAGTCGAGGCGCTGCAGCCACACTGCGTCTGGAGCATGTTGGCACAGTCACATTGTTGGACCTGAGAAGAACTTTGATCACAGTCTAAAATACATGATGGACCTGCAGTTGGAGAGCTTGGCAATTGCACTGTTGCTGCACCATTTGCGGACAGCAAGAGTTCTGGGCGGCGAAGCAGCACTGCCGCTTGGCTCGGCTCATCACCTTGGTTTCGTTGCGGGCATCCGGAGTCTGAAATAACAAAAAATTGAAATGGAGCCGACAAAAAATTGTATCCATACAGCACAATTCAGCGTTCCCATCCCTAAGAGTTCTTTTCATGGTTCAAATTCTTTGAGCACTCGAAGTTACAGCTTAAATCTGTGAGACTGTATATATTCGTCCGATTTTTGGATTTTGGAAAGAAAGCCGGTACCATGGTCCTGTGAAGGCTTCCCTATCTGAGTCATAGCTTCTTCCGTCGCTGAGATCTAGTCAAGGCGACGAGTTTGGTTGTACATTGAAGATTCGATGAACGGCTTTTCTATGACAAAGTGGAATTTCAACCAGACTGAGTTTGGAACTTCAAAATCACACGCGTAACATACATCAGCTTTATCTATCAGAAGCCTCCTTAGAAAAGAACGGGCGGAAGTCCAAAGTTGGGTTGAGCGGCGGGAGAAAGAGGCCAAACAGAAGGCGAAACACACATTACGGGAGCCGACTAGGAGAGCGTGGCTTGTGCATTAATCGACTGTACGAATTAGAGGCCGCTAAGCACGGCGCCGCAAATTAGCCGTTCCGAAATTCGAAAAGCCTCAAAAAACGGGTCTTTCGGCGATGAAATTCACACTGGATCCAAGAGAACAAAGGCCGATCAGCCAAATACGGTCATCGGAAAAGCTGATAGGCAAACTTCCAAAGAGTCAATAATTGAAACAATACGAAAACCTTTTCAGAGCTCACAATCCTCGAAAAAAAAAGTTCGGACAAAAAGAAAAAGATTTCTTCAAGTTTCAATAGTCGACTACTCTTGATTCTATCTCACTGATAGTCGATAAGCTATCTCCCAGTAGATCAATTTAAAAAAGGAAGAACTAAATAAAAAAAAGAACAATATAGCCATGCCAAAATTTGAAAAAAAAAAAATTAAATTTGCTCTTCTTTTTTTCAGCAACTGAAAGAATGAAAAAAATCATTCTACAAACAAGAGGAAAAAAATTTTCAGCCGAAAAATACTCATATCATCTTTTTAAATGATATAACAGGAAGGTGCAGGATATCTTATTACGAAACCTTAAAAAGGAGAGAAATTGTAAAAAAAAAACCATGAAAAACTATAAGTAAGTTCAAAAACTGAATTTAAACTTCTTATTTATTCAAAAGAGTTCTTCTTATTATTTTTCTGGAAGCTAACTCTGTGTAACCGTGCAAGTCAAAAGGACAAAAAAAAGCAGGAAATCAAATTCGAGAGTGTTTGAAAAGGAAAAAAAACTTTTTGTATTATGGTCGAACTTCGGTTGACAAAATATAAAAAAAACGAAAACGATGAAAAAACAATGATTGAAAAATGATTGATACCTCTTCAGTGGTTTCTGGGACGACGGTAGAGCTTGAGGAGGCTTCAGTGGTCGGATTCTCGGTGGCAGTTGAGGCAGCAGGAGTGGCAGTAGATGTCTCGGACGCCTTGGTGACGTCCTTGGCGAGGACGGCGACGGAGATGATCACCGCCAACGACAGACAACGCCAGGGTCGCATCGCGTCTGAAAGAGTCCACGTTTCGGAATAAAGGCTAAGCGACGACAAGAACGAGCTGAACGACTCATGAGCGGAGGAATGAGGAGACTGAGTCCAGTTTGAAAGTGTGTGACCAAAGGGTGTGGTGGGAGAGAGGCAGCATCGCCGGAGGGAGGTCGACCGCCTGTCCAGTCAGCCTTGTTTCGGCTCCCAACGGTCGAACGTCCGCTCCGCCCACTGCCACACATTTTATAGTTCGGTTCAGTTCGGCTTAGCCGTTAAGGAGGCCTCTTGCAGGGACCATCGGTCGGGCCGAAAATAGCTCTGGGAACACCTACCTGGCGAGTTGGTGATTTCGTTGACTCAGGTGATAGGCAGATTCGATCTTGTCCCCAACTCTGACTGCTGCGCTCGGACCTAGTTCTTCTGAAAGGAAATAAATACTACAAAGACTCATTTTCCAATGAGTTAGAAGATCGTGTCAATGCTCTCTAACGGAGCCTAAATGTGAAATCATCAACTGCTTTAGAGTCCACAATCGTTTGATCATACGAAAAGCTTGGCGAGCGGGAAAATGAATGCAAACTCGTCAACTTGAAAAAACTCAGATTTTTCTAGGCTTGAAATATTCACGAACTCAGTTTAACTTAGTTTTTTTTTAGTTTTTTCAAAATAAACTTGAAAAAAACCGAGTAGAACTTTTTTTTTGTCGCAGAATATAATAGTTTTTTTATATTTCGGTAAAGAAAACTGATTTTATTTCTTTAATTCCTGGAATTGAGCCTAGATTTTATAGAACACCTTGAAATTTTTTTTTTTGAAAGAGAGAGATCTTTTTTGAATTTTGCCTTTTCGAAACGTCATCATTTTGCATTTCATGGAAGACCGCGGTCCATCGAATTCCCCTTTGAATCTCCTCCGCGTTTTTAGAAACTTTCAAACTAATCATCATACATAAATCAGGTAATAAAAGTATACCGAACATATACCTCAAAATTGATCAGGATGAGGAGTTTCCGACTCTGAAATCTTACACTAGGAAACTAGGAATTGATAAAAGAAGAATTCTCATTTTTTGATCAGATCCTTATGATAATTATTTTTCCGGTTATTAAAAATATTGTAGTTCTGTTTCATTCCAACACCGTCTGTTTGAAGGCGCTGGTGAAGATCAAAAGCTTCCAGCAGCCTCGAGAATTACCTACAATGGCAGGAAATCAGAACAAGTTTCTCAGAGCTTTTCCAAATTGGGCGACCAAGTCGTGTGCGTTCAAAAAGTGACATGAGGTCCACGTGCTCGGAGGCCAGAGCAAACAGTCGCCTGTCGGTCGCTTGATTTCTCGGAGGCTTCCAAGTGATTCGGATTTGGGATTTACACGCGCGAAGAATGGCTCGACAAATAGAACATTTGCTGGCGGCCTCGGGGCACAAAAAATGCTTGCGGTGCGAAATTCAAGAGCACTTATCATTCGAGTGTTGTTCTACACGAAATTTTCTGCTCTCTCTCTGCGATGCCCGGTCCGTTTAGGCACAAAATCGTACATTGCCGGCTGCGGAAGCCGAGAAATCCAATGAACCATGTGAAAAGTTTGGAGGTGCATTTCGAAGTCTGAAACAGGCTTTATCGGAACAAATGAAGCTTTATTCGGTACATTTTTTTATGCTTTTTGCTGTTCCACCGCCTATTATTTCAGAAAAAAAGTTCAGCTCTGTGAAAAACCTTAGGAAATAAAATCTTGTCGGAAGTGAACCTTGCTTGCTAACATGTTTCTTTCAAGGTCTCTAAATTTTAATACAGTAGATGAAGTACATGATCGATTTGATCGAGTCTTAGGCCTAAAGAGGAGGTTTTTTGGTTTCGATGAAAGCAAAAAAGCCTTTTCAACTGGAGCTCTTGCCGCTCAGCGAGTGGAAATCCGTCAAAAAGATCAGACTAGTTATTATTTTTTCTTTCGTTGAGTCTAAAATACTTTAACGTTCATTCCAACAAAACTAAGAGGTACATAAAACACTAGGAAACAGAATAATTCTGAAAAGATTGCATCAATCGATTACTGAAATTACGAGTAAAAGCGGATAAAAAGGGGTATAACAATGAGGAACAAATATTTAAAAGAAAAAAATACCCACGCATCGAGAATTTTTCTCGAGCGCATTACTCGTTAACAGTAAAAATCAGAAAATGAAACAGATGAGATACATTGAGGGAGTGAGTTTTGGAGGAAAATTGAAGACCTTACATGCCCTAGGATATATTTAGATGTATAAATATAATAAGGAATATAAAGAAATTCAATAAAAAAAGTTTGAGCAAGCCAAACACGAGAAAAAGAATGTATTGAGAATGATTTACTCCATTGGGGTAGACTCGGCGACGGCGATAGGCGAATTGAACGTCTCCGGTGTTTGGCCGACAGATGCCACGGAGGCGACATTTTCGACGATTTGCAGCTGAACTGGAGGTTGAATCTGTGCCTGGACTACGGTTGGGGCGAACACCGGCTGCTGGTTCATCACTTGGCCTGAGAAGACGCAGAAGGATATTTTCGAGGAGATCTCAACTCACCCATCTGCTGTGGAACGCCACCCATTCCCCATTGCATCGGAGCCATTGGCCTGAAAACATTATTCAGTTTTTCTTCTCTATACTTTGTTGAAGAAAACGCGAAATCGAGCACAACTAGAAGTTGAAACAGGCTTCGAACATAGTGAGCATATCGTAACAAAAAATTGGCGTTTCGGTTAATTAAAAAAACTTCAAAATGGGCGCTGATTTGTTGCGACATTTAACCACGAGCAAGATGAGCAAACTGTTTGAATGGTTTTTAGTGCCTCCGAAAACTTTCACAGCGCTGATAGCTTTTCTCGACTTTTGTACTGCTTTGAAAATATTCACAGGATAATAATAAATTACGAAAAAAAAATATTTTTAATCATAGTATGTGTTGCGTGAACTATTCAAATTGAAGTTAGATAAAATATAGCGGTTGGTCAAGTTTCTATTTTTTTTCAAAATCAGAAATTTACACGAAATTATTAAATTTCGTGAACAAAGAAGTTGAAACTCACAAGCGACCATTGCCGTTCATGAACCTCGTACGAATCGGAGCGGTGGCAGGTAACTGGGAAACTAGAGAATAGTGATAAACTTCGTGTTCTTCGATCCTAGAGACAAAAAAGTAGTATTGGAAAGCTGTGCAATTTCTCACAATTCGACGTCTGATGAGAGCTCCTCGAGAAAGTCCAACTTCCTCTGGCTGATGCGAATCTTGTCTTCCAAGCCGAGTTGAGACTTCAAAGCGAAGTCGAAAGCATCGAGAACCGAAGTCTGAACGTCAGAAAACGTCCATTTTCATTTTTTTAAAAAAGGATTTTTAACCTCAGACATTTCTTCAGTGGAGTAGACAAGATCAATAACTTGAAGGAACAGCTTGATGTTGTCCTGCAACGATAAATTTGAACACCTGTAGGACTGTCTAATTTCTCACGTAATCGCGTTCAATCGCTTTCCGCAGAACTTTATCGGCTGCCTTTCTGTCATTTCGAACTTTCGCCAAGAACCTGAGTTGGAAATAATTTACCATGGAGAGAAATTTTACGCCTTTTTTTCTTTATCTGGTGATGGTTTTCCAAGTTTTTTCCGATACTATATTTCTCTTAGCGGTTACTATAAATATGATTTTTTAAGAATGGAAATTAACCTGGCAAGTTTTTCCGCATAAAAGCTGCTCAAGTGTCTCGAGGTGTCTGGTGCGTAAATCAGCTTCTCGTAGGCCGTGATAACATCCGCGTAGTTTGAATTTCTCAAAACAAAAAATGGACTTTTGAATGAATATCATAGTTTCTTTCATTTTGAATCGTCCTTCAGCACTAAGTTCCACTTGGTTAGCGTTAAACTATTCATAAAAAGTGTCAGGAAATTGGAACAAAAGCTAACTTTTCACTCTCAACTTGTCGTCGCATGGTACTCAAGATGCGCATTTCGACGACTACGAAGCCCGGATATTGACGTTTGAACTTCTCCAGGACTTCGATGGCGCCTTCGAAGTCGCCTGCAAACGCGAAATAAATTTTATTGAGAGCTTTAAGAAAAACTTTCGATTTGGAGGAAAACTTTTGGCTACTGCTTCAATAATATAAAACGAAATCAGGCCCACTAGATCCAATATGTCTTCTATGGGAGACACAGCAATTTCATTCAAAATCAAGAAAGAACAGCATCCGTAGAATATATTTGACTCTGTGCGTTTAATCGTTCAAAAGTGGGCTCAATGAAAAAAAAAACGGATTCAGTAAATTATGCTTTTTTGAATATATAAGACACAGCAAGCATTTTCTTTTTATGTATTTTTGGTTGAAACGTGGTCGAAAAAACTTCAAAAATGAAAAAAAAATTTTGGTTTGCGCTTACGAAGTAGCGAAATCTGAACTTTTTTTGCAAGATCGAAAAATAAACTGACTCAAAACATTTGATTTTTCAACCTAACTACCTTTAAAAAAATGTAACTAAAAAAAGGAACATATTTCAGTTATCCTTCTATGGAGGAAGCTTTTTTTATGAGAAAAAAATAAAAAAACAGTAAATTTGAAATCATATCAAGTTCTAGACAATTCTAAGAGGTTTAAGAAATATAGATTATTTCAATTCTGATACATCCAAAAAATACATTTTTCCAATTTTTTCGCTTTACATGTTGAATGAACGCATATGAACACTTCGAAAAAATTTGATATATTAGAATGAATTATTCCTAACAGATATGAAGTTTTCAGAGCTTCAAAGCTTCCCAGCTCTAAAACATTCTGGTTGAGCTCATGAAAACCGAAAAAAAAAAGCTTCTCTCTTGTCATTAATATCATTCGTTTGATATAAACACTATCGACCTAATTATTCGAGAGAGAAAAATTACCTGGTCCGCTGGGAAAGCTTACCAAAATTTGGAGCCCGACCTTTTTTTCTCCCAACATCTTCTCAATTCTTCGAATGTGTGTCAGTGTAAATTGACATAGCAAAAATATTTCTTCGGTCGGATACGTGACAACGAGAGAGTCGAAAAAGAGTTGACTGTTTACTCGGATTACAGTACCGCGGGCTTCCTCGAAGGAGGCTCGAGCGATGGCGAGCTGAGCCGAGTTGCCGACGTGCACACTCGCCCTCTGGTAGATGTCACGGACCTTCGATTCTGACTTCCGCTGCGCCCACATCCATCGAGCGTACTGAACTCGTCGCGATTGTCAGATTTATATATATCGCAATTTGTGGTCAATAAAGTATCTTCCAGTGTATTTTTTTTTTTTTTCATTTGGGATTTCGAAAACCTTTCAGAAATAAAAACTAAATCCAAACGAAAATCTTGAAAATTAGTTTCTGAAACGAGCATTTCATTAAAAAAAAAATATTCCGAGAGAGACATTTGATACGAGCGAGAATTCTTAAAAGCAGTGAGAGAAAGGCTCACGAAGTAATATTTCTCCTATTAAAACATTTTTTTTGATTTTTTGAAACTATGAACTTCTTCACCTTTATCCAAAACTCCTCGTACAGCGCGCAGGCAATCAGGCACCTCTCGAAGAGAACATTCACACGTTCGTCCTCTCCTTCCTGAAAGTCTTCCACCATTCGCAAAAGTAAAATAGATATGAATAATATCAACGAAAAAAAAATTGAGAAAACTTCCTCATTTTCCCATCTGAGACGTAATGAAGACCCAAAACTTGAACTCACCTAGAGGAGAACTTCTACACTGATAGAAGGTGAAGGTAGGCATTTTTCTCTCCGTAAGCGAACTCATTAAACGTGAACAAACCTGAATCTCAAAGTCGAGATAAGCGATCCAATTGAGAAGTTGGTGGAACTCCAGCGGTTTCACGTGGAAGTAAGGTCTCTTGATCTTAACATGAAAAAGCGTTCAAAATGGGAAATCATCCAAAAATGGGGACCTGGTTCTCGAAATTGAGTCGTTTCGCTGTGAACAGAGCCGTGTCCTGATGAAGTTTCTGTCGCCGATCCAAAATTTCGTATCTCATAAAGTGGAGAAGGTCAGCGTCGTGCTGAAAATAGGGGTTATTTCTCCAAGCGTAAAGCTTTGAACCTTCTTCTCGCGTCCCACGACAATCCTGACGCCCTCCTCTTCGGACGCCGACGGATCTACCTGCACCCAGGTTCTTCCATCTTCGGCGAGTTTCACGAACCTAGTCACCTCCTCATCGCGGAAAAGATCGTCAATCTGCAAATCATCTCATCTTTTATGCCTTTTTCATAAGATTGACGCACGCCGGTGGTGACGTTCTTCCTTGCTTTACTCAGAACATCTTCATATTCTTCATCGGTGAGAAGGACGTCCGGCTCAATGCCGTTGATGTACGCAGCATAACTGGAAACAAGCCTCTTTTCATCCAAAAGTCGAGTTTTTACCGCGTAATGTGGGTTGAGTGAGCGGCCGTCGGAGTCGCCAGAAGTCGGTCGAACAATTTTCCGACGTGAACGGCCGAGGCGTCGTGTCTCCCGCTGAGCAGAGCCTGCACGTATTGATGTTGTTCCCAGCCGATGGCGTCGAGCCAAAGACGGTCGCTCTGGAACTCGAGGCCCGCGATTGACAGCGCTCGCTCGTAGAGTCTGTATTATTCAGTATATGGGAAATAATTGAATTTCGCAAGGTTCCTAATGAACGAATTATTTAAGAGCGTGAAATTCGAAGCCACAGCTTTCATTAAATGTTTACGTTTCTACTGTAAATTTTCAGAAAACAGCAAAAGGGTCACTTTATATAAACGACCACCTTCTGAAAAATTGAAAAAAAAAAACTTAAATTTGAGAGTTCCACTCTTTTTTTTCATACCAGTCCTACGAGAAAAAAAATCTTTGGTCTAAAAAAAAAATTCATAGGTTTCCGTTACGGAAAAAATCAAAAAAGGGAGTTGACCAAACATTCTTTGAAATTGATCTGTCCATCCTATCAAAAGTATGATTAATCAACACATATCTGTTGAATTTATCCACTTTCCACTCAGAAAACAACAAGAATCAACGCACTCTCTGATTTCTTCTTCCTTCTCATTCATTCCTTGAGACAATTCTCGCATAAAAGCCAGGAAGCCGAGCCAGAGGTCGATGGATAACGGAATAGCAAGGATACTTTTCTCCCACACCTGAAAAACAAACTATAATTTTCGCATCAGTTCATTCATTTGAAAAAAAAACTGTCCCTAACTAAAACCATCAGAAAAAAAAAACTTATTTATCCAAATTCAATCCGAGCAAAGTTAAACAGGAAATCTGTAGAGAGGAAACTAAAAAACTCCAAGAACAGCCACTGAAAAAGTTTGAAACTTAAGAAAAGTTAATTTTTTCGAAGAAAGGATTCTACTGCATGATTGGTTTGAAAATTTCTCGATCCTACTTTGAAATTTTCTATCAGTATTCATTTTTAGATTTTTTTTTTTCTTCGCCTCCTAATATATCAATTGTTGATCTCTTTCCGTGAATATCTGCAAACCTTCAAGGCTTCTGTAAGGTTTCCCTGGCGTTTCTCAAACTCTGCAAACTTTTGCCAGAAACCGTAGCAATAAGGGTAGCGATCGAGGAACTGCCAGTACTTCTCTCGGACGTAATCATTGTCTTTCTGAACAACCTTTTTTTCAAAGTATTCTAAGAATTTTGAAATGCCTGGTTCTCGATGTTGCTCAAGATACCCATCCAGGAATCGAAATCGTTTTGATCGATAGCCGGAGGGCCGATGTTGGTGAGAGAGGAAGAGAAGGCTGGCCGAGAACTGCGAGCGCTGCCGCGATGCTTGGAATCGTTGTTGCGCGAAGAGCGACTGCTCCGCGAGCCGCGATGAGGCGACGGAGACCGCGTCCGACTGAAAATTCGCTCGATTTTAACTTATTGAGGTCACCCCACCTATGACGACGTCGGTCTTCCCGGCTTTCAGAGCGACGCTCCTTTTTGCGTGGACGACTGTCGCGCGAGTAGTCGTCGTCGTCGTTTCTTCGACGAGCCTTCGACTTTGATTTCGGAGGCGATTTCCTTCACAGGTATGATATGTATACTTCGGAAAAAGATTTTCTACCTGTGAGAGCGTCCCTCATCTTCGGAGTAGTGGTTTTGACTGCCCTCGCTCGAGTCACTAGAACGGGAGCGAGCCATCAGGACTGGACTGAATATTGAATTTAAATTCAAACGCTAAAACAAATAATTTTGAGAAGGTAGAAATCGACGAAAAAAACGTCAATCCTTAAGGTTCGACAGCAAGACATAAGTGAAAACTTTTATCAACGGTAAGGCAATATAATATTTGATCACTCTAATTCATGCGAAATAATATCATAAACAAGGTAAGTAACCGATAATAACACGTAATTACGAAAAGCCGTCTATTTAACAATGAAACGAAACTTGAATCAACAATCAATAACAGAATATCCAACCTATAGAATAACTAGCATACAAAATGAATAGAACAAGAAAAAGAATCAAGAAAATCAACAGCGATCATAATCTCTTCTATACTTATCGTCAATGTGTTTCAAAAAATATGTTTTTTCAAACAGCTTCAAGTCGAGATCGGCGCAGTCGGTGGCTTTTGGGGTGAATGGAACTCAAATTTTAAGATTACAATATAAAATATAACTCGAAGAACCTTCCGAATGAAGCAGATCCTCGCGCATTTTCAAGACTCGAGTGAAATCTTCTGCAGAAAAACGCTTCCGCTCGTCAAGCCTCTTGAAAGCTGCTCGGGCTACCTTCAGAAAAAAATATTTTGACCAACCACGAAAAATTGGTAAAGGCACATAAACATAATCTATCATTCTTTATTTTTAATGAATAAAAGAAATTCGGAAAACTTTGACAGGCAGGAATCTTATAAAAAAATTTTTTTAATCAGATACACATAATTAAAGTATTCATAATTATATTCCTCGAAACATAATTATATTCCTCGAAACCTCAACCAGACATATTCAACTATTTTTTTTTGAGGTTAATATTTTTCAAATTATTTCTGCATATGTTTTTTTAAATTATTCTCAATTCAGAACTGAGATCAAAATAAATTTTGAAAAATCTCAACCTCTTGTAATTTGGGAAGAGCTGGTGATTCCAAACATATCCTTGCAGAGAAAATAGCCGAAGCAAAGCCGCTGCCGTATGCGAAAAAGAGCATAGACGGTTCTCGAGGTTCAGAAAGCCTGTGAAATATAAACGAATGAGATAATATGAAGAGGTTCGAACCAATCCGTGGAGGTGAGGAAAGCCATGAACTGAGCGAAAAGAGAAGGCGTGTACATGTTTCCAATACGGCGATTGAAAACAAGGAAATCGTCCGTCTTTTCTTTCCACAACTGCTCAGAGGTTTTTATCGAGTTGTCCATCAAGACCCGGTTGTTCATTAGCTCGATTCCGTCGAAACTAATCAAAATTTTTTTTCATGGAACTGGATAAACAAACACCTTTCAGAAGTATTGTGCTTATCCAGATCGCTCAAAATAGCTAAAGCTTTGCGAACCAGTTTCGTAAAAGGGCAGTGGAAAAATATTGCAGAAAAATCGTCCAATTTCACATCTGAATTTCAATCTGAATAATTTCCCAAACGATGCTGCGCCAAACTTTTTCCGTGAATCCTCTTAACTTTTTCGCGGTACGTGTTATAACAAGTTTGGACAGCCAAGACATAAGAATGCAAAGAATCCTGACCATTAACCACAGGATATTCAGTTACTTTCGCTCCTGAATCTCAAGCGTTTATCTGAACACTTCTTTTTCCCACCAATAGGTTTATAAAAATCCCATGTATTTTTCATACAGACAGAAGAAGAAAACCTATCGATTGGGATAGCAGCATTTGGTTTAATAAGAACCGCAACTGCCCCAGCGCCTGGAATATAAAATAAACAATTGTTCCATTTTGAATCCTTCCTGAACTTACCACCAGTGCATCTTGCGGGGCCGCTATCGTAAATCGCTATATCTGCAAGAACCACAATCGCACAGCGCTTCTCATATGGATATTTAACATAAATCCAATCTATCGCATGCAAAAGTGCCTAAATTCGTACTTTACGTGATGAAGATAAGATCATATTTAACGAGTGACAATCTCACCTGAGTTCCTCCGAAACAGGCGTTTTTCACATCAACGCCCTGTAAATCTAGAGATTTTTGTGAGGATTAAACTTGCGCAAAACCTCAATGTCGGTGTTTCCTCCGAATAACTCCATTAGAGCTGTTTTCACAGATTTGCTTTTATCAATCAATGTCTCGGTGCCGACTACAAGACAACCGATTGAATCTTTATCAATCTGGAAAAAATTATAACATTGAAAATTTTTGCAATGATGAACAAACATTATACTTTTCTAGTAAGTTGCTAGTCGCTGTGAGAGAAATAGAGACAATGTCTTCGTTGTCAGCACAAAAACCCATTTCTTGTTGCCCCAACCCAATCGTGTACTTTCCGCTTGAAACAGAATCAAACTGAAGTAAGAAAAAAAAAATTTTTTAATTAAAATTCGATACCTTTTCCAAATCAGTTTGCTCTACGTAGTTACGAGGAAAATAAAATTCGATTGCGTCTATACCCACATTTTCTGCAGCCTGAGACCCGTTTAAAGCCTTCATCCCTTGAAAGTTCAAACATTACTAGTGAGCATAAAGATATAAGCTATCAAGCTTTTGTGAGACGGAGAAAAGCAAACTGCAAAATTAATGCCGTGTTTAAAGTTTTTCAGTGAAATGCAAAAAAGCCGCCAGAGAAAGAAAAATACAACTAACTTTTGGAGACCCAGATCCCATTTTGCATTTCGCGGAAATTACTTTGAACACGGCGTAACTATCGTGATGAGGTTTATAACATGAACCGAATGATGAGAACTTCAGGAAAGCCACGTGGAACATAATGATCATATTGGAACGTAACGAGCAAAAGAAGATAAAATGAATAGCGAGCGTCGATGAAACAGCAAAACTTCAAATTTGAACGTATCAGGAGGGTGTGAACAGAAAGAGCGTCGAAACCTCCGCCAAGTGGCACAAAAGACGTTGTAAACTCCGACACTTTACTTTTTTGCTTTCTTCAAATCCATTAAAACCCTTTTAACAATCGCAGGCTTCGTCGATCAGATAAAAGATGATAAAAGTTCTGAAAAGCTTTGACGGTTTGTCGGAAGGTCTAATGGTCTGTCAAGTGAACGGCAATTCTTCCATTTTACCACTCCACCTTCATTTTCTTGCACTGGGTCTGGAGAACAACAAAAGAGTTTTAATCGCATCGAGCGAGCTCACGGAAATGAACTACAGGTTATTGCTTTCATTTAAAAAAAAATAGGTAATGGAAGATGATTCAGATTAATTTGCTCGAAAGCTGGTGTTAGATGGACTCCAAGTTTGATAAATTTTATTCCACTGATCCATTTGAACGCCGGGTTTGATTTCAACATTGAAGACTATTTTACAAAAATAAAACAAGTGATACGGTTTCAAAAAATTTTCAAGAAGTTTTGAACTGCAGAAAGTTTCGGAGTACGACCCCGATGTCGTACTTCTTGACGATCTGTCTGTTTTTCGATTATATGGAAACTTCTAGTTGGAAAACCGTAGCTGTAGTTCAGTCCATGTTCAGCGAAATGGTAAGCGTTGTTTGTTCTATAAAGTATAAAAATTGTTTTGAAGAAAAAAAAGAAAGCTGAAGTTCTTCTTCTTGCTCCGTTCTACACAAACTGCGAGGCACGTGAAATGCTCAGACAACGTTGTTCGTCATTCGCCAATATCTCTCCCATTGGTCACGGTTTTGGCAAAAATGCTTCTGCTAAGGTTTGTTTTCGAAAAAATCTTTTTCGAGTTTACATAGGAAAGTTCAGTGCGTCGTCAGCATGCGGAACAGTTCGCGGCCCACAGTTGCCTGTAGCCTCATACTTTCAGGGGAAAGAAGCAACAACGGAACGATCGTCGGTGGCGAAGCGAAATGAAGGTTGGAGAAACGTGAAACTTTTTATTACAAAATCATTCGCATAAATTTGACAAATTCATCCTGGGGAAACGGCAGCTTTGAGCGTTCTCTTCGAAGATAAAATTTATAACAAGAAGTAAAAAAAGGACTAAGCGAGTTCTAAAAATTGCTACCACCTCGTATTTCTGCTTCGGTATTTTGACAGAATATTAATGACCGTAAATAATCTAACAAAAATCTTCAACTAATCAAAGGAAAAATAGTCCTTGTATTCTGTCCTAATGAGTAATAAAAAAACTTAATTCATAATAAAAAAACAACTAACAAGATAACCGCGAAAAAAATCAAGGAATTTATAAAGCTTTTGTAGTCCTAGATTGTGTATTAATAAATATTAACGAAAGGAAAAATCAGATTCAGAAAACTGGAATTGCTGTACATTGTAATAAGAAAGTTTGAAAATAGCTAGAGAAAATCACTGGTATTTTTGAAACTCGTTGTAAAGAGCTAGAACAAGGGCGGCGCCGGTTCCGCGTATCGCGTTGATCAACGCGCCGTGATAGAAAGCGCGTGGACCCTCGTGCAAGTAGATGTACTGTAAAATAATATTATCAACAGACTGAAACGTTCTGATCCCTCTGATTGCAAGTTTGTTTCTGCTATTATCATTGTATTCAATCCAGCATTGAATTTTTTCTCAGTTGACCTTTTCTTCGCAGGTCCTAATATTGAAAAAAAAAACCTTTGCGCAAGACAGCGTAGTGTTGAAAAGAAAATCTTTCTTGCCGGCACCCATCATCAGTCGCCTTCTCACAGTATCCAAAGGATAGGAAACCATAGCGGCGACGAACGTGACGACCTAAAATAGATTAGGACACAGCTTCTAGACTCTTGGTTCTACTTGTCCGGTCATGAATGCGCCCATGAATGAGAGCTGACGTCCATTGGAAGCAACGTAAGGGACTGCTGTGTCAAAAAGGCCGTAATAAGCGCCTCTGTACAAGACCATGTACTGCAAAGATGGAACCAAGCCTCTGAAATCATGAAACGAATACGACGAATACAAAAGTTGTTTTTAGTTTGGATCAATAGATTGGAGTATGTACGAACATGCTGAAAAGTGAGCACGTGTCGTACATTTGTTAATTTTTTTTTAGCGGAGTACAATCGCGCTCCTTGAATCACTCACTTGTACAACCCGCGAATTCCATCGTGTTTCACAATTTTTTTCATGCAGTCAATCATTCCTGTGAACTCTCGGTCCTCAAAACCCATTCATTTTGCCAATTTAAACTTTTTAGTTTGAAAACTCACAACTTTTTGCTTTCCCATGTCGATTGCAAGCCGCGTCCTCACAAAATCAAGAGGATAAATCGTGGCCAATGTTGCAGCACCACTACTTCCACCAGCAAACAGATTCCCTATGTTTTCAATAGTTTTTTTTTGCTCTAGTTTATGTATTACCCATGAGAAATCGCATTTTATCTTTCGATGGATCGAGGCCCTCTACGCTGAACTTACGAAATAGTTCTTTGAAAGCAAGCCCTAACGATTCCTGAACAGAACTTGTCGATGTTAAAATAAAAGCTATCGTACCTGACTACACGAGCGCATAATATTAACCCAGTTTCCCCTCCAGAAAGAGAGAAATCCTTGCTCTTTTGGTACTCTAACGAAGCAGTCAATGATACCTTTATATCTTTTATCAATTGCGAGCGTAGACTGGGAGTTTTGCAGCTAAAATACTATTTTGCAACGGATGAAAACAAGAAAATACCTGCAAAATGAGTTTGACCCGCTCCATTGGAGCAATTACTGTTTTTGAGATCGCTGCTGCTGCGGCACCCGCGAAGAAATCTTTAGAGAACTTTAAAACATCGTCACGTGTGAATTCTGAACTAATGATTAGTATATTGCAGAAATTTGTTTGAAGTTAGAAGGAGCTTACTTACCTGGTACTATCGTTTGGTTGTGTCGTTTCGATAGCATTTCTGTAAAATAAAAATGAAAGTATATTGAAGAGTTCAATATAAATATGTAAATTTCTTTCTATGAAAATTAAAAGTAAATAAAGAGGCTAACGCTGAAAAATACATGCAACTTTTTGAGAAATTTTCGCTGTTTTACCGCATTCACGTTTTCTTAAGAGTGCACGCTGAAAACTTTGCCCGCTCGCTATCCGTTTCCTTGAAACCTTTTACTTACAAGAAAACATTTTAACTTGGAAATTATCATTGAAAATGAACAAAATTAAGATAAATCAAAATAAGAAAGTTAAAATTTTCGCAGATAGGTTTCTTCTTGAATATCTTATCACGATAGTAAGGGTTTAGGAAAATCCCTGCGAATTGGGAGCTCGACGGAGCACACGTGAGAACATGCGCCTGGTTTTTCCTTGTTGTGATTGTGTGTGTGATAGGGCAGAGAAATCGAAAATCCTTGACGCGTTGTTTATTCCTTGAAAAATTCACGAAATTTGCGATTAAATAGAAAATTTTGGGATGAAAAAATCTCATGGGATTTATGAATAGCGGTTGGCAACGGTTTTTTTTTTAAAATGATTTTTGGTTAACTATCAGAATAATCGGATGAGATTTTGTACAGAACATTGTAGAGATCAACGATAAATAAAAAGAAGTCGGCCAAAAAAATTTTCTGGAGTCATCAACAACAAACATCATAGAAAGATTGTTTGTGGAGATTTCCCGTTTTCAAAAAACATCACTTCCCGTTCAACTAAGGCTTGACATCTTAACGTTTCTGATGAGTTTTTTTTTTCGTACATCGCTCTCTATATTCAACATGGAGATCAGATTCATTTTCGAAGCATAAACAAATTTTTTTGGATTTCCTTTTTATCTATGGCTCAAATCAGTATGGCTAGAAGTTGTTGAAAAGCTCATAACCGAACGGAAACTTCCAACTCAGGTGTTCACTGAAGTTGAATGGGAACTATTTTTCCATTTTAAGATGTCATTCCCGATCATCAAATTCTCAGCGGGATACTTATAAACAGATTGTTACCACTCAATCAGCCTTTGTGAAGAAAAATGAATGGGGTAAGTAAACTTTAGGTTTTCTCACTGTAGAGATTCTTCTCCCTGTGCTTTTTTCTTGGCTGGAAGGCATCAATCACTGCGATTGACCGTGAAACCCGCTGGCCGAGATAGCGTTCTGCGCGACGAGACCGGAAGTCGCAGGTACACCAAAGAAACCGATTCCTGCGACTTCGTTCCTTTGGTCTTTGTGCTTGACAGTTTATCTAACGAATAATTTATTTTTTGTCTATGCAGCAAAGGCACACACGACAGACACACATCGGGGTTATAGGCTAGAAGTCCGAGGATACACGTAACAATTCGACTGCAGCGCTTGGCCGAGTTGGCCAACGGTAATAGCATACTGTATGAGGATCTCGAGGTATTATACAATGTTGCACATGAGGGAGAACTTCTTCTATCAAACGACGGTGTGCCGAGCGAAGCGAGCGCGAGATCGCCGTGCGATGTTGTTCGTCTCATCGGAAGACGATTCGAAGTCCTCGCTAGGCCTGTAGGCGGCTTTCTGCAATATTAAATATTGTCCTGAGAGTTTGATTCACGGTTGAGCTCACCTTTTCGCAAACGGTGAACGTCTTCTTCTTGCAGCACGACTGGAACCAATCTCCGTCAGCATCCATCTTGATGCAGCGACGAGCGCGGTTCATCGATGGCGTGCGGTCTGCAAAAGAACGCCGTTCGTTTCCTCACAAATCGCAGACGCCGCCAATTAAGGCGTTTGAGCGTGACGCCACTTACCGTCCTTCCAGTTCGTGAACCTTCCATACTGTGATCCGTCGGCGTTAACGTAAACGTTGCTCTTGCCGAAAAAGGCGGCACCCGTCCATATCTCGCCGTGCTTGGCCACTTCTGAAAGTTTGTGACTCTTGAGTCAGAATTCAGTAACAGAAGTACCCACCATGTACAAATTGGTTTTCTTCCTGACTTTCGATCGACACGTGGTGAGCGCCTTGGAACAGACATTTGAATTCGGCGATAGTCCATGGCAAGTTTTCTCTGTAATTTTATCTTTCAGTAAAAATGAAAGCTCTCCAGCGAAATGGTCAACTCACGAGATGAGCTTGTAGCAAGAGTTGGTGGTAGGGAAGTATCGCCAACTGGAGTCGGGACAGGGACTGGCGGAAACGGCTGAAAAAGAAGAGACGGTTTAGCGACTCGCGCTGTCTGTTACCTAGCACGGATGCGGAGAAGATAAGGAGAGACAGAATCATGTTGTGTGTAGGTGTGGGCGCTGGGCTGCGCTGAGTGTTCGGCGTCAGCCAGCGTCGGCGGTTATATAGGCACAGGCGTAGGGCGGTGCCTAGGAAGGACCGCTTCCGGTGACGTTTCAGGCTCCACTCCGCCTTACTGTAACTCTCCAGGACTTTGCACCTAGGTCTCTTTTTCCTTTCGAACTACTAACACCTTCTCCCTGAACTTGTTCAAAATTAATGTGGTCTGCAAAGTGTCGTCCCCGAGCAAAGATGTGTTGCAGTTGGCTTTAAGATTTAACGGTGGTTTATTCGTAACTTCATTGTCGTTTTTCTCTCAGTCCTGCAATCCAAAATTATGATTTTTTTTTATAGTTTCAGAGAGTCCACGGCGTAGATTTTTTCAGATCCAAATGTATCTATTCTATAACCTGATTTTCACAAACAAACTGTCAAAAAAAAATTCGAAAACTAGCACGAATGAGTAAGTTTATGTTCCATTCAAAAGTTGTCGCATACTCTTGGTTACAAGAGTGCTGAGCTTCCTCATTTTGCCTCGCTGAACATGTTGTTAAGTTTTACAACTGTAAACAGTAGGAGTATCAGAAAGTGTGGTCTTCCGGGACAAAGCGTCTAATTTCTTTCAAAGTGCTTCTATTCCCGAAAGCTTGTCTTCATTGTGAGGCGCATCACAATGTTCTACGACGTTCGATTGGAAAATTACGTAATCTTTGTATTACTTTCGGCATCATTTGCTTTTTGAGCAGAAGTTTCATCTCGCAGTTCCACTGAAACGCTTTCATCAAGAAAGCAGAAAGACCTCGTCTAGTACTCAGCTTGAAAGTATTGGTTCGCGAATTTGAGGATAATCAAACCAGTGTTATCCTTACGAGGTGTGGACCCAGCTGTTTTCTCCTTTTTTTGTCTTGTGAAGCGCCGTTAGCGGGAACGGTCGGCAATTCGTTGAAATGCGAATCGCCCATGACGCCAGGTTCCTCACCTCATCGAAATCTCTTGCCACTTGAGCTCGAAGTTTGTTTTTCTCATCCAGATTCATGCTATCTCATTAACTATAGAATCAACTATCTGTTTCGCAGAGAAGTTCAGAAAAAAACAAGGTGTGGTAATTTTGCTGATGTTCCCAGAGATGATCGAAGTTCGGCAATGTTCACTTGATAAGAACCGATACCTAATTCCAAGAAAACCTAAACCGAAGCAAGCGTAGTCAATACGAGAAGGTTATTACTATGGGAAGGCAGTTTGTTCGTTAATCAAGCAGTCTTTATGTCGAAAAGTTCGTTGAAAACACCTTTATTTATTAGTTTTTGCTTTTAATAAATTTTGAAAGACCATATCCGGTTCGAGCCTTTGAAGAGAGATTTTATTGAGTTTTATGCTGAAGAAATTTTTAAACCTACTCGGTGAGTATATTCCTTTCGAGAATCTTTGCTGGAGAGTTCAATACGGGAGAAGAATAATATCGATTCTCTTAAAACCACAATAATGAATTTTGAAAGACCATATCCGGTTCGAAAAAATGCAGGTGACACATAAGATTTTAAGGTTCAAATTTTTGCTTTCGGTCAAGTAGACAGGTTCACCTTGTTAAATAGATCAGAACTAGTTGAAAATTCAATTAACCATGCAATAGGCCTACACTACTGACATGGATGGTTTTTTTTTGGGTTTGCCCTCGTTATCCTCAGAAGACGGTTAGCAGTGGCTTAAGCGAAACAGGAGCCATTTGGGATGTTCCTCGAACGCTTCCGGTCGTCATTTTGTTAGGTGTTCACGTGAGATGACAGCCGCAGTATTGCAACTTCCAATCGTTTTTCTTCGCAAAAATTGTCCATTGAAGACTGTAGTTTTGATTAATAGGTAGCTCAGAGGCGTCGATTGTTCTCAAAAATCACACCTTCCCAAAGTGGTTTTGATGGAAGGTGGAGAAATCGGATAGCAGTTTCTCTTGCTCGAAAGGGTAAAAAAAAACCTTGTGGCAGTTCTAGCATGAACAAAAATGTCATTTGGATAGTTGAGAAGGGAGTGAAAGTTTTTTTTCAATTGTCAATATATTATTTCTAATATTATTATATGTAATTGCTTTTTGAAAATCGAAAAAGAAAAATACACGTTCGGCAAGAGTTCTCATCTACCACAATTCCCTCAAAGTTCATCTGAACCATCTTTTTCTTGCAAGAAACCAGAAAGGTCTGGTTTGACTCAGCCTGTCCTCCTAGACAAGCGTAGGCGAGGGAACAATTCGCAGAAGGTCAATGGAGGAGGCAATAAGTCTTGGACGCTTTTTGGATCGGTCTACCCACTCCTCCCACGCCGAAGTCCGACACCAATCTTTGGCCGAACGATATCACCTGCTGGACCAAGGCTGTTAATGGGCCGAACGAAGAAACAAAACTGACAGGATTTACGATCTCATACGCGAGGAAAGACACGCCATTTGTAGTGGTTTAACGGTGGCAAAGGGGAGTGGACGTACTGAACCACCGTAACAAAGTTATTGAAACACTTAGCATCGGACATCGATTGAAAAATAGGTTTTTTTCTTGAAGTAATAAGACGATTTCATCATGAAACCTCAAAAAAACGAAAAAAAAAACTAAACTTCAACGCAAAAGAGATTCAAAAACAATGATCGAATAATATTTCGATGATCTAGTTGTGATTACTGAGCTGATATTTCGAAAAAAAAATAGCGAACTTTAAATTTTAAATTAAAAATAACTCTCGCTGGAGTTCGAGTGATATGAAATAGTTCGTTCTGAAAATAATTTCTAGTTGAAGAAATATACAGAGCCCATTTTTTAACTCCAAAAAAAAGCTCGGACCTTCAACTCCATTCTAGCCTTTCTAAAATTTTTTCTACAGATCTTTTTGTACCGATTTCTGCGGTTTAAAATTTAAGTTCACAATCCGTTTTAACTCACAGACCAAAGTAACTAATTGCATTAATGATTTATGTCTTCAGCTTTTCCTCTTCCGTTTTGCAATCATCTCTTTTGGTCTCTGTTCAAAGGTCATTTCTTCGTTTCCTCAGTGGTTGACCTCAAGGTCGTGCAAAGACTACAGAATGGTTTTTTCACACAACGAAGCCTGTTTAATTAACGGCCGAACCGTTTGGACAAGTTGTTTTAATGGTGGTCTCAGAACTTCTGCCTCTTTCCACGGGTTCAAAGAAGTTTCAAAAGTTCTTATAATAATCATTGTAGAAATAAGGATCATATTTTTCAAGCTTCGGTTCATTTTTTTTTTTGCTTGTGTGTTCTTCACCTTTTTTTTGTCGTTTCGTTGATTCAACCAAAAAGATGTTAACCAAATAAATCCGCCGACGTTTAAAGAATAGAGGCGCAGAATGGCGACGAAAACATAAATCTGAAGATTTCCGTCGCGCTCCCGACGCCACGACGCCTTCTGACGTTCATAAGTTTGACTTCGCTTTTTTTTTTCCGCGCGCCCATCAAACGGGTCCTCCCACCTCGTTTCCCACCATTCTTTGCTTTGACCGCTTCCGGAAATTTGTTCAAACAGCCTTGAGTACTGCGTGGAAGAAAAAAAATGAATTGAAAACCTGTAGGAACCAACTGATAAGCCAGAAACATTTATTATTGATACCGTCTTCATGTTGCGTTCTTACGGTGACGCTGTAATATCCTTTAAAAAAAAGGATCAATAGACAGTTTTATCTAATTTCAGTGATTCTTTGCATGACTGCTTCTCAATTTCTTCATTGTTTAGTTGTTGCGTAAAACTTATCAAATTAAAAGTTTGTGAATCAATCATTTTTTTTCTCTAATTGAATCAGCCGATTCAATTTATTGTAAACTTTGTTCTCTCACCACTTCCGTATTTTTCAAGGAGAAAACAGCGATCCAGTAACCTGAAACAAGCATTTTTTGTAGTAATTTTTGTTTTCAAAAAGATAAGAAGACTTTTGAAAGTGACAAACCAAAAAAGAAGTTGATCTGTCAATCATCCTAATATTATTTTTGATGAAATGTTTACTTCTCCATTTTTAAGAGATTTTTCTTTTCAAAATTTTTTTTCGCCTGTTCATTTAATGATAAATTCGAGTAGAAATAATCAACTCAGAGGAACTGGAATGAGACTTGTTCAACCAGTGAATGAATTGATCAAACAACGCTTCCTGAATTATAAAGTCATACCCATTTGAAATCAACTGGAGAGAGAAACTATCATTGAATACGAAATCGGCAAGTTTCGGATTATGCTCACCTCATGGTTCGAATCAAACACATCGTTTTTAAAATTACTAGATTTTACTAAAATCTAGAAAAATTTAACTAATTAAAAAACAATGAACAAAATTAGTTACCAAATGGGTGTTAGCACCGTCTATACAGACAAACTTTTCCTTCAGCCGTTTCCACAGATCAGCTGTTAGATTTATTTGATTTTTTTGATCTTTTATTTCTTGTATTTGTCGTGCAGATTGCGGAATGGCGAATAAACATTTGAAATGAAAAGGATTCGAAATATTAATTTTTTGAATTGCTTCTCTCGCTCGAAGGCAGACGATAAATACAAAACACTTTACTCAAACTTTACAGACAAGTTTTTTTTGATCTTCAAAGGCTTCAGGAATTTGTTTCTTTTTTAATGTAGAAGAAACTGTTACTTTTTTTATGAAGAAATAGTTTGTTTGCGGCCAGCTTGACAAGCTGCGGGATACTTTCACGTCGACAGGAAGCTTTCTATCTGAGACACACTATTTTATTCATTTTTTTCAGAAAGCTTCTCACAACTCGAAAAGTTTATTGCGATCGAAATAGTTGTTTAAGTTTTTAAAAAAACTGTACTTAAGTTTATTTTTTTGCCTATTTGAAGCTTCTTAGCAGCTATTTTTTTCCAAATCTTCAAAATTTCACATTACTTATACAAGTATTGATTGCAACAATTGAGGGAATTACTTTTGACAAAAAATCCCATAAATTCGCCTATCATTACAAATGATAGTGTAGACTCCGAAATTTCCTTTTTATAGGAGTAAACTTCAATGACATAAAAAAATATTAGCGTTATGCTCAAAATATATATCATAATAGCTGTAGAAAGTCTCTAACAACTCAGAAAGACAGTAATAAATACCAGAACCCTCGAAAACTGGAAAAAGACCGAAATTTACACGTATTCAGAAGTATCTCTTTTTTTACGGTGGCCGCTCCTTCCATTTTTGATGGCAGTTTTTAGGACGAACCATACCGGTTTTGAGAAATTGAGTGGGCTGTTGGGGTCAGTCACAGGGTCTCGTGAGATCGAGAATGGGGAGACGTCAGGACTGGAGACACTCCTGCTGCAAGAACTCGACGAGCAACTTGGTGCGAAGGCGGTCGTGCTCCTCCAGGGGGAAGCTGTCCCACACGTTTCTCAGCACGTTCTCTTCGCTTCTTTTCCACTCGATGCACTCTGGGATCGCCAGATCCGACACGTCGCAAACGTTCAGAAGTGGCCGGATCACCGACGCCGTTTCTCTCATCTCAAAATAAGAAAATCGTTCTTGATACTTCGCGAATGATTCACTATTAACCACAATCTCTGTAGTATCAAAAAACTTCTTTTTCATGATACTGTATCATACGCCTCAAAACATTTTAAATGTTTCTCTCTCTCGCGAGAACTATCAATTTGCGCAGACTTCATGATATTCATCTGTTACATTGAAAATAACGATGAGTCTTTCTTGCTTCAAAATTGGCTTGAAAAGTGCTTCAATTTCGGAGACTCAGCGTGCTTGCAATTTCAAGTATCGTAAATTTCTGTTATTGTTTGAAACAACAAAGAAAACGTTAAAAATAACCAGATCTTCCACGTAGACCATGTCGAGTGCGTAGTATTTCAAGTTCCGCTGGTAGTTGATAGTGGCTCCCATGACCTGAGCCAGAGCGAACTCAACTTCGGTTGTCGGACCGATTTTTACGACAGTTTCTGCTTCGAGCTGTCGCCATGAAAAGAAAGTGTCACATAGAAGAGGCCAGTTTTTCATCATCCAACAAGTCTGAAACCACAGAAGCCTTGATAGACCGGACAAATGTTCTGACCATGGAAAAAACAGGCATCTGAAGCGACGTGTGGAGCACGAGTCTTGTGATCACGTCCACAGGACTCCTTGTCGAGATGAAGACATGGTGGACGGAGGGACATGTCGAATGCACGTAGGGAACTAGTTTTGTGCAGCAAGGTCTGAATTAATAAGAGTTATTTTTTCCGATTCATTCTACCTTGCCTGGCTTTCAGTACAACTGTTTGGTTGGGTTTCTGATGCAAAAGACAGAATCTCATCGTCGCTTGTGTGATTGCTCGCATTCTCTCGATAGAGCAAACGTTGAGCAACAGGGCCAGTGATGTCAAAGCTGGAGGCTCTCCTAAAACCAGAAGAGATCGCTGAGAGCGATCGCAGGACTGGAGCAACTTGGCGGCAACAGTTCCTCCGCCACAGGGAGTTGAGTGGATCATCACCACTCTGGCTGAAGTCACTCCTTTTGCTGGTGATCAAAAGTTCGAAGCTTACCTCTGAATGGCGGCAACGCCCTGGCAAGTTTGGCAAAATCGTCAAACTTTATTCGCGCTACTTTCTCGGCATTGTTGAATAGGTATCTTGTCAATTTTGAGCACTTTTCGATCGACGGCTCCGCGTTTTCTTTATTCTTTTCGTTTTCATCGTCAGCCGGGCCTCGATTTTCGTGTTTGACCAAGTACACATAACTTTCGGTTATGTGATAGACTGACCAGCTGCAAAAAATGATCATAATCCGTTAACTTCCCACTTTTTTGATCAATATCATCTGGCGATCTTTAACTGGTTTTTCTTCTCAATTGAACGTGCTATTGGCAACATACAGGCAAACTTCACGAAAGTCCCATCAATCTTTTGACCAAGAAAGTCCATTCATCTTATCATTCATCTTTCTTGTTTGTGGGCAGGAGTAGTAGGGAACAAGTGCAGCAATATTTTTTTTCGGTGACGGACCAAAGAGTGTGTTTCGATAACCTTCAAAGTGTTTACGCGAAATCAAAACAGAGATTTCAAACCGGTCGGTTTGATAGCAACTATCAAACCTCCCGTTTATTGCTCAAGTTCGTTTTTTTTTTACAAGCGGATCTGATACGAAACTTGGACTGTTCTTTTTTTTCTTACAGTCAACAAAACATCAAGTTTGGCGTCTTTCGTGTTTCTTGTGAATACCAAGATCCAGAAACAGTCTTCGTCGATGTTTTCCTTGTTTTTAATGGTCGACAGGCATTGTGTCGAAGATTTATATCCCTTACTCTTGTTTAAGTAAGTTTTCCAAGGTCAGTACTTCAATTTTTATTTTTTCCCATTTTTGGTTTTCTAATTGAAAGAATGAAAAGGAACCCGTGGCTTACTAGGACTCGCAAATTTCATCGAAGTTCGTAAAGTAGTCGTGGAATATGAGGAAGTCGCTGTCTCTCGCGGCGTCTGTCTCATCGATTCGAAACCTTAAGCGGAGGATCAACAAGCTCAAAAAGAAAAAAGATAAACCTGCCAACAAGGTTGAAAACCTCAATGAGAGTTTGTTCCGGACGCAGAAGTCGCTTGATCAGCGCGTAGAGGTCCGATTCGAGGAGCAGTACCCAATGAACAAGTCGAAACAACACCACGACGAGTAAACGCGTCGCCGTCGCCCCATTCATCCAGACATGCGTTCCTGTAAATTTCATTCTTCTCTACTTCATTCAGTTACACAAACCACATTCCGGAAGTTCGGTTTCAATTTTCAAAAAAGAGACCCTACTATTGGCACGATAAAAAAAAAGCAAAGCAATCGAAACGTTTTCAGCGGCTCGAAAATAATTCAGAATAAGTGTTAAATGAAATTTTTTTCATTGAGAGTTTCATGTATCCAGAAACAGTTTGAAAAATGAATGTGGAGCTTCAACCCTTACACTGATAAACTCAATGTTTATTGAGTTAGTGGAGCATCATAGAAAACTCTAAAAAAAAAAGAATCAAGCAATTTTTTAATGAGGAATTTTGTAAATTTGGAGCAACACAAACTATAAAGCTAAGGAAGAAAGAGAATAAGAGAAAACAGAGGGACAATTATACAAGAGTGCTCGTTATTTTGAAGCCGAAGAAACTCTCAGAAAACAATTTTTAACGGCGAAGAAGAGAAGAGACAGCCGCCAATTATGCAACATGAGTCATAATTCTCTCTGCGCGTCAAATCCGAAAAAAGGCCTGAAGGAAGAAAGATTTGAAAAGGAAAGGCGTGAGGAGGAAATGAACAAATGAGAGGAAAGACAAGGGGTTTCAGATGCTCCGTGGAGTGCGGCACGGCAAACAAAACGAAGCCTGCGGGTATCTGAAGGAAGGCGTCGTTTCGGAAACGTCGCACAGGAAATCTCATTACTCTCGCCTCGACGGAGCTTTGTCGTCGCGGCTCTGCCGACCTTGCCTTCCCGAAAAAGCGCCCATTTTATCAATCAATCATTTTTCATTTCTTAGATTCCATTTTGCCAAAACTTTTTTCTTCTCGCTTTTTGTGAAGCAAAAATCATGCTTCATATCAGAAGTACTGTTCAAATATTTCAATGTTTCAATATTTGAATAGGTGAGACAGAACGTTTGAATAAGGTATACTTGAAAACTTCCCTGATGAGTTATGTAAATGGAACGTTAACAAAAAATTATGAGCTCATTAAGAACTCGCCTACCTAAGAAGTTGTGTAAAACGAAGGTTGTAGACGTTCAATATCACTTTCACCAAGGTAGTAAATATGGTATATAATATTTCAGAAACCACATGAAAAATAAAACTAAGAATAATTTATTCACAAAATTGTGTGAATCTTCACGAATTTCCTTTGAACTGAAATGAGAAAACGACCAAAAACAGGAAATCTTCCTACATAAATTGAGTATGTTTATTTAGTATAGAAATGAATAATTGTTCTGAGAGGTCATTAAACTCTAGATATTTTTTTAGGCAGAACAACGAGAAAGCGGATAGATATTTCTCATTCATTAATTTATTAAAAGGGACATCAGAGAGTTCAGAAAGCCTTCTTTTTCTGTATCAGGGCTGATCTGAGGAGCTCTACCAGAAACTACCCTCCACTTTCAATTATAAATTGCTTATTCTACTTACATCTTCCTATAAGCTTTCACAGAAAAGTTCGAAGACAGCAGCTCAAAGTTTGGATCTGCGCTTCTACTCTATTATTTTATTATTTTTGTGCCCAGAACAATATTGACCTCTCCCAAAGTTTGAAATATATTTCAATTTCCAAGAAAAAAGCTTCTTGGCATGATTAGCCAAATATTGCACTATAGCAATGCTTTTTTTTTTTGAGACAAGCCACCGTAGAATCGAGTAATTTAGTATTTTTGATTCTCTTGAGTAAATCATCACTTTTTTTTCTAAATAAGACAATACAATGCTCCAACAAATTATCGGGCTTTTTCTTTCAGCGAAAAATTGTCTACAAGCAAGAGAACAAGTTATGAAAGGGTAACAAAAGCGAAGGAGTTGAAAATTGATTTCTTGAAAAAAGTTGCTTACACATCATCAAAAAACGTTTTTTTTCCTGTTGGTTAGTAGAAAAGGACTGAAAAAAAGAAACAAGAGGTGGATAAGTTGGATATTTCTGGAAGTGCGGCGGAACTGTCTGGATCGATCCTCTTCATCCGCGGCTTCTTTGCAAACATCCGCCACTGTTTATCCAGTCGATGCTCACACCAACTTCTTTTTTTCTCGCCAAGCAACGTGCAAAGTTTCTTTTTAAACTATTCTGGCAACTGACCACGTCAAATCAGCTTTCGAAACGGCCAATCTGGTATCATTTTCAAACTTGACGTCCAGGTTTCATCCTCTTTTGACTTTTATAATTTTTTATTCGAACGTTCCGTTTATTTTCTTCACTTGAAGTGGAAGCTTCTCAATCGGCCGAGGCTGCCCTAGAGTGTACACGGCGTCCGATCTACTTGTGGAAGAGTAGATCGGACGCCGTGTAAGGATCGTAAGACCATGCTTTCAATTCAATCAACTGCACGTTTTGACTTTTTTTTTCGCCAAAGGCGTTGTTAGTACCGGTCAGAAGAGCAATTTTTTCACCGCTAAGTCGATTTCATCTGACTAAAACAGCCAATAAATATTGATTGATGATTGTTGAAAAACATGTTTTTTTTTTCTAAATAGCCTCATTTTTTTTTGTTGCCCAATCTTTTTCTGACAAAACTTCTGCCTTGAAGTTAGTTTTGAGGACTGACAAAATACTTTTTTGATCGCAACTGAATTTGATGCCTTTTAACCGCAAATTTTCAAATTTTTATCATTTTCACAAAATTTTCGGACGATTCTAGCTTCTCAATCGAACACTGAAGCTCTTACATCGCTCGAAAGATAACGCACTATCAGAATCTTTCGAATGGATTGGAGGAACGCCTGAAACTTTCCCCTCGAGTTCAAGTGATTGCATACTTTTTTTCTAATTTTATTAAGAGATATATAGGTCAGATACAAAGAAAGCAATCGACAATTTGAGGAGCTTGGTATATAAACAGTGAAAGAGGCCAGTATAAATTTTCAAAAAAAATTTAATGAAAACGAAAGAAAAAAGTTTGGACAAGTGGGAGACATGTGGAAAAACCAGCAATGAAAAGGTGCGATTTACACGTTCTGAAAAGCAATATTCAAGCTGAAAATGGGGCAGTATGATGAAAAAAGACTAGAAAACGCTCGGCTTGAAAGGAGAGTGAAGATGAAATACGGACTAGAAAAATTCAGCACGAAAACCAAAAAAAAAAGAGATAAACTGACTAGATAAATTCAGCAATACAAGGTTAAACAAAACACAGAAAATCAGAAAATATAGTAGTTAAAAACGGATGAAATTTTAGAAGTTGTTCTCAGATATGTTCGGAAACAAAAAATCTTCTGAAGAAGCTTTTACTCTTTTTAAAAGCTCGAGGAAAATGGCACAAACTGAATTCGACGGAAGAAAGAGGCAAAAACAGACAAATGGGAGATCATGGAAATGACAGGTTTCTTGGAAATAATTCCAATGTAAACGGCAGTTAGACGTCCAAAAACGAGTTTGAAAAACCGAGAAGATTAACCGAAAATGAAATTGAAATTGCTAAAAAAAGAACTTTTTTTGATTCAATAAAGAAATGTTCACTTTTGTAGTTTTGCGAAAAAGGAAAATAATGCCGGCAGCTCAAAAAAAAAACCTGTAGTCAAACAGTAAATTTCTGCACATTGATGATGAGGACTAGAATTCAACTTGAGATCGTCATATTTTCAAAGAGTCGAATTAACAGCCGCCGACGGCGGGAATAACTTGAGAAAGTAGGTTTTGAAGGACAGAAGTCGGAGTGGCGGAAACTGCTAGATGACATGCGGAGACGTGGGACTTGAGCTGCTTCTTCGACGCGAAGACGGCTCCACACGATTCGCAGGCAGCAGTCGTCGTGACGGCCGGCTCTCTGGGCTTGTGCCATCTGCGATGCGACGCCAGGTTCGCCGGACACGAGAACACCTGAAAAAGTACACAGGTGGCGTCAAGTAGCTCTAGAAGCTGTAAATAATGTCGAGCGGCGTTGTAAGAAGTCAGCCAGCGGGTGACCGCAAACAACGACTCATAATCCAGAGTGGCGGTGGCACAAAGGCCATTGGAAGCTCACCTTCTCGCATTCTGGGCACTTGTACTCCTCATGGGCGATCCGCGGACAACGGTGCTGGGCAAGCTTGAAGACATCTTCGTATTTCACCTGCAATCGAGGAGTTGCCTTCCGGAAAGCTTAGAACAGCGTCAACCTTGCAGAGGCGACAAACGCAGTCTCCGATGACGTTGGGGATTTCTTCGATCTTGCTGCGTGACTCTTCCGTCACCTCGACGTAAGCGGCTGTCTCGTCCAACAGGTCCGCTTCCTTTTGCAGCTCTTCCACTGGTGGCACCGCCGATTCTTCCTGGAATTCGGCCTTTTTAGAGAGGAAAGCTTTTCATTGACAAGCTGAGCCAACTAAATTTTGATTCCTCTTCTAAATTGAAGTGAAATTTTGAAAAATGAAAAGTTTAAAGTAGAAGACATCTCGTTAAATTTTTTTTTCTTTTTGACTGAAACCATTTGTAAGTAATACACTTTTTTCATCAAGTTAGTTTTGTTAACAAAAAAAGCTGAATCTTCCCTTCTAACCAATTATATTAACAACGGAAGCATAAAAAACACTGATTGGAAATTATTTTTCGCATTAAGTACTCTTCACACAGGCGGCTTTTTTTGCGAGCACAAATAAGGGAATCTGTGCTCAAAATGCGGCGACAGAAGGCGAGATTCTCAGTGGGTGGTAATTAATAGGCCGACAGGATGAAGCTTCTTTACCAGAAGCCGACGATTTCTATGCAAATCACCTCGAACCGGCTTCTTCAGAGAAGCTTCCCACAGCAAGTATTTAATGATCCCTCTTTTTTTTTTACGAAAAATAAGAAAATTGTAATATAACCGAAAAGACAAACCTTGATGAACATTCCGCTGACGGGAGAGTTTGTCACGATGTCTTCTCCAATTTTTCGCAGTTTCGTTTTCTTGAGATCAGGCATGGCCAAGGGTCTTTTTCTGGATTCGACGTTCTTCGTTGGAATTTCTTCCGGCTTAATTTTCTGACTTTGACCGGTTTTCGCGTGATACGAATACCTTGAGACAAATCGGTTGCTGAAGCTGAAACAAAGTGAGAAACTGCTGCAGAAGCATTGGGTTCCACATCATCTGCATCTGGGTGAGCTGAGCCGCATAGCCAAGATCTATCTTGGCGAGCTGGTCGACCTTCGGATCGTGCTCCTCGTTCGAGGCCGAAGTGCTGGCGTAGCTTGGCACAGGACTCGGATTAGCTGACAGAAACTGCCAGTAGTCCGAGATGGACATCTGGAAAATACTTTGATTTTTCGAGCTCGAGTGAAATGAGAAGTTCAGCAAGGTCGATAATTCTTTTCCCACAGTAGAGAAAATCTGGACATTTTCATAAAGTTATCAGGCTTACAATTTTTTCAGTGTTTTGGTTTTCTAAACATGATTCAACGCAGAAAAGATCTCATTTCCATTTTGCGATGTATGTTGCTCGAGTGCTCTGAGAAGTTTGAAATTAAAATTTTACGACCTTTAGGATGAAATGAGAGTATTGGAAAAAATCACATAAGTGAGCGTGAAAGTTGAAAAAAATTTCAATCGAACGTTATTTTCATGGGGTGCTATCAAGAATGAAAATTCAAGTTTAATTTTGAATACAAGGTACTATTTTGCGAAAGAGCAAAAAATTTTAGTGCAGTTTTAAGATGAAAATTTTCTTTTTAAGCATTCTGATTCAGTATTCGATGTGATGAAATTGCATAGAGTTCAGAAACCGAGGATTTGACCATCACGAAAGAAATATAGCGATTATGAAGGAAACTGTCAAACAGCGTTTGTTTATCACGGGGTTATTGAAGATAATCAATGAAGTCAATACTGTTAGGTAAACAGTATTACGAGGATTTTTTTTTTCTTGTAATTTTCTCTGGCAAGCTAGTGGTGAATGTAGTATGGTGATAACTTGGTCTAATCGAACCACCCAATTACCGTGAAGTAGTGGGAAAAGCGTGGAAAACGAGTAAATAGAGGTAATGGAGAGAAAGAGAGCAGGTGTAGGTTACTGTAACCTGGTGACCGAGTGACCGGCTCCGACGGCGGTTGGCGCGTCGACTGCGCTGGCAGCTGCTGCGGCTTCTGCTCCGCCCCTCCGCCTTTTGTGCAATTAGGAGAGTCGGCCTTCTAATGGGAACCACCCAAGAAACGGAAACCACCTTTACCAAAATCGTCGCGAATTAGCATATTTCCATGGCGACGTCACTCGCCCTTTCACCCCTCACCTCTTTTTTTCGGCAAGTCTTTTTGCGAGAGATTGAATGGATGAATGTTTCTGAGAGAGACTCCGAGAAGACAAATTTCCTCATGAAAGAGCCTGGTTTGTCTGTATAATAATGATAGAACAGTTTCGTAAATGCTCCTCCGTCAAGTACGTGTCCATGAAAGTTGTTGAAGGGGTTTTTTGTTGAAAAAAAAACCGTTAGATTGGAAAAAAAAAAGCAATGAAATAGAGAAATTATTTTGTTCATAAAACATGTTCCGATGGAGTTGGAAACTTTGCTTCCGAAGAGATTTTGAAAACAAGAAAAAAGTGTTTCTAAATAAATCTGGTTTCGATTTTCTTCTTTTAGCCAGACGGTAAAACGCTTCAAAAGCTAGAATTAGCGTTTCTTGTCATAATTTGCGTATTTTGCAAAGTTTGAAGTTACATAACTCGAAAACAAAATTCATTCTGTAAAAAAAATTTCCTAGTAAGTCAAAATAAGTTAAATTATTCTAGCTCGGCACTCCGTCGAGAACTCTCAATCTAAGTTATATATACAGCTCCTTCATGCACAAAACCTTGATCTAAAACAGTCCACATGACCAGTAACTCGACGACTCTCGATGTTTTCTGTAACTGGACGCAATTGCTGGGAATTGGTGGTGTAATTGAGTGGATGGGATAAGGATGCGCGCAAACAATCGGCCCAACACTTGAACCCCGGCCTCTTCGTACTGTAGTGAGGTAATTGCCGGTTTCCGATAAACTGCGAACACGACCGGGTCAGCAGGACACCTGCGAGTTGCACTCCAATCAGCTGCCACACTTATTGCTCCAGCCATCACTATTTGATGAGTTGGGTGATCTTGGTTACATCCGGGATATTCTTTATTGAGCTCAGCTCTGAGTTTTCATTTACAAACATTTTTTCTCTGTCAAAAATAGGTTAATGAAATAATTTCCGTGAAAACCATTGTCTCAACTAGTGCATTACCACTCAAGCTCACCTATTTTCATAGACTTTAGTTTGTATGATAATCAATGTATTCTACACTTTGCAGCCTCCTAAAACAAAATAGATGAATGTTATCTTGAAAAGAATGACCATATATACTTCTCCTGTCAAAATTGCGCTTCAATCTTTAAAATAACCTTTTTGGATCTTGTTCATTTTCTCTGTAGTTGATATTCTCTCATAAACGTTGATCATTATGGTATGAAAAAAAGAAATTTTTTTTCCAAATAATTATCTTCTTGACAATTACTGTAGAGTATTAGTTACATTACAACCGTATAATAGGCAGTTCAATATGAACTATTTTCTAATAATCGTGCGAATTTCGAGATCTTAATCAAGCCGTCGGTGAAAGGATTATGCTATTTAAGGATGAATTGGATAATTGACGAACAGCTGAAGATGCGGGCGGCACAAAAGGGAAAGGTCAGATGAGGTCGTGGGGCCACCTGCCGCGAGGACGTCTGTTGCGCGAGATTCACTCCGAGTCCAAGCCGTTCGGCTTGACGGACACGTGGCAATCACCGTGTCGCCGCCATCATTTATTCATTGTTTTGTGCTTCTCCCAACCGGCGAGTCTACAAACACGCTCACCTTGCCACGTCGAAATGCACAGCATTTAAAACCGATAATTGCCTTTTCCAGCTTCACGTCTTTTCCGAAGTTTTCTTTTCAGAAAACTGTTCTCGAGCTATGGATTATCCAATGCATAGATGCGGGTACAATCAAAAACTTGGATAAACGATTGTTTTATAGGCTGACAGAACAGAGGATCAGGTGAGGCAAATTAGCCGGGAAACTAGAAGATCGGAACCAATAGGAACTTCATCAGAAATCTACAAAATACGATGTTTGAAAACAAACTGACTTCATAATATGCAATCTGGGGTAAATATTTTCAAATCTAAAGATTTTCAACAGAGAATATAAAACCAGACTGAAGGATCCAATTTTCGCATACGGAAATTTTAAAAATTATTATCAGCATCGACGAGCGTTCGACAAGCTTCAATAACTTTCAACGTAGGAAGTTGAATTACCTTCTTGGTCTCTTGGTGATGATTCGACTTCAAAAGCTTAGGTTGTTATGACATGGGGCGAAGGTCATCGCATTCAGACAATCGCAACAAGTGTGTGTGTGTCAGCTGGGGACTCCCGAAAAGGAGATTAACCGAGAAACAAGCGGCGCCGATGAGGTTGACTCTGCCTGAAAACAAGACTTCGTCGGGATGATGGATTCGCTTGTTTTCAGGAGACGTGTGTTTATCGAGATGAGCACGTTGCCTTCATCCGACGCAGCCCTACATCATATTTCATGTCGCACACATGTTACTGTATATGCAAATCGCGACGTTTTACGATGACTAATTGGCGGTGCCAATTCTCGACACCTGTTATAGACATTGAGACTCCACCGTTTTACGGCGAGAATTAGGTAGTCAGTCCCAATTATCTCCACAATTCCACTGCGAACTATACAGGGAATTTTGATTTTGGGAGGCTCTTCACCAAAAAACTCAATCAATTCAAAGAGATAAATCGAACGAAATTAGTAAAGAAGTACTGTAAAGTTCTCAAGCAAGTAAGCGCTAAAATTTTAAAACAAAAAAAATTTTTATGTATGATTATTTAAAAAGAAATTTCGAGCTTTTCATAAAGTCAGTAAACCAATTACTTTCAACAACAATCATTGTATACAGTATTTTCTTTATTATCCCTAAACTTCAAACATTGACTTGAATTTCCTCTCTTTAGATACTTGGATCCACTCCAGAAACTTCACAATACCGAACATTTTAAGTACCGATCAAACTTCCAAGAAGTATTCGATTTCGGTATGGCCTAACCTTTAGGATTCTGAAAAGAAAATCCGCGATTTTCTGTCATTTGCGACGGAGAGTACGACATCACCTTGGCGACGAGTCACTTCCTTTTTTGGAATCGTTTTTTTTCTCGGAGTGACCATTCTGTCGAAAAAAGGAGCGGCGAGTGGGAAAACGCCTTGGCGTTTGACAAATGGTTCATCTGGACACATGCCCATTGAGAAGCGTGTCGAAACGCACAAATTGAGGTGCGGCCAGGCGGCAGGCAGATGTTTTAGTACGGGCAGATGCACGCCGAAATCCTGCATGCACACCAACGTCTACAGCAAACACCGACGGCCACGGAGGTCAACTAAACAACAACAAAAAGTGATTGTGGACGGAAAAAGTCGGGAACCTCCGGCTTTCTGATTTTCTTGCTTGAAATCTTTTTTATCTTGCCCTACTCAGATTTCCAGCTTTTTTGAAGGCGTCAATATAAATTTTAGTACGTGGCTATTTGTATCTCTCTGGTTAGTTGTCAAAGTCGACTGGATATAAATTCCAAGAAAAAAACCTCTTTAAAAATAATTTTTTTAACTTTAAAGTTTGAAAAACAAAAAAACTTTCAATAAATTTCAAAAACTGAGTAAAGGTAATAATTAAAAAAAGAACGATAAGGAAAAATATGTAATGATTTGAGCATAGATAAACCAGTTTATTAGTTTCTTCAAAAAAATAAAAAAATAAAAAAACACCCGAAAAAATGCAAAAAATGAATTTAAATTAGTAAAGTTTGTTCAAACATCCCTCGGCTTGCCGATTATCTCGACTTCCGCCACTTTGCTCTCAAATTGAACTGGGGCGACTTTTGAAGAAGTCCATGGGGCAGGTTTATCCGTGAAGACAAAGAAGGAGAGGGCGTTGGCCTGGAAAGAAGTGGATAGTTGACTTCGATGGAGAAGAAGCTCACGAGAATCATAAGAGAGCCGAGGGCGATGAGAACGACGCGCCATTGGCCGACGTCAGTCTCGTCTTTGACGACGGCGGCGACCAGGGCCGGCCCCGTGATCAGAGCCACCGACTTCATCCATTGAATCGATGCGATAACTACGTGCGCGAACTGCCTGCAATGATGTCCTCGGTGAGCATCTATTCTCTCATTCGGCAGAAACCGTTTTCTCGAAATTAGTCTCAAAAAACTTACATCATGAGTGTTGAGTACACGATTTTTGCGATAGATTAGAAGTAGTTAAAATCAGTTTAGCTAAATCAACATCAAACGAGGTTTCTCACCGTGTATGGAGCGTTGCGCATTTGTAGAAGCCGGCAGTGTTGAAGCTTAGACATGTGAAAATTATGGAGAAAAGAATGACAGCCAGAAAATGATGAGAAGGCGGGATGTAACTGAATAAAAAGTTCCCAAAGGTCCTCTTACAAGACCTACGCTAGTATGCAGAAAAGGACTCCGACGACTCCTACGGCGATTGTGTTGAAGAAAAGCATTTTGCTCTTCTCTGAGAAGCACCTGAGAGAATACTTTTTTTCCGTGAAATGTAGCTTTGCGCACTTGGCCTTGTCGCTGATAAAGCCTCCCACAAGTTTCATCGGGATCTGAACGAGAACAGCCATGGCAACAAGATAGCCCGTTTCAGCGACCTGAATCAGTCATAAGCTGAAAAAGGAAAAGCGAACGAAGAAACCAACATCAAACTTGAGAACTCGGTTGAAGAATGTTGGAGCGTAGGTGTGCAGAAACATGATGACGGACATCTCGGCGAACGCGTTGAACCACACAGTCAGCAGAACTGGACTTGTGAGTAGCTTCTGAACGTTACCATTGGAGGTGAGGTTTTTGTAAGTACAGGGATTACGCAAAAGGCTGCTTCTAAACCGATTTTGTCTCATCAACACTTTTCGTCACCTTGTATGGCACGTTAGTGTCTTTGTTCTTGATATGCTGCTCGGATTTGTTCTTTTGGATTTTCCTCTGCTCTCTTTTGGAAATTCGAGTTGAAAGATGAGGATTGTCGGTGTAAACAGCGAGCCAGACCAAAAAAAGAACGGTTCCGATAACGGCATGCATGTAGAAGGCCATTCGCCAGCCGAACTCTTCGCACAGCTAAACTTCATTTTTTGTTTCCATCAACGGTGGAACTAACGGGTCCGGAGGCGGCGTTGGTGAAAACGGAGGAAAGCGACGTGAAGCAGGTGAGAACGGAAAGAATGATGGCCGTCTCACTGAGGGGAGCCCATCGCACGGTCAACATGCCGATGGCGGCGAAGTCGGCAGCGAACGAGACCCCCTGTTAAAGTAGTTGGAAAAAAATGAAAACTGAGGGCATTTTAGAAATCTTTGGACAAAAGTTTTAGGTTGAATTGTCCGCTCTTTTGAAGATATGAGTTTCAAGGAATTTAAAAAAGAAAAAAGAAAAAAGTTTTTTTTCAGTTTGGGCCAATATTTTTCCGAGTTTTGTTTTCTGCATCGAAATCCGAATCAGGTGTATACTTTTTCGGATCCAAAACTGTCAATCAGGATGTAGTCCAGCTAAGCTGTTAATCATAATTCAACTGCGGCTTCTTAGCTTCTTTCAGACTTTAGTCCGCTAAGATTTCCTATTAGCATTGTCGAAGCGGAAAACTGTCTGAATGGATATTAGTAAAAAGTAATTTGCCCTACTTGAAGACATCTGACAAAAAGCAAGATGGTGTAGTTGAATGTCGCGGCAAACGGAATCAAGGACGTCGTCACTGCGGAGAGGATTCCGCACAAGAAGAAGGGCCACCTTTTACGGTAGGAATGGTAGAAATCACGCGGTTTCAAACATACTTGGCTCCATAACGAACGAAAAAGTAGTTGATTGGAAAAGTGCCGGTGATGGTGCCGACGGCGACCGCCCAGATTATGTACTTCTTCTCGTCGGGTGTGTAGTCGAACACGCTCCGTGTCTGAAATCATTTTATTGTTCTCACGCCGATGTTCAAAACTTTTGTTGCAAAGAACTTTAGGAGACATCAAAAAATTATAGATAGTTGCAAGAAAGGTATTTTAAAAATTTACCTAGTTTCATTTTTTTTCGCATAGTTTTTCGATAAAAGTTTTTTCTATTCAAATAAATTTGGATATAATTGGATTTTTTGAACCAGCTAAAAAAAAAGTTTCTTATTTTCATAAACTCTCCGTTCGAAAAATGCTTGGATTTGGACTCACTTCATCACCAACTACGTTTTCCTCTACCTCTGGTCACAGGTCACTCATCCATCACACTTTCTCACATCATAGATCAATGTCTCATTTTTGTTACTTCATTTCGTCTTTTTCTCATTAAAGTGAACCTTGTTTTCTGACAGAGAATAGTAGCCGGCGGAGAAGTCGTCTTTCATACAGATGAAGGTGAAGTTGATGACGACATAGTTGGAGCAGATGGAGACGAGACACAGCAACCCGACGACCACAACCAGGTATCGATAGTGGTCGGCCAGCATCCAACTGAATTTTGTCTAATTTAAGAATCGATAAGTAAAGCTTCTGAAACTGTAGGATGTTATGTTTGCAAAGACAGTGAACCTATGGATTCATGAAACAGACAGAAATACGGAGAAGTTGAAAAAAAATGATTTTGAAAAACAGACGACGTCAGAGAAAAATTATTTGATTCGAGAGAGAAAGAGAAGAAACAGAAACAAAGATAGGTGGCGGGATTCGCCGAACATTGCGCCAAAAAAAAGCGTAATACTTTTGAACCCAATGGTTTTTTCGAAATGGCTGGTCGAAGTTTCTATACGCTTTCGCATTGACGCAGAACCTCGATTTTCCTCAACAATTCATAAAAATTTTCAATTTACGAAATGCACGCTGAATGTAGCCGTGAAGAAAATTTGAAAAAAAAGTTTGATTCGGTAGAAGCGGAGCACGAAGCATTTTCATTGCGCTCAAACAGAAAAGTTGTTTTTAAAGAGCGACCGGATGATCGCCGAGTAATCTCCGTGAATCAGAGTTGTCTTCTGGCGACTCTTCGGTGTTGTCACAACCTCGTGGACACGTCGAATCAAATGATAACAACCGGTTAGTCAACCAACCTTTCTGACTGCTTCCATTGGAATACTGGGGAAAATGTTGGAAAGTGCATAAGTTATTCATAACTTTGGATGACTTCAATTAACACTGAACAAGGCTCAGCACTTTGAAATCCTTCAGGATAGATCGAATTATTTTGAAAGATGTTAACTTTGCCGAAATTCCATTTCATTTCGATTATTTATACAAAATGAGTCACGGAAAGGTTCTCCAAAAAAGTCCGCGGTTTTCCTCTGTTTCGCCGAGATTACGCCGATGTTCACGCTGGCTCTGTGAGCAGTTTTATGCACTCGCTTGCTCTCCGAAAAAAAAACACGACAAAAGAGATTTGGTGTTCTTTGAACAGGAGGCCGTTCCACCACTTCTTAAGCACCAACGACGACGTCTTCAAGCACTTCTAAACAGTTTTCCAGAAAGACAAATCCTCGAAAAAATGAAGTTTCCGTCTGAAAAAAAAAATTACTTGCGTTTATCTCAAAAAAAAAAAGTTTGTTTTCAATTAATGAGGTTTCTGCAGAAGGAAAGTGTAGCATTTCAATTATGAAAAACTTTTTAGAAAATCGAAAAACTCTGAAAGTTATACTCTAAGTTCCATAATATGGTGACTATACTATACTGTATAGTCTTAGTTAGAGAAATGTTTTCTTCGTGTCTTGCTGAAAGAATTTTTCAAAGAAGTTTCAAAAGCTTGTCTGTCACAATTTTTTTGATTTTTGAAATTGGTAAGTATGAGAAAGTTGACGCTCCCAGAAACTGTTAGTAATATAACCTATCCTTTCAGCCTGCCACAGAAATTTTCAGGATGGCATGCTTTCTTATAATCTATTTTATATAGTTAATCAACTGTTTTCCGAGAGAAGCAACCGTAAAAATACAGTCTATTTTGCTCGACTTGCCGACATTCAAAAAGGTCGTGATATCGAGCAGAAAAAGCGTTGGTGTGAGCAGAAGGGTGTGGCTCCGCACAACTCCCAGGCGGCTGACGCCAAATTGTCTTCTGTTTTCTCCTGAGTTTTTGACTCAGATCCCGGCTCTTTTATCCTTCTTTCTTTGTCGTTTGTTCGTTTTTTCAAGGCGTTCGTTGATTTGCGATTCCCTCAAGAGGCCAGATGCCCTCAAGTCCACGCCAATTCGATTCCGACACTCGTCTCAGCTGTTAGCAAGCGTTTCTTGCCTCACTTGCCACTTCCTCTCAGAAAAAAAAACTAAGCTTCTTTTCAACTTTTCCAGAACCAGTATCTCTTTCTTTTTCCCAAACTTCTTTCGGGATCAGAAAGTAGTTTTGTCAATTCTACCACCTCGATATTACTGATGATTTACTCGAGGAATCAAGGAAATCCATATGAAAGGCAGCATAACTCATAATGAAGCGTATTATCCATATTTTTTTTTCCAAGTAAACATTGGGGAGACAGTTTTCCTAGTTCTTTGAAAACTTATCTTAATCCTAAAAAAATGTTGCTTATCGTAATGCTCCAGAAAAAGTGAATGAAATTTTTTTAAAAATATTATGCTTATTGTTAAATTCTTTCCAACCGACTCCTTTTTTTCAATTTATTTTTTTCTCATCACTTCATTTTTTTTCCTAAAAACATCTTTTCCGAGGAAACGTTAAAACGGTCTCAACAGCCAATTTTTCTAAATTTCATCTGTTTCGAGCCGGAGCCTGAAATAACGTTTGTGAAAACCCAGATAATTTTCTACGGTTTCCTTTTATAGCAAAAAAAACTCCTGGCTTCATTCCAGTTTTTTCAAATTTCATCTGGAAGTTTGAGAATTTTTTTTTGTTTTGGTTTCTAAAGAAATGTTCACTACTCCGTACAGAAGTGTGATTCGAAAGAGTAGGCGTAAGTGTTCGAGTCGAAGATAAACTGGCCGAAATGCCCTGGGGGCATATCTCTTGCCAGCTCTGTGGTCCAGAAACCGCAGTGAGATACGAATGCAAATTATAATGTGGCATTTTATTGCCAGCATCGCTGCAAAATTCGTGTCTTTTTTTTTTGAGTGAAACGCGCTTTCGAGAGTTTCATGGACGTTATACAGAATGTTTCGAGAAAGGAAACCTTTTTGGATTCCCTTGGCTCACTTTATGTCATTCAAGAATAATATTTCATATTGTTCTTTCCTTTTTTCCGCTTTGAGGCTGCAGCTTGAGCCGGTTATTCTCGAAAAAAATAGTTTATCTACCCAATCTTTCAACAAGCTTATTTTTTGTAAGAACGTTAAGAAGACGCTTATGGCATGAAACTTTAGCTTTTTGGAATCGGTCTCAGTTTCATTATCAAAATTCGAAATTTATTTCAACATTCGAAACGAAGAGCGGCCGCGGCTTTTTGAGCCATTAGGTTTTAATTTCGAAAATAAATTTTTAATATTTTACCAAACCGGAACCTCAAAAAGTTTTCAAATCGTTGATTTAGGGTTTCCAGATTTAACCGAATTTCGGTGGAAATGGAAATTTTTGAAATTCTTTTCTCCTATTTTTTTTTCAAATGAAAAGCAGGTTACAAAGATCTCTCAAAAACCATTTTGAAGCTTCTCACAATTTAGGCAGTATTCAAAAAACATGATTTGTTGTTTATTGTTGGTGGCATAAAGGAAAAAAAGAAGGAAATTGGATAATCCGTGGTCATGAGAACATCTAAAGTCGATTAGAATAAAAAGATTTGCCGCAGGATTCGGTTATCCTCAAACGCGACTATTTATGAGATTGATCCTGCCTGATATTTCTTTCTTTCTTTTTCCCAAACATGACGCGATGGAAGCTCGGCGAGCAAAAAAGAGCAGAGCGAAAGGATTGGAGGCTGATGAGTTTTTCGGACTCGACCCATTCAGAACCCGTCGTGATTCGTTCCGTTTCATTACAAATTCGCCCAAAACCAAGCTCATCCCTTCTTGGCCTCGCGCGTCAGTTGTTTGCGTTTCCGCGACATCATCATCTGATTCATCGGACTCTTCAGAAGACGTCGCGCCATGCACAACGGACGGCTCCAGTCGTTCGTCAAACGTCTTCATCGGCCCTCTTCAACTGACCACATCTTCATCTGCAGCAAGTCCGTCATGTCTTATTTTTCTGTTCAAGAAAAGAAGGAAAAAAGTTATTTTTCTGTCTTTAGTCGAGTGAACGTCGATTCAAACGGTAAAAGTGTTTGTGAGGTTTTTTTGGATATAGTTCCAACTTCAAAACCGATTTATTTTTCCTTTCATTCTCTACTAACTTTTTCTATCTTCATCAGAAAATCCAGCTCTCGGATTTAGATATTTGATCCTATCTTCAGCTCGAAGCTACTCAAAGAGTTTGAAGGTACACGGGCCGGTTGTTTGTCGCTGAGCCAGAAGATGTGAACAAGATAGTGGACGCCTACCACAAGGTTCCCGACAAGTACGCCATGTTTGAGAGCATGTTCATCCAGCTTTTCGTCGTCAGTCTTCTATCTCACTTTCCGTTTTCTAGCAAACGTTTCAGGTAGAGGAAGTCGAGTTCGCCGTTTATTTTGGACTGGAGAATCTGACAGAAGCTCAGCTGAGGCTTGACCAACGATTTCGCACCCACGTCGGCAAGTTCCAGCGCTTTATGAACGGTGACTTTTTTTGAAAAATATAGCTGAAGGTTATTCGCGTTGCTATTTTTCAAGCTTCCAGTTCGGTTTTGATGAAAAAAAAAACATTCAAATGCCGTTAACATGAATTAATTCAACTTAAATGTGAGGTCATTTAATTTTAACTCCGAAAATCAGAATTCTACAAAAATTGACCGAAAAACTCTTCGAATACTAGATGAAGCCCCTGAACTCTAGTTTTTTGCCTAACAAATAGACGGACTATCTTAGAAGCGCCATTTTCTGAATACTGTGAAGTTGTGCAGGTTAATAATCTCAGGAACTTCGTTTTGTGGATCACAGAGTGTTAACCGGACTCTAGAGATATCTTTAAATTTAATTACTCCCTCTAACTTTCTCATTAAATTTTATTTCAATCTAAAAACATTATTAAAGGAATAATGGACATGCTTTCGAAAGGACCAGAAAACGCCGATGAAATCGTCGACATTTTGAGGTTTTCTATTCCAACATGCTTTTCTTTTCAAGAGCCATTAATTTGAAGCAAAGCCTTGCATTTTCAGAATAGTCGGACGGAATCATGGAAATGTACGCTCCATGAGTTTTACCGCCGAAAAATGGCTCATTTTCAAAAATGATTTGCTCGCCCTTCTCTGCAAAGATGCATCGGTATGGTTTTGATGCTTTCAATTACCTCAAACGTGATAAGTCAGAAGCCGTATGCAATAAAGTGAAAAAAGGTTTTCTGCCATTCACCTGAAAATAGGAAAGGCCTAAAACTTGCTAGGAATCATTGATTTCAATGTAACCTGGTGTAATAAGGCTTTATAAGAAGATTCGGGAAGAGAAGAAACAGTTTCAGTATGAAAAAGAAGAATTGTAGCCATTTTCGAGTTTTAGAAAAATGACAAACATTCATTTTACACTTTATTGCATACGGGAGTTTTTAAAATTTTATTAATTAAATTTTTAAAAAAAACCTTACAACCTGCTCATACTAGTTTTTGAAGATGCAAACGTTCTCAAAATGACGCCTTTCGCCGAACTTTATGAAATTTGCCTTTTCTTTTTAGCGCAGCAAAAAAAAACTATGCCTGTACACAATGAGGTCTAGTTTTAATATCAGATCATTTTCCAGGAGAAAATTTGTTCAACCTGGAGCAAACTTATTAGTTTCATCATATCGGAAATAAAAGACGGCTACCTGGAGCACGTGAGGAACTCCCTCGAAAGTTTGATTAAAACTGAAAACGTTCAGGTAAGACACGCAAGGTCATCCTCCTGTCCTCAGATCGCGGCACTTCGCATTTTTCGAGCTTCTCGTCGTTCACGCAAAAAGTCAGAGTCTGTGACGCGGATCTGACCGCCAAAGCTTCACTTTCAACTTACGTGTAAATTCTTTGTTTCACTTCGATCTCTCAGTCTTCAATTGTTCATCACAAAGACGTTCAGTGTTATCAATGTACAAATAAATGAAAGAACAATGGTTGGCGATGTGAAAGACGTGAGAATTCGAGATGGAGACATTTTTAAAGCGCAACAAGGACAGAAAGAACGCTGGGAGAATGAAAAAAATGCTATTAAATTTTTTCGAAAGATTTGAAAGACTCATAAGTTTTATATAAGTTAAACAAAGTATTATTTCAAAAAAGGGAAGCTTTAAAATTTGATTTCGATCGAAATTTTATACATTATGGAATAACAACAGTCAAAACTATCCATTGAAGATGTTGCCGAAATTTCCTCCAAAGTTATTAAGATCGAAACCGGTGAATTGCTCGAGGATCTTGCCGGCGGCCTGAGCAGCTTGTTGCTTGTTACCTTGACCAGGTTTCATAGCCTGTGCTCCCATGAGACCTTGTTGGATGAGTCCAAAAAGGCCCAAATCCTCGTCGCCACCTGCACCTCCTCCGGTTGTCTGTGGCAAAGGTGCTGGCTGTGAGGTGCCTTGAGGGACAAAGTTCCCAAATGGACCTTGACCGGTTGGACCTAGGCCACTGCCAGTGAACATTCCGAGAGCTCCAAGGCCGATTGGATTGCCGCCTCCGCCACTGCTACCGCCAGTGAGCCCGCTCAAAGCATCGACTATCAGCGATTGTCCTGAGTTAACCGGTGGCGGGGGAGTCGGGGGCGGCGCTGGAGGTCTTTCGATACGTCCTCCGGAGTTCCAGCCGCCGCTCATCGGTGGCAGCAACGGACGTTGAGGAGGTGGAGGCGTCGGAGTTGCTGCAATGAATAGCTAGAAAGTGTAGCAGACAAAGTAGGAAAGATTTTTTTTGGTTGATTTCTCAATTTTATTAAAGGATTCTCTTTTCCTACCTTTTTGAAAGTTTGTTTTGTATCATGGAATATTTTATGTCGCACGATCAATAGCGAATATAAACCTTCATCAAAGAAAAGAAAAATTTTATCAATAGATTATTTAGCCGTTTTCAACTCTAAGACTTACGCATAAGTTTTTGCGGACTTTGCTGATGTTATGATTTGAGCACAATAACAAACTGTAGAGCCTTCAAAGTAATTTCACTCACGGCGGCACATCTCGACAACTTTGAGGCAGTCATGGTAGTTGTCGAAAAGGTTGGCGTTGGTTTCGACTGTCCGACAGCCGGGAAACCAAAATTCGTCGCATTGCAACGTCTCCTGTCACCCCAAATTCATCGGAAAAAACTCTGAATTTTACTTTATTGTAAGTGAACATCGGGCGGAAGCCGCAGAAACGTCCTGTCGGTGCATCCATTTGGCAAATCGACAGAGGACTTGGCGGCGGCGCTATTGTCACCACTGTAAATGAGTCATCGTCTTTGTGTCTTTCTTTGCAACGGCTTCATGCAAAAACAGAGATCGATTCGTTGAGACAAAACTGGAAATCGCAGCCGCCGCAGCGTCTGTGGCTTACAACCAAAACAATGAAACCGTAGAAGACCAACTTTTCGGGCCTTTGTCGCCAGATCCAAGGTTCGAGAAGCCACCTCCGAGCTTGGGAACCGCTGGCGATACTGTCGTAGTGAGAAGCAGTGGCGGACCAACTGGGAGGACGCCTCCATTTGCTTCCGTCAAACACTGCAAATGGATTGAAAAGAATACGTGGATGGATTTTTAAGATTTTTCGACATTCACATATGGTTTTTAACATTGTGAAAAACGCTATCCAGGTGTCTAAGTGAACGAGTTGAAAAAAATTGAAATTTTTCTGTAGATATCCCAAGAGTTTTTTTGACTAACTGAAGACTTCTTAGTGGCTAGTTGGATCATTTATACAAGTACAGGATTTTCTTTCGTTCTCCGGCAAAATTATGAGATGAATGACAGAGCAAGCGGTACCTCGTGTGGAATAGTCCGACAGACGTTGGAGGAAGAGTCTTGGAACTTGGCCGACGGTCTTGCGCAGACTTGCCGGGGAAAATCGCAAGTGAAAGGGTCACATTTTGAAGTGGCAATGATGTTGAACTCGCCGGATGAAATAAACTCCTCACCTATAGAATCGTATCGTCCTCAGATTCCGGGCAACCTCTCGCTCACCCACATTTTTCAGTGTCGAAGAGTTTCTCCATAAACGAGTCCAAGTCGTCAGGAAGTTCGGCAACGGCGATCACAACCAGCACGCTTGGAAGCCATAAGACGCGCATGACACTGCCGCAGGCGTCGTAGATCAAACTATCCGCGGGAGTCGTCGTTGGCGGCAAACGCGCGGCGAAACCATTGGGAAACAGTTGTGTGACCGAACAACCACCTCACCGCGTACACTAATTACGACGCGAAGTTTGCTGTGATTTCAATCCCCATACGTATACTCCGATTAGATCGAGTTTCTGCCACGAAGACCGGTTTTCTTCGCGCACCTAGTCCTCATTTCAAATTGGCGCGTGCCTGCGTGTTGCAGTTTGGATACGGTAGGTGCCCCCAACTTCTGCGCTCTATGGAACACGCATTGCCCTTCGCATCGTCGCTGTCAACTGTTGGATTTATATTCAAGCTTTCTTTGTTCATTTCATTGTGTTTTGTTCGGTTTGGTTGCGTGCTTCTCGGCAAAGCTTCAAAAGATGCTTATAACCTAGTGTATTTTTCGCAAGTCATTTCGCACAAAAAATTTTATTTTCTATCTTTAGAGATAATTTTTCACTGCATTTTGTTATAGTGCATCCCGCGCGAGTCACGTTTTAAAAAAACATAAACGAAAAAGCTACAGTAAATACAGCCTTTTGCTCTACAAAACTGCTGAAAAGACAGCAGACAACAAAGGTCTTGAAACGAAGATGCTAGATTTTGATCTCTTTTGGTATAGGGTATTTTTTTTCGGCGGAAAAAAAACGTGACAAGCTGACGCGGAGTAGGCTATAAGAGGATGTCAAGCTTCAAATTTTTTTAAGGTTAAAATTTTTCAGTTCTGCTACTATAATGGACTTTATTAGTTTGAATCCCGGAATTATTACTCTCTTGATAGAATCTTTACAATAACCTCTTGCGTCAAACTGCTCAATAGATTATTCAGATATTTTTTTTGTCCGTCACGAAATTTTATTTCAAACAAAATGGAAAAAGAATTTTCAATTACTTCTACAATGCTTTCAAAAATCCATGAAGTATTTGCTCTCATACTGAATGCCCTCCATTCTTTTTTTTTCGTTTCAGTGCGCCAAATTATTTGCGGATGAAATTTGTGAGCAAAAAAATTCTAATCAATAGTTTTGTTGATTGATTTTTTTAAAATCATATTTATTAATTTTTTTCTTTGAAGTTGAAAAAAATCGCAAAAAAATCTTTGAAAACAGTTTTTTTATAGTTTGAAAAAGGATTTTAGTTTCATCACCAAAATATTGAAAATACTTTTTCTTAATTTTTAAGCATAGGTTTTCGTTTTTTTTTTAATTTGCTTTTTGTGAAAATAGTCAAAGTTAGTATGAATCTTGTCTTCGTCGCCATTGTTTTCCGGAAAATTTTCTTTGCAACTATGCATAATAAAAAGCTTTCTTTTAAGGAAGTCACAATATGGATCAGTTCCAAGCCCTTATTGAGCCGGCTCGACAGTTCTCGAAAGACTCCTACAGACTTGTCAAGCGTTGCACTAAGCCAGACCGAAAAGGTGCGTTTTGTTTTTTTATTTTTTTCCTATCGACTTATTTATCAGCGTTATTTGATTTTCTTCTTCAAGATTTACAGTTTTTAAACATATTTAACTTTCCCTTCTCTATAAAATATTTAAGATTACTCCACTTTATTTCTTTCGATTTTAGAAAAGTCGATAAATCCTTTTATTATATCTTGCAAAAGGTCTTTTTTTGGGGAAAAATGAGTAAACGAGCCGCCTGCTGGAAAAAAAAATTGAACCTTACTTTATAAACCTTTTTAAAAGCAGTCTTCCGCATCATATTTTTTTAGAAATTTATTTTTGTAGTCTTTGAAAAATCATTTGATGAAGAATTTTAGGTCCTTTTACTAAAAATGTTGCTATTTTGAGTTCATTTGTGTAGTTGGTTGCGCCTTATATGGCGGCTTTTTGTAATTTACCAAAAAAATTATTGACGTATATCTGTATGTTTTTTTCCTTTTTATAAAAATTAAACAGAGTTTAAAAAAACCAAAGAAATTCAATTTTAAGCTTCATTAAAAAAATAAATTTAGCAGTGCGAGGTTTTAAGTATGAAACCTGTTTTCAAAAATCTCAATTAAAAAAATGATGTTTACTAGAAGGGGACTATTCTGAAAAGAGTCTTAATTTTTAATTTTCCAGAATACCAGAAGATCGCTATCGCCACGGCCATCGGATTCGCCATTATGGGATTCATTGGCTTCTTCGTCAAGCTCATCCACATCCCGATCAACAACATCATCGTCGGAGCTTAAGATTCAATATACCGTTTGAATCTTCGTCCGGGTTTAATGAAAATTATGTAACTTGAAACCCTCCATTTCTTCATGGAAACTATTAATTTATTAATTCTTTCGTGTGATATGTTACTTGAAATTTTTATTGTCTCTTTTTTTGAATGTCATCCATCAATATACAGAAAACAGTAAAAACTATTAATATTCCGTTTGTTTTGTGTTTTCAAAGCAACGAGAAGTCACAACAATGAAATATTTAAGAAAGTTTGCGATTTAGACGTTCGTGAATCGTTGCAGATGGTCAAACTCATCATAGCGATTTCCGGAAAGAGGAAATCGGGGAAAGATTACTGTAGCAAACGTCTCCTCCATATTTTAAGCCAATGGTTTGCTCCTCGTTGATTCATCACCTTCTTTCATAGGTTCTGCGTTAAGGTCGTAGGAATTTCTCACAGTTTGAAAGCCGAGTATGCAAGGATTCATGGTGAATGATTTTTCTAAATCATCGTGAGATCTTACGAGTGAAAAAATGAAGTTGAGATGTAGGGCTCGACTTGGAAGAACTTCTGTCGGACGGTGGCTACAAGGAGAAGTACCGAAAAGAGATGATTGAGTGGGGAGAGCAGAAGCGAGCCGTCGATCCCGACATATTCTGCAGGTTTGTTTAATTCGATAAGTACCACTCCGTTTTCGTTCTTGTCATGCTTTCTATAGCCGATTCATAGTTCGCTTCAACCAAAGTCGAAAAACCGAGGCTTAAAAAGGTGATGAAAATAAAGGAGGATTGTTAGAAGAAAGAGCCATGTTTTCTATTTTACCAGTAAGTTAGAGCGAAATCTCCGGCAGTACTGTAGTGAAGAGTTCTGAAAAGCCGCAGGAAGGTAGGATAGAAATTTCAAAAAAAAAAAAAAGAAATTCAGAATCCTTTCTCTCGGTTTTAAAGCTATTTGGGAGAAAGACCGTCTTTTATACTATTCGACAACGAACTCTGTTTCCAGAGCAGCCATTGCGGACGGCTCCTCGGCTGAGGTCGTCATAGTGACTGACTGCCGTCGCCAAACAGATATGGACTTTTTCCTAGGCGGCTTCAGGACTTTGACGGTGAGGATTGAGTCGACGGCCGAGGAACGATGCCGCCGCGGCTTCCGATTCACCGCCGGTATCGACGACGCCGCTTCAGAGTGCGGCCTCGACGACTTTCCTTTTGAGCTCACTGTCCAGAATTCCATCTCTCCTGACGATCAGCTTGAGATGATCGCGTCCAGAGCAAAACATTTATTATCGAATTTAGAGGACGTTTGAACACCCAAAATGACCTGAAATGTGGAAAAATTTAAATTTTTCCAAAATTTAAAATATACTTCCGTTTATGAGAGCCGCTTCGCTTCATTGTTATGAATACAGGGTTTCCATTTTTCCCAGATGCCTACTTCGAAATTATTTCTCTGTCTTTATTAGCGCTAACATTTTTTTTTTGTGTGTAAAACTTAACATTCTAACATCAAATGTACATTTTTTCGTTTCAATTTTCTTAATTTGTCTTTTTCGTGTGAATTTGAGTGTAAAAAATAAACAGTTTATATTTGATAACAGAAATAAAAACAACTATTCAGATGAACATATACAAAAATCCTAACCTGTATATGTTGCTTCAATCGTGGTTTGGCGGGATTTCAATGTTTCTAAAATCGAAAATATAAAAATAAAACAGAGAAAAACTTAGAAGAGCTTTCAGCTTTTTCTTATATGTTGAACTTGAGATTTGAAATTCTTCAATAAAAGCGGAAGTTTCTTGATCAAAACAATCCGTTCAGTGACGGTAAATCATGGTGAAGGAATTTGATTGAAGACACTTTTTGAGATGAATTTGTCAGCTTTATTCCTTGACTTCGGAACATGGTCCAAAAATAAACCTGGTAAGCTCGTCAAAAGCCAATTTATCGACGTAAGCATTCCTATCTAAGGATATGAGAAGCGGTTTCTTGTGGACGAATGCCGTGGCTAACGGTATCCAGATCTAGATGATGCAATTTTAGTGAAATAATTCTCGAATTTTCTGCTCACCTTCTTCATTTCCGGGGCCATCTGGGCGTCAACGACTTCTTTACTTTCAAACCGTAAAGCCATCTTTCGCATGAGAAAGTTATAATGAACTGTGGTGAAAATCTGCAAAGTCACACATCCAGAACTTGTTCCAAGCTTTGATAGTACTTTACTTGGAAATCGACTATTTTACCTTGGAAGTGTGATCGTAGTAAATGTTTATTGGGAACCGCTTGGCGAGAAAGTGCAGCAGGATGGGAGTGAACGATAAAAGAACGAGGAAAGTGTTTGCAACTGAAATAAAGGCTTAAAAATAAAAACAGAATTCTTGAAGTCATCTTCTGTTTTCGAAGAAAATTTTTACCTATTGCGAAAAGCATCATATTTGGCCGTTCCGCGGCAGCTTCCCAAAGATACGAAGACAACACAGGAACCATCACAACACCTGCGATTGAAGATGAAAGCGAGAGAACCTTAATAATATATTTTGACATCCTGAAAAAAAAAATCAGAGAACCTTAGCAGCGAAAACGCCAGTTGCTACAATATCGTGTGCTGTCTTGGGCGATCCTTTTGGCAGGGTATCCTACTGATTCTGTATTTATTAAAATGGAGAGAAAAAATTAAACTTTATGAATAAGGATCGAATGGCCCAGCTTCTCCTGTGGAATACTCGACAGTGGAATCAATTTTGTCGAAACTTACCTGAATGAATTGAAGGTTTTGATAGAAAAAATTACCTGCTTGCAATGTTGAAAAACTTTCGTTCGACGCCAGAAATTTTGAATGAGCAGATAAAAGCACTTTGAAACGCGTAGGTTGCCCAAAAGAGCAGTAGAGTCGGCGGAAAAGTTGCAGTTGCATATCTCCAGTTATTACCAAAATATCTGCAATAAGTGGTATTCATAAATCCCTCAAAAAGGTTTTCGTTGACATACGAAAACAGCTTTATAGATTGCAATCAATATTGAGAAACTTCTGTCAAAGCGGAATTGCTATGAAAATTTTTCTTTTTTTTTAGGAGCCCAAAGTTTTAGTGCGAAGTGCGCGCTATCGCGAACATAATCCACTTTTTATTAAACGTCCCTCGAGAGAAAAGAAAAAAGGATCATTTTTTGAATGGTTTGGACGCCTCCGCAATGTTTTTTGTTTGACTCAAGCTATCGGTGAAAAGATTATACAATATATTCCTTGAACTGTATGAAACTTTCCCGAACGATCAATGACTTCGTTTTTAGATATCACACAAATTTTGCAACATTAAAACTTTTCATTTAAAAACATGCAATAAGACATTTGAAGAAAATAAAGTCAAAAGCACACGTAGTCATGAATATGATTAACATGAAAACACGTCGAAATGGATCAAAAGTTACAATACAACAGCTGCGAAAAACTAGGAAAGGATTTCGAAAGTTACAGACGGCTGCGCAGCGGCTCGTCCGTCCAAATCCCTCTACAAGAAAACCTAACCTACAAACTCAGATATTGCTCTCTGACTCAATTTGGAAAGTGACGCCGAAGGATTCGAGGTACTCGTAAATGTTGGAGTTACCGAAAGCGGCGGCAGTCGTGTAAACGCCTCCTCTGAAAAGGTCAGAAATAGGGAAAAATTCTGAAAAGTTCTAATCGAAGATTTTAAAGTTTTCTATCATTATAACTGTCGAGAGGCACGGGGACCTACTCCTTGGGCAAGTTTTTGCGATCCTTGAGCACCGCGAGGGCAGAAGAAAGAATGCAGCCACTCGTCGCTATGTATCCGGCGTCGGGTCCTTTGCAAGTCGACACAACCTGTTGAAAAAACGAAAATTATTGAATGAATATTTTTTTTTCAAATATAAAATGTTAAATTCCTATTTCGAACATAAGGTGTAGCTCCACACATCCAGAAGGTATTAATATTCAAAAAAAATTCACCTTGCGGTTAATTTTCTCTTCGTGCTGCTCGTCCTGAGGCTTCGATTCTGAATAACCATATCCGAAGAACCAATAGACAAACGAAGCTTGAGCCATTTGTTCTTTGTTTGGGCCGGAATTCTGAACCAGAAGTTTTGAAAGATCTATTTAATATAACTAACTTTGAACATGTGGAAACTGCAGAGGTCAGGGTACTGTTGGAGGAATTTGCGCGTGGAAGGCCACTTGACCAAAACGCTGAACACCGTCACCCAGAGACCGAGAACCACCGCCCAGAACATGGAAGAAACTCGGATGTACGTCTCCATGTGGATCTGAAGGGCGAAGATGATATGGGGATGGTGATGAGCTTCACCGGACGCTTTTGGTTCACCGTCGCATCGTAGTACTGAGAACGGTTGATCACAGACTTGTCGGCCCCAGGGAACGGCAGAGCATATCCGTCGAGTTCCTTCTCTTTGATTTCCCAAACAGTGCCTCTGAAGGATGGAAAAATGGAGAATCTCATACAACTTATTCTTTTACATAACATTTCCCTAAGTTTATGAGGTCTAAGCTTTCCCAATATCAAAGAATTTGCAGGTTTTTCCAGAACTTACCTTTTTGGCACGCGAACAGCTCCCCGAACAATTTTTTCTGGCATGATTTGCTTACGAATGGCGCCGAGTTTATCAGTGAGAGCTCCACTGATGCCCAAAATGAGAGTCTGGTAGGTACCGGCATTGAAAGAGTACCCCTAAAATAACCGAACTCTCATTTTAAAAAAAACTGCTCGAATGTTTACCGCAGGTCCTTGCTTGATCTGCACAAAAGATTCGACGTGGTTGAGGTCGCCGCCAAAGTTTTTCTTCAAATAATTCACACCAAGGTCGGCGGGAATCGAGTCCCATCCGCAAGCGCTGACCACGAAAACACCTTGTTTTTCGGCCTCTTTCGAGTATTTCGCTTGCATCTGTTCGATCCACTGAAAAAAGCGGAAGTTTGTTTCAAATGTTCAATGGTAGGAATACCGCCGGCTCGCCAGAAATGTCGAGGTGATTGGCTCCGTTTTCAACGCAAGCTTTGACCACAGCTTCTCCGTAGAGGCGGTACTGTAAACATTTTCAAAAATGTTTTCGGCTCGATTCAGTTTTAAGGACCACACTCCGACGAGATGATATAGGTGTAAGCTACATAAAAAAAAATTTCCCAACCAACCGGGCCGACGGCGTTTATGACGACTTTGGCCTGTCGTGCCATGGCGGCAAGAGAATCCTCATCCGCTGAGTCTGCCTCAATGAGTGGGACCGAACGGACATTTCTTCCTATAAAAAGCGAACTTTTATTTTCAAACCCAATTTTTCTCTGGGCTATTTCGATACTTAAATCTTTAAGATTTTCACAATTGGCAAGATCGTATTGAGCGAAAAAAAAATTGTTTTCTTTTTTTTTGAATGATACGAATGAGTTTGATGAAGATTTTTGTGAAGAATCGGGGATGTATTTGAAAAATTCTTATATCTACAGTGGTCAAAACTTAGTAGCAAGTTCGTTTCGATAAAGGCTGGATTTTTGTCCGACCCCTTCCAGACATGTCGGTTATCGAATAGCTCATGTATGCTTTGTTGAATTTTCCAGTGAGAAAAACATCAGAAGATTTAAAAATATAACGTGATTCGAATATAATAACAGCGCCTGCAAATGACTCGAAAACCTGTTGTTTTATAATTGAAGTTCTACTGTCAAACTGAATTAAAAATCTTAACATACCCATTTCAGAGTCGGCTATTTACACCAAGAATTTTCCTTTTTTTTAATTATTTAGTCAAAAAAAAATAAAAAAATTTCATAACTCGAGTTAAAATGCTCAGAAACGGGTAATTTCCATCGTTCGAAGCTACTCAGCGTTTCCACTTTCCTATAGGTCAAACAGAATCCCTCAAGAAACATCAGGTATCATAGCGATATTACTCTTTTTTGCCAAATTCTTCTCTGGTTCTCTCTTCAGGAAATGATATCGTTTCTTAGCTTCGGTAGATTGTGAATAAGGAAATTGTTAATAGAAACAATTCAAGTAAATAGGTACAAAGAAGTCCATCCTGAACAAAAAAATTTTTCTTCAATAAAAAAATTTATTTCGAACTAATGACGAAAAAAAGGATAATTCTCATTCACAAGTTCAAGTATTTTTCACTTTTTCTACTAGTGATCATATGATAGAATTTTCCATAAAAGATAGGAAAAAATGACAGTTGAAAGATAATTTTCTCACTTTTCCGCAAGAACCATTCCTCTTTCCAATATTCCATCTACAAGATCTCCAAACCCGAAACTAGCGATGTCAACCCAGGTCCGTTTTTAGTGAGCTCACACCATAACCGAAAAAAAGTTTCAATTTATTTTTCGGATGAGTAAATGAAATAATCCACAAAAAGCTATTAGGCCTACATCTTTTCTAAACTCAAGTGAGCTACCGCAATTATTGATTTATTTGTGAGATTTTCCGTTAATTAGAAAAAAGGATCATGGCCCAAATTGTTTGTCGAGCCTAAGCATCTCGGCAAAAACATTTCAGTCTCAACTGTCCGTGGCACTCGAGACGTCCCAACGTTTTGCAGGTCGTTTCCCCGTCCAAACTTCAGAAAAGAAAAAAAGCACCGTTTTCCGCAACTCTCACGAGAGAAGACGGATTGCACGTCGGCGTGCGATTTTTGTTCAGCAGTTTGCCCACTGTTTCTCTGGTGCTCTCTTGCTCTCTCAGCTCTCACGCCACCATCTATATTTCCTGTGCGGCCGTCACGCGCCCGCAGCCCCATTCCCTTTCCCATTTTGTTCCTCCACAGCGACTTGTTTACGCCAGCCGTTTCCTTCTTGCACCTTCTCCCAAAGAACACTTTGGCGGAGGAAAGATTGTCACGGACTTTGCAAAAACACAGCCTGCAAAAAAGGCACTGACCAGTCCTGTCGGAGATGTCGGAAAGCACTTGGCGAAGCTTCGACTCGCTTCTACCAGCGACGGCGTACGTCACCCCCTGAAATACCGAGTCCCATAGTTGGATATAGTTGATTTGTCGCAGGCTTGAGTAAAAAAGCGAAGCTTAAAAACTTTTCACGAAAAAAATATTCGAAAAAGTATTCAATTTGAAAAATAAATTATAATTTCCTAGACTAACTTGAGCACTTTCCGTGTCAAAAAAGAAGTAAGAAGAGATTTTAATTAGAAAAGTGATCTAACTTCGCTTAAATTTCCTTGAACCTCAAGAAGTCGGTCTTCTTTTTTGGAAAAAAAGAAATTTGTTTTTCAAATGTAGGAAACCTCATTAATATGCCTCCTTCAAATTATTTGAATCTTTTTCGGTGAAAGCTTTTCTGCCCGTGAATCTCTACTTTTCCTCTTTTGGAAAACCTTCATACCTCAAAATGGGAAGAAGTCACGAGGTACTGCACAATATAAGCGCCTGTGAAGCCACTCGCGCCGTACACAACCACGTCGTATCTGCTCATTCTGCAAATTGTTTTACACTAAGTCATTCGATTGCTCGAAAAAGTTCCTAAACATTCAACAATAAAAAAACGAAGATGAACTCGTTGTTTCTTTGAAAGAAATAAATAGACTCGAATATATTTTTATGACCAGCATTATCGGAAAAAAAAGTGGCAAAAAAACGGCTAAGGAGAACGAAAAATTTTCCGGAGAAAATACTCGTACGAGTACGATATCAGCATTTTCTGCACCCTTAAATGCGAGAAAAATCCATCGTACGATACTGAAAAGCCATACGAAGATGCCATGCAAAACGCGTGGGTCTTTGAATGAAAAACACGGGAATTAACTCTTTAAAACGTATAGTCATTCCAAAAACCGTTGCTCGATTTTTTGACGCCCCAAGAAAAAAAAGCCGTTAAACATATGAAGTTTTATTTTTGACCGTGTAAGTTTTTGCACCTTCAAAACTCTAGCATTAAAGAAAATCACGCAGAAAAAAAAATCATGAAAACTAACTTATAGAAGAAAACTCCAGTCGTCGAAAAATGCAATCAATAGAAAGAACGACAAGGGTAAAACGTAGCCTCAATGAACGCCCAAAGTCCTTCACCGAGTTCGATTGATTTTCTCAGTTATCTATGTTTCAGGTTTAGAAAAATAGAGCCAGTAGGTCAACTTCCTAATCAACTTTCTAAAATTTTTGTCATACCACCGAAAACAATTATTAAAAATTTTGGACTTAAAATTTTCTGAACTGTGGTTCGGACAATGTGCGAATTTTTTTCATCACTTAAACACAAGGAAATTATACTCAATTTATAAAAAAATTATATATCCCATTAAACGCTTGCAATAAAAAAATATTTAAGATAACGATTTTTTTATTTAAGATAACCACCACTCATACTGAACTAAAAAAACTGACATTGCGTCATATGATGGAAGAGTGGATACTTTCGAAAAAAATTTCTATGAGCGATTTCCGGTTCAATGGTCACGATATTCGCTAGAAGGGTATTTTTTTGATAGAATTGAAGCGTCATTTATTTTCAATCATGCAAGACTGCTGCACCGTCAACCACCATATTTATCTTTTTCTCTTTATAAACGTAAAAATTAATAGAACTTTTTGGTAAATCTGGGAAGAAGAAAAAGTAGAAAAAATAATTCGTTGAGTGATAAAATTTCATTTCACTAAAAAAAGATCGCTCGACCTGACTGGAGATGTCAACGGCGTATTTAATGTTTTAACTATAATTATCTTTCTGTTCTCCTGTTATATATATACATATATACATATATACATATATATATATATATATACACTAAGAATAACTGACGAGATAAACGCGAGGTCGGTGGCGGTACATTGACGAACTCGCAAACATCTCGCTTTTTTCTAGGCGCGCTCTCGCATTTCTCTCGGCGCGACCTCGCATTTTTCTTGGCGCCATCTCGCATTTATCTCGCATTTCGGAAATTTTCAAATTGCGAGAGAAATGCGAGCTCGCGCCTAGAAAAATGCGAGCTCGCGTCCAGAAAAATGCGAGACCACGGCGTTCTTTTGACGACGCCCCTCCCACAATTTCCGTAATATTTGACGTCTTTTGTGCATACACAGAACGACGCTAACTCGCATACTCATTAAATCCAAAAATAATTTTTTTCCTCGAAAAATAGCGTTTTTTCAAAACTATAGACGTGGAAAAAATCGATCCTTTCACAATTCCTTTTCTAGTTGACAAAAAACATTTGGGTGACAGTTTTTCTTATTTTCTGAACACTTTCATACCTTTCACCCTCAAAATTAGTTATAGTCCTTTTTTTGAGTGAAAAACGTGAAATTTTGTGGCGAAAATGACTTATTGTGGTTCTATGTGTCTTTCCCGACTTATTGAAAATTTAAAAAAAGTTTTCTTTACAGATTTAGTTTAGTTCATCCACCTAGTGGTATTTTTTCTCCTCTGCAACATCGCCATACCATTCTGATGTTGCGATGAAGAGATTGATTGATTCGAATAAAAAATTTAATTTGACACTGAGAATGCTGCTGAAAGGCTTTTTTTTTGCTTTAAAGGGAGAATTTGGTCAAAACACAGCAGTTAATATTGATAATTGAAAAAAAAAGTTCCTTCGCATTTTGCTGTCGCAATAAAAAACAATTACCGTAAATCAGTACAAAACAGATAAAGATACAGCTGAAATAAACATGAAAAATCACGTGAAGCACTTGAGCAACAAGAAATTCAAATGTTCGCGCGCAAGCTGTCTACCGTAAATCTAGGTGGAGCAACCCTTCCAAGCCGCTCCACATTTTCAAAAATTTTACATTTTCTTCCACTGCGCAGAACGCCGTGAGACCGGCGCGAGAAAAAAAGCGAGATGTTTGCGAGCTCGTCAATGTACCGCCAGTGTCTCGCGTTTATCTCGGCAGTTATTCTTAGTGTATATATACGTCCAGATTTGATTATTGCTCAATCACATGGGCAATAAAATCAACCTGATTCGGCTCAATCTTGAAAATACCTTCAGTTGTGTTCTAACTCCCTCTTTCACCGGACAGTACACAGAAGTAACAAAATTTATTCAGCTTTCACCGCAATTTAAAAAAATACAGCGCAGCCAATAAACTTGCGTCAATAGATATTAGCAAAATGATAAAAAGAAAACAGGTTTAATATCATATAATTGTGAAAATTGGAATATCAAGATAACACACTGAGTTCGCTATTTTCTTAACACCGTCGGTACACGCTCTATGCGAAGAAGGCCCTAATGAATGAGAAGGGATGTCAACAATCACGGAGAAAGTGGGGGATAAAATGCAGAATGTACACATCACATGTCGAGACTACTAATCAAAAAAAAAACGACATCAATACCAAATTTTGCACATTTACAAACGTAATCACACGCAGGTATACATTGTACAAGGTCTATCGATGTATCGCTAGAGTGTGGAGGCTTCCTTCGATTTCAGAAGTTAAACAATCGGAACATGAGAAGAAAGTCTGCACAAAAGGTGGTTGCATCCAACGGTTTCCATTATTCAGAGGGAAAGCCGTTGAGCACAACACAAGAACCGGGAAAATAATAGAAAAAGAGGCAGCCGCAGGTGGTCGAACTCGTCTCAACAGGGGATCGCGCCTTGAATCGCAAGCCGCCAAAGAACAGCAGCCAACGACCGCCGCCATTTGAACTCCAGAATCTCCAGCTTTTCACGCAAGACCCAAAACAAAATGAAGTTCCGGAAAAGAACGGCTTTTGACTTGAAATCATCGAGCAAAAACTGAGACTCTCAAATTGAAATGGACGGCGCTTTTCCCCGTCGAGGTGCCGCCGCAAGCCCATCCTGCTACCGCTGTATCCAAAGCTCGAACAAAAAACAAAAACAAAAACAACCACATACAACATCTCGATCTGAATATGAAGGAAAAAAAAACAACTGCTATAAGTTAATCGAATCAGAGAAATCAGAAAAAAAACAACAACTGAAAATAAAGCTTTCGAATACAGGAAGGAACCGCGTTTCAAGTATGATGTATTGAGAGAACACATATGTTCAGGCCTCTAAAGCAAAAATTTAAATGCACTGGAATCGAAGAAATTCACAGAGAAGTAAAAAAAACTATTGCAAACATTGGTTAACTTGAAGGGAATGACGAGATGAGATTTGAAACGGTACCAGCGTAAATAGAGAATTTCAGGTTGAGAACGAGATGATGGAAAGTGGATAATTTCGTCTTTGAGATGCAAAGAGCGAGGGACAAGTCAGCAACGAGGCGAGCGTGGCGCAACGAACGGGGGAAGAACACGGTAGATGAATACACGTATAGACATTGGCTGCGGATTCTGGCGAGCTATACGGATCAACAAGTAAATCAACATCAAATATACACGTTTCGCGTATGAGAGTAGATAATTGCGAGATAGGTCAATTAATTAGCTTGGAAGGATGGAAAATGGTGACTTCGAAATATTACACCCGCGCTTAGGACAGCTACAAAAGAAACGCAAACGGAATATCTTTGAGATGTGGTTGGCTTTTGGACGACAATCCTTGTAAGGGATCCCTGAAGTAACCCGAGGCGAAAAAAATCTATGTCAAGTGATTTACAAGACACATCTAACAACTGCGACTGCATGGACCCGACAGTTTCTTTTGCAATTCGAAAACTATAGAAATTTTCGTCGAATTTTCAACTCGTAAACTGCCAAATCGCAAAATCTATAAACCGGCCAGTCCTTGTGCAAATGCGCATAGGCTAACCCACTCTGTACAAAGAAATAAAATACAATTCAGCGAGAAGAATGACATACGACTAGTAGTACCAAATTGTAATAGTTACACGCACTTTGAACAAATGTGAGGTTTTCTCTGATACAAACCGCCACGTGTACAGTACCGAGAAGATAAAGGCAAACCGATTATTGGAAGCAAAGTGAAAAGGATTTTGGAAAAAGGAACTGGACACGTAGCAGGGATGCTGCTTCACCGCGTAGTACAACAAGCTATGAAAAGGCAGAAAAGAAAGAAAAAACGAGAAAAGAGCTACACACGGTTCTATGACTGCAAGATCTGGACATATGACTATCGCCGTGTAACACTAGTATCTGCACATAAATGGGATCACGTTAGATGCAACACCTGACTATAAATACTTCGACATTCGCATGGAATTTTGTACCAAAATGTAACAACGAGTTGTAAAAAGAAACGGAAAATAAACCGAACAGTATTGTGGAGGCCCGATAGGAGATCTCTAGGCAGTATACCATAAAAAATATTATAAAAAAAGCTAACCTCTAAAGAAAACTCTATGCACAAGGATTAAACAGGTAAAAAAGGAATTATGATTTAAGGATGATTGTACAGGAGATATATATTCTAGGAAAAAGAGAGCGACGTTGACACATTGAGGACCTTCGATGTTGGAGTTGCACCGTACGGCAGGACTGTTTAGGCCTGCAGCAGGAGCTGCGAAGGAAACAGATGCTGCAACTCGAAACGACCGGTGCCGAGAGGATCGGCCTGGTTCAGGTCGGCAGCGCCCCAAAGATCGAAACCAGAATGGCCCCAGTTGTACAGGCCATTGGCGCCTTCGCAAGCCCAAGCGTTGTAAGTCGGCTGGTGCGAAGGCCAGAAACCCGAAGACGACGAAAGAGGAGTCGAGCGAGACTCCTGAAATTATACAGTTAGCAACCAGAATCAATAGAACTCTTAGTGTTGCTATAACTTTGGAAGTTTTGTTGAATGAAACCCTGAGCGACGGCGTACAATCGAGTACTTTAGCTTTAAATACAATTTTGAGTTCATTATCAAGAGTTCTTTTCCTTCATGAATTATGCTTTTTCCATCAACTTAAAAAAAGGAATTTATTAATTTCTTCATACTCACATCCAGCATCTTTCTAATTTTCGACAACACTCTGCGCAAGCCACTAAAATAGCCAGAGACTCATTAAATATTGCCAATGCTCTCTAACATGACGTGATGCTGGATTTAGGTGGCCTCAGCAAAAGCACAACGTGACGTGCTGCGTGGGCGCAGCCCTATTTGTGGCTTGAGGGAAAGATAAAAAAGAGAGAAAGAGAGAGAGATTTGAAGAGAAACGCGAGGGATCAAAACAGATCGAGAAAGAAAGATAGCAACTGAAGAAGGAGCGGCACGAGATAGCTACTAAGATAGGATATCTAGGCATTTTAGTGGAAGGACGTTGATATGAGCTAACAAAGCGACAAGTTTTCGATTTTTATACGATCAAATGAATATTTGCTTATTTTTTTTCCTTCCAAGTTATGAAAAACCATTCATCAATTTTTTCCTAATTTTTTCAACTTGGATGTTCAAACAAATGATAAACATTTCTCAACTTTTTTCTCAAGTCGTGAAGTACCTGGAGATTGTCGAAAATGTCGGCTCCAGAGTCTTCGCTGCTCCAAGACCAGGTCTTCGTGGTCACGTCACTTGGATTGTTGCTCTCAATTCCATCAACATCTTCCATCTCGAACCCTTCATCTGAATTTAGCATCCATCATTCTCCCTTCTTTCATCTAATTTAGAGCATCGGCCGACGACACGTTTCTTCAAAGGCTCACCGTTGTAATTGATGAAAGACTCGTCATTGCGCTCCTCTTGAACCGGAGGGGCGGCAGTCAGCTCATCCGACTTTTCCCGTTGGCTACGCATCCATCGGCACTCGTCGACATTCATTCGCTCAGAGTCGTCGGCCGAGTCACAGCTCGGCAGACCCATCAAGTTGCAATACAGTTCCTCGTCGTCCAGCAGGTCTAGGTCGCGCTGAGACCCACTCTTCAGTTATTTCAGCCGACTTCGGTTTCCGTGTACCTGGAGGTTTTTGATGGTGTTGTAGACGAGAAGATGTTTGCGCAGAGGGAGATTGGCGCTGCCTCGGATCTTCAGCAGACTCGAATCGAGCAGCTTCCGGCGTTGGACGCGCTCCATCTCCCGTTCGGCCCACGATCGTGAGGAACAACTGAAATTCCGAAGGGGGTTATCGAAGCTGAGAACAGAAGAAGTTTGATTAGGTCTTTACGGCTCAGCATTAATTCCTTCGCGATTACACACGACAACAAACTTTTCTTTTAGGCACCCTTCATAGAACTTTCGCAGAGAGAGAGAGAGAGAGAGATAAGACTTTAAAGTGTCACAGAAAAGTCGCACCTAACTCTGACACCTATGTCTGAATGACCTTGTCCGTTACTCACTCCTAACTTAGCCAACGAAGAGAACATTTTTTGCGATAAGCGGAGAGTCAGATCTCTGAGCAACACTATACAAAAATTGCCGAACGTCTCAATAAAGTCATGAAATTTAATAAATTCCACGGCATTTAACAAAATCTCAATTTTAACTTTTACAAGCCAACAAAAAGATTTTTTTGCCCTATGAAATATTACATAGTTAGTAATACACTGCTTAAAAAATTAACTGTTTAAAAGCGAAGCTTTCGAAAATTAATTTTCCGTACGTACCTCGACTTGATGGAACTTAGCGACTCCGCCGACGAAGAGAGCGGAGAATAAAGGCGATCCACCGGGACGGTCGAGGAGTCATCGCAGGTAGAATAGGGCGACGACCTAAAACAACAATTCGATACCATCCACACATCAATTTTTTCTATTTCCAACCAATTAAAGAAACCATCATGACCCAGAAAAACATTGGTCGGTCGGTTACACAATTGAAATCAATTTTCCAACCTCAGAGGAATGGGTTGCGAACGAGTGACTATCGCGTCATGGTAGTAGCTGTGAACATTGGAGGAAGAAGAAGAACAAGATAAATGTAAAACCATTTTTGACCCGGACGATTAAATACTCTGCAAAAAAAGGTACAATAAATTTAAAGCAAAACTTGTACTTATAAAAAAATTGAGTGAGCGATACGGTAAGCAAATGGTATGAAACAAAATTTAAATATCTGAGCTCCTGTGGCAAATTGTGCAGCTTTTTTTTCCTATTTCTAGTCCCTTCAAAAATTTTAATTTTGTGAAAAGGATCGAATTTTTTTGAAACTAGCATTCAAACACCCCCAGAAAGTGTTTTTGAACAGACCTTACATCGGTGCTAGATTGAAATCAAACTCTCGTGGAAAGTTTCTCTCTTTCAATATTGACTTTGATTGGTTCATGAGATTTTAGAATAAAATTAATGAAAAGATCTCGATGGAAAAAGAAAATAATGTCAATCTAAAAAATTATAAGCATGCGATGCATCAGATTGATTCCACTCAAGCAAACAAAAAAAACAGAGTTGAAAAAAAAATCCAGTCAGTCGACAGCCAGCGGAGCGCCGCATCAGGCTGTCCCACCACTCTGAATGCTGGCTGTAATGAGAGCGAGGCGGGTGGTTGAGAGAGTGGGGAGAGCGCAGAGAAAATGTTGCAGTCAGAGCGACGAGGAAGAAGAGAGAGTGTCAGGCGATCAGATGACGCCGTATGACGCAGAGAGTCGGCGGAGAGAGAAAAAGCAGCAAAAAGACCGGACGGACCGCGAAGCCGCAAGCGACGCCGCACGCGACGCCCTTGCCGCTGTTGACGACATTGGATCGATGGGCTGATGGAATCGGTAGGGACCGACGTGTTTATACAGCATTCTCTTGCTCTTACAAATATTCTAGTTACGAATCAACATTCACTGGGTTTTATTTAGAAAATCTTTTATGAAGAGCTTCGCGTTGAAACACATTTTCATCATGACAGGCTTCAGTCATAATGTTATTAAGCCTTCAATCACCAACTATTTCGCCCTAAATAATTTGCATCCTTTCTCCGATTCGATAATCTGTCAAATTATTCTGATTAAAACGTTATTAGCTCACCGCGTAAAACAAAAATGAAAGAAGAGACTTCTAACCCTCTTTTTTTCAAACACTCACTCTCTGATCGGTTGAGAACCTTTCTAAAAAATTGTCATCTTAAGCCAGCAGTGAATTACTGTGAGACTGACTTTTTCAGAATCAAAATAGTTTTAAAACTTGAACAAACCTAGTATAACAAAAAAAAATATTGAGAAACGGTGGAAATTACTGCGAGAGGTGTCCGTTACGCTTTTTCCATTTAAGTCGAGTAATGTAGTTATAGCTTATTCCGCGTTAGCTTGTCTCGTTTTTTTTTCGTGCCAAAATACCGTTTGAACTTAGATGACAGGTCTTGAAGCTAAGGAGAAAAACACTCACTAGGGAACTACTCGGACTCGGGTACGGGTTTCGAGTTGATACTTTAGTGGTTTATAGACCCAAGTCAGATTACTTGAAAACAAGAGAGAATATCTGCTAAACCCGATGGAGAACTGAGAAAAAATTAGTAGAAAATGTGAAAATTAGGCCTGAAATTTTTTTCAGAATAATGCTTTTCACCTTATTTTTATATTTTAATATAATCGCCTTGAATGATCCGACTATGATACACTCTAAAAAACTTTTTTCCAGCCAAAAGAAGGAGAAAAGTAGAAATTTGATAATTTTAAAGCCTAAACTTTTCATTTTCAAAAAGCTTTTTCTCAGAAGCCTATGGGGTTTAGCAGATAATCTCTCTTGTTTCCAAGTATTCTTACCCGGGTCTATAAGCCACCCAAGTTTCAACTCGAAACGCGTACCCGAGTCCGAGTAGTTCCCTAGTCAGGCAAAATAACTCTGTATACCGTGGTTTGTCATTATTTTTTTTAAACGTGACAAGTTAGCACGGAATTCAATATAAAAACGAAGGGAAACAAGTTTTGACTTATTTCTGCTGTCAAGTGATATCAACTTTGAAAAAGGTCAAATAGATGTTATCGCTTTTTAGTCGCCGCACAAGACAATTTTAGTTTTAATTCGAAGATCATTTCTATTCCACAAATTAATTCAAAGTTGTTTTACCGAAAAGTGAGAACAAGACTCAGGTGCTCGAAGATCGCTCCTAATATGATAAGATAAGCGAGTTTTTGGATTGACAATGCACGAGTCAGGTAAGGGGAATGATAGGAAAACGAATTGATGGACTGCTCCACGATTGATACGAGGTCCTCGAAAAATGGTGCTAGATATAAAAAAGACAGAGAGAGAGAGAGAGTTTTTCGATTCTTACGTGCGGCGATCGTCAAAAGAAAGAACGAAGAATAAAGGAGAAGAGATGGTGAGACCAAAGCCTTCTGCCCGGTTGTACGCAGCGCTCTTTTCTTCTCCGCTCTCCACAAACACGGCGCAGGGAAACTGGGCCCACCTCGTCTGTCACACTGAACGAAAAGGTAAAAAAAAAACTTGAGCGAAATGGATAGTGACGGAATTTTATCTAGGAACTCTTTTTGAAGACGTTTGAATACGATAACTGTCCACTAACAAGTTAATTAATAAATCTTTTACCAAACTTCGAAAAAAAAAGAAAAAAACCGCATTAAACCAACATATTAATCGATTTTGGCAAAAAGGAACAACTTAATGAAAAATTTTGTTTTTTTAAATAACCAGTGACAGGTATTTGAAAGCAAAAATCGAAATGAAAAAAATCTTAATCGGATGGAAAGCATCATTAGAAAAAAACCAAAAAAATAAATTTTTTTTAAATTTCTATTTATATAAAAATTTGAAAAAAATGGATACGGAAGTGACATGAACGCTTCACATCATTTAATTTAATGGAAACATACCTAGCTATGATAGAATCTCTTCTCAGCAGGTGTCATTAAATACATAGTATTTAAAATCATGACGCTTTAGAAAGAAAAATAATAACAAAGGGTGTCATTAAATACACAATTGTATTGCAACAAGGGTCACGCTTTCACAAGGTGCGTAGCTGTCCTCACACGCTTGCATCTGGCGTTTTTCGCATCGCCTGGTTCTAACGCGTATAACACGACTCAGGTATGAGAAAACGCGTTTCAGGGCAATAAGGCGATCAGGAGGAGGCAGACAGCTTGAAATCTCGAAAGTTTTTCTAGGGCCTGTGGCTCCAACGATTTTTGATGTATAGGTAAGTAAGAAAACCCTCTTGCTTAAAAAAAAAACAACACGGTTATCTATTTCGGAAGAAAGTTATGAAACTGGCACACATTTTTAAATATAGACCATAACTATAGTCGGTTTAGATTTTGAATGTAAAGTCGTCGCTCAAGCTCCGCGCCTAATATATAGCGCTATAAACCAATCAGAGAGCGAGCCATCCACGGATCCGGAGCATTGTCGAATAAAGCCATTGCACATGACATTAAAAACTTAACTGGCCATTTTAAAAATTGTCAACTTTTCGGCTAATTAGAAATGAACTTCAGAGATGGAAAAAGATAATTGAAAATTTCGGAGTCAGAGATCATTTTGAATTTCAGACGCCATTATAGATAGCACTCCCAAAAGTCTCCTTTTGGCGCATTCCGCGTGCGTGCGCGCGCCAATTCAAATTTCGTCTCTTGGACTAGATTTACAGGCTTCCAGTATATGGTTCTTTTTGTATAATTTTTCTTGCATAAAAAAACTTCCAATTAATTTTACCCGGGTATCATATCTATGATAACTTGATATACGGGCAGAGTACCTGAAATTTTTGATTTCTACCGAGTAGCCTGGAAATGCTTCCCAGGTTTTTATTATTATTGTTTTTAGTCACTTCGGTTTTCTAATTTTTATTCATTCTGTTTTCAGACTTCCTTTGAAATTTGTATAAGCTTTACACGTTGTTCTCCATTCGCTCATGAGAAACGAAGAATGAATTTCCAGCAGCACATTTCCTTATCATGCGAGGAGCTTTGAAAAATCGTATCTCCGCTCAAAAACTTTTCCAAAAACTTTTTCACGGACCTGCGCGGCATTTTTTGAGAACAGATTTGGAAAAAGCATGAAAAACTTCATTTAGTGAACTGGGTCTCATTCTGAAATCCAACTGCGACCAGACACCATTCCTTGGTCAGCTAGAGCTAAAATTTATGCTCGACGTCTCACGATGGACATATTATGGAATATTCAAGATTCATTTTAAGAGGTATATTTGTGGGCACATTATGGTACCTTTCCCATTTGCCTGTGCAAGTGAGTGAAGGCGAAAAATTTGAATTGGCGCTAAAACAAGAAAAAAACTTTCTTAAATAAAGTTAGATTCCCTAAATGAGTCAATATTAAATAAAAAGAAAACTGGAAATGAATAAGTAAGAAAAAAATTATACAAAAAAAGAATTCTTTCTAGTGCCGTGTTCAAAGTAATTTCCGCGAAATGCAAAATGATCTCTGACTCTCCAAAAATTTAGTGATCTTTTTCCTTTCTCTAACGGGTATTTTGCATTTCGCGGAATCAAATTGAACACGGCATAGAACCATATACTGGAAGCCTGTAAATCTAGTCCAAGAGACGAAATTTGAATTGGCGCGCGCACGCACGCGGAATGCGCCAAGAGGAGACTTTTTGGGGAGTGCTATCTATAATGGCGTCTTTGAATTTCGCGAAATTTAAAATTTGATCCAATGTGGTTCACGATTTTTTATGAAAAAAAAGGAAAAGCTGGTGCAGGATGGTCTAAAAATTAATTTTACAATTTAAATTGTATTTGGATACATTAGAGTTGCAATTTAGAAACATGAAATGTAGTTTTAATCGTTTTATGCTTTTTAATTGGAAAAACACCTGAATTAAATAGCTATTCTAAGGTGAAAAAAAAGTTTTTAAGAAATCATAAATCATTCCCGGCCCCCGATAACGAAAATTGCACGTCCTCCGGAGTCCGCACGTCCGTTTTTCCGAGACATTCAGGGATCACTTAAGAACGCTGTTCACTTGTTCACTAAAAGGTCCCTAGAAATACCCCGACACGCCCGATTCGCGTTATCAAGGTTCGAGATATATTTTCAAAAAAAGAGTCTTGATTATTTTTCACGTTTTGGAAGACGAACTCCATCAGACGACGCCTCTGATTAACTTTTTCCGCTTCAAAAAATTTCCGCAGTAAAAACAGAAACCTAGTTTATAGAATGAATTTCATAATATGTGAAGAAAAATCTCAAGAAACTGTATTAAGTGACACAATGTGAAACAAAGAACTTGGTGGACCAAAAACACAACTACGCCCGGAAAGTAACTGAATTGGTGTACAAAACACATCACATAAAAAAAAGAAAACAAAAAAATATAAAACAAAAAAATTTTTATTTTGCGTAGCCGTAAAAATATTTTAAAAACATTCAAATTTTTTGTTATCGAAAGTCTTAATACCAAATTATCTACAAGAGTAGCTTTTTATATCGTCGAAATACTTTGTTGCGTCGGAGGGCTTCTTGGTAACTTTCTGCTGTCAAGGGCGCTTCCATGCAGATGTCCTTTCTCCACTGAAAATATTTCATGACTATTGGTGATTCCAATTGTTTCACCTGCTTCTGAACGTTTCTCGCGTTAACAACAACCACGCTAATGACTTCTTTCGCTACTTGGGCTAATACAAACTCGACATTTTGACCCAGAGGCGGATTTCCGAGCCAGAAGCTGAGACGCGGCCTTCTCGTTCTTCTGGAGAAAGTTGAGTACAAAAATACAAGTCGGAAGGAGCAAACTGAAATCGATAGCCTAACGTATCATGAAAGGAGATTCGCCGTGCTTCAGAAAATCGTGCGTACGCCTCAGGAGACAAGTTTTTCGTAAACTCGACTAAAATTTTTTGCCGCTCCAAATACTGCTCATCATCGTGATCCTGAAGGATCTTTCTGAATTCCACATCTCCAAAAACTCACAATTATGGAATCGACTGAAATTCCTATTTTCTTTAGCGCCCGTTTGATTGTAGTTGCGATTCGATTTCTACTGTTTCTAAAAACTGAGAATATTCTTCACCTTCAACTCCAAATAACCGTTCTTCAAATTCGGCGAACGGACTAAACACAGAGTCATCTCTTTCAACGTCGTATTCATCGTCTTCTTCTTCCTCTCTTGAATTCATGTTTTTCTGCCGTGATTTGATAACTTGAACCTCGTGGAACGTCTGAATATCTAATTGTAGATTTGTTCAATAGTTCTAAACTCTCCGCATGAACACAAAAATGAATACTAAACTTTAGTTAGCGTTCAAAATTTCAAGGAAAAAAATGGAACTAGTTAATTTTTTCGTCAATTCTACAAAAAAGTGTACCTCTTATATAATATAATATTTGCAAGATGTGAAGGTAATAAACGTCGAAAAATTTCAGCCAACTGAGCTTTCAAGCGCATTATTTTGGCCAATTTTTCGACATTGTCTAAGATTAATAAAACTTTGAAAGCTTCAAATTTCTTGCAATCTGAAAAAAAACCTTGGCAATCGTCATCAATCTTTGAAGGATCCCTTTCTGATTACGCAAAACGCGGAAGATATCCTCTAGGTCGATCTGGAAATCGAAATTCCTTTAAATGCCCATAAGGAATCGAAGAAAACTTCCTTAACCTTTCTAAGCGTAACTTCGCCAAGTCAGAAGCGCCGCCAACTAAACACATCAACTCATTTTTGACTAAATCCAGTACATGTTCGATATTTTTGATATGCGGTTTCTGCAATGACTATATTACCTACAAGTTCGAGGAAAAAATATATTTAAACCTCGGAATCTCCGTTAGAGAACATCATACTTGCGATTATTTCTCGAAAATGACGATGGAGGGAGACTAAAATAGGAACTTTCGGAAAATAATCTTTTTAACAGAAAAAACCTTCGGAAAAACTTTCTGAAGTTGCGCGACAGAAAAGATCGTCGTCATAAACTCTCGAATCAAAAATTAAACACTTATAAAAACTATAAAAACGATTAAAAACCTTGAATCAATTCCATGCGTTTATTAGAAGGTGCATCATTCGAAGGACCCTCATACATTCTGAAAAGAAAAAACTGTAAATGAAGCACATGATTTTGAAATTTTTTTTTCGTTTTGTTCTAGAAAAAAAAAACCAGAAAGTTTACATTTTTTGACTTTGGAAAACCTAGCTAGTGCCTGAGGCTTGCGCGTCACGCCGGGCGGCCCGGGCTTTGGGCCCTCATTTTTCAGAAAAAGCTTGGCCTGGCCCGAGCCCGCGCAGGCTTTTTTAAAAAATTGAGGCCCAAAGTCCGGCCTGACGCACAAGCCTGCCCTCGCACCAGGCTTGGGCGAGTGCCGGCCCGTCAACCTCTTGGCCCCCCGGCCACTTCCCAAGCCCAGCCCGGCCCAAAAAACTCAAATTCTCTTCAAGTCGAATTTTTCGCTTTTTTAACGAGAAAAGTGGCATTTTTGCTTACTTTTTCTCATAGAGTTATGAGAAACTATGACTTAACAAGTTTTACGTAAAAAAATAATTTTTTTCCGTGAAATTTTTTCAAAATTAAATTTAAGATTTCTTTCGAAGCCCTGCCTGGCCCGAGCCCACGCAGGTTTTTTTAAGATTGTAGGCCCAAAGCCCGGGACCAGGCCGACCCGGGCTTTGACGTCAGGCGTCAGCTGACGCACATGCCTGCCTCGCACAGATGGTACGACAAAATCTCAAGTCCGCAAATCTCGAGGACCGTATAGTCTGTGCAGATTTTGAATGTCAAGTCGTCGCTCAAGCTCCGCTCATAATGGTGCGATAAACCAATCAGAGAGCGAGCCATCCACAGAGCGTTTTCGAATGACGTCATAACACTTGACATTCAAAATCTGAACAGTCTATAATCTTGTGTACGCAGATCTAAAGTCCCATAATCTTGGAAACCAAAATCTTGGAGACCAAAATCTTGGAAACCACAATCTTGAAAAGTAAAAATCAACGCTTTTGCGAATAGATTTTATCAGAAAAAGAAATTCGGTGATCCAAACAAGAGAATATGAGTAGATAAAGTGCAATAAAGAAGACTAAAAAGGAAGATTTTTGCTTTTCAAGATTGTGGTTTCCAAGATTTTGGTCTCCAAGATTTTGGTTTCCAAGATTATGGGACTTTAGATCTGCGTACACAAGATTACGGTCCTCGAGATTAGCGGACTTGAGATTTTGTCGTACCATCCTCGCACAAGCTCAGAAAAAAAGAGAGAGCGGTGGAGCACAATTCGCGTGCGCGCCAAGGCTGATCTTTCGAAAAGATAAATTGGAAAACGCGGCCGTCTCACCAACTATTTTTTTTTTGTTTTAAAAACCTCGGACATTGGTAACGCGAAACGGACGTGCTCCGGACGTTTCTGGGCGATTCAAGGGATCACTTAAGAGCGTTAAGGCTACTAAAGTGGTCACTAGAAATGCACCGACACGTCCTTTTCGCGTCCCGTTCGCGTTACCAAGGTCCGAGACTTTACAACTTTTTGCCGCGTTTAAAGTATATAATAAAAGTAATGGCGCGTTTATCGGACAAAACGAGAATTGCTTCGAAACGCGAGAACTTTGCTCCAACACAAAAGTTAGTACTGTTTTGGAGCAACTTTGGCGCGCTGATAAACACGATTTTTTGTTTTAAAGCATGTTCCGTTTCTCCCATGAATACGCCATAAGTTTTCATGCATCTGGCCTGATAAGTTTATTTTTGTTGCGATTGGCCGTTGACTGTTTTTGAGCATTTTTTTTGTAGCTTGCAAGCGAAGTTTTCGCGATTATGCTAATCTTTCGCGATCATGCATGTTTTTTTTTTCAAAAACGAAAACTTCATAATAGCTTCACAACGAAAAAATCGATGTGATTAGGAAAAATTAAGTTTTTAATAGGTTTTTTTAAAACAATTTTAGATTTTATTAGTGTTTTGAATGGGTCCATTTTCGAGTTTGCCAAAAAAAAAAGTTTGCAAAGTGCAAATAACCCTTTCAAGGTTTTACGAAAGAATATTTGGCTTGAGTTGTACGTTATTTTTTTTCTATTCTATTCTTTTTTTTTAAACAAAAGTTGATTTGCAGAGTAAATGTCAGCTTCATTGTCAGATCCATACGAGCAGATACCTTTTTCGAAAGCAGATGAAGATTTCGGTATTATCGCCATTTTTTTTAAATCGGTTTTTAATTTTTTGAGATGATAAACCTGATCCGGAGAAGAAAGCTCTTTTGAACTTGGTTTTTCGATCCGTGAAAAGAACTCAGGACTTATTCGCGGATGAATATTTCCACTGTCCCGTCCTACCAGATGAAAAGTTTTGTTTCTTTATAGTCTGTTCACAAATTTCTTTCTTATAGTTCGAAGCTTGTGAGTTCTATCAAGAGGAAATACGAATATGGTAGTGTAATCAAGCAAGTAGATGAGGCAAAACGGAAGAAAGAAGATGAAATGTTACAGGTCAGTTACTTAATTTTTGTGCCATCGATGAAATATCTGTATAGTTGCCGGCCAGTCAGCCCACCGTAGCCACAGGAACTGTTCTGTTGAACAGCAGCGGAACTTTGGCGATTACGGATGGGACTGGCAAACTTGTGAATCCAGAAACACAGCCAAAGGGGTGAGAAAGGATTTTTGAGCTAAATAGCAAAATGCTCGCTTTCAGCCAAATCCTGCCTCTTCTGCCGGTTGGATCGCAGTCCAAGGCCGAGGACAACACGACGCGTTCTTTGCTTCCTTCGCGCGCTCCGATGATGATGAAGCCAAAATGGCACGCGCCTTGGGTCTTGTACCGCGTACTGTCAGGTGAAAGCCTTCTTTTTTCTTTACAATGATGATTTCACAGGCCATACTGGCTGGGTTCGTGCCGTCGATGTGGAACCTCAGAACCAGTGGTTCGCTTCGGGAGGTGGAGATCGTATCATCAAGGCTAGTTTTCCTTTTTCACAATCTTTTTCCGAGCACAGAATAGCTCAAACAAAATATTATGAGCAATAATCATAAATTGTTTTAAAGAATTTTAAGTTTTTTGTGGAGAGTTAAATAGCTTAAAATCCAGAAGGCCAATATTTTAGAAATTCCTGCTATCCATAGACCCGGAAATTTCAGTTTGAAAAAAACATTTTGATTTTTTTTTCAGATTTGGGATTTGGCATCAGGTCAACTGAAACTTTCTCTCACTGGTCACATCAGTCAAGTGCGAGCCGTCAAGATTTCTCCGCGACATCCGTTTTTGTTCAGTGGCGGAGAAGACAAACAAGTTCACCTATCCAAATGTTCGGGGTTATATGAGTTTTAAAGGTGAAATGCTGGGATCTTGAATACAACAAGGTGATCAGACACTACCACGGTCATTTGAGTGCCGTCCAAGCCCTCTCCATCCACCCGACTTTGGACGTTTTAGTGACTTGCGCCCGCGACTCTACTGCCAGAGTGAACTACTTTTCGTTTTTTTGATGGTTTCTGTGGATTCAGGTTTGGGACATGCGTACCAAGGCCCAAGTTCATTGTTTTGCTGGACACACTAACACAGTCGCAGACGTCGTTTGCCAAGCTTCCGAACCTCAGGTTTTGTCTTAACTTTGATGTTTTGAAAAAAAAAAATCTCGAGCCACACAAACGTTCAAAAAAAAAAACAAGAGATAATTGAATGGTGGTGTTTTTTTCGAAAGAGAGTACAGTTCATTTTTAAATTTCATTGTTAACGGATAAATCGATGAATGAAACTTTTTTTAATGAAGTCATATGCCAAGCTAATAAAACTGTCCACTATCATTACACTAATATCTTTTTCTATTGCATTTTCTCTCAGGTGATAACGGCTTCTCACGATTCGACAGTCAGGTTGTGGGACCTCGCAGCTGGACGCTCCATGTGTACCTTGACGCATCACAAGGTGAACAAATTTCCCGAGTCTTCTTCTTCTTCTTCTTCCTACGCCTTTGTACCGCTTGAGCGGCGTCGGCGCCCCAAGTCGATTAGCCGAGGTCCTATCCTGATAATCAGTGGACTGGCTCGAGTGACATATCCGTCCTTGTGTGTGACGGCTGGGGATTTTGAAGTCGTGGTTTCCCACTACCAACATTTCTTAAACCCCTTGGTTGGGTCGGGGCGGGGATCGAACTTGTGATCCTGTGGACCGTAGACAGGCACACAACCTGTTGCGCTACGGCGCGCCCCGAACAAATTTCCCGAGTAATAAAAACAAATGACCTGTTATTTTTTGCTCGAGTTTTCAGAAATTCGTCACAGATCCTTGGTCTATTAAACAAACATCCTGAGATTCTCATTTTTCGATGTTTTGAGGAGGAACACTCAAAAGTTTATAAACCTATTAACCTACCAAAACTGTTTTCAGGCCAGCTTAGGCGTCGGTTCTTCGAATTTAGCAAGTAGTTCCATATTTTCATTTAAACCATTTAGCAGTAGTTGAGCAATTAATTTGAAAAAAATTTTTCCTCTAGACCTGTCGATATTTTCGTACAAAATAATCTAGCTGAATTTCCCTAATCTAAATTTCCGAAAAGACTTGATAGAGATAATCAGGCCTCGTACACATTTGTCTTTTTTTTCCAGAAGGCTGCCATCAAGTCCTCTCAAGTCTCTCTAAATTAAATTCAACACTAACAATCTCACCTTGAAAAACTAAGCTTATTTTTTGAAAAATTTTGCAGGTCAACTCTTTCTGCCAAGTTTATTGAGTTTTTTACTTGCGTATGCTTGACTAATTTTGAGCTAGAATATTGTTGGAGTACTAATACATGAAAATTCATCCGAAATTTATGCTTCTAAAACTAACGATTTTGTTTTTAGAAATCGGTGCGGGCCCTGGCTCTTCATCCTCGACTTTACATGTTCGCTTCAGCCTCTCCTGACAACATCAAGCAGTGGAAATGTCCCAAAGGAGAATTCATGCAGGTTTCGGATTATTTCGGGACGTTTCAACAGTTCGGTTTACCTCTAGAATCTTTCCGGGCATAATGCTATAGTCAATTCTCTGTCGTGCAACGAAGACGGCGTTCTCGCTTCTGGAGGCGACAACGGTTCCTTGTGCTTCTGGGACTGGCGTTCAGGATTCTGTTATCAGGTACCATTTCACGAGCTCACAGGAAAAGAACATAAACCATCGTTTTTTTTTTAATACTGAAATGGCGAAAATGCTTTTTCGATGCAGTAGGATTGTCTTTTTTTTTTGATAAATTGATTTAAAAAATAGCGATTCTCTTTCACAAACTATCTTTCTATTTCATTTTAAAACTTCCCTCAGAGTTAAATATATTTTAGTTTCGGTGTTATTTTTCTTTTATGTCATCGCTTTAATGCTTTTTTTTTTTGATATAACAAGAAATTAATGAACAATGTCAACTACATAGCGATGATAATAAGGAGTAGAAGTAAATATTTTCAGTTAGCAAGAATCGTTTTTGTTAAAAAAGATTTTACTTTGAAGCTCGAGAAAGTGGAAAATTTAGAATCCCAGGAAAAATGTTCATCCTTGATATTTAGCGAATGCAAACGAAGCCGCAGCCTGGATCCATTGATTCGGAGGCTGGAATTTACGCGACTTGCTTTGATAAAACTGGCCTTCGTCTCATCACCGCAGAAGCTGACAAAACTATCAAAATGTACAAAGAGGATGACACAGCGGTAAATCTCTTTTTTCAATGAGATTAATTTTTTCTCGTTTTCAGACAGAAGAAACTCACCCGATTGTGTGGCGACCGGAAATCATTCGAAAAAAGGGCTATTGATCTCTTTTTATTCCTTTTTATATTTATTTTTTCGTTCTTTCTGCATTGTTGGACTTCGGATCTTTAAAAGAAAAACGTGATTTCTTATAAATTTTTTTATTATTTTTCGTGAGGAATGTTAGTTTTTAACAGTTTAGCTGTACTTTCTTTATCTCGTTTTTAGATTCAGTTGAGATTGTGATTATTATTTGTTTTTTCTAGAAGCCTAACCATGGCTAACAGGACGGATAAAACAGCAAAAACAGTGAAAGGTGAACAATTTAAATTAAAGTCGGATGAAATGATCAATTGCAGGTACAAATCCCCAATTTTTGGTTGAAAAAATTATTCGCCAGCGTATTTATGACAGTCTCTACTGGAAAGAAAACTGCTTTGCTTTGACTGGTGAGTTCCTCGAAATTTCCTACATCTTTTTTTTTTTCATTTTTTTCAGCCGAACTAATTGTCGATAAAGGCATGGATCTGCGATATATCGGTGGAATTTACGCGGGAAACATCAAACCGACGCCGTTTCTCTGTCTTTCCCTCAAACTGCTCCAGATTCAGCCGGACAAGGAAATCATCATCGAGTTCATACAACAGGAAGAGTTCAAGTATTTCAAGCGAGTTCCGAATGAGGATGTATCTTTTTTTTTTCCAGATACATCAGAGCGATCGGCGCTATGTATCTCCGGCTGACTTTCGATTCGGTCGAAATTTACAAGTACCTCGAACCTTTGTACAATGACTTCAGAAAGCTTCGATTCATGAACAAAATGGGTCGTAAGTTTATTTTTTTCAATTATTCGTTTAATCGTTGTTTTTAAAAAGTTCTGTCTTGATTATTCTCACCGTACAGTTAGGTTAGCCTTACTTTATAATAGTTTGTTGGGCAAAGTTTTCCTAGAAGTTTTTCAAATTTTCTGCTTAAAAACGGTTCAGCTCTCCAGAATCAATCACTTTATTTTTTTTAAAGTAAATTTTCAAGTGAATTGTAATAGCTTGTTCTTTGCTTGATATAATCAGTATTCGGCGTTTTTTGGACAAAGCTTAAGATCGAACATATTGGAAGAACTTGAAAAGAGCTTGTATCCAATGAAACTGATTTTAAAAAATCAGTAATATTCTTATCCCAATCATGAATTTTTTCGATTTCAAGGCTTCGAGGCAATTTACATGGACGATTTTGTCGATCATCTTCTGCGAGAAGAAAGATACTGCGATATCCAGTTGCCTAGACTTCAGGTATTTTTTTTTTCCAAACGAGGACTATTTTGATAAAACGTTTCACAGAAAAGAATGGCGTTGGAAGAAATCGGCATTCTTCAGCCGTTCAAGAGCATTTTAGACGAGGATCTCGACAAACTCAGTGCTTCTGAAAGTGAAGACGAAGACAAAAACAAGAAGAAGGTATATTTAGGACATAATTTTTCTCCTCAGTTTTGAAACGCTGTTCTTGAAGGAGAAACCGCGGCTGACTTCTCGACGGCGAAGTCGCAGCCGCGACCGAGAAAAGGACCTCGGAGATCGTCGTGAGGAACGAGAGCGCGAAAAACAAAAGTTTGTTCTATTATTAATATTTTGGGAAAAAAAAAAAAAAATTCTTTATAATTTTTTTAAAATCTTTTTCTTACAACGAAATCAGATTTTTTCGAGAATTGCAAAAGTTTTGTCTCGTCAGTTCAGTTTAACTTGATAATAAAAAATATTCTACAGTTATCACTTGTCCGTCGTTTGAAAAAAAAGCATATATAAGCGGTACTTGAAATTAGATCATAAAAGAAGACTCAAAGCTTAATTTCCAAGGGAAAGACGCGAACGAGGCGACGAACGCAGCGACAGGCATCGCGAGCGCGACAATGATCGCGATCGGGACCGCGACTATGACCGCGACCACGATAAAGGCCGCAGCAAAGACAAGGACCGCGAACGAAGAAGTTTTTTTTTTATTTACATCCATATTCCAAAATATCGTCTCTTTAGTTCAAATTCTTCTTTTTCCAGAGAAGTTTAATTCAAAAAAAAAAAACAGGAACGGTCATATCTGATGTATAATGTAAAAATAAACAGAGTTAACCATCATAAATCAACAAAGATTTTTTTGTAATTTCACGAAGTTTTAAAAGTTATTTTTTTTGTAAAAGATCAGACCATAATTTTTGAAATGGTGACTATTAAAAAGGGTAATTTCAGAAACAAATTTGAAAAAAATAACTAAAAGACAGAAACACAGTTTCTTGCTATTAGGAGTTGGAGGTGATTGCAAATAATGCCTGATTCTTTGTATGAAATTTGATGGCTCAAATATCTCAGATGAGAAAGATCGGCGAGACAGGGACAGAGGCGGGCGGGATAAGGAATCTGACAGGAGATCGGGCAAGAACGAGGAGGAGCGGGAGATCGACGAGATGAACAAGCTGCGCGCCAGTTTAGGCATGGCTCCGCTCCAACGATAATTCACTTTCCTTCATTGTTACTTCGTTATGTACAATTCTTTTGGTCTCAGCCATTGAAATAAACTTTGCCCTTTTTGGAGTTTTCGGAGTGAACTAAACGGCTTGAAGCAATTCAAAGTGTCTCACGCTATTTTGAATTCTTTTTTCTTGCAACGCTGGAAAATCTTTTCATTGCCGCTCACGCCCATTAAGCTTGCTACGCCGCCACCTTTACATCACAACCCGTTGCCTTTTTGCTCGTTTCCTGGAAATCCCGCTACATTTTTACTTGGGCCATTCCGATCACAAGATTTCTTATGAGGCTTCATAACTTTTTCGAAAAAAATTTGTGGCCGCCTAAAAAAATCCAGCTTTTGTTGCCAAAAAAATTATATATATGTATAAAATTCACAAGAGAGGCCTTTTTTTTCTTATTTTAAGGAATCGAAGGATTTTTTTTTTCTCTAAATGTGCTTTTAGCTGAAACTTTGAGACAAACTTTCTTCAAAAGTTAGAGTTGGGTAGGTTGAAATTGGCCTAGGAAATCAAAGACATCTTGAGAAAATTTCAGAAATATCTCAACTTCCGGAGAAAAACAGCTTTTTTGCTTTTTTGAACCGAATAGTCATAGAAAATATTTCTCTAAAAAAATCCTCTCGAAGCTTCTCGGTAAAGCCGGATGACGAGTACTCAAATTTTCTGGGCCCATATTTCTAGACTGGCGGAAAACGGGTGCTCAGAGAGAAGTTCTAAGATTGAAAACGCCCACCATGCCCTTTTTGAACGCCTCGTCAATTGTCCTCCCAAACTTTCACCGGAAATCGTCTGAATTTAATGGTTTTCTGCTCGCCTTGAAAGAGAAAATAACCAAAATCTCGAAGATTTATCTAAAACTCCAGATTTGCCAAAGTTCTTCAGAATTCTGTTTGATGCGGTCGTGAACATTGCTCTTCTTCAAGAGATGAAGTCGGCCTTCGGAAAGAGGGAAGGAGAATACTCGCGACTCGTCAGCAAGAGCAGCAACAAACTTCTAAATTCACTCTGGGAAAAGGTCTTTCAAAAAAATAGCGTTGAATCGGCTGGTTCTTGAGAAGCGAATTCCGGAAGACGGCTGGCCTGAGCCCACTCTGGAGCTCTTCCTTTCCTGGCTTGCCTGCCATGACACAAACAACCGCGTCGACATGGTTGGTTCATGTTCACCTCTTCTAACAGATTAAAAACAATTGAAGGGATATCAATCAAAATTCAAAATGTTTTATTTCTCACACACAAGTACTAAATTTCACAAAATAGATGTAGGGAGAGTTTGGGAACATATGTGTCCGAACTTGTGGTGGTGGAGGGAAGAGGACTCGCGGTCGTGTTAGCCCCCCACTTGAGTAGATTGGAATAACCATGAAGTTATTCTTTAAAATGTCGATTATGTAGCTTTCATATTTTTTGTTGGATCAAGAGTGTTTAGTTCTGTAATTTTGTTTTCAAACCATTTCTCAAGTTTAGATCTGAACTTAATTTTTTCATACTCAAATACTATGGTTCTATCCATGTGATTCCAATGATTGTAAACTCTTTGATTGATGAACCGGTAGTGTATGTCAGAAAGTAGAGGCCGCTCTATTTTGAGACCATTTCCTCGCAGTTGATTCGATCTACTTGTTGTATTTTGTAAAGGGATTTACAGTTCAGATATCAGGTTTTTTTCCTTTCTGTTCATTGGTTTATCAAGGAATTACTGAAACTAAAAAAGAGACGTCGAGTTCCTTCTAACGAGTAGTTTGAAGGGAATTCTTGGAAGATGCGTAGAATCTTCAATAGTAGTTATTATTGTTTTAATTATTATTTTTGTATTATGATGCCACAATGAAATTTTAGCTTAATCGAGATCAAAAAACTTAACCTAGTGTTCATAGTTTCAGATGTAAGTAAACCGGACAGGAAACTGATCAGAATCTCTTTCAACATTTTCCAGGTTTCCATCGGAGCTGGAGAACGAGAAGGTCGCGTCGTCGCCCCCATCGTGCGACGTCTCCATTGCAAGTTGTTTCGATTACCACTGAAATTTGACAAGATGACGTTTGAGCATGACCCACGGGGTCGGCAGGAGCGGCTCCTTGCTGGAGGTGCAGCCAAAGGCTCTCGGCTCCTCGATGCTCGCCTGTCTAGCCAACGAGTTCGCCCTGAACGCGATGCAGCTCCTCGGCACGACTTCTTTCCTTTTCGAAATGTCGTCTCGGTTTCAGGACTGACGACGTGCAAGGCGTGCTTGGTGGTGCCGATGTGCACCGGAATGTCTCTTTCTCTGTGCATGACGTCATTCAGGAAGACAAGACCTCGCGCCAAGTACGTCATCTGGACTCGCATCGATCAAAAATCGTCTCTCAAAAGCATCTTTCATGCAGGTATTATAAGTTTGGTACATTCCCTCAAAAAACAGCTTTGTAAACTTTATAATAGTTGCTCGGCTCCACGAACTTCAGATAAAAATATGAACCAATTCTCCATTTTCCTACATCAGTAGCTTCTCTCGATGTGTTTGTATCTCTTTCTCAAATCAAATCATTTATTTTGTGGTTTTAGTCTGATGTAATCGACTAGGCGGTGAACAAGAACTTTAAAAGCTCTAACGAACAACCGCCTTTGGCGAAATAGAAGACGAGCTCAGAATGTTCAGGTTTTGAGCCTATCATAGTGGAACCTGTGCGAGAAAGAGACGCATTGGTGACAAACGTTGAACACATCAACAGACTGATTGAGCAACGCGGAAGCGAAGTCTTTTCCGGAGCCCTGCCAGACATCAACGGCCTGTTCAGATTTTGTGCGTGTTGTCGACGACGTCGTGCTTCGCTCCTCGCGCTCCGGACAACGTCGAAGCGATCGCCGCCATCTGTCGTCTCCACGACGTCCCTCATCTCATCAACAACGCCTATGGCCTTCAAAGCGAAGAAATTGTTCGCAAAATCGTCGCGGTATGCTCGCCAATCTATCGGAAGGATGCCGCGTCTTTCAGGCAAACGAGACTGGTCGCATCGACGCTTTCGTGCAGTCTTTGGACAAAAATTTTCAGGTTCTCATATTTTTGGGCTTTCCCCTTTTCAAGTAGTAATAAGCGTTTTGAGAATTATTCTTGACCTCAACAAATAAAAATGATTGAACTAGATTCCTGTGGGCGGTGCCATTGTTGGGACATTCAAACAGAGCGCGATTCTACCCATAGCGCAGGCCTACCCAGGTTGAAGTCCTACTTTTTCGTTCTTCTCACCCAAAGATCTCAGGAAGAGCTTCGGGGATTCCGTCGCGTGATCTGGTACTAACTCTTTTACATCAAGGACGCAGGAAGTTCGTGGAATCTTTCGACCGCCAGAGAATGTCGGTCTTGCTCCTTTTCGGGAATGTTTTTGAATTTTTCTTAGGTTGTTCGTCAAAATGCGAAGAAAACTAGTATCGTTTGCCGAAGACATTGGCGAATGTGTCTACGATGTTGAAGAGAACGAAATTAGCCTGGGTACCTTAAGATGATTGAGACCCCATTGAAAAGTGGTTCAGCCATGACACTTTCAACGATACCTCTGGAAAAGCAAACACTTTTCGGTTCGATTCTGTTTAGTCGAGGGATTTCCGGCGCGAGGTGAGTTCTCACATTAACTGCTGGGATAGTCAACGAACAACAGGGTGTTGACTTCGAGTCATGACGTCAAGAACGTCGAGGGCTGCGAGTTGATCAACTTCGGCTCGCACTGCAGCGAGCAGCATGGCGGCTACCTCAACGTCGCCTGTGCCGTAGGTGGGTCCAGGAAGATCTAGAACTGTCTGAGACGTTTGAAAAAACAATTTTTAGGAAATTATCTGTTTCCTCTTACGAACGTGATAATGCGAGTGTCTGTAATCTGTCATCGTTGTTCTTCTGTTTTTGGAAACTCTTATCGTATTTTGGGGGAGAAAAAAAGAGTGATAACCAAAAGTTGCCTAGTTTTCGAATTTTCATATTTATAATCCGCTCAATTTTTTTTGGAAACTCGGAAATCTCAAGAAAAAAATTTAAAAAAACCCAAAAAAAGACTTCAAGAAACGAATTTTTAATATTTTTTTATATTAAGCTTGCCAAGTTGCTTTCTTGAGTATATTCGAAATTGCTCGGGACAAATACTTATTTTTCTGAGATGTTCATGATATATATTCTCGAAAGCAACTTCCCGCCTCTCAAAAAAATTGAAGTGTCATTGAAGTTTGCGGGACAACTGAAGTGATAATGTGAAAATACAAGATAATTGAAAAAAAAGCCAACGGAACTTTTTGTGACAAATTAGCGACGAATGATATTTTTTTCCCGAAAAAATTTAGGAAAAATTCTGATTACACATAGGCAGACCTGTTCAATGAATACCTACCTGACGTTGAAACGATTCTTTCGCGTTATTTTCCAAATATTTGTAAGTCGACTTCCAGGTTTTATTTAGTTCTTTTTGGCACACGTTTCTGATCTGGTCGCCGCGCAATAACGCATCGTATACTTTACGGGTTTTCTCTAAATATGATGTACAAAATTCTTTCAAGTTTGAAAACAAATTTTTCTGATCCAAATTAATCAAATATTCTACATCAATAAATTTTGAATCTCCGACATTTCAGGAATGACCGAGTATGAGGTTGACGAGTTTTTCGTCCGATTAGCTTCGGTCTATGCAAAGTTCACCAGGGACATGGGCCAGTGGATGTCGGAAAAGTCGATTTTTCAACCTGATGGTTACGGCGAAGAAGACGACTAAACTTTTCTAGTCAAATATTTATTTAAAATTTCTGCATGAGCTTCTTCTTATGTCGTGTAGTTTCTGGACGAGTCCATCAGAGCAGTGAATCTCAGAAAGTTTTATTCTATATCTTCATTGAAATTTCGGAGATACTGGTCAGTTCTCAACTATCATTTTAATAAATCATTGAACCAACCAGTGTTCCTTGTAACCCTGTGACGCGAAATTACGTAAAAAGAGATAACAAAACATCTGCCGGATCTGCTTATCGAAGAAAGATAACGGTGCTCGTGACTTTCGCCACCTTATAAGGTGCCTATTGAAAACAATTTTCATTTTCATTGTCAGCTGGTAATCAAACTCAAATGGTAAGCCTTTTTCCTCAAAAAAGAAGAAATCTTCTATTTGCAGGAAGTTTTGGCGTTGGAATCCCTCCCTGTCGTCTCCGAAGTCGCCATCGCGGCCACTCCGGACGATGACGGCGATCCGATGATGCAACTGCTGATCGGCATGCTGCTGCTCTTCATGAGCGAGTAGTTCTTCTCAGCCATTTTAATCTTCCATGAATTGTCCATTCAACTCCGGTAGCCTCCAGGAGGTTCTTGTAAATACCAGCAAGTCAATGAATCGTTTTTTTCTCGTTTTAGTTGTTCATATAAACACTTTTCCGGGGTTGAGAATTTTCTTGGGGTCAAGGGCCAGTTTCAATGTGCGCATCAGCTGCAAGGAGTTAGAACCAACTTCTTCTCGAAGATATTTCATCTTGCCGAGACCGATGCCGTGCTCGCCTGTGCACGTCCCATTCGCTTTCAGGGCTCGTCTGAACCTCACTTTGAAAAAATACTTTTGTCTGAACGAACTACCCAACAAGGCGATCTGAGAATTCGTAGATCTTTTTCATTTCTTCAGGGTCATCTTCAAAAACAGGCATGATGACGTGAAAGTTTCCATCGCCGACGTGTCCCACTATTGTTCCTGGATATTACTTATCGCTTTAGCAGGCCTCGAAAAAGGAAAAAAAAACCTGTGATAGAATTTTGTTCCAAGTCTAGTCTCGTCTCTGCTATCACTTCTGCTAATCTCGAAATTGGCACGCAAACATCCGTAGAGAATCCCTAAAACGCATTTTCAGGTAGCGAACGTCTTCAAAGAGATCAAAATTGAACTTAAAAAAGAAACTTTGCCACCAGGTCGAAGCGCCAGCGCGGCGTAGAATGCGTCGTGCCGGGCTTTCCAAAGGTCTTTCATCCGTCGAGGTTCCGTCGAAGACTTGAAAGTACGAGAGCCGTTGGAAATGCAAAGCTCCTCTGTAGTCATCTTTTTGATTGGAATCACCAAAAACTTGAAATCTATATACGATTTTCCGGAAACATCTCTGAATGAGGCTATACGAAATCCTACCAACAACTTTCATCTGGTCGATGAGATCATTCTCTTCGTTGCCGTGAAACTCCATGAAAAGCGTCGGCGAAACTTCTAGATTGATGTTACTGTAGGCGTTGCAAGCGGCAACTTGAACATCATCCAGAAGTTCTGAAATTAGACTAAAGATTCAGAAAGATTTTTCTCTGACCAATTCGCGCAACGGGAACGCCGAGTTGGAGCAGCTGAACGACGGCAGTGGCAGCAGAAAAAACGTTCGGAAAAGAGCAAACTGCGGCGGAAAAGCAGGTTGGTCGCGGATATAACCTACAGAGTACTCATACATATATGAGCTTTTCTTCTCACCTTAGCGTCGCTTGAGTAATAACTCCGAGAGTGCCTTCGGAGCCAATGAAAAGCTCTGTCAAATTGTAGCCTGCCGATGACTTTCTGCGATTTGAACTTTGATAATTTTTTCAGAGCATCCAAAGTACCTTGGCCATCGGTCTTTGCCTCTGGTATTCAAAATTTTTCCGTCGGCCAAAACAACTTCCAGATTGAGTACATTCTCTTTCATTGTACCTTTAACACGCGTCATAAGAGTTTAATCTCTTGAAAAATGTGGCCAAACTGAACTCTTGACTGAACTGTTAAACTTTTTTCATTTAATTGAAACATAAATGCTTACCATATCGTATAGCGTTGGTCCCACTGGCTGAGGTGGCCACCATTCCACAAATGGAGGCGTCCGCTCCGGGATCTAGGAAGAGTTCAGAGTGTTTCCATGTCGACACGGTCATGATCTCACCAACAGGGAAGAAAAGCCCAGTGTTTCGAAGATGTTCATTCAGACTCAAACGAGTGACGCCTGGCCGGACTGAACTCACAAAATCTGATTCGTAGACCTTGGGAGTTTCGACGAATTCTCTCAAATTCAAGCATACACCGCCCTGGGAAGTATCAATCATAGAACAAATTGACGAAAAAAGTGAACCTGGGAACAAACTGAGCCGCCTTCTAAGCCTGTACCAGTTCCAAAGGGAATCACTGGAAGATTATTTGCGTGACAGACTTTCAGGACGTCTGAGACTTGCTGGGTGCACTTAGGACTCAAGACAACTGACGGCAGAGAAACTCTGAAGGTTCTTATAACTGAATCTCTCTCTACTAAAAAGAACCGACTGGAAATGGCCCTCATCTCGAGAGAACTGACGCAGTATGGACTCCTTTGTGGAGACACCAGAAACGCCAAGAACCTTTTGAAACTCAGGCAGAAACTCCGCAATCGCCTAGTAAACCGATCGAAAGTTATTCCTTGAGAAGCAAACCTCCGAAATAGCAGGACGGAAGAACATTTGACTTTGACGAGGAATTGCACAACGCGAAGAAACTTGATGACGATAGTCCGCCAAAATATAAGAAATTTTCAAGTTGATCAGTTCTAATCAAATTATGAGAAAAATGTTCCACCAACACCTACGGTGAAAATACATCTTTCAAATATGAAAAAAACGGCAGCGCGATATATTTCACATTTATTCTATCCAATCAAATATTTCTGTATATTTGAATTTCACAATTATAACACATTATAATGTAATAATTTATCTCTACCCAATTTGCTTTTTAGCTTTCAACGCAGACTTGTCAAAAAAACTAATTAATTTAGAAAAAAATAGATGCTCGATGTCGTTGAACAACGATCGGAGAGCCGTTCCACTGATAAAGGAAATCGCGATTTGAATCAAGTTTATGAGCAAACAAAGAAATCAACAAAAAAAGCAACGCAAAAGGTACTCTAACGAGAAAAACTAACGTTTACTGACACAAACAAAAGTTGCTTTTCGAGGTTGATCTTTGACCGGACGGAAGAGACGTCCACATTAAAGGGCAAAGAGAAATCGAAAAGAGAGCGCTTTTTGTCGACAATCAGCAACAAACGCGTCGGCGTCAGCTTCAGGCTTAACCTTAAAATATATTATGATGGTCTTACAAGTAGAAAAGAAGTTCAAAACTAAAAATTTCAATTATTTTCGACTTAAGTTAATATTAAAATTATTCAAGAGATAAAATAATATGTTGGTAATTCGTACATATTATATCAACTCGAAACAAAAAAATCTAATAAAAACCTTTGATAAAGGCCAAAAACAAAAAAAAATGAGACGCCTCAAAGATCTTTCTGCTGCAATAATTTGAAACTTTACTTTTTCGATATCTCAAAAGTTGATTCTCTGGCACAAATTCCCATATTTTCATTTCAAAGTTGAAAAATGAGCATTTTTTTCAGAAATTTTTCCCGCTTGAAAGATTTTGATTTTCTGGAGGCTCATTTTTTTCTCAGCTTTAATCTTAACGCGCAAGAAAAACTCGATAAACGATTTAATTTGAATCGCTGTACTAAAAAAATATCAATCTTCCGAAAAAAAGGTCAAGCATGGAGTATATTTTACAAAAAAATTTTATTTATGTTTCGAAAAAAACCAGAGTTTTGATAATTCTCAATGTGGCGAAGGTCTAGAAAACTGTCTAGAAAAGTATTAGAATGAAAAACGAACCGTTTCGAATCAATAAGAGACGGTTGAACACTTTCCAGAGATAGACTGATTTCCAATCTTGTGCCATTGAACAGCCGAATACGGACACCTTCAGGATTCTTCGAGCAAAAAAGCTGGAATCATGTTTTATTGAAAAAATGAAAATGTTCTTTTTTACCTGGTCGGCATTTTCTTCACCGGAATTTACGCTTTCGGGAGTGGTAGAAACCCAGCTCCTAAATTTTTTTTCAAAAATCGAAAAAAAAAATTGAGTATTGAGCGAATAAAAAGAAAATAAAAATTTACGAAGTGCTCGTCGACTCTACTTCTTGAATGACGCGTTGTTCGGGTCTTTTCCGGACCTTGACAGTTTCTAGATCTCCCATACACGTCCGATTCTGCAGCATCACAGCCTTCTGAGCGTCCAGTTCCAAATTGTGCTGAAAACTAGTCTCTCTATCGGGATTCGGAGAAGTATATACCTTATTTTTGATTGAATCACAAGCAACGACTGCGAAGAAATGCCGGAAAAATGTAGCCTCGCGGGGTCTCAACCGCCTAACAAAGAACTCCGTGTTCACAATCACGTCAATCTTAACGGAATCATTTTTGAAATTTACAATAAAATTTGGATCAAATTTGTTTTTTGTTCGAACCTTCACGGAATTGACATCTTTCTTGTCTTTGACGCAGTCGATTTCGCCTATAGAAAGTGGAATCTTGTAGGAAGTATCTCCTTTATCCAGCCTGTCTGCCAGTTCGTCCTGAACACTGAAGTTAGCAAGACTACCTTCGAAACCATGCCAAACTTCGTCCAAATCATCAACTGGCGGCGGAATTTGGGCGCAATGGCACACATTGATGAAGCACTTGAGGTTTTCTTCGTTCATAGTCACCTCAAAACGAAGATACCGGAACGAAAACCAGGTAATCTCAACCTCCTTCCACTTGAGGACGTATCCCGGAGTCGGTGTCACCGTCCAACTTTCGTCCCCTTCTTTCACTCCCATTTCCGATATTTTTGTCATCCTTTACTCATGAATATTTCTGATTTGTATGTTAAATATTAAGATAACCCGGGTTGTAAAACTTTCTAAGTTTCTTTCAACAAAAAAGCTTTGAATATCCACTCCACTTTATTCAAACCGTAAAAAACACAGCAAAATTTACAGGAAATGTATTTCTCTTCGTTTCTAATGTCAAAAAAGGCAACGTTGTGAGCTAGGAATAAATTATGTTATAGAAAGTTTAGTACACCCTTACAATCAATGGAATCAAGAAGATGGCAAGTAGAGCGAAGACTGAATAGAGAAGGACGCAAGGATAAGCGACAAGAAGCCGTTGATGATCCATGGTGAGAGCGATGACAAAAAGCTTCGAAGAGGCCGACGAGCACCACAGGACGGCCAGACCCGATATTACGTAGCCAACGATTCCCTGACAATTTGCGTGCTTGTATAGTTTATTTGGAGCATACAGGAGATAGACCAGTTTCGATCGAGTGCTTTTTAAAAGTCATCATAGTTATTGATGTATTAAATTATCCCAAATATTGTGGTAAAAATCGGACAAGATGTGGATTCCTGTTTTCAATAAGATTTCATTTTATTTTCTATTTTTTGACATGTCCTTAACAAATATTTTGGACTTTGAAAACAATTAAAACAGAAAAAAAAAGTTTGCTTCAAAATAAGGATAATCTAAATGAGTTACACGAAAGTTATGAAATGAAGTAACTACAGCTAGCCTTTGTAGATTGAGAAAAATAATACGAAAAAAAAATGGGAACGTCCTTCAGATATATGTTTAGAATAAAGGCTTTTAGAAAACCGACTATATTTTGATTCTTCGAAAAAGGTCCGCACCTTGAAGGAAAGAACAGCCGTTATGATACTCAGCAAAGCCATAGGCAGAAGACAATAACCGAGTACTGAGGCCGTGCAAGTGAAAGAAATGTTCTTCTCAGCTGTAAAACGCATATTTAATTCGAAGAAAGGTCCTTGGAATGAACATCATTCTATGAAAATTTCTTATTCACGCACCTGCCATAAGATTCATCAGAGCGTACATGCCAACGCAACCGAGTCCGCCAATTCCATAAATAAATCCGAATGACATTTTTCCGTGCAGCAAAAGAGCCGCTCCTGTAAGTGCAAAATAATAAGAACTCAATTTTTTCAATTTTTATTTCGCGAGGAGAAGTTTCAGACCCAAACTCTCGAAGGTTTTTAAAATGAAATCTTATACACACAGGTATTCCGTACCAAATAATAAGCAGAATACAAGTGGACCAGCGAGGTCTTGGTCTGCTATCACTTCTGCGGAAGCTGACCCTGTTGGGTTAAGAACAGCAAAAGTCTAAAAATTAAAAAGGTATAAAAATTCCCAATCTCAGCGCTATTTTCTCAAACCTTCTGTTTGATATGAGAAAAATTGATTCCAAGTTCTTCCAATAGGGGAGGCTCATTCTCATAATCTTCTCCATCAACTTGGCCGGGCGCCGTCGCTGAAAATACAAAAATTTATGAGAATCGAATTAAAAATTTGTAAAAGATTTCTACCTGCTGAAGCAGGATTAAACATTTGACCGCCATAATAGCTGTTTGAATCATAACTTGCTTGATTATTTTGGTAATAATCATTTTGAGTAGCTGAAAACCAATGGTTAATGAGAAAAATTAAGACGAACCCTCGAACCAACCTTGCGAAGCAGGCTGTTGTGGTTGAGAATAGTCAAAGTTTCCCCAGCTCATATCTTGCTGGCTGTTCTGACTTTGATCGTACCAGTTACCTTTAAAAACATTTTTAAGCTACATAGACGAAGAAAAAAATATATAAATTTAAAAAAATATAAACAACCTACTCTGCTGTGAATCGTTGACCCAATAGTTGTTAGACATGTCTGAAATTTAGGTAGAGTAATCGAAAAATGAAAAAAAAATTCTAAAATAAGTTTTAGCTCCTCCGAAAAATTTACGGGATTCGTGGTTCGCAAAGGGCGCGCACTTTTCGACCTGCGGCAAGACTCTTAAATTTGCAGCCACCGACACATACCGCCTATAGAGCTAGCTATAGATGGCTTGAGATAAATACTTATATTATGCGAGTTTTTTTAAAAAAATACTTATATTATGTGAGTTTTTAAAAAATAAGATAGACTTGCGGCATATTCTCAAAGACCTGCGGTACGGCTTGCTAGTTAGAGAGAGCTAAAAGATATATGCTGGAGATCTCACAATGAACATATTATCACGATCCATTTTGAGAGGTATATTTATAGACACGTTAGGGTAACCGTGAAATTTTAAATACAAGGTAAAAAAAGAAGTAAAAAAAAAGAAGCTGCTGAAATATAATGAAAGTTGAGCTTGAAATTTATCCAATTAGTTCAGGGAAAGAAATCCAGAATCTATGTGCTCATGAATCATTATTTTTTTTCTCTTGCTGCTCAGATTAACATTTGCCGTTTGCAGATAGCTGCCATGATCAGAGCAAAATAAACTGACAAGAGATGAGATGGGGGAACTTCGACTACTCACAACCGCGAAAAAGCATTTTTCGAGGTTTATATCGTTCTTTGTTTCAGTTTTTTTAAATAATTAACTTGGTCTATGAATAATTTATGTCTTTTTCTTGGTTAATTCGGGAAACTCGAAATGATGTCTGATTCCCTAAACTTTTCGCTATGACTATCATTTTGAAAACCTTGAAATTAATTTGAAGGCGGCATAAGCTTTATAGAGACAAAGAGCGTTAAATTTTGAATTTCCGGTTTTCAGTACTTTAATATAATGAGATTACTCTTGGCACTTGACAACTATTACAAAAAGTACCTCATTGTTTCCAAGTATCTTGAAAATTCTTCTTGAATTTGACCTCAATTTCAAAGAGTTTGTTTTAATTTTCAAGATAGACCATTTATATGTAGCAAAGGCCCGTGAGACTTTTCCAGTCCATGCATTTTGAATTGAATGGTTTTTGGCACCAGAAACACATAAAAATATTCACTGCTTTTCCTAGGCTCTCATATAAGGTTCTCTCTACGTAATGCTCTCCACACGTATATTTGATATTTTTCGAAGATGAAGACTCGTTTGAAACTCGGAGTTTGAGGTATAGAAAAAAGGTTAAAAAGGTATTTAATGAAGTCGTGTTTCTAGTTGTATTAAACGATAATCGAATCAAATACCTAATGGACTTGAAGTTACATCTAATGCTTCCGCTGGTCTAGCTGCTGCTTTCCACGCCTCGACATCATTTCCAGTTTCCTGGGTTCAAAAAAGGTCTCGTGAAGGTTTTTTAATCAGCTTTATCATATATTCGAATATTACGGGAAAAAACTAAAACCAACCTGTTTCGCTTTGAGAGCTCTGAAATCACGCTTTATCACAAAAAACTCGTGAGAAAAGAAGTTGTGAAATCAGATATTAGAAGTTTTCACCTGTTTCGTTTTATGTCTCAAAGGCGTTCTCAGCTTGTCTACAAGTAAAAAATGGATCAATTTTTCATAAGCCAAATGTAATTGATTTTTTTGGGAAATGAACTTTTTTCAGTTTTCCTCACGCCGCCTTTGGCAAACTAAAAGTCCAAGTGTGTAGTTGACAAGTTGCAAATACGCTTTAACGAGCTTTCTTTCCTTTCTTCTACTTCGAAGTAGACGACTTGTCTTTGAGTCAGAATAAAAGCTGAGAAGAGCTCATCAAGTAGAAAATGTTGGATCTCGTGGAAATCTGGTCGGAAGTATCTAGTGCCATTTTTCGAAAGAAAGAAGTACTTCCAATTGTTTCTGCTTTACCAACTTCCCATTGAAAAGCTAAACTTTGAAAGAAAGTAGTCGAACTCAGTCGGATCTCATTTCAAACTTCCCATGTCCACACATTCATAAGCATACAACTTTGCACCTTTTTCCACTCCAAGGGAAAATTTCTCCTTTTTTCCTGTCTCCCAGAGCTACATATCATATCACGATTTTACGACCGCCTCGTTCTTTCTAAATGAGATCTTTCTGCGCCAATGCCGATTTTGCTTTCATCCGCCGTTTTTTTTCTCATTTCGAATAGCTTGTTGAATAATTCAATTTTTTTGCTCATAAATCGCACAAACTCTCAGCCGGGCTCATCTTCGGACTTCTTTCGACCGAGTCTTGCCACAAACAACCTGATCATCTTCACGACGATCTGAAACCAATATAGATGATGAGATAATTGTTTTCGGCTTCGAATTTTGAGAGAGCGAAGGAAATTTTCAAAGAGACACGCAAAGAAAAGAGAATTTGACTGCTCCCGAGAGGCAGAAAAAGGCTTCTAACCCAATTAAGGACCGCTTCCGTGCAGTCTTTCAATTATTGCAAACTTACTTGTTGCCGTGGTCGTCTTGGCCCCTTATTACCCGCACCAGGGCCTCGTTTGCAGCTATCGACGACTTCCATTGCGACGTCACCCTCTGGAGACCTCAGTCTTCGTCCCACGACTCCAGAAAGCCGCATCATGCAAGCCGCCTGGGAAAAACAAGTGAGTTTATGACGAGTTTAACGACCTACCGGCATAAAACAAATTAATTGCAAGTACATAAGTCTGAGGTCTGAGATTGGGAGAAAAATCGGAAGAAGAAATTTCTTATTTACTACTCAGTCAATCATCAAAGGGTTTATTGCAGTTTTGCCGGTTACTCTCGACGCCTACTCTTTCTGAAAAAAAATTAGATAGTTCGTGAAATTCAAGCCGGAAAAGGTAGTCCTCATGATGTTTGAAAGTATAACTACCGTCGAATCGAAAAAAATTCTTCTTCAGTAGACGCCTAAATTTGAATTTTTCATTTTAATATTTATGGCTCTTCTCTAGTTTCAATGTGAAAAGCAGGAATTCGGGGGAGAAAAAAGATGGCTTTTTTTTGGCTAATTCAATTTGACAACGGCCGCTGTTCAGGCTGTTCATTATATGTCTCCGTACGAACGGCTTCTCTCATAATTAAAAACGGAGTTTTGATGGCCGATTCCTTTTTGTGTTCGAATTCACTCAGGAAAGAGAGGTGGAAATGTGAGAAAAGGCGATTTTCCGAGAGTGAGCTCCATGGGAAAATAAGGAGAACTTCTGGATAGACTTTTCGCGAGGAGAAGTTTATTTTCTCGGCGAAAAAGAGTCGAAACTCACAACTAGAAATAAAACCATGTTTACAAATCGTTTATTCCAGAGAATTCTGACTCGGGAGTTCGAGTCGATACAATTCAGATACATGAGGAATTCTGAAAACATTGCTGTAGTAAGACTTTGTTGCTCATGACGGGAAAAGAAAGTCTGACCTGTCTGCGTCCATTTTTCTCTCACCGACAATAGGAACGAAAAAGGCCTAATAGATTTGACTGTTGTCGAGAAATTAAAACGCTGAGAAATCAGAATACTGTGACCACTCACACAAAAAAGGCCCAAAAAAAGGCCCATTGATAAATTGTTTGATAATACCTCAAAACAACTGGCCGTTTGCAGGAGCCCCCGTCAATTTCCATCACGAGGACACGTCGCGTCTCCGTCAGTTCGCCGCTGCGATTCACTCGCACGTTCTCGGAGGATTCTCTGGACTCAATCGAAAAGAGCGGTCGCAAGGAACTTCGGCGACAGCGTCTTCTCGACTTCTGCGATAAGGTTGCTAGTTTCCAGAAGCCTTATCTAGTAATTTAAACATTTTAAAGTATTTTTGCGACCTCAGCAAAAAAAAGTAGAAACCGTTTTAACAATGATAAGTGTTGTTGCGGAATAGTGTCTTCGAATTATCTGATTCTTGTTTCAGTTTCAGCAAGGCTGCTCGCTGTACGTGCACCCGCCATGTCCTCATCTTGGCGACGTCGGCAGATCGCGCACCGAAACGACAGAAGCCGACCTGCGGCTGCTCTCTTCGCCCATCGACAGAAGAACTAAACTTTCTGCCGGAGACTTATCTCGTCCCCTTTCTCCGACGCGTCGCAACCTCAACGAGCTGCTGGGTTCGTCAATTTTCTTTTTTGCACTGTTAGATTCGAAAATCCACTAATCCAGCTGGATGTACATATCGGAAAAGCCTCTCGGTATAAGCCCCTGAAATTAGGAAATTCAAAGAGAACTTTCTTGCCAGAAACCCTGAGGATTTTTAGATTTCATAAGCTTTATTCATCACGTTTTTTCTTCTTCGGGTTTACACACGCCTCGCTTTGAACCGGCTTATAACCGCTTTTCGGATAATTCCAAACATATGAGCCGATCTTTTCTGCATGGGGTTCTAATCTCTGGGCGGCTCTCCACTTCCATCACTTCGATTTCATTTTTTTTTCCTCCCATTTTGTACTCGGATGAGTTTTCCGGACAGCATTCTGTCTAAAGTGAGAAAGAGAAAAAGCAGTCGTTCTAGTCGGTCGAGCGTTGTCGAAAACACTGAAACTCCTTTTGAGTCGGTCGCCAGCAAGGCAGGTTTGTAATTATCTAATTGTTTTGGAGTTCTCTGGGGAAAAAAAAATGTGAGATATTCTTTAGAAATAGATTTTTCGATTTGATTGTAGACCAGAGCATCAGAGCAGCAATTATACACATTTTCAAAAAATTTTCGCTCCCAAAGACTTGATTTTGAGCTTATATTAAAGCTTCAGGGAGAAGCAAGAAAAATTCAGGCAATAAATAACTCAAGTTTCAATGCTGTCTAGACTGTCTCAAACTTCCTGGTTTTTGACGTTAAGCATGAAGTTTTAGGTTTTGAAACTTATCACAGCTTTTCTTGAAATATATAAAATGCAGTATTTGAAAATATATATAAAGGAGTCTTTTTCTTTTTTAAAATTTTTTTGAAGCGATTTTTACATTTGTTTCAGGCTTGACGGCATACCAACAGAAGCTGCTCCTGCAGAGCTGGCCGAACATTTACGCGACAGGCTCCAATGCGCAATTCGCCTCCAGCCTCTACACGGTTCTGTGCAACAAAAACCCCAAGGCTCGGCAATTACTTGCGAAAGTATTTCTGATGCCTGTTTCAAATTGTTTGACTGGATATCCCCAGGCGAACGGAGTGGCTGTCTTCGCCAACAGCGACGTCGACTGCACGGCAATGCACGCGAGGGCCACCGTCGAACTGCTCGACGCCGTCGTCCGAGGCCTCGACTCGGACCATTCTCGTCTCACCAACTACATCATCGAGGTTTTCAATCTTCTTCACAATATGGATAGCGAGAATGTCCGTTGAGAAGATCTCTTTTGGGTATCAGAGTTTCTCGAAGACCATAATTACGCCATTTAATTAAGATTCCTAACTTCCCAGTTTTTTGGAGACCAATCCTCAAAATCTCAGTCGACAGCACAAAGTAGCCTATTTTCCCTTTGCCATACGAAGAAGGTTTTGAGCATGTTTTCATAAAATCAATCCACTCTGAAACTCTGACTTCGGGATCTCTTAGAGTTACTCGCGGCATAGCGAACTTCCGTCTGTTGTTTTCCTAGTAATTAGTCTCACAATGATCTAATGTCAACCCTCCGGGAGAAAATCGTGTACTGTACACGGAAAAGTGCCTGACACAAAACTCAGAGTGTTTTTTGTTTACTTTGAGTTTTGGCTTTCATTCTCAAGGTTTTCATTAATAAAAAGTTGACAAAGGGAAAGCAGCTTTTTATTAACTCACTTCAGCTGGGACGAGCACATCGAGGACTGCGGCAAGAAGGACTTTCGATCGCCGTTTGGGATGATCTCGGTTGGATCATTCCACTTTTTGTCCAGCAGAACCGGGTTTCAGGCGACGCCGTCATGGACTGCGCTCGGAAGTTCGAAGTCGTCAGGAAACACAAAGAGTTGCGGCGAGCCTGGCTGGCCGTCATAGCCTACATAATGGATAACCTCAAACAGGTTGCCGCGTTTAAAACTTTTTTTTCTTGATGTCACTGAATTAATTTCCATCGGAAATTTTTTTTTCAACGAGTAGGTCGCCAATTTCCATGTTAGTTTCTTTTAACTTTTTTCGAAATGGTCGAACTTTTTTTGAAAAAAGTTGAAAAACGCGTGAGCGGTAAAAGTTAAATAAGTTAGTGCCAAACGGGACAGTTTTACTGTTTGCTTCCGTTTCAAAAAGACAGCAAACAGTTCAGGGACAGTCGATGACGCGGGCTTCATCGAGTTTGGAGATTTCTTCGCCGGATTCTCAGGGCTCGGTTTTCAAAAAGAATTCGTTCAGCCTTTCATAACCTTTTGTAGTGGGACGGCAAGTCGAATTGGATAGTGCGCTTTTTTGAACCTTGCTGTAGAGTTATTACTATTCGAGATATCGAACTGAAATTAGGAATTCTGGAGCGCAAGTCATTTTTGTTTTCAAATTATCTTGATTATAGTCTGTTCAGATTTTGAATGTCAAGTAGCTAACTCCACCTTTCTCCGAAAGTAAGCTGTTAATACTTGGAACTGTTTTTTTTTTTCACTTCATTCTCGAAAACGAGCCACTTTTTTGAACCAGGAAATGTTCTCGCCTTCAGCTATTTTTTTCCATTTTTAAATCTTTAAGTTTGACTCCTATCTTTTTCTGCGCATATCTTCCGCTTCTAATTTTGTTTTCGCCTCTTCAAATGATAATATGATGAAAATAAACTCGTTCACTTCTTCAAAAATGATAAGAAACAAACAAAGTAGCAAAGGCCTGAGCAGATAAAATGAAGAAAATGAGCGAAGTAATAAATAAGTGAAATATCCTCTATTAGTTTGAGCACCGGTGTACAAGTATAACAACGTTCGACATTGGATCCTATAACATTTAAATATCTTCTGTGCAACCTAGAAAGTAGTAAAATTATAGTTATTCCTAAAGAAAATTCGAAAATTTTCCATTTTTGTAAATTTCAACTAAGACTTCAGCCCGAAATTGATGATATAAATTCGTAAAATGGATATGTGGGATATTTTTCGCACTCGGATTGAGATTCTCGACAAGAACGCAAATTCAATGGGTTTTCGCATACAACAGGAAGAAGAAAACAAGGGGAAAATGTACAAAACAAAAACGTGGGCGAAAATTGTACACGAAAAGGACAAAGATGGGAAAAGAACAAGTATTAGGGCGGCAAGTTAGGTTTTCTGCTCGTTTTTTTTTTCACACGATCTCCATTTTCTTCACCTCTGGCTCAGCAGCTGGCACTAACTGAAATCAGATGAGTTGCAAAGAAAGGCTTCGTATGCATTTTTTTTTTCTCTCCTTTTTTCGAATTTAGAGTTCTTAATCAAAACCTGATGTTGCTTCTGGGATCTCGGTCTGACGTAGATGGCGTAGGCGAGCGGCAAAAGAGCGAAGGAACACAACTTGAGCATCGTTGTAGTGCTGAAACCGGAAGGAACATGCTAGCGATCGAGCTAGGGTCTCCTAACCTGAAGACGTCGTCCCAAGACCTCAGGTCGGACAGGATATAGCCAGCCTGCACGCAGATGAAGTTGTAAGGCGCCAAACCTGAACATTTTTCTCGTTATCTTGTTTGCCCTTGCTTTTGTGTAATAAACAAAACGATGGAACGCGTGTAAAATCACATCTACGCGAGTTCTCTATTCGGAAATTTGTAAAATTAAACCAAAAGTTTTGGTTTTTGACAAAAACAGAGAAACTGTGAATCACTTTAAAATCCAAAAAAAAAAAACGACGAAGCCAAGACACAATTTAGTCACTGTCTGTTTTTCGAGCTTGAAAAAATCTTCGAAAATTGGATATTGGAGGCCCCTTCCAAAAGGAGGAACTTGATTTTGATGTTGATCTAGAGATGAATAGAAGCAGGTCAAAAGATGCGCCCAATCGCCCACCGATGAGAGCAGAGAAGACGAAAATGGGCAGAGGGATGTTGAGGAACGGCGCGACGATGTTTAGAAGCCAGGAAGGCGAGATTGGAAACATTCTGGCAAAAAGCAAAAAAGGCAGAAGTCGGTTGGAATTGTCGTCGATCTGAAAACACACAGTTATCTTCATCGACTGCAGAATGAAAACTTTTTGCTGCAAATAGGTGAGTTTCTGTCCAAAGTAGTAGAGGACGTACTCGCGGCCGAAAAGTTCGGAGAAAAGGTAGCAAAGAGTCGAGCCGGCTGAAAAAAAGTAATTTAGAGGCAAAAAAAGAAAGCGCGCGAACCGGTGGTCAGACAACAACACAGGACAAAGCCGCCCCAGAGGTCGTAAACAGCCCCTGCGATGACGTTCTGCAAAGGTTTCTCGTTAGAAGTCGTTCATTTGAAGAATCTGTGAGCCACACTCTTGAGAATGGCTAGATTTGGACCTAAATATCATAGTCCCCATGAGCGTGAGCGCTTTTATTTCGCAACTTCACGCAACTCGTGTAATTGTCAATAATTAATCTGAAACTGCAACAGAAGACTTTCCGTTTCCTTTCTAGAGCTAAAAATGAAGTTCTTCGGAGCAAATATAACTATAATCTATATTATAAGCAGGTAATGGAAAAGAAACTTCGATTCTCTAGAAACTGACGTTCTGCAGAAAACGTAATTAGGCAAATGCATTTGTGAAGGATGAAAAAAATTGCCGCACTACGTAAAAAAAATTTGAAACATGTCCATTCTTTTTTTAGCTGATAATAATTTTTTCGAAAAAAAAACTACTGAAAAAATCGATTCGATGAATATCCTTATTTGAGCTCTGAGATCGACACATAAGTTGTTTGTCACCCACATAAATCTTCTCTAGATAAAACGAAAATACAACAAACCAGGAAGAACGATCCCGGAATTGCGAAAGTTTGCTTGTAAAGGTACGCAGATATGAAGAGCACCGTTATGTACCCAAAATGGTCGTCTTTGTACCGCCGAAACCGCTCGGCCAGCATCGTAAAGTTGTCAAACTGCTTAGGTAGCTCGAAGACACTTTCTAGATAAATATTCTCACATTATTCGGAAAAATATTTCTCCCGAACCTTGATCTGCCCAGCCTGGAGCCGAACAAATCATGTACCATAACGAGAGGGACGAGATGGCGAAAATGGCGGGAAGTATGAAGAGTCGCGCCATTTCCAGAAAGTTCGAGTCGAAATCAAGGCGATTGACTCTTCGGCTTCGATGCAAATCGATCGAATGTCAGCAGTGCGGCATTGGCGGAGAAGCGGTCGCTCGTGTGGGGGAAAAGCCTACAAAACAGGATTCGGCTGAGCTTTTGGCGACGTCACGACGCGCTTTTTGATAGCGCCTGTTGCAACTGATTCGCGAATATCGGGTTGGTCGCTTAGGGCAACACTCAGGTAATTTCCGGTTCGCCATAAGAGGCCGATTGCGATGACAAGTGATAGCGGATGACAACGCAAGCAAAATTCAAGATCTGCGTTCTTATCTCATTGGTGAAGCCTTTAAAGAATCAAATAGCTGTACCGAAATCAGAGAGAGGAGAAAAAAATTGATGAGAAAAAATTGATTAATCTCGGACAGAATCCGAGATTAATTTTTAGATCTGCATTTTCAAAAAATTTCTAACAACTTCAAATACGCTGAACTGGAATAATCAGAAAGAAATATTAAGAACTAAAGTTTTAAAACATCCGATTTTTTTTTTGATATATCCGACAGTTTTTAAATGTCCGACTTCTATTTTGATATATCCGACAGTTTTGAAATATCCGACTTCTTTTTTCCTGAACTTTCTGAAGTATGACTTACATCTGTCTAACTCCAAATTTGAATTGAAAGTATATAAGACTTTTCAGAAGGAACCAGTGTTCTTCACTTTGAAACTCTTTCTCTACGCCTCTATTGTAATTTTTTTCACCTTTTTTTCCCCAAAATTTTCAATTCAAAAATAATGACTGCGTTCTCCTTTTTTTATGAGAAACAAACAAAAAAACACTTTCCTTATTTTTTTCAGACTGAAGCTTGAAGAGAAAAAAACTCTCATGAAAAAAATAGTAATAATAAAAAGAACCAGTCTCCCTCTACTCACTTAATGTACTATCGCATCAAAAAAGATCTGATTTTGCTCATAGGAAATTCAAAAATAATTAATTTCGAAACTGTTCGAGCCTCTTCCCATATATAGTTCAATCTCAAGACCGAACGATTGAAAAAGTGAATGGATAGGCTTTTCAATATGATAGATCTATGCGCGAGAACTACAAGCTACATTCCAGTTTTCCTTCGTATTAGAAGGATAAGGAAGGATTTCAGCGGGATTTTTTGCAATTGAAATGGGAAATATCGATGATCCAGAGATTTTATAAGCAAAAAAACCTTTGAATTTTATTCTTGATAAAAAAACGAGGAGAAAAGAAAAAAATCATGAAAGATAAGTCCTTTCAAAATATTGAAAGAAGATAGAAAAAAATTTGAAAAAAATGAGCAGGAGCAAAAAAAGACCAATAAAACAATTTAATTTACTTACGCTCTTTCTTTAAGATATTTGTCTACCAAACACCACAGAGATAGATCTTGAGCGCGCACTTGTCAAACATTTTTTCAGGTTGTTAAAAACATTTAACAAATATATTTTTGACGAAATTTAAAAAAAAAACAATAGTAAAGCAAAAAAAAGATGCAAGGCTTCGGTTCAAAAAAGTTCGAGTCAGAACGGATTTGACAACCGAAAGTTTTCAGATTAACTCAAACGTTTCGATAGTGCAGAAGTTGAGAGGACAAAACTCATGCAAATTCAAATACCGCACCAAAAACCATCGTGAATATGTAGTTACACGTGGTTGGGAAAGTGTGCAAATGAAACAAAAGAGTGAAAGTAAGTTACTACAAAAGTTACAAACAAATTTGAGCAAAAAAAGACTTTTCAAAAAAAAAAAATCAAATCCTGCGAACGCCTTTGAGTCCCCTGAACAACGGCTTCAGGAATCCAGCTATTGGTGAGAAAAGAAAAGTGTCGGAATCGAAAAGAAAGTCGGATTGACGGCGTGGATCGCCGAGGGATCTTCGGCGTGGGAAGAGGTCAAAAAAAGAGGAAAATTGAGACGGAAACCCGTTTGGAACGGCTTTTGGCACAGGCCCATTGCTCGAGAAAAGGATGAATGAACGGATCCGCGGGCTGACCTCCAAGGAACGATCCAAAAAGCAGAGAGACGCAGACGCATGTGATGAACCCAAAAAAAGTCTGGGTGCGTGGATTTGGCCGACTTTTCACCAATGTATCCATGCGTAAAACTAATTTTTCCATTATAATTATAGAAAGCTCTGGAAATTGAGCTCAAACCCCATTAACTTACTAATTCCAACCATTCAAAACCCGCTAAAAAAGTCTATTTATGCGGACTTGAAATTCCTTTGGTTTTCTTCCGAAGTGAAATAAACTTATTTCATTTGGAGTTAGAAATTTTGAACAAATAACATTTATCAGAAAAACCTTCAACCATACTAAACAACAAGAGTCCAAAATATTGTTCAAACGGTGAAGCTCATTGATACAGTTAGAAATCCAAAAATTGTTTTCCGTCTCTTCTAGCAGCTGAAAAACATATATTCAAGATCTTGGAAAGCCTTGGCGGGGCTCTTCGTAAGTTGCTAGGCATTGAAAGCGCGCTACTTCATGGGTGGCATTTTTAATTCGAAAAGTTGCCAAGTTTTTTTTTTCCGTAATCCACCATTATAATTAGTTTATTTGATTTTCTAATTACGAAAGAAAATGCTGAATATGCGAGAAAAAAAACAACTGGGTTCCTAAAAATTTTCTAAGGCTTACCTTCACATGAAAAGCTATTTTCAAAGAGACTAATTTAAGAGATCTTTATTGAAAAATTCCTTCCTCATTTTCGCCAAATATTAGGCGTATGCATGTCAAATGCGTCAAACAGACCAAGGGAGTCACAAAAATCTTTAAATATATATTTATAATAAGCTCTAGAAAGTTCCTCATAGCAACCCTTCAAATCATCATCCTTCCAGCTCAGAGATGGTTTCCTACTTTCAAACTCAAACCACGTCGACTATTCAGAGCGAGCGGAATAGCCATTTTAATAGTCGCATCTATCACTCGATTGTCATTTTACGAGTCTTTTTGATGACCCGTTTTTTCTCAGACGCCTGAAGAGAATAGCTTTTTGTAAAATTAATTCACATTCTAAAATCTTATGAGGAAACTACTTTTTCTGAGTTATGAGAACTAGAAAGAACTGAATGCATGGTACTATATTGATTGGACAACGGAAAAATATTCTTGGAATGAAAAAAAAATCTGAGTCACATCCAACTTTTAAAACAATTATGTGAAATTTAAGTTCCCTTGTTAGAAATATTTAATCTGAAAAAAAAATCCGAGAATAGTTACATGTTTACTAATGTACTCATGTTCCCGCACAGGAACAAACCACAATATTTTAAATGTTCCGATACGACTAGAGTGTTAAGTGACATTATCTACAGCTTATCCATAATTACACACTATCGTTGCGAAAGAGTTGACTTCACGTTTTTCGTGGATAAAACTATTGAAAGTTATGAAAGTAAATGACTCAAAAACAAACTTATCGTGAACGAAAAAAAAAATGAACTGGGAAACGAGGAGTTTGTGCCGGAAGATATTTAGAGATACGTGCTGCCGAACTATGGTCCCACCTCTGAAAAGCGAACAAAAGTTGGGACGAAGTTTGTGTGACTGTTTGCCCTCGACGCTGCCATTGTGTGCACCTACTCCACATAATTCTTAAATAAATCTACCCTTTCTTTCCGCTTCTCACTTCTTATCTCAGGCTCAGAAAATCAAGAGGAAAAGGGAGCTGTACAGGCAATAATTATTGAGATCCTTCGTCCAGGTCTATTAAGAAAAGTTCAGAAAATGAATGTATTTAAAGTTATAAAACGCAACCTATAATGGGGCAAACAAGTCTGCGTCTGACGATGGAAAGCGTGAAACTGTGAGAAAAGTTAGGAATAAGATGATAGTGGAAGTATAGAGAATCAAAAGCTGGAAAAGTGTCCTGTAGAAAGTCTTCTGTCTTAAGTTCATTTCTAGCGCAAGAAAAAGGCGGCGAGAGAGAAGAGGGTTTGAAATATTAAGAGTCTTCGAATGATTTTTACACAAATCACGAATTTCGTGCCTTTTCTTAGTTGAAAGAGTGCGATGAACAAACTTTATGATACGCCGACCGTATTAACGCACACATTTTTTTTTCTTATCGCTCTCAAACTTTAGGTTGAGCGTAACACAGCCAAACAGCTACTTGAAATTTGAATAGAATTTTCATTATATGATAACCTGAGTGATAGCATTATATGACTGTGATGAAACTGTATGCATCGTCAACTACCAAGGAAATTTCTTGTCTGAAGACTGAATAAACTTGTAACTAGAATTGCATCGAAACTGGAAACTACAGTGAAAACTTTCAAAATGAGAAAGAGCTCGCATGTATGAAAAAAACTGGCAACCAAAGCATTCTCCTCCTGTGGGGCGGGAATCTTAGAGCCAACCGTTTACTTTGTGAACTCTCCACATGTCAACCCTGTATCCAAATAGTAGCAAGACAAACGCAAAATATCGTGCCACAAACTATACTTATTCAATAACTCCCAACAAGGCTAGCATTTGAGGCCTAAAAGCTAAAAAAAAAGTAACAAACAAAATATTGCACAAATTATCGAATGAACTCAAATTTCCATAACACCGTTGCCGAGGGCGGCAAGAAAACTTCTTCAAACGAATTCTAACAGGTCAAAAAAAGTTCCTCTGGGTTACGAAAAAAAAAAAACGATCATTCAAATTATGGGAAGGAAATATTGAGCAGTTCAACAGCACATAAAATACTGATGTATCGGGGGAAAAAAATGAAGCAAAAAACGCCTTATAGACTATGTCGCAGCGAGAATAACGCTATAGCGCTATACCGCGCAGCACAGGCAAACACTTTGAACGCGACAAAAACGAATTCGAATATATATACACTAAGAATAACGGCCGAGATAAACGCGAGGTTGGTGGTGGTACATCGACGAACTCGCAAACATGTTGCTTTTTTCTAGGCGCGATCTCGCAAACATGTTGCTTTTTTCTAGGCGCGATCTCGCGTTTCTCTCGGCGCGATCTTGCA